GCTGATTCGTCTTGCACCACGCCTAACGGTGTATGCCAGTTCACCACCGGTGGTATTGCGGGAGAGTGTACACAGTCATCCGGCACGCTTTCCAACGCGGAGATCAAACGTCTTCTAGCGGCTGGAACGGGAACTGAATCATATGATGCCACTGCTGGAGTCCGCTGGCTCACCTTTGATTCAAACCAGTGGGTAAGCTTCGACGATGGAGTGACAATGCAGCAGAAGATTTCCTTCGCGAATAGCCAGTGTCTTGGGGGTATCATGATTGTAAGAGAACACCTTTTACCCAAGTCACCGATTCACTTCCTTCCTTCGTTTCTTATCTTTTGGAAAAATATCTAACCAAGGCTTCCTTCCAGTGGTCAATCGATCAGGACAACACAGCTGGCGATAGTATGAACGATTTGATGGGTATCGGTACAGCAAACGGAGTGTCAGAGGCAGCTGCCGCTTCATTCAAGGAACAGATGGCCAATGCCACGCTGCAGAACGCTGTTGCCTCGAGCTGCTACTGGTCCCTATGCGGAGACACCTGTACGACCGGATATTTCGATGTAACTGACGCCCGCGGCCAAATTGCCGGCTATCAGTCGAACCCCGTATGCTCTCCAGGCGAAGCCCAGACACTATGCTGCGCTCCAGGTACCTCTATGGGCACCTGTCAATGGGAAGGTTGGAGAGGCGTGGGAATGCCATGCTCACCAGCATGCTCTGACCCCGACGCCACTATTGTCGCCCGTAATACCAACTCGTACGTGGTGAACGATGGAGGTCAGCTTGAAGATCTGACCTGCACTGGTGGCTATCAGGCATATTGCTGCACGGGATTTGTTCCTTCGTCGATCACCAATTCAGGCAACCTGAACCTTTATGGCCAGACGACTACTACGGTCAGCAAAAGAGACGGTTCAAAAAATGGCCTCGTTCTCTATGCAGGCGGGCGCGCAGTTGAAAAGCGTGGTGCAGGTTTGGCGGCCTTGATAGCCGGCGAGTTGGGCGCTCTCTGCGTCGCTGACGCCATCCCATCAGCCCTTGGAGCAGTAGTGACTTTCGGCCTATCCCTTATTGGGGAGGGGGTAGTATGCGCTGCTGCGGCACTTGCCGGCCTTGCTACTGCGGCCATCATCGGGTGGTCGATTCTTTCCAGCATAGGTGGGTGGATTTTCGGTGGATCTCCATCTAAACCCAACGTTGGCGTCCCAACAACAGTAGCGGGCCGATCTTCGTATGGCCAGTGGCCGATTCTCGACTTTAGCGGCGGTACTACGACGAGTACCTGCGATTGTGTGGTCACATATACGTGTCGCTATGGCATGGGTTGGGATGAGATTTGTGATAACCAAAGATGGGGAATCAGCAAGCTGCTCAACGGAAGGACCGTCTATCAGCCATTGACAACGAGCCGCGCTGTCGGTGCTAACCAAGCACTATGGAAAGGCCAGCGTATTGAGGCCTACCGAACCGCGGCCCAAGTAAAGCTCCTAGGCTCAAGATATCGATGTGAAGTTGATGAGTTTCCTATGGGTAACCTGGCGGAATCGGGAAATAAGGCCCCGCAAGCTTGCCGTCTCGTTAACGGTCCTGCGAATGGGAGACAGGGAAATGATTTTAAAATGTGGAAAACTGCGCAGTGGAAACCTTGCTCGACGTACCGCTCTGCTGTGTGCAATATTAGGGACGGTGGGCCGCCTGCAACCTGGTATGTAAAACCGAAGCTTCCCTCATGCGAGCATATCTGATCTTGAAACAGGGCGTTTGGACCACTGGCCGCGGGTCGCGGTAGTGGCAGCGGGAAACACTTCATCGATGCTTATGGTTTTGACGATCAAACGGCCGGCTCGTCTTGCTGGGCTACCTACACTTACACTGATTCACCTGGAGCTATCAGCACCTCCACGGTTGTTGACCATGGCTTTCGCGTTCTCGACGATGATCCGTATGTGTGCCTGTTCTAACCTGACTACGTATTCAAAGTATAGCTGACCAGACGGTGTTGATAAGCATGTACGGTAACGCCTATGGATGGCCTCGACAGTCCTGGCGCGTCAATCCAGCCCCGATCGCGAGCCAGCAATACCGGCCCTATGACTCGCAACCGTCCGTATTCCAGCGAAGAGACCTTCTCGGTAACGGCACATGGTCTGAGGAAGATAGCGACCCCGCTGGCATCTGCCACGCAGACCTCAGATCACTTGGCAATGGCAAACAGGATGCCTATCTTGACCTTGATTATGATAACCTCCTCTTTGTCGATCTGGAGGGCAATCCTGTCGACGGTCGGACATGTAATGTCATCTACGAAGATGACGACCCGCACTCCGAAGTACGTCTCATACTGAACGAGGAGGGACATGTCGTGGACATGTACATGGGTGACGTAGAGGCTGGTTCGTGGACAAGAGGGGCGCTCGAAAGTTCCAAGTCGGACACGGTGACTGTTGATCCCACCACCGTCACTGTCACGACGGGTGTTGCGGCGGGCAGCGAGTCTCGACCCACGTTCCCTGCCAGTACGATTGGCGTGCAGACGGGATCGGGAACTGTAGTGACACCGGCGCCGTATGTGTACGGTCTTTGACAGCATCGAACATGTCAATGATGAGCGAAACTTTGGAAGCTATGGGATTCGAATTATATCACTGATAGTATGACAGGATCTTGGCTGAATTGGAGAAATATGAAGAAAATGGAAGGGTCGAGACAAAATTTGTAAATAAATCTCAATTGGGTAGGAAAATGGCTATCTTCATGACTGATTTATTATGGAATTGCATATCCCTCCTCGGCCCTGGTACTCCATTTCCGCAGGATGGAGCTCAGAAATTATCTCCGGATGGAAGGCAGAATGGCACTGGAATATCTACCATGTGGGTGGAATGTAATAATCCTCCCAACGGTCGGACTCAGCATCTTTGAAAGTATCAATAGTACCTTCTATCCCATCCGCCCCAACAGACCAGACGCCTTTTTCAACCAGCTTCCGCCAACAACCCAACAAACGCTGCAGGCGCTGGGATCGGTAGTAGTCACCACCGAATGGCTTATATCCATGCTGAAAGAGCTCTGAAAAGCGTCCCCTATCAACAAGGGATCCATCGCTTTTTCGTGCGCCCACGCTCTTGTCCCAATCATCATTAAAGGTGAACGGAAGCAACAGCCGAAAACCCTCCTCCGCCACGTCAAGGGCGTTTCTCTCCACTGCCTCAGTATAAAGGCCTGCAGAGACGCGAGATGGTGTACACGTTTCGGTGGATGTTGAATAGAAGTCCGACTGTAAAAATGGAGATGTTGTTCTCATAAGCTGGATAGGACGCTGGTCTCCTGTATCAGCTGGGAAAAGACACACTGGCGGTGCGGTGTACTCGGAGCGGGGTAATACGCTGAATGGCTGCGCTGCCACAAATCCAGCCGAGTCAGCCGGGGGCAGAAGAAGGCCCGGAGCGATGTAGCGGAACTGAGGCCGCCTCGCGCGCGTCAGAAACGAACGCGCAAAGGAAGGATTGGGCACCGAAGCAGCGTTCAGGACACTTGATGCAACCAGCGGGTCTGAATTATCCGCATTAGTCCCGGTTACTGGTGGGTTTGACGGCTGCGAGATGCGCGCCTCAATGGCCTGACATAGCCGATCCCACTCGGCGACACACGTAGTAACCTGGGCGTCGCTATAAGGCCGCCACTCCCAGGGCCCGATCTTCTCGAAGTCGAACAGGGCTGGCTCTTTATGAGGCGAAGCCACAACTTTTCCAATATGAATAAGGTCGATCCAGTTGGTGAGTAGTGTCTCTAGCGGGTTCCAAACGTGTTTGCTACCCTCCACTGGAAACCCAATGTCATATTCATCAAGATGCATGAAGCTCGCGACTTGGTGGAGGCCTTGGTGGTAGATAATACCGCCATCACCGTCCACCGCCGATAAGCCCCCTTCGACAGCATACAAGCGCACCAGGCTGTCAACGGGCTGATCTTGAAGATCAGCGACAAGTTCCTCAAAAAGCCTTGATGGCCCATCGATACCCCATGCAAAAACTGAGAATGGGAGGTATTCGTGAGGATTATCAAAAGGAAAAGGGGACATGATAGCGGTATCAAAGAATGCCGCTAGTGACGGATGAAGCCTTGAACGACAAGCCTCGGCTTCATCTTCATCACCGGAGCCTGTGAAAAAGTTGTTGTTGGCTTCCAGAGTTTCCAGTGGGCGGCCTTCAGCGAGCCAGGCATATTGGATCAGGTAGTTGTGTAGACCTGCACATCGTGTGTAGTCCATTCCTTCGAGATCATCTCGTGGAGGGTTATCTGGCCTGACAAGCAGGCTGCTGATGTCCGGAAGTTGAGAAAGATCCATTGAAATAAAAATGGAGTGTTTGTCAAAGGGTTACAACTAGAGAGGAATGAATCTCATACAGCAAGCCCCGCAAAGGCCCAGTTTGAAAGCGGTAAGTGGGCGGTCAAGACAGGTAATAGATTAGCCTGTCTTTGAAAAGGACATATACTTGCTCCTGAGGTTCCTTGGCTTCCCACTTTGGATTATATAGCCCTTCAGATGTTCCATTGATAAAAACTAGCACATACCCAGGAGCTTCAATTTTACCTCTAGCTTAACATAGTAAAGTCTAGACCTCTGGCATAGAGGTAGACGAAGATTAGCATAGAGATCCCTGTGCGACGGCACTAAAGGCTTCAGCATGTAATCTTCCAGCCGGTATCTTTGGAAATGTTAATAATTAGATATGCGAAACAAAGAAAGAAGAAGTTCTCTTATAATTCAACACAAGTTTTAATGCCAAAAATATGCAAATTTACAAATATCGCAATCTCGGCATTTGCATATTGCTGCATTCCCGATATATGCATTCTCCCCACAAGCTCCCCGCAAATTCCCCGTGGGGCCCTAAGGGTTAGTGAATATCTCAATCATTCTTACAAATACTAGACATAAGACGGGGCTGAAGCGATTCAAAGGTTCTAGTCAAGTCCTCTGAAGGGGCTACAACGTGAAAATGACAGCCCTGACGTTCGACAACATACCTTGGCCAAGCCTTCGTGCTGTGGTATGCAGTCCATATTCGACCTTGTTTGCTTTCATCTTCCCAATCATATGGATTCTCACCCATGATTTCATTCTTTGGCTTCGTCTCCCACCAGGTACGATGGGTGATGGTCAGCTATGATAAATTGAAAATGACCTAACATACACTAGGGCCAACGCCTATTCCACTCCTCGGAAACAAATTTATTATTCCAAGCTCCTCACCATGGATTCAATTTGAAAAGTGGTCTCGCACCTACGGCCCTATTTTCACTCTCTGGATTGGCCGACGGCCTACAATTATTATATCGGATCCCAACATCGCCGTCGACCTACTTGAGAAGCGCAGCACAAAGTTCAGCTCTCGCCCTCGCTTTGTAGTTATGGGTGAACTGTACTGGGATAACGCTGGGATCTTAGTCCAACCCTACGGAAAAGAATGGCAGATACGACGAAGAATGCTTCATCAAGCACTGAATCCATCTGCACTCAAATTATACAAGCCAGTGCAGGAGGCGGAAGCTACAAGATTATGCGGCTCTCTCCTCCACAAACCACGAGACTACGAAGGTCTCATCGATCGATTCACGGCAAGCGTGGTATTCAGTATTGCATACGGCCACAGGATCGATTCCATGAGCTCGAAAATAATTCGCCAAAGACTGAACTTCATGCAGTACTCGGCATCTCTGAATGTTCCCGGACGCTATATTGCCGAAAGTATTCCCTTGCTGAAACATATTCCCAACTTCTTCGCACCCTGGAAAGCTGAAATTCAGCGCCGAGGGTGCGAAGAGGCAACCGTTAACATCGATCTAATCAACCGAGTCAAAACCGATCTTAACACCGCGAAAACATCCTCCGATGTGCCAGACTCACTAACAAAATTGCTCCTCCAAGCAAGAAGCTCGGATCCCGCCCATGCCAGCCTCAGTGAACGAGATTTTTCCTTCGTTCCTGCATCCCTTTTCGGTGCAGGAAGTGATACGACAGCAAGCACACTATGCACTGCAGTCCTAATGCTCGTAATGAACCCAAAAGCCCAAGCAATAGCCCACACAGAAATAGACTACGTCATCGGCTCAAAACGTCTCCCAACATTTGCCGATGAAGAAAACCTACCCTACATCAAAGCCCTCTGTCAGGAAACACTACGTATCCGCCCCGTCGCCGTGCTGGGTGGTACACCACATGCGAATTCCATGGCGGATACATACAAGGGCTATTTTATTCCCCAAGGTACTACTGTCCTATGCAACAGTTGGGCGATAAATCTGAACCCGGAATACTATCCAAATCCGCACCATTTCAATCCACGGCGCTTTTTAATTGGCGATCCAAGCTATCTCCCGTATCTCCCGCCGCTTACGGATGATGATTTCACTGAGTTATCACCGGCGAAAATCCATCCTGCCAAAGAGGGCCATAGTTCTTTTGGGTGGGGAAGACGTATATGTCCTGGGGCGGGATTGGCGCACAACTCGCTGTTTATTGCCCTGGTGCGGCTATTGTGGGCCTTTCGGTTTGAGCCAGCCCGGGAGAGTGATGGATCTGAGAGGCTTTATGATTCTTTCGCATACACACAGGGGTTTAATATTCGGCCTGAGGCCTTCGACTGTGGGATTTTCGTACGCGATGAAAGCAGGATAGAAGTTTTGGAGGCCGAGTTAGAGCAGGCTGAGGTGGTTATGAACATGTTCCCACCATTTGAGGAGTAGACAAACTGAGGTACTGATGTCCTAGATTCGAGAGAGCAATGAATGGATTTTACTTGAACTGCTTGGATTTGTTTTGTCGTTAACCTTGGGAGGCTGTACTTCGGAACATTGAAACTTGTAAGGCATTCGCAGCAGCCCCTTCTGCTTGATCTCACAGGTACAATCCTGTAAGTAGTTTTGCCACGCATTGATTTATTTTTATGGAATGTAAATTGATCAAACATTTGTATAACAGACGGATATGTAGCAGCCCCACAGCTCCGGTGCTCCACATTGCGGGGTGCAGGCATTTCTCAATGTCGGAAAATAATGAGAATTTCCGAGGTCAATGGTAATTCCCCAAAACGAAATATATATCCCTCAGATGGCATCTTCAATTCAAGGAGCCCCAAGGTCGAGGGAGTTCTTTGCATTGACTTCAATGGATGCTTGGCGACATGAACTGCAATCAATATTGACGTATACATTAGCTGCAGCCATAAGAATCGGTTCCAGTCCACATTGTACATGTACCCAGTAGCAAGGTTTGGATCCTAATGAAATTCAGTCATGACTAAAGAGACTTCGGTAGCTCTGCCAATTTTGTCAATAATTCGAATGGAACCTGAGGCTTTATAGTCAATTGTTCTACGAAAGCGATTGCCCAGTTGTTGGAAATTTTCGAATCAGACAATTATGAACGAATGAAATACCTAGGAAACGCGACAACTGAAATCCTTTATACTTGGAACTTGCAGGAGATACCCTTTTCTTTTACACTGCTTCAGGGATTTTAATTATTTTTGAATCTCAACGGTCGGATTACATAATCGGCGCGTCAATGCAGATCACCCCACGGCCGAGGTCGGGAATATCAAATGAGCTTCTCCCCTGGAAGGGCAATGAGGGCTTCCTCTCGTGATGCCATTACGCCGGAGCCACAAAAAGAGTCGAAATGGATGCAGGGAGTGTAAAAGGAGACATGTAAAGGTATGCAGGGTCGGCTCCTTCCAATTGTCTGACACGTGACAGTCACTGGTCGGTGACTAAGTGATGCCTGTTGATTCTTGAACCCACAAAGCCTGTTAATTTGTGTCCCCAATATATCACGTGGAGATCTGACAGAGCAAATAGTGCGACGAAGAATTACCCAAGTGCACATTGTGCAAGAAGCGCAAGTTGGAATGCAGCTATCCTGATCCCGACAGCCCAAACTCTCCCGATGTCTCTGAAGGTGGACCACGGACACCAGGGGGCGACCTGCCCCTACCTACCCGCATGTTAGAGATTCGACTTTTGCATCATTATCTCACATCGACATATTTAACATTAGCGAAAGATGGACTATCCCCTTACCATCTGTCCATCACTATTCCGCAAATGGCTACCTCCTATCCATATCTACTGGACAGTATCTTGGCACTGACCGCACTTCACCTGGCTTCAGTTGAAACTGATAACCGTCAATCATGGCTGGAAGCTGCAATGCGCTACCAAAGCCAAACTTGTGCGGGGTTGGGGAAAGTTCTTCCAGAGATCACTCAGCAGCAGTATGAACCGGCTTTTGCGGCTTCCGTGTTCATTATGTTATCCGTGCAAGGGTTTCCTGTCATATCAAATGATTCACAAACTGTGGACGCGTTTTCGAGAGTGCTGGAGGTTCGCACTTTGCTTTCAGGGAGCGCTGTGTTTTTCACAAAACTCACCGAGCTTGGAATCCAAGGAGAGCTTAATGGGTGGCTTTGCATACCCAATACAGAGGAAAATTTTGAACACCCATCGCCTAGCAGGTAAGATTAATCTCCAGGAAAAAAAAACTTCAATTCAATTGCAAGTGCTGACTTTGGTCTAGTGAGGAACAATCTGAAGACCGCGAACAATTATTTGACCTACACAAGTCAGTTACAAACACAACAAAAGCATTGGTGCCATGCTGACAATACCAGGAAATTAATGGAATCTCTCAACCAGCTGGGATCCATCATCGAAACAACTACATCTCCCCACGGAGCAATATACAAAGTTACATGGCAGTTTCTTCACCGGGCAATCGGACCCTGGCCGTTGATAGGGGACTATGGTGGAATTATCGCCTTCCCTCTTTTCATCACCGATGAATTTATAGCACTGGTCCAGGACGGAGACTGGGTGGCCCGTATCCTGTTTTTGTACTATGCAACTGCCATGCGCCTCATGTGCCATCGCTGGTATGTTCGAGATTGGGGTCGACGGCTCGTGCTTGCAACTTTACGACCGCTGGAAGAGATTCCAATGATGTGGAAAGATACTATTTCATGGATGAGGCAAGGGATTGAAGTTGATCAAGGGTCCCTAGTATATAGAGGTGGAAAAGCAGACTAATCGAATGAGACATGACGTTACTGCTATAGAAAGTGCAGTAAAGACATTTGGTATCGGTGATTTACGCTTTGATCCGTGCTTTGTATGATGATCGTAGCTAATGAGATAAGCAGTCGATAAACTACTTCAGCGTGATACCCGTCGACTTGATCAACTCATTTAACTTGACGTCATGACGTCATATGTATACAGTGGTACTGTAGGCACGTGAGCCGGGACTTGTAACCCTTGACTGCGGAGTACGATAAGGCGATAAGACACTTCCATGATAAATTCCTAAACTGTTGTGATTAATAATGATCGAAGTTGAGGACCAAACCTTATTGGCGTAGTTATCAGCGGGGTTTCCCCGATATCTTGCACGAGACCAAGTATCCACAATTGCAATCAGTCTGTGGGCCGGTCAAATCCCCAGCCTTTCCTTTCGCGATTGTGGACGTGCTGAGTATTTCTTTCCCAAGTTGGCTTTCAAAATCCAAATCCAACTGGGATTCACGCTTTACCGACTTCCCGCACGTCCATGACCATGCACGGAGAGAAGAACATTGACCAGGATGTGGAGAAACAAGTAAGTAATCCAGCGTCATCCGTATTTATCCGCACTCTCACCCCTTCGCGCGCAATCAACTGACACACATGACTTTGGAAGCCTTCTCTGGTGTCACAGTGCACTTTAATTCCTGGTGAGGAGGGGTGTCGGCCTGCAGGGCAGCCTGCTACTCGATGGCGCACGATTTTGAATACGTGGAAACAAAGAACAGGGCGTTTGGTGTTGTTCTCCGTGGTTCTGTTGTTGGTATACATGTCAAGATCCAATACATCGCCCCTTGATTTCATGATACCAGAAAGAGATAGACATATTAGCTCAAATGGAATCTTTGAACCTGGAAAGCTTGGAGCTATTGCTACCGAAAGCTCTATATGCTCACGACATGGAATCGAGATGTTTGAAATGGGTGGCAATGCGGCTGATGCTGTAAGTCATCTGAAGCACTCCAATGGAACGGATCATGATCGCCTTTCTCGCGTGGGTGCCTGGAGTGTTTGAATGGCAGCTAATTACAGCTTATAGACGGTCGCCGCACAGTTCTGCGTTGGGGTTATCGGTATGTGTGTAAGAGGCCTGAAATTCACAATGATTCTAATTTGGCCAAGGGATGTACCATAGCGGTATCGGAGGAGGCGGGTTTCTGCTGGTGAGAGCACCGAATGGATCCTATGAATTTGTCGACTTTCGAGAGACAGCGCCGGCAGCGGCTTTCGAAGACATGTACCGAAATAACACGGAAGGTTGGATGTTTGGGGGTTTGGCGAGGTATGACAAGCGCTAAGTCTTAACACTTGCGGGATATTGTGTTGACATGCATAATATAGTGGCGTACCTGGCGAAGTGCGTGGTTTGGAGTATCTGCACAAACAGTATGGCTCTCTCCCATGGCATACTGTCATGCAACCAGCCATTCGGACTGCTCGTGAGGGTTTCAAAGTCACCAAGGACTTGATCAGATATATGGATGCGGCCGTGGGTGATGGACACGACTTTTTGTCTAAAAATGCAACATGGAGCCTAGACTTCGCCCCCAACGGCACCCGGCTACCACTGGGTGCGACCATTACTCGGAAGCGCCTTGCAGACACACTTGAAACCATTGCCGAGCGTGGCCCAGACGCATTCTATTCGGGGCCAATTGCTGAAACGATGATCAAGGCTGTACAAGATTCCAACGGAACCATGACGTTAGAGGACTTGGCGAATTATAGAATCGCCCTGCGAAACGTATCACAGATCAACTATCGTGGATACACGGTCACAAGTGGAACGGCTCCATCTAGTGGAGTTGTCGCATTGAGTATGCTAAAGATTCTTGACGGATATGATGACTTCTTCTCCTCTGAAAGCGCCGTCAATCTCAGCACACATCGAATGACGGAGGCGATGCGATTCGGGTTTGGCCAAGTAAGACCTTATTAATCCTACATGTGGAATTTTGCTAATACACACTAAAGAGAACTGAAATGGGTGATCCGCTATTTGTTCCTGGCATGACCGAATATGAAAGTGACATACTGAAACAATCGACGGTTGACGAAATTCGACGCAAGATCTCCGACGCCCATACATTGGATGTATCAGCATATGACCCTGCTGGCATTGAAAATCGGGATACGTAAGGAAATCTTGACGTACTAGTAGTGAATAGTTGAGGATTCGACTCACATATGATTTAGTCCAGGAACTTCCCACATTGCTGCAACCGATCATTCCGGGCTTGCCGTCTCTGTCATTAGCACGATTAACACACTATTTGGCAGCCAATTGATGGTTCCAGAGACTGGTATCATTATGAACAACGAGATGAACGGTAAGTCATTCGAGCCTGCGACACATGAAATATCTTTCTCATAGCCGGGATAGATTTCTCAATTCCCGGAACATCCAACTTTTTCGGATTCGTTCCCTCCAAAGCAAACTACATTCGACCCGGCAAGCGATCCATGTCATCGATTACACCTGCCATCGTCACCGGACCCGATGGAAAGCTGTGCCTGATTAGTGGATCAGCAGGAGGTAGTCGGATTATTACCGCAACAGTCCAGAACATCGTCAATACGATTGATCATGGTTTAAATGCAGCAGAAGCTTTGGCCAAGCCACGCCTACATGACCAGCTGCTTCCGAATCAGGTACATTTTGAGTATGCATATGACAACTCCACTGTGGCCTTTATGGAGAGCCGAGGGCACAATATCAGTTGGATGGCTCCTGGGTTAAGCAGTGCGCAGCTTATTCGCATTCTACCCAATGGAACATTTGATGCTGCTGGTGAGCCAAGGCAATTAAATTCAGCTGGTTATGCGATATAGAGTAGACTATAGAGAAAAAGCAAGACTAAACTGTGTCACAATCAATGGCTCTTTCCATTTCACGATAAGGAAGCGATAGATATCATGTGGTCCGTGCGTTGATCGAAAACGCGGCGTACATTTTGTCAACTCCAATCTCCGATCAGGCTATTCTGTGTTATACATGCCTGCAAGTTCACATACCTAGGTATACAAGTTCACATATGTAACCCTACATATTTTGTGAATTTGCAAGGCTTTCCACTTTGAATGCTTTCGGTATTGACATATTGGTTTGCTGTCGCGCTTTGGAGCCACCCGCGTCCGCGTTTCGGATGATGAAGCTGATTGTGCTTGCTGGAGCTCTCTATACCCTTCCTTACCATCGAACTTCGTTGGATCCAGTGAGTAATCAAGGTTTTACAATTTAATTCCCAAGGTCAGCCATATTGACGTTCTCTTCAGAACAGAACAATATTGAACCTCCTTACCGTCACGCCACGCATGTGTCTCATGCATCCACACAACCACATTTGAACAATACCTGAGGTCCTTGCTTGAACTAACATGGCACCGACTGACAACATTGAGGTTGTCCTTCCTCCCCCCAGTCAGGATATCTCCACTTACAGGCTCTTCACCGAAGAAATCGAGCGCATTGTCGACGGCATACTTGAGGAGGAAAGCTTCGAATCCACCAGAGATGAGGACTGGAATGTGGACACTACCCCCCTGAGTGCCAGGAGCTCTAATAAATCACAAAACGACGTTGCCCGTTCAAGCTCTCAGAAGACGAAGCTTGGTAGCAAATCGCCCTACTTCCCCCCACATACATCAACCCCGCAAAAGCCGAAAGCCAAACAAAAGCCGCCACGAAAACGGATAGCTACAAGAAACATTACAGTTGTGAATATGGATGATGAAAGCGGAGAGGAATATGCACACGAAATTAACGGTCATTTGAATGGGAACGACGACGTGGAGACGATGGATAAGAACAGTAACGGGTCGAATGTGACTGGACTTGACAAAGACTGTGATGATTCTCTCGGCCCAGAACCCCAGAGCGATGAAAATGACAATGCCAATGGGCCGGGACTTGACAACGATGATGAAGCCGAGGAGGACGCCATCTTCGTATCAATTGCGCAGTCTGAGCGCGATGAAATTCTTCACTACGTTGCGACCCACCGATTCTTCGAGACACCCGTTCAGCCTGTACCACGTTCTGCTAGAGAGCAGTTTACCATTGACTTGCGAAAGAAGGCGGTATCAGCAGGGATGCCTGGTACCGCTATAAATGGCTTACTGAAGTACGTGCGCCGGATCTACCTGGATACTGCTGGCGCTCCAGATGCGGGATCCCAGGCTTATTGGGACGAGATTTCATTCGGGGAAGAATTCGATGACACCCCGAAAGAAACTGTGTTCCTCGGCAAAACTCGCAAGAGAAGCCTTGACCAAGCAAGTGAATTTAGCTCGAAGAAACGTAGGATGAGCGACAGACGTTCTTCCAGAGATTCGAATGCTTCTGTCCAGCTTGTGGTGCAGATTGAGGATAGCCAAGAAATCGGCGCGCCTCGAACTCATCATTCTCCCGAAGCACGGCGCCAGGATAAAGTTCGTCTAATGGAATCCGCGGGCGGCCCCAATGAAATACCCGAATCGCCCATTCTTGCCGCGGTTTCCTCTACAAAGCATAGAGAACAGCCACCTTCTATTTCAGAAATCATCAATCTCACTTCTAAGCTCAATGAAGAGCAACTCGCATGCAACGATTGCAAGCTCCAAAACAACGAGCCCCTTCAAATCCCGAGTGTTGCGATGAAAGAGAGTTTGGTGCCTGTACCAGCCGATACGGAACCGGGTGATACTGGCGATATTTCCCCACAGGATCTTAGCCACCTATATCCTTTTGATTCAATGGATATTGAACCCGAGTCCGTGCCCAAGCACCAAACTGAGCCTAACTCCAAGTCGAAGCCTGAGCCTCAATCCAAGTCTGCATCCGAGGCAAAAGCCAAATCAACGCCGGAACCGACGCCTGAGTCCAAACCTATGGCCAACGTGAAAGAAACACTGCCCGGCTCCAAACAAAAGAACAAAGAAACCATACAGCCCTCTCTTTCCTCTCAACCGAATTTGGATTCAGAACAAGTAGAATTACAATTGCAAGCATCGTTGGAACCACATTCTACAGATGTCCCTTCCAAGACATCAGAGCAGATATCAAAGAGAGCGCAACAGAGTAGGCGGAAAAAAGAGAGGAAACGACTGGAGAAAGAAAGGAGACGGCGCAGGAAAGAGAGGAAACGGCTGATGAAACAGAAAAAATCAGATGCGGGCACTGATGAACCAGCAAAAACTCCCCCACGACAGCCCTTAGTCCAATCTCCAATGCCATCGACACCCTTACAAAAATCACCCAATAGCAAGCAAAGATTCTTGTATGGAGAGTTATCGCCAGATCCCAATGAGTGGGATATGGGTTTTTGAAAACCAGTGATTCGCCAGGGGTGACCCCCAGTGATGAGGTGACGTCCAAGTATTTCCATGCTGCCACAACCAACATTTCTTCACCCAGATCCGTCCGATCTGACTTGTACAAAATGACCCTTCCCGCTGAAACATACCGATACCTTGACCATTTTCATTTGTCCCCAGATTTTCTGTTATCAGATTCGACCTTGAGTGAGGTTCCAAGTGACTTTGAACTTGATGAGAACTCTGTTTACCCCTCAACACCCGTGCACAGCCCACGATCTGTCGCTGTAGAACCCGCTGTCGTTCCTGAAACTCCTGTTAAACAAATTTCCTTACTTGTCCCCGAAGATCCCAAGCCGTTGCGATCCAAACTACCCAAAATCTCACCTTATTTCCCCAAGTTGCCGAGCGATCCACAGTCTTGTCTCCCATTTCCCCCTATTGATGCGCCGTATTTTGGTCTCGTGCAGGAACAGTTGGCCCACGAACCATTCAAGTTGCTCATTGCAACCATATTCCTTAACCGCACTCGCGGGGGTGTGGCTTTACCAGTTTTGTTCAAAGTGTTTGACCGTTACCCTACCATCGACTCTATGGCACTTGCCGACGAATCAGAGCTTGTGTCCATGATACGCTGCCTCGGATTTCAAAACCAGCGTGCAAGGAAGTGTATTTCGCTAGCCCAAATCTGGAACTCCAACCCTCCGCTGAAAAGCAAACGCTATCGGAAGATGCACTATCCTCACCGACTTGACGGTCGGGACATTGGTCCCGATGAATGTGTTGATGACGAAGACCCGCGGTCTGCATGGGAAGTTGCTCACTTGCCTGGTGTCGGAGCTTATTCCCTGGACAGCTGGCGTATTTTTTGTCGCGACGAACTGCGAGGAATGGCTACAGATTGGATTGGGACTGGTGCCACTACCTATGGGTTTGTCCCTGAATGGAAATCAGTTCTCCCTCAAGATAAAGAATTACGTGCATATCTTACTTGGCTCTGGCTCAAGGAAGGATGGGTGTGGGACCATCACACAGGCGATCTCAGTGCAGCGAGTGACAAGACGCTGCGAGCTGCACGAGCTGGTGGAGTGGCCCACGAAGAAGATGGAAATTGGGTATTGGAGACCTCACCTGTTAAAACATTGAATGGATTGCATGAGGATTGATAGGATTTGATTAGTTTTACTGCTTTAAATGATACCCCACAATACTATGTGTTTTATATTCATCTTATGTAGCTATCACTCGAGTTTTGAGTTTTACGTTTCAGTTAACATTAGGCTTCCATGCATTTAACAACTTTCACCTCATTTGTCGGTCTGATTCACCGCATTGGAAATCTGGAAATCTTGAAATCTGGAACCTAGTCATTCCACCGATCTTCACCATCAGATCCAACTGTCATGCATTGTACCTGATTCTTATGCTTGTCTTTTTAGTCCCTGATTATCATATTTCACTTTAATTGAATTCGTGTTTGTCAGTTACCCCGTAACGGAATGCCGGGGTCTCTCCCGGCGATCAAAACAAGCGCTGAGCCAGTGACAAGTCGACTGCCCAACTTAAGCGCCAGGCAGAACATTCACGATCATCCACTTGACATTTTAACCCGTTGAGAGGGTTAGTCAAAGCACAGACGAGTTAGAACGGAGACCGATGAACAGGCGGGCCAGGGTTTGAAGGGGATCCACCTGTGGCTACGCTCGCAGGAGTCATGTTTTTTCCAGTGAGACCCAACAGTACCGATAGGAAGCCCAAATCCAAGAACTGGAAACAACGTCCCAAGCGTTCGTCCCAAGTATCCCAGGTTCGCTCCCGCACTTCAACCAAGGATCCCGAACCAGAACCAACGGTTCGCTCCTCCATCTCAGCCTCGACTTCACACAGTGAACCCCCACATCGGTCCTCGATGCCCAGCGTCGACACCGAAAGCCGCTCCGGCACTGCCTCTTTTCTCGAATCGAGGACCAGTCTACCATACCCTACTTTCTCTAAGGCGCATAGCAAAGAGGATGCTCGCGGAAACATCCCCACCCCGGACGCGACCGACCTGACCGAACAAGACGATGGGAAGGAGAATCGACCCAGCCACCACCGCACCGAGAACCACCAGGCCCCTCCCAGTCCACCGCTAACGGGCCTGGATCAGCCATCGTCTCGAAAAGGTACACCGGTTGAGGAGGAGGACAAGGACAAGGGGTCGGAGAAGCCAAGAAAGAAAGCAAGCATCAAGATCCGGACGGAGGTGAACCGCTCGTCGTCTAGCCTGAAGTCTAAGAAGGATGATGGAAGCAAGACCTCCAGGACGGTGCGCGCAGAGACACCCAAGTCTAAGTCATCCAGACCCGAGAAGGAGAAGGAGAAAGAAAAAGACAAGGAGAAGGAATCATCCCCCCGGGTTAGCCACAAGCCCTCCAAGACCAAGGTCTCTTCCGAAGAGAAGAAGCTGCCGAAAAGATCTAGCCGTTCTACAATGTCGCCCTCACAATCGAATTTAACGGCTCGGGATGTAGGCGTTGAATCCTTGAATGGGTCCGATGCTACCTCTATCGCCCCCAACCAGCAGTATATTCCGCCGCGCAAACCCTCCCCGCCAATGGTCAAGCCTCCATCGCGCACCCAAAGCCGATCGGCATTTTCTCATCGTCATACCCCTAGCGATGAATCTCTCGAATACGGCCGACATGTCCCATCCGGCCCATCTTTCGGGGCACCGCCGCCTCCGCCTCCTCCACCCGCTGTACCGTTAACTATTCCAAGGGTCGATTACCTGCTACAACATGGTGGCCTCAAGAACAAAGTCTCGCGCACGCTGCTCCCCGTCTCTAGTTCAACCGATCCCTTCGGCCAATCCGCTACTCATCCTCAACAAGCTGCTGCAAAGTTTTTCGATCCATTCAACAGCCTTCTTGATGATTACCAAAAAGTGATGAGCAAAAATGGATCTATTGCTGTGGCAACTGGATATCGATCGGTTGCGCGACGGCTTCTCGACCGTTTGGAGGCAGTGTTCGCGCGTGATATTTCCTCGGAGCCCTGTAGTTGTCTTATGTGCGAGCGGAATGATGAGGAGGAACGTCCATCCGGAGTAAGCTGGGGGGAGGTTCTGGAGCTTGTATCTGGTCGTCGGGAGCTTCCTATGTGGCCGCCGTTTGTCATGGCACCATCTGCTGTTGACCCAGCCTTGGCTGGGGAGGAGCATATTCCAATGCAGAAGCTTGATGTTGATGTCCCGGAGGAGTACCGAGAACACTTCATTCGGCAATCCCGCAAAACCAAAGTCGCTGTGGACAAATGGCTTTCCGAACAAAATGATGGACCCAGCAATGCTCCTGGAGAGGTGGATGATGAGACCCTGACTTTCGCCATGTTGACTCATCTCGAAACTCACCAGCGCTCATTGTTCTGCGCTCTCCTTGGCATCACCTCTTCGACCCCCGTCCCCCGGTCTGATGATGAAAAACCCCGAGCTAAACCATCCGCGCTTGTTTCCTCATCGCTGGCAATCCAGCGACTCTACCGCCTGCCCGCACTTCCTCGCGACTCAGAAGCAGCCATGTTCATGCTCAACAACCCTGGATTGCACCATGTCCTAGCCACCCTGTCCGCCATCAGTGACGACGAGTGGGAGATTCTCATATCTGGTCGCTTCGACGGGTTCCTCCGCAGCGGCGCCGAAGATACCACGCAATCCGCTCCTCGCTACAATGGCAGTCGTTCCACCACGCCCTTCAGCGCTGCAGGAATTTCTCGCGGTCCAACCCCCAACTACATGGACAGCAGCTTCCGCCCCGGCAGCCAACTCAACGGAGGCCCAACATCACCTGCCAACGGAGGGCCAATCGCACTGGACGAAGAGACGGAAATCGCAGCTTTGGCGGAAATCGAACGCGACATCTTCCTCGGCATGGAAGCACTCGAAGACGCGTTCGAAACCCTGCACCTCAAAGCCGAAGTTGTCCGCCGTGCACTCAGAGAACGTGGAGCAGGTCTATCCGTCGCTAGCCAGGGTCGACGCGGCTCATTCGTGGAAGCCCGCTTAGGCACTCCCTTCTCCGCTGCCGGCGGCTGGGACAGCGCAGAAGAGGATTTCCTCAATGATGACGACCGATCCTTAGCCCCAGACGACTCCGCTAGTAACATCAGCTCGAACCGGCGCCGTCGACCTAAGCGACGCACAGAGCGACGCACCCCCGCTCCGGTTGAAGAGGAAGATGAGGAAGATTCACAGGATGGCCGCCGCGAGCGCAACTCTCGGCGCCGGTAATCCTCTTCGTTGGACTTCGCGGTTGTCTTATCTAGTCCTACTTTGGATTCCATATGAGATGGATACACTATTGCATCGGGTGCGCTTGATTGATGAACTGATGATACCCAAGTCTCCCTCTCCCATTTCCGACAATTGTCATACGTTTCAGTGTCCGTTCTCTTTCCAACTTGTGTTGGTATTTGTCAGCCATTTAGTGCATTTTTGTTTTCTTTCTTTTTCTTTGCTTGATGATTGATGAATGCCATGAGCCGTACTTTGTACCTAAATGTTTACTCCTAACTCTAAAAATCACACGTTTGAATGTATCCTTGATATCTCCTTGCCTCTTCAATGTCATGATCAATGTCCGCGTGAGACTTCAAATCTCGACCTCGGTAAATCATACCGGACTCCCTATTTACCCCATTTCTACCCGCTGATATTGGCGCAAGAAGCTCCTATGCCAAAAATGAACCATGGAACGCCCAGGCAAAACTAAGCATTGTATGCACTATTGGCAAGCCACAAACGCGACGAACAATAGCCGCAATACCTGAGTCCCGGTGCCGACAACAGGTCCATGCGCTCGGTACTCCCGATAAGCGCGTCCAATGATTTAGGATCTGCAGTCTGACGGCTGGCAAATACAAAACTCGGGCATGGCTTTGATGTAAAAATGCGGTCGCCCTCGGTCATATCGTATGATTTGATTTACGAAAAGATCTAAACAAGCAACTCTATAAGTAGTGGGTGAAGAAATGATTCTGAAAGACAAGAGACGAGTTAGACCCATAGCGGACTAGACACATGTTCAAGATTACTTTTGGCGAACAAGATCTCCGAAGTATTCCTATAGCGTAGTTCAGCGTGAGCCAATTATCGATCAATATGCAAGATCGTAAGCCATCTCCGTACAGATCAATTCAAATTCAATAGTCAATCAACTACTCCGCAAACTGATCAGGGGTGCATGACATTTATTCCACATTGATAAACTCATCATTGGGGAGAATCATCCCGACGAATGACCATTTTGCCCGCGATGAGTATACTTTGATAGTTTGGAATTTAGCCTGTTGAGTGATTTAAAGTTTTTGTCTACCATGGACCGGATAAACCCGAAAATTGAGATGAAAAAGTCCCTGTTCCTGTTCATCCCCGATTTAGTAAAAGCTTTGGACCCATGAGTTCCATGGACATGCATGGTGGCTGTTGCTTGTCCAAAGTTCTCAAGTGAGTACACGGCTCGGGAAATAATTCCAGGTACCAAGGTTTTGGACAGCTTCTACCCCTTTATGCTAATGCCAATGCCAATCCCAATTTAGGGATATCTCTTAAGTCTAACGGACACGCTCAATTAATAGGTCTAGGGGTAATATTCAATACCAAAATAAATTAAGTAAAACGGCCGCATACAAGAATATTCGTCATCCACAGATGTCTAACGGGATCAGGCAGGTGAAAGAGATCAAAGATTTACGAGTTGAGCTCTGTTGGAACCATGGATGTGCCCAGATGTGCACATTTACTCACGAACCGCGTGTTTGGACTTACCTCTGATCCATGTAGGGTACGGAGTACTCCATACACATATTGCAATATGTACTTTCTATCGCTAGCAGCTTTATTCATCCGTGTGATTATCCTTTGATCTTCTTGATTCAATCTACGTGGCCCACTAAGCACGCTAACAACTTAATCCTACCGCACATCATCACCCAATGTAGATCCTTGGCACGCCGGGTAACTTGTTATCTTTGACCGGCACATGGAGAGGCCGCGGCACCGAAATTCCAAAATTCCAAAATTCCCGAGCCGTGTTGACTCCAATGTGTTTGATCGACGCCACATTGCTTACTACTGTACTGTACATGAGTCTTCAACCTTAATACCAACATGAAAACTTTGTCTCCGCGCCATAAGGGGTGGGTAAGCCACGGGCTTGATCTGGTTAGCTGGGCATTTTTAATCTCTTTTATAAACACGGTTTCAGTACCAAAGTACTACTGGCTTGCCTAGCCGGGTGCGAGAGCCGGTGAGTAGCGTGGAAATTAAGCTTGTTTGCCCCAATCACACCGTTGCCCATATCAATAATACAATGCGAACTATCCTACGGAGTAATGTGCGATCTACCTTTTTTTTCTCTCTCGCTGCTTGGCAAGCATGTGTCTTGTTCCAAAGATTGTCTAGCGGGTCATCACGAATACTGCGGGGTGAAAATGGAATTCCCCCTGATGGATTTTCCTAGCAACCCCAGTCAACGCAGATTTGAAAATTCCTTGAATTGACTAAAGTAGTAAAAGGTGCCGGACTATCTGCCTGGTACGGAACGATGTACGGGGACAACCATGATAGAAATATCAAGTGGGGCCAATCCAAGGGGTGTATTACCCCCGTGGCGAAACTCGCCCGTGTCTTCCGCTAGCGTTCCAGAAGCCCACCCCTGCAGTAACATTACATGGGTTAAGCCTCATGGGGGTCTATGAGTGGTTGGAATTCCCACGGCATTGTGGCATTGTCCGCGCCGGTGCGGAGAATAGGTTTGTGGCGCTCGGAGTAACATGCTTGTTCATCTCCTTGTTTATCGAGCTGACGACTTTCCCAAAAACCAGCTCATTCGAAGTCTCCCGGTTCCCCCTTTTCAGTGATTGGGCTCCAGGCTGCATGGTGACGCTGGCTACGATGATCTTGGTGGATATAGCCGTCTGGGCAATCTCTCATCTCCATGGGAGAAATCCTCATCTTCTCCACTTCCCTGTGAAAGAGGAGTGAGTGGCCACTTGAAGTGGGCCTATGCGACTTGGCAATTTTGGAGCTTGAGGTACTGTGGATCAAGCCTTGTCTCAATTCTGGTTTGGAAACCCTGGTGTATGGGTCTCGGCGGAAATGACCACAGTCCAAAGGTCCCTGCGGGCTGCCAATGCCCATCTTCACCTATTGACATTAGAGTTTGCTGTAACCAGCATAGTCTATCGGTGGGCTGTTCCCATGTCGTTGGATTTGGGTCATACCCCCGTTTAATAATGCTAATTCACGCTGCGATTTGCATCCTTTCTGATCTTTCCTTTCGTCCGTCTGTCTGACTATTCGTGGACCTGACATCGAGGACCACATACTCAAACGGATCGGACCGTGCTTTCATCTGACAGGCCTAGCTTGAAGCCTTGCGATTGAAACAAGTTTCGACGTCGCGCTTGACCCTGAAACCGGCTCGTCCACGATTTCCCTCTTTTTTTGTGGTGCTTTACCCTACTACACTATACGTCATTAATCTTATACTCCATTGTCAGGATCATGGCTGCAATCGCCATTCTCCAGATGCTTACAGCGGACAGTCCGTCAGGACATTCCCTGGCTGCTCGATTGCATGAGGATGTGAAACTAGATATTGATCCCCTCCCTTCAGTCCAGCGGAAAGGTCTAATCGCTGTAAGCATCATGGCTTTCCTGTCATTCATTGCAACAGGAGGTCTACTATCTTTCATTACATACCGCCTTATCTTCTGGAAAGGCTCATACACCAGGTATATCGGTTACAACCAATACATCATTCTCATCTACAACTTGATTTTGGCCGACTTTCAACAATCGCTCGCTTTCCTAATATGCCTGAAATGGATCGCCACCGACAAGATCAAGTCCGGCACAGCGGGCTGTTTTCTCCAAGGCATGTGGCTTCAGATTGGAGATCCAGGCAGTGGTCTTTTCGTCCTGGCAATTGCCATCCACACGTTCCTCCTTGTTGTTTGGGGTCGCAAGATGTCTCACAAAACCTTCATCTGCTTCGTTTGCGGTGTATGGCTTTTCATCGCTGTCATTGTCATCATTCCAATTGCTATGTACGGAGCTGATGTATTTGTTCCATCGGGCGCCTGGTGCTGGATCAACGAAGATTACGAAACGGTTCGCCTTTGGACTCACTACATCTGGATTTTCTTCGCTGAATTCGGTACTGTCGTTCTCTACGCTGTGATGTATTTCCAGCTCCGCAAACAGATTTCCCAATCGTCAATCTTGGGTAACAGCCAACTCGAAAGTCTGAAACGCTTACGCCGCGTCGTTGGATACATGACCATCTACCCCATCGTCTACATCGTTCTTTCACTTCCCCTCGCAGCCGGTCGCATGGCCACGGCAAATGGCAACAACCCATCCCTCACTTTCTTCTGCTGCGCTGGTACGTAGCGACACCCCCTCTCCCACACTGAACCAAATCTGACATGCCCAGGTGCCTTCATGACAAGCTCAGGTCTTGTAGACGTCACTTTATACACCCTCACCCGCCGCAACCTCATCATCGACTCTGAGCCCAGCCAGGACCGGTCGTACAACAAGTTCGCGAGCAGCAAAGGACGCCGCGGAGATAACCTGACTACCATCACCGCCGAGCCCAAATCCAGGAAACACGCCATCCACGAGAACACCGATCTCGATGGCTCCACTGACAATATCGTTCAGCCCAGCGTCGAAATGGGACCCATGGGCAAGGTGTACCAGGAGACAACCATCGAAATTACAAACGAACCGGCATCTGCATACCAATCAGAGGGTGTCAGTGAACGCTCCAGCAAAGACGACTTTGCTGAACCTTCCTCTCGGACGTGGAGGCGATGATTATAATTGAAATTCCAACGCAATGGTTCTTCTCATGCTCGTGCATCTGTGTTTCTCTACTGCACTTTAATCTTCTGGTTACCATTCAAGCCTTTTTATGACTTTCGACGTGATCCGGCGCCTTCACTTATACTCTCTCTTCATGTTTACTTTTCTCATGTCCCGTATTCTCACTCTTCGTTTGACCCTGGAACTGGAACTTTGTATATACGATTCACAAAGGGGCTGTGGCCCCTATTCACAGGACCTATATTCCCGTGTACATTTAGATGTTGGAACTTTCGAAAAACACATGTTTATATATACTGGAAACATTCAATGTTGTCACAATGATTTGATTCCCTGATAAGATGATAGGCTACTCCTACTGATATTCTAGCAGTGGAGTGTACCGTTCATTAATTGAGCAGGCGGAGGTTCTCCAGCGCCGCTGCTCGTGAAGTCTAGCCGATAATTACAAACCATGGCCAGGCACATAATTTATCATTGTTCTGTCTTTGGTTTGAGTCAGACGCGTAGAAAAGGGGGAATTGGAAAAAAAGCCATATTGTGTGGGGGGGGGGGGGAATCAAATATATATTTTCATTTTCTGTGTTGCGAAATGCGCTGACTCGTCGCACCTAGCCAATCCGCGACTACTGGAGAAATTGAACAGTAATTTCAAAAATTGTACTGTATCATTAGTTAATTTGCCAACATACAAAATAAAAAAACAGTTCAATTATAAGTCCTTACGAAAGTAAACTCGCTCAAACCCATCCTCAGTCCTCCTCCCAATCTCAACAAATCCCATCTTCACATACATCCCCAAATTCTCATACATTTTCACATTCGTAAAAAGCGTCAGCGCCAAACAATTCTGCGATCGCGCGACATCCTCCCCACATTCTAACAACACGCGACCATATCCACGACCCTGGGCAGCAGGCCCGACGACCAAGTTATCGATCTGAACAGAGTGATTATTTCGCTCAACACGCAGTACAATGGATCCAACAATCTCATCATTAATTTTCTCGTCCTTCAAAACGAATATGTCGTGCGTTTTCATAATCTCTTCATAGTTTGCTGACATTGGTGCTGGGGGTTTGCCGATGCGCTCGATGTACTTTGAGTAGGCGGAGTTGACCATTGATTTGATGGATGGGATATCTTGTGCTGTTGCTCTTTGGATGATGAGGCCTGGCCTGGAGGGTTGGGGTGGTATGATCATTTTTATTTCTGGGCGTTGTGTTTGGATAGCTGTAAATGAATGTAGATGAAGGCTGTAACAGTTAGTTACGAAGTACATAAATATGTCATAGATGTGATGCCTGAAGATGCCTCAAAGTCTCCCAAAAACAGTTCCGTAATCAAAGGTGGGGCGATAGCGATTATCAAACTTTCCTGGTTCCGCGTCTCTCTAGTTTGATTTTGAGCTTCATCTCCATTTCTACTCGAATCTCTATCCGCTACGTGATATCAACCATCTAGTATAGTTCACTCCAAGATTTCCAATGATGCTTCATGACTGATGATGTTTAGAACCATCTCAATATCATACCCATAACGCAATGTCCCAGCCCTTCGTTGTTCAGATGCAAGGAGGGGTGAAAGTGTGAGTAATTCAGGACCACTAATATAACATACTAATGCTCTACTGATTAGGTGTAAAGAAGACACGCACGCGGCTATTAGAGGAGACCCTAGAGAGATCCGGGGTAGTGACCCAGCCTGGCAGCGCACCCTGGATACGATGAAGGAACGGCGGAAATTACTGTCAAATCCGGATGCTGGCGAAGATGGAGGCCACCCATGTGTGGGATGCCTGGAGGCAATTACAAGAGCCACAGGGGGCAAGGTTCGATCCCTGATCGCAGAGTGTCCCAGTTCAGACGGGGAGAGAATCACGTCACTCCCATGCGGCCGCTGCGAGGAGCCGTGTTGTCGTTTACACCCTGGGTTATCTACTCGTGAGCTGGACCTTGTGATGAACCACCTTTTGGTGGGGAACAATGCCCGGAATAGCTACGGGGAGAAGGAACGGAAGGAACTGATTCTGCGTGTCTTGGAGCGACACCGATTCTTGGTTGCCAAGGATATCAATGCACAGCACCAGGCGATCGAGGATAAGGCGATGGAGAATTTCCGCAAGAAGTTTGTCTTTCGGGATGATGACACCGCGTGAGCACCAACAACCAGGTAGACCGTGTTGGTTTTTTATGGCCAAAAGAATAAGACGGCTTGAATGATTATCTCGTGCTATTGAAGGGCCCGTGATGTTCGTCGAAACTGACTCTCACTTCCTCTGTACCCGATGCTTCGGAGCTACTGGACGACATTTGAGCAGCCAGATAAGGGCCTACCTGCCTAAATTTGCGTTTTCTATGCTGTTTTCTATCCTTTCCCGAGCTTTTTTTGTATGGCGGGAAAGCTTCAAATTCATGGTTGAATATGATTGGAGACTTACAAACATGAGGGGACTATCTGCTTGGTAGTTGATGTATGAAATCTTCTGCCAGACTTATAAATCAAAATTTTGCATAGTAAACAAAGAGTTGGCCCTCTCGGCCACGGTACTAGCGACGTAAGTAGGCCCACTTGCCGCTCCCGCTCCCGTACCGTCATCAAACTGAACTCGGAAATCGACCAGGTGGTTTTCAAGCGATCTTTAGGACAAAAAGACGAAACAAAGAAATGATGTTGGGTGAGACAAATGCTTTTTTAGAGATAATGTCACTTCAGTCCGACTGGAACACTTCAGAAATGTCGTCGAAGAGATCCCGTGTCTGCGCGGGCTTGGGAATGGCCTCACAATTTCGATTCAAAGGTGCCTTTTTCAATAACGAGATATCAATTTGAGAGATGCACTTGAGTACAGGAAGATAAGTAAAGGAAACTCATACATTGGCCTATAGAAATAATTTAACTGGAGGAGGCCGAAGAGGAGAAGACCCACAGATTCGCTTGTAGACCTATCAAAGGCTGGACCCCCCCCCCGTAGCCCAGTGGTCAAGACCGGAAAGACTTGAATGATGAAACCATGTCATAACTGCACTGCAGGCACTGTGCCCGCGTACCACGGCTGTTCAAGTTCACTAAGCAGGAGGCAGAGCCATCTTCCCAGATTCCCACTTCTCCTGCTTCCTTACCCATTCAGTGATACCACTCGCATGTTCCCCCTTCTGGAAATAAAGCCTCATCTGCATGTCTTTCCCACTTCCCCAAGAAGTCACAGCAACCTAGCTACCAGGAATGCACTCCACGTCTAGCTTTCCCTCGCGCCACTTGCCATCATGAATCATCTCCTGAATGCCCTTGGCAGTGACGAAGAACACATTGATTCCAACTCTATCAGGGCATATATGATAGCTGGTACATGCCATAGCAGCTCGGAATGGCACGGGCTTCGAAGTCGAGCCTGAAACTTTGAAAGCTCCATCGTACCAACCTTTTCCCTCATCGAAACATGTCTTCCAGGATTCGATGGCTATATTGGAAGTATACACTAGAACTAGTGAGAAATAGCTTTTTCAAACGCGGACAACTGACCGTATGCTCAGGCGAGGCGACTTAAAAGTCGTGCATGTAATCGCGGTGCCAGGTCCTGCAGGCCCTAGGTTTGACATTTTCTTCCATCCGGAGCTCTCGTCTATCGAAGAACCTGTAAGCCATTTTCAAAAATAACATCCGAGCAGAATACTATTACCGTTCCAACCATACTCCTGAATCGTGTTGTCAGAAAATTGGCCCCTCTAAGCGGATAAAACACATACTTCACTGAACATGTTCAGCTCCTTACACATCCAAAATGCTTCGTCGTTCATATAGGAGAAACGGCCTTTCTACTTTTAATATCACACAATTACGTTAGCTTCGCCGGTATTGAGGCATTTCTTACAATTAAACTTCGGTAGACCACCCTTACAAAGGCATGCTATCAAATCTGCAGGCGAAAATAGCGCGAATCCAGCGCCGATTCTGCTTAATTGTGTTGCTATACTCAAGGTTTTCTTTCTTAATCCTGACTTTAAATTAGCAAGGGATGAAGTTTACCGAGTATTAAAGCGCGTGATTTATTCCCAAAGTTTGAAAATATAACTCTTATCTTACCATGTTGCTTGAGCCGGTTAGCTGACCTGGTGGCATAAATGCCGCTCCCAAAGAAACTGCCCATTTGACTGTAGATATCGCAGAACAGTTCAGCGAATATACACTATCTTCCCCGATAATTGATTGATTGCGATTAGATAACCGCATGAGAATCTTTCCAGGATAGAAATGATATCAAGATTGGCAGCGTATCATTTCATATTCTCAGTGCTAGCAACGCAATATCGATCGGAATGATTGCCCGTGCGTGGGTGAGTTAATCGAGTTCAATTCTAAGGTTTACGAAGGGAGCTTTAAAAAGGCACTATCTCCCTATCAAGTCAGCGTTTCCAAGGTTGTCTCACTTCCTATGCATTGAGCTACATGATGGTTTCACCAAGAACGAAATTTGAAATTGGAGCGACGACACAATTATTCCAAACCTGCTTTGGAAGAGTGTATTCGAAATCGACGAGAATTTAAGTTATTAATCACCCATATTTAAGGACATCGTGGCCATAATGCAGCTCGTTGTATGGGAATGAGACATTAAGCGCCCATAGAATTAGCTGACGTCAGTCCTACCCAGAGCGCATTGACATCTGTGAGTTGGATGCTGCATTTTAGAAACAATGCATGTCTCATGTGGAGCACCACGCTTTATGTGCCTAAGCTGAATGCGGAAACTAAATCCACGCATTCAAATGTTTGGAGCTTCAAGCTGTTAGATTGTAGTATTCACGTTCGAACCCGAGTTCAATTAGTCAGGGATAAAGAACGATCGAGTGAGATCTTGCTTAGGTCAACATTGTCTCCTGTCATTGGCTGAAATCGGAAAATACAAATCACAGTATGGAGTACTCCATAGACACGTCAGAGATCAAAAACGAAGTGGAGCGCTCCTGCATTATGGATACGGATAGACACGGCGATTTTCCCTCTAAAAATGATGATCAAAAGCGGAACAGCTTTGCAAGGGGGACAACGCGAACACACTCACCCCTTGATATATCACATCAATTAACAAGCTGACCGAGGTCAATGCGGCTCATCATACATATGATTCTGATGCAGAGATGGCAAGGGAGACCTTCGGAACCTTCAACTTTCCAGAACTTGGCGACATTGGCATGGGTCGATCATGCAAATCAGGGGTTTCGTGCGGCGAATAAGTGGGTCTGCATGACTCTAGTTTGATCATTTCGGCCAATCAAGGGATCGGAGACAACAATGCATATCTATTCTGACACTAAATAATGTCCAGGAACCAAATTGACGATCTGTGATGTGATACTTAAAATGTGCATGCTCGCTGGTCCTTGAGCTCGGTAGGTCCTTTCGTGTTGGAACGTCTCAATCATGTTGCTGTCTGCTCCCCGTCTCTTTGTTCCCATGCTTACAGCGTCCCTCTTTTCAGGTATTGCTGTCGCCGATGATGCCAAATTAAGGGCTGAATTGGCTTTGGACGCGCTCCAGGTGTGGTACAATAACTCCACCGGACTGTGGGATACAGTTGGATGGTGGAATGGTGCCAATTGCTTGACTGTGATTGCCGATCTGGCTGCCCTGGATTCGTCGGTCGTGGATACTGCAGACTACGTCTTCAACAATACATACAACGTGGCCCCTGGGTCGAATCCGAACCCCGGACCGGAGGTGAAAACCACAAAACGTGACTTTCTTGCTCCTCGCGCCAATAATGCTGGTAATGCTTCGGATTGGCTCGATTCCGCCTATGACGATGATGGGTGGTGGGTCCTTGCATGGATAGCTGCATACGATGTCACGGAAGAGCCAAGATACCTACAGCTAGCGGAGGGAATTTTCTCGGCATTGGTAAGGAATTTCCTACTCTCTTAGTTTAGCCTTCGCCTTCCCTAAACGGCTCTTAGACAGATGCTTGGGGTACTCGATGCGGCGGTGGAGGTATTCCATGGAATCCTTCCAACACTTACGTTAATGCGATTACAAACGAGCTCTTCTTATCTGCGGCAGCCCATTTGGCCAATCGAGTGCCGTCTCGCAAAAGTTACTATGTCGACTGGGCACAAAAAGAGTGGAATTGGTTCATGGCCCAAGGATTTATTGGGGAGAATAACACAATAAACGATGGACTGCTGGATAATTGCCAAAACAATGGGGCCACAGTGTACGTTGATTGACCTTTTAAACATATTGCTACGATATTCTAACATAATTTCTAGCTGGTCTTACAACCAGGGTGTCGTTCTTGGTGGGCTTGTCGAATTGAACAAAGCAACACCTAACGTTACATATCTGGAATCTGCCAACACACTTGCACAGGCAGCAATTGAAACGCTGGCGGATTCGAATGGGGTACTCCATGAATTCTGCGAACCTAATGATTGTGAGCCAAATGCAACCCAATTCAAGGGCATTTTCATCCGCAACCTGCAGATGCTTCAAAGAGTATCTCCCAATGACAGCTATAGGAAAGTTATCACCAACAGCGCCAACAGTATCTGGGGAAATGACCGCAGTGACCAAAACCAACTTGGTGTTGTATGGTCCGGTCCGGTCGTTAGCACTGTGGATCCTTCTACACACTGCTCCGCAATGGATGCACTAGTCGCAGCTATTGCTGTTCAATAGATGTTCTACCACTTATGATGATCTACATTTGGGAACTTGGGTGCACATAATCTTCGTTGTATATAACTGTTACCCATTATAAACAATTCCCATCGACAATTGAGACCTCTCAGGATGTTGCGCGTGTTTGTCGATGAATTGAAACACAGGCTCCTCGGCACATCCAATCCACTCGGTATATCAATATTGAAAGAAGTTGTGTAGAAGCAGACACCCGGAGCTGTAAGTCCAATCTTGACCAGGCTGGAAATTTTCCAATCCGAATTGGGAGGTTTAGGATAATAATAGCCTTGTCGCTCGGCATACATTGATCACTCTTTCAAAGGACCGCGGGCCAAATTTCGATACTATTCTCCACCAAACTTACGTGTGACCTTGCAAGAGGTATCAGTCTGGTTATGGCCCGATGGTTCATTGTTCAGATTCCTTTTGGAAACTTGATCACCTCCCTCCTGGATGCTTCCTCATCCTGGCCCATATTATTGATAAGCATTTACAGCACTTAGGATTCACCCGTCAAAAGATCTTTAGTAATTGGTATGTCTTGAATGGCAGTGGAGTTCGTACTCGTTCCAGTCCATGAGCCAAGGAATATGTCGTTCAACCACGCCGAATGACCGAAAACTGTGCCACCGGATATATTCAACCACAAATTTAATTCCTGTCCGTTCCCAGTGAATTCACCGCGGTAAATCAATGAGCCAGTGTGGAATCCGTAATCCATAGCATGGAAATTTGTTGGCGTACTTAGATCCCGAGAGTTGTTCGCCGAAGTCTTCGAGCAACTGATCCAGTTCGAATCATCGTACATATGAACGAATCGGTGATTTCTGGTAAGGTATCCAATTATTTCCATTGTTAATCTTGCAGGGCAGGAATATCCAGTTGCGTCGGGTTATATTCCGCCGTGGCAGAAAGTCTGTTTGTCCCAATATTTCAAGTCCTCAACTTATCACCGTTGGAGAAATACCTTTCATATCCTTCGACGTTGACGAAATCAGTTGAATCTCCATCGTCGCGTTGACGTCTCCCGCCAAAAAAAGTATTTTCACCACACAAGCTCGCACTGCGCATCAAATAGTCCGCCTCGACAATGATTAGATCTTTGGACGGCGAAGAAAAGTTCCCGATCGCTTCTGGTGCAGTAACCTCCATCGACCAATTTTTCTACGCCTTATTCTGCCAGAGTAGATAAACATCCAGGCCCCCAAACTGAATGATGTAACGATCCGACTTCGCCTCCCACTATATCACCCAGACCAATTCTTTCGGGCGAATCATAATTCCACTTCCCTGAACCACAGTCGGATTTCCAAGGTGACGAGAAAAAGCAAACTCGTGTGTTTCACCTGCTCCACCATATAAGATCACACGTGTTGATCCGGACCCCCGAGCCCAAGTCCAAATTTCTGCTGAGTAGATCCAATATGTGCCGCTGGGATCGTAATTTGTGACAAGAAATTTGAAATTGCGACCATATAGAATCAATCTGCCACCCAGCGGGGGGAGAGTAACATTTCAAACATTTCTGGGCAAGGTGATAGTATACTCTGTGTTGTTTGTGGAACTGAAGTCGGCGTGTCGAACGACGTAGAAGTTGGTATATGTACCATTCACTAGCAGCGGAGTTACTGCAATTGAAGCCGAGGCTCCGTGGTATTCAGCAACTCCTATTCCTGAAGTTGTTGTCAGGTACATGTGAGAAAGAAAGGATTAATTAGCAACTTTAGGACATGGTCGGTGGGTCTTTTGAACCCTTTAGCCCCCGCAGCCCCACGATCTACTCCAGGGTGATCTCCGGGTAAATACGACCCCGCAAAATAGCATGAAGAAGCGTCATCGCTCCGTCTAATGGAGACTCAGACACATTTGAGCGTTCTTGAAATTTTATCTTGTTAATAGATGGCTAGCTCAAACAGCCTTGAAATCACCCTAAGTAGTGTGAGTTCCTCAATGATGTTTGTGCCAAAGATGGCCTCTCTGGCCTAGAAGCCCTTCATAGAATATCTCTCCGCGATTAGCACACGGGACACAATCCCAATACGTAAATAATGAACATCTAACCATAAATTATGTCGGTACCGAGCGAATAAGAATTATAATTGGTGATCAAGCGATTACCACTAGGATGTGGCTAAACCATGACATCATGGTTCAATCACTTTCCCATCCTCCTTCCTCCCCGCATTCATTCTCTTACCATCCGTAGCATTGAACAAATATCTTTTGAATTATTTCGATTGTTTACATACAAAAATGAATCCTCATATTAAACCAGTTATTTTGCACGCCCACGCCAGCGGCCCGAATCCCGTGAAGATCGCAATCGCATTGGAAGCTCTGAAGGTTCCATACATCGTCAAGCAATGGGACTTCAGCGATAACCCAGAGACCGGGGTGAAGGGAAGTAAATATCTCCAGATCAACGAAAATGGTCGAGTCCCAGCGATCGAGGACCCCAACACTGGAGTTACCGCCTGGGAATCAGGTGCATGCATGAACTACATTCGTCGAGTATACGACCTTGGAAACGTGATCGGACCTCCTGGTAGCTCAGGCCAGGATCTGGTTGATTTTGAGAAATGGGAGTACTTCCTCTTGTCGACACTCGGTCCGATGACGGGACAGGTAAACTGGTTTAGGTAAGTGGGTGGACTGACTAGCGAATGCACTATCTGATTCTGGTAGACATTTCCATCCGCAGCAGAATGACGACGCGTTGAACAGATATGTCGCTCAGACTTATCGGTGCTATGATGTCCTGGAAGGCCAGTTGAAGAAATCGGAAGGAATGAGTATCTTGCCGAGTCAAGTCACTGCTGTTGATTTCCATTTCGAACCTTGGGTGAAACAGCATTCATTTGCGGGTCTCTCCCTAGACAAGTATCCTTTGATTAGGAAGTGGCTTGGGCTGATGGAAGCTCGAGAGGATGTTCAGGAGGCTTACGCTAAGATTCAAAATAGTCTAAAGAAATAGGCAACTCGAGTGCTTCCCATTCCTATTGCCGTGTGGCCATGTTATATGAAAAATACATTGACTGAGTACCTATGAATCTATAATACCCATGTAGTTAACTAGCACCTAGGTAGTCTTATCCTCCGATACTAGCCCGTCAACAATGCCTTCGGAACAGCAACTAGATACCGCAACAAAGCTTTCCCATCATGAGACCGTCCCGGCATCTTATTTCCACGAACATTAACCTGCAGAGCCTGATGACTCGTAGCCGGCTCAGAAAGAACAAACTCCGTCTGACACCTTCAAATGCTTATTCGTGGCTTTTTGCACAGCAACAGAACCCCCCGCCACGGGATCACTCGCAGATGCTTCATTGGTAGGCGGATAATCATGTCCAGGAACAGCATCATCGCGTCCGGGAAACTCAAAAGCCACTGCATAGACCTCCACAACTTCCGAGCGTCCCCAACGGAAAAATCACACCGAGCACTCCCAACAACCAGCTTGAAGACGCTGTCGCCAGTGAACACGTTGGGACCGATACGGTACACAGCGTGCTCTGTTGTGTGTCCAGGTAGCCATATCGCCACAGCTGTTAGCTCACCGATGCAGAATGTCTCGTCGGGGCGGAAGAGATGATCAAAAGGAGTTCTCGAGTTCTTCTTTTTGAATATTGAATTTGTGGGCGCAGAAGCTTTGTACGACTGTGAAGTTGTCTCCGATGCAGATTGTGTGTGGTTGGCCTTTTGGCCAAAGTGTTGCTTGGATGTAGTATGAGGCTGACATATGGTGTGTGTGTGCGTGTGTTTCTACGTAGTGAGTGAGCTTGTAAACCTTTTTGTGGATCTTCTTGAGAATTGCATCGGCGGAGTGGGTGCTGACAACATTTGAATGAAGTTGCCAAGGTTAAAGTCTAGGACTGGGCCGATGATCGCATAGTCTTTTGTGCTAGGACATGCGAAAATATACTGCCAGAGCATGTTTTCGATTCGCAGATTGGGTGTAACTAATCCTATCTGTTTTTCGAATAATAGAACTTTGGGGAAATCACATATCATTCTGGTGCTAAAATCCATTTTATAAATCCATTTCATTTGACACGAAGGCCTGATTCCCCTCATCTTGCCATGGTAATGACTGTAGAAACAAATGCTGCGAATATTAGACTCTTTGCCGTAATCATTACCGTAAAACTCTTCTTCGTGTGCAGATAAAGGCACTGCAGAGAAATGCGGTAAAATCCAGGATGTAGTCAATTCATTTTCAATACCTCTGGAATCATCGGTTAAATTCCAAGGGCCACGTTGAACAAACCTTTTTCCAAGTAACAAATCCACCCAACATAAACCCAATCCCCGGCTTTAATGCCTCGCAGTTCTTTGAAGCATACAGTGAGCACAGTTGAAGTTGCTCATCAGTAAGTAAAGGTTGGCCATTAAAATTTAGCGGCGTTGGATTTGAGAGCACTTTACAGTACGTAGACCATGTTGCTCGGCGATTGGCTTTGGAATGATTCGCCACTGATAGATGACTGGTCGTCATGATCGTCAAGTTCATCATGATCATGGTCTCCATTGATTCCGTCAGATTCGGATTGCTCAACAGGTGTGACCCATTGAGAAACATGGAGATCAAGTGTGTGCGTGCGGTGGTTAAAACGGCATTGCCAGCTTTTGACGGCCTTGCAGTTAGGCTTTTGGCAAATGTGACCCATATAGCACTTGATGGATCGACAAGCTCCAGCCTTTGAGCAAGGATGCTGGAGGAGGATATATCTGAGCACCTCGATTACGGTACTAGAGACGTCACTGTGGTCATACTGACAGCTCATATCACCGCATTCGCCGGAGAGGTGATAGCTATTGCACACTCTATGTTCCTTGGCTCTGCGATGATATTCATCAAAGGCGTCAGGGGATGGGTGAGGGCAATACGGGTCCAGGCGGTCGCCATCTTTATTGATAGGGATAAATTCCGCGGATTTGAGACTTTGCGGCGGCAGAGTGGTAGTGAGGAACTCTAGCGTGCGACCTACAACTGTTGGAGAAGACCACAATTGCTTAGGCGATGGAGCCTCCGAGTCTGCTGATTTAGCCAGTTGTTGATTGGGCATCACATGTTGCTTATTGCAACCAACACCAAATTTGCATATTCCCTAATAAAGTATGAGCATGGATGGATGGTTTCGGTAGTAAATAGGGGTTACCTTTTGGAAATGTTTGCAAATCGGCTTAGTACCGTTCACTGTATTATTGACCTTGGTATTGATCGGCTGGACTGCTGCAGCTGGCTTTGTGGGAGTTAGGGGTGTAGACATGAACACAGAGGGTAGTTCTCTAATTGGTAGGTTTAGGTCCTCAAACTCTCGGTGGAAGTTGGCCGCCTTGATGAGGGTAATCCGGTCACTTCCCCTGTATGGAGTCAGCAAGGAGCCGAAGCCGGTGTCGTGACAGCCTGCAAAATAAATGTGACGGCATTGCTGAAGATCCACAAACAGGCGAAACATTTCTATGACAAGCATTAGCATGGTATGGATTGCGCGGAAAAGGATGAGTGCATACCTCTAATTTTGAAATCGCTGCCCTCTTTTTTCTCGGCAGCATCAACGAAATCGAAAAGATCCTGAGCGCGAGTGAAGGATGACGTAAAGGGTGATAGAGAGCGAGCTTCATGCCCAACCATTCCAGCGCGAGCGAGGACCTTAGACAGTCCAAGCATATTGGCATAGACGCGAACCATGATTCGACATGATTCAGCTTGCATTCCCATTGTCGAATGCATTAGTTCCCTAACGGAGTCACTCAGCTCGCGGGCGGCCTTGATACCACCCTCGCTGCCCGCCTTGAGGAAATGCTCTTTGAACTGAGAGGTTTTTGATTAGCTCAATGAAACGAAATATAAAAGTATGAATGGACATGGAAACTTACAAGGTATCCATCTCCATCTACAAGCACTAGGACGAATGGGTTACGGTCCTGACAATTATGGTTAGTAGCTTATCCTGGGATGTTTAGGCGCCCGCTAGCTTACCTGACCCCGAGCCTGTCTCTTGTACTTCTCCCGACCTTCCTTGACTTCCTCATAATCACTCTTCAGAGAGCTGTAGTCGTCCAGAAGATCCTTAAACTGGGTAAGCAAGGCTTGCAAGTTCTCATGGTTGCGTTGATTTTCCCGGGACAAAGATGCAAGGTGATTGTTTAGGGAATCTATATCCGATTCCCTCAGCATCGTGAACTTAGCGGGAAGGCCTCCGCCTATCCCATGTAATGAACAAATTCAAGAAAGATTGGGAACATGTAATTTCGCTCAAAAAAGAGATAAGGATCGACAAGAATGGTGGAATGTTGATACGTGGGGAAGAGGAGAAACTAAATTTGAGCTGTGTTGGCAGAAGCGGTCAATCAACAGTGGGGTATCATCACCTGACTCGCGTTCGCGCATGTGCAGTTTCATCTTTGCAATCTTCCGCTCCTCGCTTCTTGTTTCTACGGAGAATCACAAAGAAATACGCGTTGTATTACATACTGGCTTTCGACAAAGCAATGGCACCAAGCCCAGATTTACGCTGTCTGCGATGCGGGTAGAATCAGTGGGATCAACAAACTGAATTATCCGGATTTGGGGCCTTGGCCACGCTGTTTCATGCAGACTTTTTGTCATCCTTGCTTATGCAGTCTCTTTAGAATCTGGTAGAAAGTCGTTTGGACTTCTTTTGCTCTAGGATCCTCTCTCAATCGAATATGTTGAGTCATTTTCGCGGCCACATCTGTGAAGCCACAAACACATTCGGCATCCCTCGGCCTTTTACCAATTCATGCTTCCACAATCTCCCCGAGTCCTTTACACCCCGTTCTTTCGCCCATCCTGCGAACAAAGACTAAAAAATACCCCGCGACTACATTGCCACGGGTGGATAGCTCGCAAGCGCTATGTCCTCGTGAAAGACCGGTCGCCTGCGTCAGGCCTGTCCGTGGGATTTGGAATTACATCCAAAGCCTGGACCTGAATATGCTGCACATTAGAGCAATGCCCTCTCTGGTCAGTTCTATCGGTGTGGTCCAACAAGCCTCTCTCGCTTGAGATACGTGTTGGTCCCTAGTGACACGGCCTGGCTCCATGCAGCCGGGTCTCCAGGGCATCAATGGCGTATGCGCGTGGCTTGATAGTAGCAGGTACAGACAGAGAGTAACACGGCCTCATGGCGATTACGGCACCATTTCGAGGATATGCTACGGGCGCATATCCATTGATCCCAGGTACTTGAGCGAAGGTGGTGAGATTATTTCATGATAGAATAGGAAAGCTTACCAGCCCAATGATCCCATTTTCCTTCGAATCCAATTACTGCTGGCTGATTCTGCCATAAATTACTTTAATTTGCAAATTCAATTTCTTAAATGGTCCTGATTTAGTCTGTCTACTCTTCAGCATTAATTGAAACCTTATTCGGGGCGTTAACACGGCTCGCGTTGCCTCGGCTTTCGAACATTCACGACATGTCTTTCCCCAACCCAATTCAGGCAAGCAGAATGCTCAATCTATCCACGCCACGTGAAGAAAATTGACAAATGATCGGCAGCCAATGACTTTCATGTTGCACAAAATATTCAAATTGGAAATTTGGTTCCAAATCAGCCTCGGTACACACATGATCCATAGGAGATCGTCGCCCTTGCCATAAAATAAAACAACTAGTACACCCCCGCATGGAATCTGCGAACGCACGCCAGCGTTCTGCGATCGCGACAATGAGAGTCATTTTGTTCTCTCTGAGCGCCTTTGTGTTCTATGCAATCTTCTATTTCTCTCATGTAAACGGGCTCAATGAGCTAAGCCTCAAAGCCATAGCATCCGGCAAGCTTCCAGGTCTCGACGAACCCCTGCGAACCGTTTATACTGGTGTTGAGCCCATTGATCGTCTCCTCACCGTACTCACAACCTTCTTCTATCCGGCTCTGGATGGACAGAGCTCCACCCTCCTACTTCACAGTATAGGGTTCTCTGGCACGTTTGGAGCCGCATGGACTCTTGTTGTGCTCGAGTCATGGCGCAGAGGAAATGCAGGCACCATCGCAGCATTTCCTGCAGTTTTCGGTCTAGCAGCCCAAGTCCTGACCTTTGCATTCGCAACTCCCTTGATCTGTGCCCTCCAACTAGGATGCTCGGTCACCGCGCGCCGCCCCCACGCGGATAACATTCGGGTCCCTCGCGTCGTGCTAGCGGTTCTTCCAGCTGTGTTCGTGATCGGTTTCCTCGTTCCAACGAACTTGATGGTTCTCCCCGCACCGGCCGTGATCTCCTCGGACTGGAAGCAGATTGCAATTGCATCGTGGCACCCCTGGCCTGCATATGTGTCCTTCCTCACAACTGCGGCCTACTATGTTCTCGGTCCATTCTTTACGAAAAACCAACGAGCATCGATATCCGCTTTGCGATGGGTCTACGCGTCTGCATTTATTCATGCTGGACTGAGCCACCTCGTGACTTTGATTGTTTCGGTTGCGACAGTCGTGGCCCCTGCTTTGTTTGATGCTCGCTTCGTTGATTCTCTACATCCGTCCAAGGTGTATTCTTTCCCCGTTCCTTGGTCCGGGTTGACGGTCAACACAGTCGCAGAAGGTGTGCATGTATTTTTGCGTTGGGACTATATGATTGGGTCAGCAGGTATTCTCTTGTGGGCCTTGAAATTGCACACCGTCGCCCACCGACAGATTTTGAGCTCTATTTCTTGGACCAGCCTTCTATTCAAGGTGGCTTTGTTGACGGCTCTTAGTGGGCCGGCTGGTGCTGCTGTTGAGTTGATGTGGGAGCGTGACGAGTTAATCTTTGCTGAGACTGGCCCGAGGCAGCAGATTACCAAGGGCAAGAAGCTCTCATAGTAGACTTTACGGGGGTCCAGTTCAGCCTAATGTTATTAGATGAGCCTACTTCAGCATTTGCCTCGTGGCCTTTCATATATCGACAAATTGATGTTTTTACCTTAAGAGGTCCACCTACATATCAATTCGACAAATTTATTCAATGCTACGTGATAAAATGGGACCTAGAACTATCGGAAAAGAGCATCATGATACAATGGTATCATTTGTTGGGTTATGTATCAGGACTGACAAGTCCATGCTAAGCGTGAACTGCCTGCATGGGCGCTGGGCGTCAAAAACCAGAGGGACGTGACACGAAAACTCCAACAGACTATGAGACAGACAGATTCTTTGAAATCTCATAAATCGCTCTGACGTATGCCTCAGTATTCGGATTTCCCATAGTTCCGTTTTCGCACATGTTATTCATCGCATACCCGATCGTCATCCGTCGATCGAGATCCATCTTCACGGTGGTCAAAGTCAGCGGGAACCATATCAGCAAGGTAGGAAACGAGAAACAACTCACGATCAAAATCGACCCTCCCCAGCCGGTCCACACAGCGACGTTCCCCTCTGGAATCCAAGCACGAGTGCGATAATCCGCCAAACTCACCCCGAGAGCGAAGCGAATATATTGACCAAGGACAAGATCGTACCCTGCAACCTGCTCTTCGAGGAATTTGTCGATCGTAGTACGATCCACGATGCGATGTTCATCAACAGTGCCACTGAGAGACACAATTGAACCGATACGGGCCAGTGCACGCGCATTGCTGAATCCATTGGTGGCACCGACCACAGTCTTCCTGAACGCAGGCGTCATTGAAACCTCCGCGGGAAACGGGGATCCCATAATCGCTCGAACTGGAATGCCAGTGGGATCAAGGTTCTCAATAGGCGGAGACGTAGATGGGATGATTTCCGCCGTGCGATACCACTGATCCTCCGGAACTCCATACTGAAAGTCGGCATCCAACGGACAGGCGATCTCGTCCGCGACAAACTGTTCCAGGGACTTCCCACTGATTCGGCGGATAATCTCACCAACCATATGGCCTTGATTAGCAAGGTGGTAGCCGCTGCTCGAACCAGGGGTCCACCAGGGGGCTTGTTTGGTAATCCTCTCGGTAGCCGCCTTGTTATCACAGAGTTCTTCGAATGTGACGGGGAACTCCCAGGCGGGAAGACCAGACGAGTGGCTCAAGATATGGGAGACTTTGATGTTCTCTTTTCCATTAGCTGCAAATTCGGGCCAGTATGTCGCGACTTTTTCGTTCACGTCGAGTAGGCCACGATCGACCAGGAGCATAGCTGCTAGGTTGGTGACGATCTTGGAGCAGGACCAGACAGCTGTTATGGTGTCTTTTTCCCAGGGTTGAGTCTTGGCCACATCGGCGTGGCCCCCCCACAAGTCAATGACATTCTTTCCATCGATGTTGACGCACAGCGACGCGCCTAGTTCGTCTCCTGAAGAGACTCGTTCCCGCAGAAGCGCCCGCACTGGGTCGAATGCGGGGTCGTTTGTTCCGTGGATCTTCGTCATAGTGGAGACCTTGGAACTTTGGAATTAAAAAACTCAATTGCGTGAATGATGAGTGATAGGTAATGAGTGGTGAGAAAAAAAATGATCACTTTACATGAGTCGAAGCAGGCAGCTCTTATGAATTTCTGTTCATTTCAGTAGTGTAAACCGTGCACTTTCCGCACGTTCTCCACTTGTAAGCACTATATCTCGTTCGTACACAGGTAAGAGCCCTAACACGGGAGATAGCATTTCAGAAGCTGATATTGAATTTTTAATTCTTCCATATTAAAGCGAGCTATGGATGTAGAAACTTTCATGGAAAATCTCTTGTAAATTTGGTCGTCCCAGGTACGTAAAGGGATCAACACATGTAGATCCATGGATTACCCAAAGTGGAAATTCGCCACGGGAGTAATTTCGATCTCTACGACCTTGTCTGGTGATATCACGCGATTTTGAAAAACATGCCGATATCTGCAATGTTTCTGCTGCTGCCTTTCATGCGATCTCAGACTGAGATTAGCCTGCCATAGCCCGAATATGAAACAAGCTGAAGCTCTGGCTTTTTGGTGGTTTCGGCCCGGTCGGGAAACTCCCAGATGATGACGATCTATACTGTGGAATAAGCTTCCTGGAACCCGAGGTTTCCGTTGAAAATCCAAGTGATGAAGTCGTGACAATATTTTTCTTTCAAGGATTTCAACAGATGCAAATTTCATTGAAAGTCCCCTTTGCCTCTCTTTTGGCATTTGCCTGATTGTACATTCCCAGGTCATGGAACCAAACCACCCCTCTCGTCAAGACTCCCATACCTCTACGACAAGTGATGATGACGAATTAGCCACCTATACTACCGGACAGGATCGTCGAAGCTTGAACGATGACTTGGAGACGGCAACTATCACCAGACGGCCGACTGCCCTCCAGGAAGTTGAGCTCGAGCGCATCCAGACCTATCGCCTTCAACACAAGTCAACGGTTGGATCTGGAATCGGAAAAGTCCCCCGCGAACAATGGCTGCCAATGGGAGCAGGAAAGCCATTCCCTCCAGATCTACCCGATCCAGAACAATTCGTCGTGGAATTCACAGGTGTCGATGATCCTCTACATCCGCAAAATTGGTCACTGGCGAAGAAGATCACCATTTCAGTGGTTTTGGCGTACACAACCTTCGTCGCATCGTTTTCCAGCGCGATTTTCTCCGCCGGTATCAGTGAGATCGACAAAAGGTTTCATATCAGCAGTGAGGTTGCCACCCTGGGTGTGACGCTATATGTGCTGGGGTTCGCGTCCGGGCCTACTTTATGGGCACCGGCGAGCGAATTGATTGGCAGAAGATGGCCAATCTGTGTCGGCATGTTTGGATTCTCGATCTTCACGATTGGGACAGCGACATGCAAAGACGTGCAGACACTCATGCTGACTCGGTTCTTTGCGGGATTTTTCTCAGCAAGCCCGATTGCCATTGTCCCGGCCGTCTTTGCCGACATGTATAATAATCAGACTCGCGGAATTGCAATTGCGATGTTTGCGATGGCGGTGTTTGTCGGCCCCTTTGCATCCCCGTTCACCGGTGGCTTTATCACCGACTCATACCTTGGTTGGAGATGGACGATGTATATCGCCAGTATCATGGGGTTTCTGGCAACCGGGCTCTGTCTTGTCTTTCAAAAGGAGACTTATGCCCCAACCATCTTGGTCGAAAAAGCCGTCACACTCCGCAGGCAGACGCATAACTGGGGTATACGTGCGAGACAGGAGGAAGTTGAGCTGGACTTGCACGAACTGATTACTGTCAACTTTAGTCGACCATTTCGCATGCTATTCACCGAGCCGATTGTGTTTCTCGTGCGTCACTCCTCCTCAAGGAACAAACAAGAGCCACTTAGCTGACACTTATTAGATTTCCCTTTGGATGAGCTTTGTATATGGCTTGATCTATGCTCTCCTCAGTGCATATCCTGTCGTCTTCCAAGAAATTCACGGAATGAACCTTGGTGTTGGAAGCCTTCCCTTCATTGGTCTGATTATAGGCGAGCTCTTTGCTGGAGTATATATTTTGTATGATCAAAAGTCATACTCAAAGAAGTTGGCCGCCAACAATAACGTCCCCATTCCTGAATGGCGTCTTCCACCATCCATCGTCGGAGGCGTGTTCTTCACCGTGGGACTTTTCTGGTTCGGTTGGACAGGATGGACTAAATCGATCCATTGGATGGCCCCAACAGCAAGTGGTGTGATCACTGGCTTCGGAATCTACGTGATCTTTCTGCAGTGCTTCAACTATCTGATTGACTCATACTTGACATTGTAAGTCATTCTGAATCTGAGTCCGATTCACACTGACCATAAAATTAGTGCCGCGTCAGTCTTTGCTGCAAATACCATCATCCGTTCATCGGTTGGAGCGGCATTTCCTCTCTTCTCAAAACAAATGTTCAACAATTTGGGAGTCCAATGGGCTGGTACTCTCCTTGGATGCCTTGCTCTTATCATGGTCCCTATTCCACTCTTATTTATCAAAGTCGGGCCTGCCTTGCGAAAGAGGTCCAAGTTTGCGCCGACTGGGGACCCGCGCCCAACGACGCCGGTTGAGAAGAATGAGCGGGCGAGTGTATAGGGCATCCCGCATCATATTGCTATCGCTATCACTTGCGTGAGGGTGTCAATGACACAGACACCTGAGTGGTATTTCATCGGAGAGTCTCACAAAAGTGGCAAACCCACTCCGGGCCGATCGGATTCTGCCGATGTTATCAGTTGGACCCTGTGAATCCCCCAATGTAAGATGTCTGAGATGAGCCAAGACGTCCTGTGATCTTGGCAAGTCAGCATCACGATTAGACAAAGGCCGGTGCATTGTATATTCTGGAATTTTAGGACGTATTTGGGATGCACACGAGATATCAATTTAGTTCTAATTCATTAAACATCAACCATCAAATTCCATTTTCAGCATGGGACCCACTAACAATAGTTGCCGAGCCAAAGACCATGGCAAAGTCATGTCGGCAAAGAAGCGTCCAACCTGAAATTCTCCGGCTGAAAAACCAACTCGCCAAGCCTGCCAAGGGTCTTGGGAGGCGGAGATGATGAGAATCAAATTGCCAATGAATTTTTTTTTCTTTTGATTCTTATCAGAGGTCTTTGGTTGGTGGAGAGAGGAGTTGTTCTTTTAATTTCATTTTATTTGAAAGGCTTGAGTCCCATTCCACTGCTCGAAATCCCAGCGCAGTACTGTGTCGCAACGACAACAGTGGTTTATACCCTGTATTTTCGAAGCACGTAATAGCTGTTTGCTTGCTAGAATGGGGTTCAACAGCTGGATTCACGATACCAACCTCCGGGTTGCTCAAAGCCCTGTAGGAAGATGGTTTCGATTGGAAAACTCCGGGCGTGTAAGTTATTTCGGCAAAGACAACATCGAAGTTTACTGGGATTGACAACCATATTCCACAGCCTAGAGAGAGAAAGGGTAGCTTTTTCTTCACTGAAATGCGTGCGGGTCTTGCAACTTTCTTCGCGATGGCCTATATCATCTCCGTGAATGCGAATATCACTTCCACGACTGGCGGCACATGTGTCTGCCCCGAAGAAAGCATGTCAGACTACTGCGCCACGAATACCGAATATCTTCTCTGCGTACAAGAAGTGAAGCGCGACCTGGTTACCGCAACTGCCGCAATCTCCGCCCTCTCAACATTCTGCATGGGTCTTTTCGCCAACCTTCCAATCGCTCTCGCGCCGGGAATGGGCTTGAATGCGTATTTCGCTTACACAGTTGTCGGCACACATGGATCTGGCTTGATTCCATACCGCGTGGCTCTAACGGCTGTCTTTGTCGAGGGCTTTGTCTTCCTAGGCCTGACTCTGTGTGGTATGCGACAATGGTTGGCTCGTGCACTCCCTGCTTCGATCAAGCTAGCCACGGGTGTCGGAATTGGATTATATCTTGCCCTCATTGGTCTCACCTATAGTGCTGGCATTGGCCTAATACAAGGTGGAGTTGATACCCCCATCGAACTAGCCGGGTGCGCGGATCAGTACTTTGATTCAGATACTGGGCTTTGTATCAGCAGCGAAAAGATGCGCAGCGCAACAATGTGGGTTGGCATTTTCTGTGGCGGATTCTTGACTGCGCTGTTGATGATGTACCGTGTCAAGGGTGCTGTCATCATTGGTATCCTGCTTGTCTCGATTATCTCATGGCCCCGGACGACTCCTGTGACTTACTTCCCCTACACCGACTTGGGAACGAGTATGTTTGACTTTTTCAAGCAAGTTGTGACATTCCATCCTATCAAACACATCCTATCTGCTCAGCAGTGGGATATCTCCGGGCACGGATCACAGTTCGGTCTTGCATTTATCACATTTTTGTATGTTGATATTCTGGATACGACTGGTACCATGTACTCCATGGCTCGATTTGCAGGTGCTATCGATGAAAAGACCCAAGATTTCGAAGGAAGTGCTATCGCCTATGTAAGTTCCTACTACTTTCGAAACGAACCTTCCAAAAAGCTAACATTCTCCAGATGGTTGACGCAATCTCCATCTCAATCGGATCTCTCTTCGGCAGTCCCCCCGTGACGGCATTTGTCGAATCTGGCGCCGGAATTTCCGAAGGTGGAAAAACAGGCCTGACATCCTGCATGACGGGTATCGCATTTTTCATCTCTGTCTTCTTCGCTCCGATCTTCGCTTCCATCCCTGCTTGGGCAACAGGTTGCACGCTCGTGATTGTCGGTGCACTCATGGCCAAGTCCGCTGCCGATATCAACTGGCGATACTACGGCGACGCGATCCCGGCATTTTTGACCATCGCCATCATGCCTTTCACGTACAGCATTGCGTACGGTCTGATTGCGGGTATCCTCAGCTATATTCTTCTTAACTCGATTGCTTGGATTCTTGAAAAGGTCAGTGGAGGTCGGATTGTTCCCCCAAACAAGGATGAATCGGATCCCTGGTCTTGGAAACTTCCTGGAGGTGTCTTACCTCCATGGGTTAAGCGTGCTGCACGGGGTCAGAAAGACTTTTGGCGGCGGGATGAAGAGAGTCAGGAGTTGGAAGAATCTGGATCTTTTAGTTCGTCACAGCAGGAGCGTGTCGCTATTGAAAAGGGCCAGAGCTCTGGAGCAAGAACCGAGTAACGCTCTCGGGACGATAATGGCCCCCAGCCAGTGCACATAGTATTATATGCTTGAATAAATTATTGTTTCTGCTATTCGCAGTTTACAAAATCTTCATACTCCGCGCTCTATTCTTTGCCCAATTTTTATTTTCTTCGAAATGACCCTTGGCCCCGAGGTTGTTTTGAATTTGAACTGATATGGGAAACGCTGTGTTGCAAAACTTCAAGTACATGTTTATAGAATCTGCAGCTCCGAGTATCACTAGAGCAACCCCCAAGCAATTTATTAGGTCATGATATTAATATATACATTCACCTCAAGCTATCTGTGCATATATTCCGAGTGAAATGCCTTATAGCCACTGTCTGATCGTATCATCTGGTCCGAATTCTCACTGGCAATAACACTGTGGCGATAATAATTACGTGCCTCCAAAAGCCGATCCCCAATCCAGCCCCTGTAGATAGGATCATTTGTCTCAATCGCTGCCATCTCGAGTCCCCACGAAAAAGGAGACATGTTCCTTTTATTGTGGGCAAAGGCCTCATGTGCAATATGAGGTATGGTAGAGAGGGCTTCGAAATGTGAAACCTCCATTGGGCTGTCTTCGTATAGCATGCGCCGATGAAATAGCATAAGGCCTGAGTAGTACACCACCGCGAGCTGGGCTGTATAGAGAGCCCGTTCCACAGGAGCACGGTAAGGTCGCTTTGCCATAATAAAGATGTCGTCGTAATTCTGCTTTTTGTAAGAACATACTATCGTAACTTAGGGTTGACAAATGGACAGAACTGACCTGTCTCATATGCTGCAATCGACAAAAAATATCATCCTCCGTAAGAGGCAACTTTCTGTGCTCTAGATCCGGTGTAGACAACATCTGACACACCCTGGAACGGAGTGAGAAAGATTCGTGTAGTAACTCAAGGCTGCGATAGTTTTCCAAGTCGTCCAACCATTCGTCTTGTGGGTACTCGCTCCCCCAGCACTGCAAATGGGCCCGTCGGGCATTTCGGACAAGGAAACAGTCAGGACTTCTGACAGAATGATATAATTTAGTGATAAAGCTGTCTGGGGCGGTGTGGAGACCGCTTCCGAGACTAATGTAGCTGCCATAAAGTCATTTTGTTGTCCGGGTATGAAATTGGGTGGGATTGGTAAATAAGCCTCACAATATCCAAACCAGCAGTAGTGCAGAGAGAGAGGAGAACGGCTGAATCTCGGATTCAGCCACCCCATTCTCATGTGATGGCAGCGAATTATTTCCGCCGAGGGCTGAAGAGTAATTTCCAGACTCCAGCAGAGCTTCAACACCCTTCAGGTGAATCGTAATATGTTGATTGGAATAACCAAGCTTCAACTCATAATGTGCCATCAAGAAGAGACAAGTGAGGCTTGAGTCCAAGTCTGGCTTCACATCTTGATCGAGCAAGAGATTCAACTCGTTGAGTGCAATGCCATAATTTCGAGCCGCATATTGCGAGGCCGGACGCAAATATGAGTGCCCCAAGTTCTGTAATTCACTCGCCGACGAAGCAATTATCATGTACATTATGGCTGCATTCCGAGGAGCCAGTTTATGGTAGATATATGAGAGACAGCTCCATTTCCAGGGCTTTCCGGTCCAAGCGACAAGGTTCGAAGAAGAGAAGTATTCTAGACACTGGCGGTCTGTCGACGAAAGAAGTAAAGAGTTCGCACACGGAATATGGCTAGTATCCAATACTGGGAGTATTGGCCCTAAAAGAATTGATCTCAAAATGAGCATCTGGTGAAGGGACTATGCTGTAACGAGCGCACCTAGGATCCCCAGACGAGAGGGGTGACTCGGGAGGACCTTGGGTCTTATTGGCCGCGGGTGTGCAAACCTGTGTGCCGGTAGACTGTGTGACTTAGTCTGCTGAGGTATTCGCATTGTCCGTTGCTTCCGGATATGAGGAATCCAGCTGCACGATAGAGTCAAACGATGACAGGTACTGCAGATTGGACGCCGTTCATCGCATTTTACCTTGCGTTCTCGACAGGTGGTGCAACCTGTCCTTGATCTTTGTGGCATGGATTGCGTAGTTTTCGCGACGAGGAAAATATAACGTTTTGGTGCGTATGCAGTCAAGAGGGGGAAGAATCATTGAAGTGTAATGACGCTCAAGTAGTAGACCAAAACATGTGGGGTTGTGGATGTGGAGAAAGAAGAAGAGAGAAAAGAAGCGTGTACGAAGATAAGCCTCATGAACCGAAACGAGACTAGTTGCGGGGAAATGTAAACGCAGCGATAAGCGTTCTTCCCTGATTGGCCCATGATGGACCGACTTCCGTCTTCCTGAACCAGGCTACGGCGTACATTTCGATCCGTTTTAATGTAGGCTGGAAGATACGCTAGAGTTTAAACACAAGGTTGACAAGGCCAGCAAAACACGAGAAACAGACAAATGAATGATTGATCACAGACTATATAAGGCGTTAAACAGACCTTGACGAGGCTAAGTCTGAATGATTGAGCACTACGTAAGGTCCAAACCAAGATCATATGACTTTTCTTATGTTCTGGCCATCTCCTTTTGCCAATCGGAGTACACTGCCTGGAACACTTCATCTTTTGTGGCTACATCAAATCCTACCAGCGCCAATGTCTTGCCAGTAATGATTGCACTTTCATAAGCTGCATCAGTTCCTGCTGCATCAGTGAAGTTGGCACTATGAGGTGATACCCCTTTTGCGCATGGAATTCCAAACAGAGCATGCAATGCCGGAACGACGTAGCCGACATTTCCTTCCGATAATTAGCATCATGATTTGCGAGGTATATTGGAGTAACATACCGACGTCGGATGAGCCCGAGGCAACCTGATCCCGAATTTTCATGACACCCTTCCCATACGCCGCGATATTTTGCTGATACCTCTCACACAGTGTCTCATTCACAGTGACATCTGCATAGTATGGTTCTCTATTTTCAATTCATCAGCGCCCGTGAATTTCAAGTCCGTCAGGCGTGTAAGGTGAACATACTTCTGAATATCAACCTGACACCCCGTTGCCGTTGCTGCAGCCTTCGCGCAGTTAATGACCCGCTCCACTAGTGCTTGTAGTCCATTGAGATTTAGACTGCGGGCCTGAAGTGCCACCCGCGCCTGAGCTGGGATCACGTTGATAGTCTTCTCGCCATCTAGAAAGACCGCATGTATGCGTTCATCAGGAAGGATTTGCTGCCGCAAAAGGGAGATGTTGTTATATGCTGCAACTGCTGCATCGAGTGCATTGATTCCCATCCATGGTGTTCCTCCTGCATGGGTATTCTTTCCTCGGAACTCGACCTCGATGTACTGGCGTGCGATCATTCTACAACCTGCCACTCCTTCGATTCCGGCAGCCTTGTGCTCTGCATAAAGAGGGCTGGGATGACTGAGCCAAGATTCAGCATGTCAGCAGGTTGGACGACGCGTAAACAAGGAAATAGTGAATACATACGCCATCAAAGAGACATCTACTCCCTTGTACGCTCCACCATCCAGAAGCATGATCTTGCCACCTTTCCCTTCTTCATCCGGGGTGCCGAGGAGCTGGGTCCGACCTGGGATGTTGAATTTCTTCAAGACGGTAGACAGGGCATGGAAGGCTGCAATAGAGCTTGTGGCTATGAGGTTGTGGCCACATGCGTGCCCGATCCCAGGGAGACAGTCGTACTCGGCGTTGTAGTTGATGAGTCTCCCACCAGAGCCACTCAAAACTTCAAAGGCAGTTTCAATTCCATACGCATGGCGCTTTACATCATAACCGAGGGACTCAAAAAAGAGACATATAGCGTCATGCGCAAGAACTTCTTTTTGACCAAGCTCAGGGTTCGACCAGATCTGATCGCTAATTGTCAGCATTTAATTTGTCAACAAGCTCACCCAGCAGGAAGCGAGAGATCATACAGTTCTGTTCAGTTCTTGAAGATGCTTTTCGACTGCTTCGATAGCAGCATCTACCTCTACTCGAACTTCCTGTGCAGAAAGTGGGATCTGAGAAATACTGCCCATTTTGGTTTTGTTTTCGTGCCTATTTTGCGCCTGCGTTTGATCCGCCTGTTGTTTAGATTTTGACTGACGCGAGATGGCTGCTTCTTATACCCTTTCTCTTGCGACATGATCGGCTGGGTGGTGGTATAGGCATAATTGTCTGGGTATTGGCATAAGCAATAATCGCCTGGGTAGTAGCATAAGCATAGTCACCTGGGTAGTAGCATAAGCATAGTCACCTGGGTGGTAGCATAAGCATAATTGATGGTAGCTTAAGATTAATCCCGCTGTTTGAGGCCTAAGTCAAAAGCGGCTAGAACAACGATAAGACCACTGGCACTAAAACGTGACCCTTCACCTGATTGGACATCTTTATTGCCGACCGCAGACTTTGATTGGATGGACTCAAGACTTTCTAACCGAGAACCAATCGGCTGCCTCAACTAGAATAAGGACTCATAGTATCAGACGCTCATGCCTTTGACATGCTTAAAGTTGATATAATACTATACACGAATGAGCTCTCATCGTCATGTTTTCCGCGGGATAAGCAATCTGAATTTTCCTATCAAAGATCGACCAAACCATTCCGTATATCTATCTCAAAATCTCCGAGGCACGGTTGGTCCTCGCCTCGCGTTGCCCAGAACAACATGATGTTTCTGAATTTTACTTCATATCTAATCAGTTGTTAGATAGATAGGATTTTCCGTCTACTTTTCTTAGTTTATCAGGGCCTGGGCCAGATAATTTAGCGCTTTCTTTCGATTCTCAAATCAACCAATCGTGTCGAGCTTTCACAGAGCTCACATTCATAGCACGGCTGCAGCCATAGAAATTGCTTATGATAAGGGAATATAAGGAGGGAGAAGAAGATAGGGAAATCAGTATTACTTTAGCCATGATAGGCGAAACGCCACACTTCGATTCTCATCAAAGATCCTATTTGTGAGAGTATCTAAAAGAGGGAGCGAGTCCTCTCGATCGTTTATCACGAACTTCCCTTTTGTGGAAACGATTCGTAACCATGGCCGATATGTTGAAGACACCGGATGTTTTAGAAGCCCCAGAGAAGAACAACAATGATACCGACTTGGGAGAAGTCTGGGAAGTTTTTGATCCTGCGGAGGAGCGGAGGCTTGTGAGAATGATTGATTTCAGGCAAGTATTAGATCCCACATGGTGAAATGACCTCTATCAATAGGCAGAAATTCTAACATAATTTGAGAAAGCCAGAATCCTTCCTTTGATGCTCATTGCATACATGCTCCAATTTCTCGATAAGCAGACATTGAGCTCATCTACAATTATGGGCATACTAACAGACCTCAAGTTGCATGGCTCTGAGTATAATTGGGCCTCGAGCTGCTTCTATTTTGGCTATCTTTTTGCAACATACCCGGTTTCGTTGATCTTAATCAAGTTTCCGCTGGGAAAGTCCCTATCAATCATGTTGTAGGTTCCCAGTCTACCAAATCATTGAAATTCGAACTGGCGCTGATTTATCATTCGATCACAGTTTGCTTTGGGCCATCATACTTGCGTGCCATGCTGCGACAAAGAACTTTGCGACACTGATGGTTGCAAGATTCTTCCTAGGTATTGCCGAGGCGAGCATCTCGCCCGGATTCAGTCTGATCACATCACTCTGGTATCGAACCTCAGAGCAACCATGGAGGCACGGTCTTTGGTTCTGCGGAAATTCAATCTCATCGGTCTTCAGTGGACTAATCGGATACGGCATCTATCATATCCATGATAGTCTGGCTTCCTGGAAGGTTCGTGTTGTTCCCGCCTGTTCCTATAATGATCACGCGACCTAGTCCATTACTGATTGATTTAGTGGCTCTTCATTATTTTCGGCATTATTACCTTTGCGTGGGGGCTCGTCCTATTATGGCGCTTGCCTGATAGTCCCCAAAATGCCAATTTCCTTAGTGAGAAGGAGAAGAAGATTGCCATGCACCGATTGAAGGCCAACCAAGCAGGTTTCAAGAGCGATAAACTAGAGTTTTCTCAGATAAAAGAGGCTCTTCTCGATTATAAGACTTGGCTTGTGGCTGTCTATTCTCTCACCACAAATATCCCTAATGGAGGAAGTTTAGCTGTGAGTGAAGTCCATGGATAAATGTACACCATACACCCTCTGCTGACACTATTTTCAGTTCTCTTCATTGATTCTTGAAGGATTTGGCTTTTCGGTTCTAAATACTTTCTTGATGGCAATGCCAGCGGGATTTTTCGTGTTTTTGTTTGTTCTTTCGACGTGAGTGCCCTTCTATGCATATTGTGATTCGTAACTCTGATTTTCTGAATTTCTTCAGAACATTCCTATCTTCAAAGCTGCCGAATGCCAGGTGTCTGATAATTGCAGCGGTCAATGTAATAAGGTTTGTGACCGTCCCCTGAGTTTACTACATATGCCCCAGAGATGACTAATTTTGAGCTTTTGCGGCTCTCTAGCATTACTGGCGCCGCTGTTATCTATAGTTGCAACTCTGTTGGAGCGAAATACGTTGGACTTTGCCTTCTGAATGTCTTTTCCAGTGGCATGCCTCTCTCAATGGCTCTGGTCAGCTCTAACACAGGAGGCTTCACAAAACGCGCCACCGTGACCACAGTTTTGTTCACGTGCTATTGCGCTGGAAATATTATCGGTCCTCAGCTGTTCTTCGCCAGGGAGGCCCCTCGCTACAAGGTAATTACCCCAATCTCTCTAAAGCTCGTCATTGACCCAGGCTAAAACTGAATAGTCTGGCTTCCTCGCCATAATGATATGTTTTGCGATATCCACTGTGACCATCCTCGTTCTTCGCTATTTGCTAGTTCTTGAGAATAACAAGCGAGATCGCACGTCCGTTCCGGTGGAACAAAGGGAAGAAGAACTACGCTTGGCAGACTTGACAGATATCGAAAACAAAAATTTCCGATACGCTTATTAGGTCCAGCGCTGCTATAGACCAATCCTTGATATATTTGCTTGAATTCTCTTTGTTAGAACTAAGGTCACCGCGACTTGCAAGAATATGTGCGGGTTTTGCTGCTGTGTTGCTATTGGCCTTAGGATTCAGACCGGATACGAGAAACGTCGCTGCCTGATTAGGCCTGGAGAGAGATTTTTATTTTTGCTTGGTAACTTTTACCTGTGTTTGCTCTTTGTTTCTTTCTTTAATCTCGATAATTTGGTACAATTTAATGTTACTACCTCAGGCAGAGACAAAGCTACGCCATTGAACCGACTACAATACACGAATGCTTCGGCTGAAAACATCTGACTTACAATTGATTCGGCAGTCCTCATCTAATAAATCACGACACCCAGAAAAAGAATGCTCAGTCTATCATCAAACTCAGGGGGAAACCCTAAGACCAAGGTCCGTTGCACAACTTGCTTTTGCTCGTGGCCATTTGAGCCAATGAAGTCAGCGTTGCACCTCCCAAAATGTCAAATACAGCCATTTCAGACTGCAGTTCCCTGAAAAACCAGCTTCGCAGCTCTACTGCAACAAGGGAGTCTACTCCATATTGATGCAATGGTTTGTTGGCATCGATGTTCGCCACAGCGATTGACAAAGACTTGGAGAGCTTCAACGTAATAGCCTCCGTGACTAACGCAGTAGCAATGGCAAGAGATTCGGCCTGTCGAAGAGAAGCAGCGATAGAATCAGGTGTGCCATGATCACCACCTGCTATGTCGTGGGCAGTCACTTGGCTGAACATCGGCTTCTTCAGCAATGTCGCCTGGCTTGCGTTTGGCGACAGACCCACTGTGACCTGGCAATCCGATGTGCTCTGCAAACTGAGTTGAGGATCACAGTAATAGTCCAACATGGCATGGAATTGTGGCTCAGTGACAGGTTCCAGTCCCATGTTGGCAACCAGCAGTTCACGCAACTGGGCATCCTCGGAAATAGCTCCAGCAAATGTGAACACCCCAAGATCGAAAGCGGTTGCTTTCTCGCCGAGCCCAACACGATGACGAGCTAGAGCATCTTGGAAAGTATTTCCCGCTGCGTAATTAGCTTGTCCGGTGGTTCCAACGATACCAGAAATAGATGATAGCATAATGAAAAAGTCCATTCCGCGAGGAAGGTGTTGATGGAGGTTCCAGGAACCTTGAACCTTAGGAGAGATTGATTCGTGCCACGACTGATGAGTAATGTTCTCAAAGAGCGCGTCCTATAACAGTCAGCAGTGCATAATAAGATGCCGTGTGTTAGGAGAAACCTACACGTAGCACCATGGCCGCTTGGATGCATCCTTTGATAGGAGGCATTTGGGATGCGCAGGTCTGTAGCACATTCTGCAGCGCTACCTCGTCCGACACATCACATGCCGGAGCCTTAACATCGACGCCTCTTTCTTCCAGACGATCTATTAGGGCACGGGCTTTCGCACCCTGGCCTCCTGAGCGTGAAAGTAACAGGAGATGGCGGGCACCCCGGTCCGCTAGCCAACTAACAATGTTGCTGCCCAGTCCTCCCAATCCACCACAGACGACAAATGTCGCATTAGGATCCAAGGAATAGCTGGTTGTTGTGTCCAGAATGGTCTGAAGGAGAGTCAGTCATGAACATAGCCACCGCATCAAGAAAAGAGCTCACCATCACCTTGTCCTCCGGACGCATTTCGAGCACCATTTTACCCACATGCTGGCCGCCTTGTAGGATACGGAAAGCTTTCTCAATTTCGCCTACTCCATGCTGATGAATAGGCTGAGATGGATGCAATTTACCTTCCTTCACAGCCGCGAAGACTATTTCAAGAGCAGCAGCACACACTTCAGGCCGCTCGATTGACATCGCGGCCAGGTCAACACCACTATATGTCACATTTCGGAGAAATTGCGCCATTGGGAGTCCCTGATTTGACAGGATGTCTCTTTTGCCAATTTCAAGGAATCTGCCATAAGGCGCGATACATTCCCAGGATGCTAAGAGACTTTCTCCGGCCAGCGAGTTCAGAATGACATCAACACCCTTGTTACCTGTTCGGTGCTTGATAGCCTGTGCAAACAGAGTTGTCCGACTAGAAAATATGTGTGACTCCGGGATGTCATAAGTATCCATCAGGAATTGCTTCTTGCTTTGAGAGCCGACAGTCGCGAAAACAATCGCACCTGCATTCTTTGCAATCTGGATCGCCGCTTGACCGGTTCCACCTGTTCCTGAGTGAATCAAGACTGACTCGCCAGCTTGAATACGTGCCACATTGCACAGCGCAACGTATGCAGTGGCATAATTCACCGGTAAGGCTGCTGCTTCCTCAAAAGTTATGCCAGCAGGGATTTTCACAACAGGTCCATTTTCCTGAACCCGGATCGAAGAGGCAAAACAGCCGTCTCCGAGGGCAGAAACTGCATCTCCCACCTGGAACTTTGAAACCGCACTACCCACACGACTGACCAAACCCGAGCATTCAGATCCGGTGTGGCTCGCCTTCAGCTGTCCCACAGCAATCAAGACGTCGCGGAAATTGACTCCTGCGCACTTGACCTTGATCTCGATCTCGTTGGCCTTTAGTGGCTGGTCTGCAGTGGGGTCTTTAATAAACTTGAACCCACTGATCAAACCGGGAGAAGTGGCATCAAGTTGCAGAGGGACCTGGCAGTCAAAGTTCTGCACTGTTTTCTGTTGCTTGCTGGCTTTTCGCGCGACGACATCATTGAGCTGACTGGGGGAGATCACTCGCGGAATGTGCAGGATTCCCCCTTGCTCCATGTACTCGGTATCCGTACCTGTCGCTCCTTCCGAGGCTAGGAATCGAACCAGCTTTACAATATGCTGCGTTGCTCCAGTCAATTCTTCCTTAGGCTCAATGGAAAGAAGGTGGAGATTGCGTCGCCCATCCTCCTCCATCAAGACACGGAGCAATCCTTCGGCCAGACGGAAGTGCGGCTTGGCTGGCAAGATGCCCCCTCCCTGAGTGATCCACAGCCCATGCAAGGTCGTCGAGAGAAGCGTTTGCAAATTTTCAAAAAGCCGCTTTTCAACGACTGTCCATACCGGACGCTGAAGCTCAACAATGAAAACTCGGAAGGCTCCATCATTTGTCTGGTTCTTGATCGCGTCATCAACTGAGATGATTTGGGCGGAGGAGTCAAGGGACTTGCATTGCTTGGCAATGGAACAGGCCAGACCAAGCTGATCGGCTTGGGTTTGATCATACACGATTTCAACCCTAGACATGGAAGGCTCATGGATCTCCCCGCTGGCAGTAGAAATCATGAGGCTGCATTCGTTCGACCTAATTTCGGGGAAATCCGGTAGCGTGATATCGAGGCCGGAATATCCAGTGAATCTGAGGACGTCGTTCCATTGACTCTCGTCAATATAACGGCCCGATTGGCAATGCGATCCCAGATCTGCACCATTTAGCTTCTTCTTCACTTTCAGTGAGAATGGGTACTCTAATTACCTTGCCACCATTGCTCGAGCAAGCCAAAGATAAAAGTCGACCGACCATCCGGAGAAACCCCGTCGTACAAAACGAGCTTACCACCACTAAACAGTTTGATTAGAAGGGCATCGATACCAGTGCTAAGGGAGGGAGGTCAGACGTTTTCAAAAGCTTTCGCGCATTCTGCAACGCCGATTTGAGGGAAGACACCCTATGGGAAATCTGCAAGACATGATAAGCTAGCGAAACGAAGCTAGGCAAAAATTGAACATACCAGGGAGGCCACGACTATATCATATGTGCCACATTCTACGTCCTGAAGTTCTGGATCTTGCTTGATATCCAGTACTTTGAATTCCATTCTTTCTGCGTTCTGCTCAAATTTTTCTTGAGCTTCCGCGACGTCTTCTGGTGACGCGTCAGTGTAGTCGAAGTGCCCATACCGCGGGGCAATTTTGTCGCTTGCCAAACTTTCAATAAGGAGCCCTGTGACAGATCCGGCACGTCCGCCGATCTCTAGGATCTTCATCTGGGGATGAGCATGAGAGAAAAGGTCGAGATATTCGACCAATCCACGCAGGCCGTTTGATTGATTTACCTGATTCTTTAGTGAAGGAGAACAGCGACACGGAAGATACACTACTTACAAGCTCGTAATATGCTTCGCTTAATCTTTCTCCGTCCTTGAAGAAGCTTGAAGGGTCAAGTTCTCCCGATAAGAATTTCCCCAGGTTTTTTGCCACGGAAGCATACAAGCAACCTTGTTTGGTTTTGCGAACACGTTGCTCGACTTCCTGAACATATTCAGCATCATTAAAGAAGGTTTTCCATCCATCAGTGGAGATTCCGAGATTGCCCTCTTCTACTAGTCTCTGACGGAGCACTAGCCAGTTGTAGTAATTTTTCAGATGTGGCTGAGAGAAGAGGGCGCCTTTCTCTGGTATAGTGGAGAGCGCATCTCTGATCCCCCGCGCGATTAGAAAGTCCAAATCGTTGAAAATGGAATCATGGTCAGCATCAGTAGCATTTTCTTTCTTGCACAGAAGGGCAATCTCATCGTTACTCATGAGCTTCAAGTCTGGCTTCCACGAAATCTGATGGCAGAGACTATCCACCGACTCTCCATCAATACCCGCAAGATCAGGCTCACTGACAATATTCATGCGCAGGCCTTGGACGGAAACCAAAGTTTTCTCCAGGTTATGATCAAGTGCCACAATGTTTGTGGCAGGTCCAAGGAACTGAGACACTTCCACACATGAGCCATATGTCTTGAAATCCTGCGAATTCATCGTTCGGCTATTCACCCACAACCTATCGAGATGAGTAGGCACAGCGGTGGGAACGATTTCCGCATCACTGTTTACTGCGGCCCAGATCGATGATTGGAAAATACAATCCAGTGTCGTTGGATGAATCGTCTCTCCTAAGGAAGACGAGAAGTTTTGGACGACAGCTGTCATCTCTCGCCCAAGCGTGTTCAGGGACAACTCGTTGACCAGCTGGAACGCTGCACCATAGCCATATCCAGATTTCTTCAGAATATCGTACATCTTGTCGCTGCTCATGTTCGACTTGCAGGTTGCTGCTGCAGTTGCATAAGCTTGTCGTTGAGCTTCCTGGAGCTCTTCTGCCACTGCTATGTTCATCTCCTCTTCCTTGTTGACGTATACGATCTCAATGGAGCCTGTGCAATTTTCTGTCCATGTCTCATTCTCCAAGGTACAAATCTTGAAATCGAACCATCCTGAGCGTCTGGACTCCATATTCTTGGCAGGGCGTAGGTGTAAACTGGTCTCGATACCCTGTGCACTCAATGGAATGCGAATCGCTGCACGGAATGCCACATCTTGAACATTGAAACCCAATACTGGTCTTCCCTCATCCGCTATCTGCTTAGCCGCCTCGATGGCCATGACCAGCATTCCAGCACCAGGGTAGAGGATTGTCCCATTGATCTATTTACTCATTATTAGTCCATTTAGTGAATGAATTTTCAATATGAGCTGCTCACTTTGTGGTCCTGGACCCATGGCATTTCGGATACGCGAATGATGTTTCTCCACCGTCCTTCCAGCGGGTTCTGGTTTGGGTCGGGTAGACCCAGAAGGTCATTCCGCGCAAACTTCCGCAGGCGATGGTTCTTGCTTATCCTACTCTCGTGCCAGTAGGACTTATCATGGTTGAAGGGATACTCCGGTAGGTCTGGAAGAGCTCTGCAGGTATCGTCATCCTTATTCAGTAACGATAGGTTGATCGGATACCCGGCGGCATACAGATCACCGAAAACAGAAAAGGCAGTATCAACAGCGGACATCTTCCGCACCAGTAAAGACAAATATTTGACAGACGAGACTTTGTTGATCTCCTTCAATATATCTTTGCAAGCTCCCTGTAGGACAGAATGTGGCCCAATCTCGAGGATATGATCTATCTTGAGCTTCCTGCGGTGACTGCCATCCAGTACCCTCGACGGATCTGAAGATGTGGAGCAGAGAGTTGCTAGACCAGCAGAGAAACGCACAGGGGATATCATGTTGCGCACCCAGTGAGACGCCTGACACGGCTCATCCGGATCGATCCAGTCACCCGTAATAGAAGATACCATCTGTGGCCGTGCATGGTGGGGTAAACCAGACCCCTCCAGTTCACCCAAGGCTGCTAGGTATTCAGACGCAATCTCCTTCATCTGGGATGAATGGTAGGCAAGATTGACCATTAGTCTGCGACAAAATACTTTGTCCTTATCTAGGCGGACCTTCAGTGCATCCAGCTGAACGCCTTCACCGGAGATCGTCACACTTTTTGGACTGTTGATGCATCCAACGGTGAGTCGAGGGACCTCAAACTCAGCACCGGTTGCTTCTATGTACGGCAGGACCTCATTCTCGGAGAGTGCCACCGCTAGCATTGATCCTTTCATTTCGGCGTTCTTCTCAAGGCCACTGCTCATGTTACCCCTGTAATACGATACCTTCCAAGCAGAGCGTCTGGAGATCGCGCCGGAGCAGTACCTAAAGCAAATAATTAGAGGCCTTCCTTTCATGGAGATTCACTGGTCGACTCACGCAGCTGCAACCTCTCCAGACGAATGACCCAAGACTGCTTTAGGAACCACATTGAAAGAATGCAGGAGGTCCACCAAAGCAATCTGAAGGATTGTGCACATGATCTGGCTGTACTCAGTTCGATTGACGTTAGACTCGGCTTCGGGTTTTTGGAGTTCATCTGCAACACGTCAATAACGCATCTCTAATATGCTCAAAAAATCCTCACATACCCACGGGGTCCCATTCGCATCCCAAAGTACGAAGATATTCTCCTGCTTCTTTGACCCACTGTAGGAATTGAGGGTATATGTGGAGAAGCTCACGCCCCATGGCGTACCACTGGGCTCCTTGCTACTACTGTGTCAGCAACATGACGTGAAATCCAAAGGTTGTCCGACTAACACCGGAGAAAATCATGGCAAGCTTGGGTGATTCACTGGACTGGCAGCCTGTGCTGAGCCGGTTTGCCAGGGTCGTTAAGTCATCTGATGGCCGCGCGATAGCAAAGGTCCTCCATGGTAGATGTGTCCGCCGTGTGCCCAAAGTATGCGATAAGTTGTGAAGAAATGATTTGGCATCGTCGATCGACTTGGTTGACAAAAATGAACTCCAGGCATTCTGGATGCGGGGAATGCCTGCTTCGTCCACCGCAGACCAAACAAGGAGCTTAGGAGCTTCAATCTTGACCACTTTATTGGTTCCGTTCGTGATTGGGTGCACTGGGACATCATGAGTTGTCGTTCCATTGCAAATGCTTGAAGACAGCGATGGCACAGAGTTATGGTTTCCTTTCATGTGGTTCAAATTAAGGAAATTATACGCATCATCCATGACAATGTGTGTGTTAGATCCTCCGTATCCAAATGAGCTAATGGATGCTCTTCGCAGTCCATTTGTGGGCCAAGTCAAAGCCTCTTGAGGAAACTGAGAAGGTTAGCTTTTAAATGCCTAACGGTACGCAATCCAGGGTTTCTACTTACCTTTAGGTTCCAGAATTCATCATCAATCCTAGGATTCAGATTCTGCAAGTTTTCACTATTTGGTGGAATGATACCCTTTTCTAAAGCCAATATGACTTTCATCATCCCAGCCATTCCACTACCGCCTTCCAGATGCCCAACGTTCGACTTGACGGATCCTCTGCAGAATTTGTTAGTTGGCAGGATATATTATAAAAGTCGGCGCACTCACATATACAACGGCTCGGTCGCAGAGCGATGTTGCTGGAAAACGGAAGCGATAGCTTTGATTTCGATGGGATCTCCGATGGCAGTTCCTTTTTCCCATTAGTTTTTTTTACCTCACTTGTAGAGATGTAAATTCCTACCAGTTCCGTGAGCTTCAAAATAACGTGTCATCGCCAGATCGAGACAAGCTTCACGATAAGTATCACGGATCAACTTGGCCTGCATCTCTGGGCTAGGCTGCGTGATACCCGGAGTCTTTCCATCCTGGTTGGATGCGGATGCGCGAATGACAGCACGAATGGGGTCTCCATCCCGGACCGCATCTTCCAGCGTCTTGATGACTAGAACACCTACACCTTCACCGCGGGAATAACCATTTCCACACGCATCAAAGCTGTAACAACGGTTGTCCTTTGACAGAAGACCCAAATTATCCATCATCAATGTTGTTTCCGGGGCCAACAGAAGATTGCTACCCATGGCTAGTCCCTATACGCATTCAGTATACTGTACATTCATTCTCAGGCGGATTCAGCCTACCATTGTAGATTGGCCACTCCAGATAGATTGACATGTCAAATCCACAGCCATCAAACTGCTCGAGCAAGCTGTGTCGATAGTTGCGCTGGGGCCTGTAAGGTTAAAGAACCAGCTCACACGATTTGCCAGCATGTTCCCTGTTGACCCGGTAATATTATACTTGCGCATGTCAAGAGGATCTTTGGTCTCCATCATCAGCCAGTCATGGCCTGACGAACCCGCGAAGACTGCGGTCTTAGTCTTGGCGATGCGCTCCAGCGGAATTCCCGCATTTTCCAGCGCGTGAAAAGCACCCTCGAGAAGTAGTCGCTGTGGGGGCTCCATGGCCTCGGCTTCTGCAGCGGTGATAGAGAAGAAAGGAGCATCAAAACGACTGAGATCGTCTTTCAAAAAATGCCCGCCGCGCATCGATAGACTGTCTAATCGGTCCGCCTCTGGACTGTAGTGTCCCTCGATATTTAATCGGTCTGGGGGAAACTCTGTCACAGCGCATCGGCGCGACATTATCATCTCCCAGAAGGCATCCGGGGTCACCGCATTCTGGGGAAGACGGAATGACAATCCCACGATGGCTAGTGGTTTTGGCGATTTCTCAATTGATTCTATCATTGTGGTTGGTTTTTGCGCTTGACCCTCGGACTGGGACTGAAGGGAAAAATCGACGTATATACGGGAGTGGAAACGGATCCGTCCTTATTGTTTCATTATGGAGCCTTCTATTCTATTTATTTTATTTTGTATTTGAAAGTAGCTTCTTGCATCAATGGGCTACGCGCCCAAGTATTGACGAAGTCTAGTTTGTTACATACTGAGCATGTATTACCGGTATTTCAGGGACGAGGCTGAGCACAGTGGATCTCGGTATCTGCAGCTGAAACGCTAAGAGGATCCTTGACCAGAACAACAATGAAAGTTTAAAAGACAATTAAAAAAAAAAACTCACTTCAGGCAGGAAGAGACCAGGATGACACCCAAATAAGCATGGTGAACTGTCTCTGTGGACCCATTCAAGTATTCGGACAATTCTTTAGCATACTAGTAGATGACGATCGCTCTAGGCGAATCACGAACTGTGGCAATATGCAGGCAAATGTACACATATGCATACACCTTCAGCTGAGGATGTTTTCATGCCCGACCATTTTTAACTTCAACTTTCCCTAGCCTGCTTCCAAGCGTACTATCCACTTTCGCGCATTTGCCCTTTGTGTCGGCCTTGGCCAATTCAGCACCAGCATCATTATACAGAGAATATCTCCTCCCACTATTGTTGAGATCCCGAAGAGCGCTTGTTTATCATATTATATCTTCAATCAGAATCTGGATTTTCAATATGCGTTTCTTGTGGTATGTCATTTCCCCCCACTCTTACCGCTACCCTTGCTGACTGCGTCCAGTTTACATGGAAAAGGGACCAATTCCCGCGTGAGTGCACCCGGACACTTCACCAAGATACTGGGCTAATCAAAAAGTTATCAAACAGATCTTCAAACAGCAGACTGGTAAGTGACCCTAGGTAAGAAATTGGATCGAGCTAACAAAACAAAAAGCTGCCCTGCGCTATGAACTTGGAGAGAGTCACAGCTACGACTTTGTCGATGGACCTCACGTTTGGGAGATGAATCCAGGTAGACGAAAATCAAATCGCATGACTGAAGAAATCTAACAAGTTGGTAGATCTGGATGAGTTTGTAATGGGCGAGGAAAATACCTTTGCTATTTGCGATCCAGCGTCGCCATCCTCCTGCCTGGAAGCGATGGAGAACATCGAGCGTTACATCGCAGCTGAGGGACCTTTCGACGGCATCATGACATTCAGTCAGGGCACCAGCATCGCCCTTGGCTGGTTGATCAAGAGGCAACTGGAGGCCAAAGGTGGCAAACCTTGGAAATTGCCGTTCAAGATTGGAGTCTTTTTTTCAAACCCTTGGGGAGTGTACGATGGCCAGGCGCTTGAGCAGGGCCAGATTGCTTATATGTATTCCCCAACCTTTGAGGGCCTGCTGGACTTTCCCACTGCGCATATCTGGGGCTCGGCAGACAAAGATCAGGCAATGGCGGAAATGCTCAGTAACTCCTGTGTGGCAGAGAAACGATCAGTCTGCGTTCATACTCGGGGGCATGAGATTCCGGCTGATATCAATACAGTAATTTCGATGGCCAAGACGATCAATCGGGCGATTGTACGGGCTGAGTCAATGGAATCATCATAAAATGCAATCATAGTACTCCCAAGTGAATTTGCACCTGGACTCCATATTTCCCTGTTATTGGCCGAGAAGGTAATTTTCAAGAGATCCCGTGTATCATTCTGTGGCTTTGGATAAGACCCATCTTAGGGGTTCACAACCAAAAATGTCAGTGGATACCAAGTTTCCAACACGTGGCTATTGGACCGGTTGGAACGGTAAACTATATTTCCCAAGACGAGCTGGACTGCTTAGTAGAACTATGAACCAAAATCGCGATGCGTTCTCCACAAATATGAATCGCCTGAATCGGGCGAGCAGCCATTTTCCGGACATTTCCACCTGCTTCTCAAGGCCGAGATCTTCAAGCGGCCCTCCAGACTTTAGGCCTTGGAAAAGGTGACGATACCGTTCAATTGTGTCTAAAAATAGCCGAGAATGATCTAGATACCACAAAGAAGCTAAAGGGATGAAAATTACCAAGATCCACTTATAGAACCTTGGAACCAACTGACCAATCTCCGGTCTCCACGGCTGAAGTGGAACCTGTCAGAATAAAGATAGCGGTTGATCAAAGAGATTGGCTGGTCAGATCTGCATCGGGATTCTGTTGAGGGCTTGCTTATACGAAGCACTCGGAAGAGAACCTAATTAATAAGAGGGAGAGAATAAAGGCAGGAGAGCGAGACGCTATGGTCACACAAAGCTGATTGGAAGCACTCCTGTCCAAGTAGGCTCCAACAGGTTCTTCATGGCACACGGCATGCCGCAAATGCAGCTTGTGCATCGGTGACTACCAGGCGTTGAATAGAATCTAATAGTCGGTGGGACTCAGCCTAGTGCTTAGTTGCCGATTAACTTTCCCATTGACCGTACCCAGACAATGGTCGGTCCCCTCGGCTAAATTGTCCTTGTCTCTCATTCTGGAGCCACTGAGTTCGGCCGATGCTCGCCGGCTAATATGGGGCAAGCTGAGATCCCTTACTTATCTTAAGTGGAGTTGTGAATGTGTTCGTTTGCAAGTGGAGCTGGAAGTCCCAGCCTGTACCAGGTGGTATTGAAACCGAACTCGAATACATGTTACGATCCGTGAAAATACCAGAATACCTAACCTAGAATATGTATAACAAGAGCATTTTTAGGGCAGGAGTTGAGTGTCTCCATCACAATATTCATCGGCCATGCCATCACGAACCTCTGTGTCGGTGGCACAATACCTCTTTTCCCGGATCAAAGAGGTTGGCATTCGATCCGTTCATGGCGTACCAGGTACTGGCTACCCTCTGATTCCGCCAATTGCAGAAATGCAGAAAAGACCTCACTAATGCAACTCAGGGGACTACAATCTGGCGTCACTGGACTATGTAGGCAAAGCTGGACTGCGCTGGATTGGCAATTGCAATGAGCTAAATGCTGGTAAGTGTCTCCTCCATTCCCGACGAGAGGAAATACTGACGCTTGGCAGGATATGCAGCCGATGGGTACGCTCGCGTCCATGGAATTTCTGCGTTGATGACAACCGCCGGGGTTGGGGAGCTGTCAGCCTTGAATGCGATTGCAGGAGCATATGCCGAGTACGTCCCCATCGTGCACATCGTGGGGCAACCCAGCTTGCGATCCCAGCAGCAGAAGAAATTACTTCATCATTCTCTAAGTGACGGCGATTTCGCGGCAATTTCCAAAATCTCGCAGCGGGTGACTACCAGGAGTGTGCAGATAGACTGCGCAAAACGAGCGCCCGGGGTGATTGATGATATTATTGGTGAGTGTTGGAACACCAGCAGACCTGTCTCGATCACTTTGCCTATGGACATGGTTCATACCCCAGTCCTGGCAGAAAATCTGGGACGGCCACTCGATCTTGGTGCCTCAACAAACGATATCGCACACGAAGCTTTCGCGGTTGACGCTATCCTCGAAGCTCTGCGGACGGCACAGCGACCCATTCTTCTGGTCGGGGGGTATAACGTACGTTTCACGAAGCGAAGGGAGGTGCATTTGCTAGCTGAAAGACTGGGACTACCCGTCTTTTTATCCGCATCTGGGCGTGGAATTATAGATGAAGAACATCCCAATTTCAACGGGCTTTACTTGGGAGACTGCTCCGATCCATATGTCGCGGAGAAGGTCAGGTCCTCGGATTTGATCATCTCCGTTGGCAACATTCACTCTGACTTGAACGTCGCATCTGTGGCATGGGACTTTCATCCATCGAATATGGTCGAGCTTCGCGATAAAATGATCCACGTACGGGGCAAACAGTACCCGGGACTGAGCAGTACAGGCCTTCTGCGGGCTCTTCTCCACCGCCTGGCCGACGTCACAGCGGTGGATAATCGCAATCGCAAGGCTTTTCAATTGGCAAATGGTTCTTTTGAAACAAGCGGTGCAAACATTTCATCCATTCCACCCGCAGCTGTCAATAAATATCGGGTCTCTAAGAGTAAATTGACAAATTGCGAGTCACGAAATATGGCGCATACACTAAGTTATAGCGAGGAAAGTCCTCTTAACCATGACTGGCTGTGGCCCACGCTGAGCAGCTGGTTACGCCCCAAGGACACAGTGATCGCTGAAACTGGAACCTCAAACTTCGGAATATGGTCTACCAAAATGCCTCATGATATCACCTTCATCAGCCAGTACGTGTGGGGGAGTATCGGTTACTCTCTAGGCGCTTGCCAGGGATCCGCAGCAGCAGTTCAGGACTCAACAAGTCCTGACCGACGAACCGTTTTATTTATTGGTGATGGGAGCTTTCAGTTCACCTGCCAGGAGTTGAGTACAATCATCAAGCATAACCTCTCGCCTATCATGTGAGTTCTTACCCTCCGGATTCACTACGCAGGGACAAGAAACCTAACCGGCATAGCTTCGTGATCTGCAATCAAGGCTACACCGTTGAACGGCTTATTCACGGTTGGGATGAATCTTATAATGACATCCAGGAGTGGCAGCCTCGGAAACTACTGGAGGTGTTTGGCGCCGATCCGGGATCCTATCAGACCCACCAAGTTCGAACCATGGCTGAGTTCTCCGCTCTTTTACAGGATCCATCTTTCAACGACAAGCAGGTTCTTCGAGTAAGGCTGTCATCCACAAAGTATCTGGCTTGCTTTCTAACGCGTCTTTCAACAGTTCGTCCAATTACATATGGATCGGGATGATGCGCCATCCGATCTCAAGACACTCGCTCAACAGCTCGCAGCACGGGACTCGAACTCAAGAGATAATGAATGAAGCGGAGACCGGGACCAATGGGAGAAACATTAGATCAATTAGCGCATAGAGGATACGCAGATGGCATAGAATGGGCGGCATTCTTTTTTTATTTTTATTCTTCAGAATTCTGTCTTGGCACCTGTACTGTGGGTTGTTTTGGGAGGCTATAGTTCACTATATATTACGGTAACATTGCTGGTACGGAGCCAGTACGGAGTATTGTAATACGCGTTTTCTATGTTTTTGTCCCGACGATGTGTCAAGTTACACGATGTGGCAGACATGCAGCGGAGCCACGTTTGTTTTCAAATCTTCAGCCACCGAACTTTGAAAGTTTTTCAGCTCAGTCGATCAATTCACCGACTGGTCCCGGAGTTCCCGTGGCCAACATTTTGCATAGCTCCTGTACTCCGTAGTAGGAATGGCGTTTTCCAATTGCCTCCCCATACACTCCACACTTGCTTCTTATCGTCTAATTTCCATCTCCTTGAAAGTCTTTGTGACCCCGAATTGTTTCATTTGTTATACCGCAAAAGGGTCTCATGGCAAAGTTATCGATAGTTCATGGATCAGAAGAGTCGCCTCTATGGCCCAAGCGGCTGGGCGATCTGATCGAAGATCAGGCTAGCAGCTTCGGCGATCGCACGGCGGTGGTCACCCCATGGCAAAACAAGAGATTATCCTTCAATGATTTGGCGCAGAGCAGCAAAGTTCTGGCCAATGCCATGGTCCGCGCTGGGTTGCGACTCGGCGATTGTGTTGCGGTCATGGCTGGGAACCGGTATGAATATATTGAGGCGTTCCTGGCTGGAGGGAGGATCGGGTGCCCGGTGCTACCAATTAACAACGCATATACCCCGGCGGAAGTCTTGAGAGCTCTGCAGAGAAGTTGTAAGTTTAGTTTTTTCACAAGCGCATGTTCAAGTCTTGCTGAAACCGGACATACAGCGTGCAAATTATTGTTTATCGCCTCAGATATTGGCCCTCGCAGCTTGTCAGCGCATATACAAGTCCTTCTCTCATCCGACTCGGAAAATATACTGCCAGATCTGTCAACCATTGTGGGTTTCGATGTCACACAAATTAATACGCGAATCCAGAGTTATAAAGAATTTCTAGCCTCCGGAGCGACGGGCGACGAGATGAGTTTCGTGGAGTCTGCCGAGCGAATAGTGCGACCATCCGACAGCCTCAGCTACCAATTCACGTCTGGTACGAGCGGAGAGCCAAAACTGTCAATGCTCTCACATAGGTAGGAGACCCGTAGGCTTGAGAATGCACCGTGGAAATTGCGCTAACGTTTCGAAGGGGCCTAATAAATAATGCCCGTCTGGTGGGCGATGGCATGCGACTCACTCCGGAAGATGTAGTCTGCTGCCCGCCACCATTGTTCCACACCTTCGGTCTGGTACTCGGCTTCCTCAATGCCTTCACCCACGGCAGTTTGATCGTCTTCCCCTCAGATCAGTTCAACGCCGAACAGACCATCGATGCGGTCGCCCAGGAAAAGGCCACGGCCTTGTTAGGCGTACCAACTATGTTCGTGGCGGAACTGGAAGTCTGTGACGAAAGAAAAATAGAGATCGCAACTGTGCGGACCGGGCTTGCGGCTGGATCGCCTGTGTCGGAGACGCTGCTGAGCCGACTGGAGGAGCGGTTGGGTTGCAAGGGGATGCTGATTGCGTACGGAATGACCGAGACTAGTCCTGTGACCTTTATGACTTCGCTGGATGATCCTAGGGAAAAGGCAATGACGAGCTTAGGCAGAGTCCTTCCACATACCTCGGCTAAAATTATCGACGAGAATGGGGTCATTGTCCGTCGAGGAGAGACTGGCGAGCTGTGTACCAGCGGGTATGGCTTGCAGAAAGGGTACTTTAATAATGAGACGAAGACCAAGGAGGCGATGCGACATGATGCAGATGGGAGGTTATGGATGCATACGGGTGACCAGTGCTACATCGATGCTGAGGGTTACTGCCACATCAGCGGGCGGACCAAGGATATCATTATTCGAGGTGAGGCTTTCCCTTGATCTCCAGTGTTGTGTAGTGCATTAACAGGAAATCACAGGTGGTGAAAACATGTTCCCACTCGAGATTGAAGAGCGATTGCTCCTTCATCCCGCCATCACAGAGGTCAGTGTTGTGGGAGTTGCCGATCCAAAGTACGGCCAGGTGGTGGGCTGCTTCCTAAAGCTGGCCACGAGTCACACCAGGCCCGAGGATCAAGAATTGAGGGACTGGGTTCGCGCAGAATTAAGCTGGCACAAAGCACCTCAGTATATCTTCTGGGTTGGTGAGGGAGGCATATGTCCCGAATTTCCGAAAACCGCCAGTGGCAAGCACCAGAAACACATAATGGAGAAATTAGCCAACACAAGTCTGTTTGGGAATGTCTCCGCAGAAAAACCGCTGGTTCCTTTGGGATTCTCGATTTTTGGTTTGTCATTATGTCTGATTCCGGTGGCGTTGTATCTGTCCATGTGGGAGTGATGCATCTACATTTGACTTTCTTAAAATGGGGGTGAGTGGTGCATTTGACTAACTAGAGTATAATATCATAACTTCATTAAAAACACTTGATAGTATTCACACACCCTCTCAAGCTTTGGGCTTGAGCTTTCTGAGGAAGCTTCTCCATCTTGAACCCTTTCTATTCCTCGCTTTCGCCTGATATTCATTCGGTCGCATATCGTCCTCAGGTGAGTCGATCATTGATGGTCGTATAATACGCGGGAAAGGTTTAGCCAGTGACCATATCGGAGTTTTCCTGCGTTGGCCATAGGAGGGATTCAGGATCTCATATCCTGGCTGCACATAAGGCAGAGAAGATGATTCCAATTGGCTTGAAGCGCGATCTCTCCGGTTCAAATTTTGCCCACCTTCACCGGCTTGCTCTATTGTTTGATTCATTGTCGTCGAGGTGAAGCGAATAGTTTTCGATTGTCGATTTTCGATGCGTCGATAGGCAAGAACAAATCTAAGAAAAACAAGACTAGTCTCGTCAGCGTTTTCAGTTCTTTTCACGACCCATAGAGAGGAGGGATCAGGCCCTGGGTATGGAGGAGAAAGGGTAATCGGACGCACACTCAGGGGGATACTTCGACGCTCGCAGTATTCGTGCTGTGTCCGGTGATTGTATAATCTTTACAAATTTTTTCTTTCTTGGCTCCAGATAACGCTTAAATTAACGTGAGCTGACAGGCAGCTAAGATATCTTGGTTTGGAAGAACCACAAATGAATAGACGGCTTGATCGAAGAATGAAGTAGAATAGTAGAGGAAATATGTGCGAACAAAAGAACGATTTTCAATCAATTGATAGTTTTGTTAATCGGCAAGGCTGAGGTTGGGAGAAAAAATGCGCCTTGCGATCGAGATTCGGGTAAAAGAGGGGGTCTCGGATCAAGCTTAGTCCCGACGCATGTCGATCCCAATGTTAATATCATCGTTGGGAAAGGCTCCCACTGGAAGTGCTTCCACTGGAAATTAGTGACATAATCAACTGGGAGATGCCTGATTCTTCTAGCATGGTGGGAATATGTATGCAATAGTGAGGAGTACAGAGAGTGGAACCTTGCATGTGGGCTTCAAATGTGGCGGAATTATATGCCTGAAGATAACGCCGCACGTGCATTCTGGCTGGACTATGTACATAGGACAGTATTATCTTCATTGAAGTATTATGTTCGCACAAAACTAGCCACTGAACAAGCGATTGAGTTGATGGAGAAATTTAAAAAATGAATAGAATTTCCTGATATAATTGACATTTGAATTTTTGAATCTAGACGGCTCACTTTTGTAGCGTCTTTATCTTTATGACCAAACTCGCCACCCAATTGAATTTTTATCTAAAAAGGGTTCAATAACTATCTTATACCATCTGGTTGAGGTTGTAGACATATTTTAGTGGCACCTAGTTTGGGTATAAACAAGCCCGTGGAAGTCCCAACGTATTCTTGATGCATGTGTGTGACCTCATTGAGAAAATGATTAGGTGTGATTAAATTAGCTCAGGAAATTTGAACAAACACAGAAAATGCCACCGTGGGTTGTGTTCGTTGCTCTCGAGGACACAAATCGTACATTTGACACCGAGCTCTGTCAAAATTTGGCGCCTGGTCTCCGTGTCCTCTCGCGCCCTTTCTATCCTACCAGTAAAACAACATTGCAACCTTATGCGCATATACATACTCTTCTGATCGGCTACATTTTCGAGCTCTTCCCTCAACTCGGGAAGCTCCTAAATGAAGCCGGCCATCGAGAAGACCGAGGGTGATTAGTCAGATGTTGAAATCGACATATTACCGGAATCGGCTCTTAAATCAGAGTTTTGACTGCCTTCTGTGGGCCTTGAGAAGCTCAGCTAATTGACAATGCAAGGGAACCATATGGAAACAGCCTTAGCAAAGCGCGTTCGCCAACTCTTTTGGGAAAAAAAACTTGGTTGAAGGTTTTTTGGCAATATATTTCTGCCGAGGGAGAGAGAAAACAAATGAAAAGGACAAAGGGCACACGATCTGTTATGAAGAGGGGAAAAGAACATATGGATCCAAGCAGACAACGTTTGGAAGTCCCCAAAGAAGTCAGTCCCAACAAGTTCAAATCGGATTCAGTGTTCTGGGTGGCTTGGCCCGATAATTTATTGTCGGGTGGGTCCTAAGCTGAATGCTTGTTGCTGCGATTGACTCGTTCGCCTCCTCTGCACTCGGGTCAAGTGCAAATAGTCCCAAACGTGAAGATGTTCGCCTTTAGAGAACTCCAGGGAAGTTATGTTCGACGGAGAGTCAGGGAAAAACACACACCATGCAGAAATCGTATGTTTTTTGCGATTAGAATTGAGAAGAGAGTTGTCGTTCATCGCTTTGGTTGAATGGTATGAGTGTATAATTGCAGCCCTGGAGTGCTGTTTAGTGCAAGCCTGGCTTCCAATAAGTCGCCTCATTCTGTCGGCAGTCAAATTTGATACTAGCGCTTAGAGCGTGTATGAAAGTGTAATAGATTATTTCTCAGCACTTGCGAATACATGTACCTCTCGAAAATCAGAAACTTGGAACGGCCGAAATTATTGTAGTGTCGTTGGTCAATGTCGCTCATGCATGAATGATATTATTCCTTATTAGTGGTAGAGCACTAAAGGTTTATTCCGGACTATATATAGGAAATGAACTCTACTAGCATGGGACTTGGCCCACAGCGCATTCCAACTTGGCTTTACTTAGCGAGAATCAATTGATAAAGGGGTATTCGGTAAGCATTCATTCAACCTAGGCTGCATGTCACTAAATGATAAAGCAACCGAAATAATTAACCAATCCAAAGGCTTAGCACTTACAAACCGAGGTATCTTGGCGGTGGCGCCACCCCTACCTCTTAATACGAATGAAATGGTGTGCCAAGTAATGCTCGCTTGCAATAATGGGCATCTGTCGACCACGGTATTTTGGTATTCCTCGGAGAAGTTGGTGCCAGATTTGCAAAGCCCTGCAGCTCAATCCCCTCGCTGCTGTCTCACCTCTGCTGTGTCATACGCCTATTTTTGCGCATAATCTTTTATCATGTTATCCACCAATAAAAAATAGTACGCTGACATTAACAAACGTTCACCTGACATTGAGAGTGCAGACGCTCGGTCGGGAGAGCCATGTGGCAAACCCGAGGGCAGTGTCTCGAGTCTCTAAGCTCGGGCCGATGTCAAAGGAACATGAGAAGATTTTGATATAAAATTTGAATTAAGCTCAGTTCCATCTGGGGAAGCTAGCGTGTTTGTGGGGAAGGGCCCCGTGGAGGATCCATCACGGAGGGATGCTCCGCGTTAACCAGGGGTGCAAAATATTGGCATTTGGCCCAGCGCAAGGGATTCCACACTTGATGGGCTAAAAGTTGATGGCGTATTCATCAAACAGATCATGATCCACAGTAGGACCCTGTTTTTTACTCAAAAGAAAATAAACATTATTTGAGGTTTCAAGCAACTGAGCAGGCCGTTACAAGGCCTTGCATGTTCCTGATACACAAGTCGTCTACTGCATGGCTTGGCGTACATTGGTGCGTTATTTAGTCATTATATATGTAATCTCTGGCCGAAATTAATTTTGTGCAATACAAGTCAACTTTATGTGCCCAATGAGCATCCAGAGACTCAGGCACAAACTTGGCCAATCTGGAAGGATAGATCTAATATCTCTCTCTATTAGCGGCAGGATGCAGGGCCGATGTTCCAAAACAAGTCCTGAACCCTTTTGGATTGCATGAACGAATCCTTTCACTGTAATGAGCATGGGCTGACTGGAGAATCCGCCGATTCCTATCGGGATACGGACCTTCTCGTACACGCCACCGTCTGGCATCATGTATTGCTACTAACCACGAGTCTGGGGTCACACGCTAGTCAGCCTCTGGGGAACTGCCGATGCGGTTAGCGCTGCACATGAAATTAAATTCAAGGGTGGTTCGAGCTTACGCCCCAGATCGCGTGTTATAAGAATCTCAAGCTGTCCCACTTCGAAGTATTCTTGTACCACGCGGAAATCTGACATACTTCGATCTAGCTGGACAGCCGAAATCCTCTGGATCATTTATAGGTACATTAGATATGTCGGACACCAAGCAGGAAGAGGTACATGGTATCTCTAGCGTAGTTGAGGATACTCCGCATGTCATTGCCGGTTATGGTGAAACTGCCAAGCGTGAAGGTGCGAAGACAAAGGACGTTCGCAACGTGAGTATAGAAGTGCATTCCCATATTCTTTGCTAGCTGACTTCCTCTCAGGCCGAGCTTTTTGCAGCTATCGAAGAGACTAAAATTGAGCGATGGAGTAAAACGTCCATTCATTTGTACTGTGAGTTTGACTGACCCGTCATATTCTCGACACTACCCCGTTTCCTGACTAAACTCGTAGTCTGCATCTTCGTTGCGTTCCTCTGTGCCTGCGCGAACGGATATGACGGTATGTTTCTTTTACGAATCCTGCACTCGGTGTGAGACTAGGGCGATGTTGATAAGGTTAATGAATAGGATCTTTGATGAGTTCGATTCTGGCTATGAGCCATTATCAGGATGTTTTCAAGACCGGAATGACCGGCGAAAAAGTATCTGTGGTCACTTCGCTTTACACAGTGTGAGTCCTCGAATGACTCCACTCATATGAGACTTCCAACTCACCTATGATTTCTAGTGGATCCATCGTCGCCACCCCGGTCAGTGCGGTTATCTCTGATAAACTCGGTCGTCGCAAGTGCATGTTCATCGGTGGTTGGGTAATTATCATCGGCTCCATCATAATCTCAACCGGCATGACTTTGGCTCAATTTGTGGTTGGGCGTTTCATTCTTGGAGTTGGAATTCAAATCATGGTTGTCTCGGCTCCGGCATATGCTGTTGAAATTGCACCGCCACATTGGCGTGGTCGCGCTGTTGGTAAGTACCCATTCCTTTGCCTAGTATCAGTGCTACATATGTCGTTGATTTTGACCTGATTGGATATAGGTTTCTATAATTGCGGGTGGTTTGGCGGAAGTGTGCCTGCTAGCGTGAGTTACATTCGTTTCGTCTAAGATCAGCTTGACGTGGATGATTCATCGGCGTTGAATTCCCAACTGACCAAACATGACTTATAGATCATTACCTACGGCACCAATTACATGGACACTAACTACCAATGGCGTGTTCCATTCATCTGCCAGTGCTTCGCATGCGTCTTGGTCATTATATTCGTCTGGTTCATCCCCGAGTCTCCCCGTTGGCTGCTTGCTCAAGGAAGAGATGAAGAGGCCCATGCCTTCCTGACTAAATACCATGGAAACGGAGATCCCAATGCACGTCTCGTTCGCCTGGAAATCGAGGAGATGAAGGAAGGCATTCGAATTGATGGTATCGACAAGAGATGGTGGGACTGTACGTGCTGCTTTTTTTACTGGCCAAAGAAAAGAGACAGACTAACATGAAACTTGTCATTCATAGACCGCCCGTTCATTACCACCCACAGTGGCCGTTGGCGTTTCATGCAAGTCATTATGATTTCTGTCTTTGGACAATGGTCGGGCAATGGTCTCGGATACTTTAACTCGACCATCTTTAATGTGCTGGGATATAAGTCGAGCTCAATGCAGCTGCTTCTCAACATCATCAACCAGATAATATCCGCAGTTGCTGCCGGAACTGCCGTATGCTTGACCGACAAGATGCCGCGTCGCCCAGTTCTTATCTATGGTACCTTGGGTGAGTTTAATGCGTTGATCCACACCCACACCCCCGTATGTCCCGGCATGGACTGATACTGATATAGCCTGTGCCATTACCATGGCCATCAATGCCGCAATCTCTATCCCTATCGCAGAGACGGGAAGTATTAGCCACACCAAAGGTCAAGCTGCTTTGGCATTCTATTATCTGTTCAACGTGGTCTTCTCTTTCACCTACACCCCATTGCAGGGTGTTGTGCCCGCCGAGGCACTGGAGACCACTACTCGTGCTAAAGGATTGGCTCTGTCTGGCTTTATGGTCAGCTCCATCAGTTTCATCAGTCAGTTCGCGTCACCGATCGGACTTGGCAATATCTCCACCAACTATTTCTGGATTTTCGTCGGTTGGGACCTGCTCGAGGTGGTGTTTTGGTATTTCTTCTGGTAAGTGACAACGACAATCATCTATCAGTGTATGCTTTTTGGGAAATCTGGGGACTGACGATCATTTCCTTCTATAGTGTCGAGTCGCAGGGCCGTACCCTCGAGGAGCTTGAGTGGGTTTACCAACAGCCCAACCCAGTTAAGGCGTCTCAGAGCTTGGACAAGGTTGTTGTGCAGCAAGATGGTACTGTCACTGAGAAGATTGAAGTCGGGGCTTAGCTTGGGATATGTCATTGATATTCACGCATGTAACCCACATGTGTAAGATTGACATCAAGGGATTCGATTGGTAGGTGTGGAGGAACCATGGATGTGCTGTAAAGTTTCTTTAACAATAATTAACAATTGTTCCAATTTAATCCATCCTTTTCAAGAACCCTGCAATACTTACATCTCCTGCACGGATCTATGTGCCACAGACAGCCTTATTATTGGTGATGTGACACAAACATTCACCATGCAATACATTTGCCCCTGGATCAGATCCAAGCATGGCTTTAGCATAATAAAAACCACACTAGGCCAATGCAAGGCATAGAGCACAAGAGCTTTCATCTTCACTAACCAATTCAATGCTAGTGGCGGGAATCAGTTTGTTTTTTCGGAAGGTCCTCAACACGTGTGGCAACCATTGGATCTCAAGACACAGGACGTCGATCCCCCCACAAGGTTTCCCAAAGCGAAGTATACTTTATGGATTGGGCTTGAAAATTGGGATACCAAAACCCCTCCGTCTTATCAACTCCAAAGCAGGGGTTTATTTCCCAAATTCTGTTTCTTTGTGTTTCTTCTGTTTTTCCTCTTTTCGGACTTCTGAAAAGGCTGGACTTTGAAGTGACTAAGCTAGTCCCGGCTGCTTGTCCCGAAGTGACGTGACCTCCCTCCGATAGTACCAGCCAAGATCGCGAAAAAAAGAAATCATCAATCCATGCAAGAACATCGGTCTGAATGAAGATGCGGTCTTCCGTCCTGCTGCTGAGTCTGCTCGCAGGCGCCATCGAGGCAGTCCCGCTAGATCAGCAGCCACTGGGCGATTCCCATGAAGAGTTCTACGATTTGGCGCAGACGCCACCGACCGGCGCGTCAGCACCCGCCTTGCATGGCCGCTTTCTTCACGTCACAGGTAAGTGGAAGGGCCTGCAGTGATCATATACAACTCTAACATTCGAATACTAATCATGAATGCTACCAGATTTCCATCCCGACCGATACTACAAATACCGCGGAAAGAGCAATGACGGGAGCTGCCATCATGGCAAGAAGGGTAATGCAGGGTACTTTGGCGCCGAGGGCTCGGACTGTGATTCGCCCGTGTCACTGATCAACGAGACGTTCGCCTGGATAGAGCAGAACCTTAAGGACAACCTTGATTTCGTGATTTGGACAGGCGACTCGGCCCGCCACGATAATGACGAGCGCATTCCCCGGACCGAAGACGAGATCTTGGAACTCAACAACTTCATGTCTGAAAAATGGGTGGAATTGTTCGGCATCCGAAAGAATGATGTCGGCAGCGCTGGTGTTCCTCCGGTGTCTGTCCCCGTGGTGCCCACATTTGGCAACAATGACATTGCGCCACACAACATCTTCATGGATGGACCGAATGTCTGGACCAGGCGGTATGCTGATCTCTGGCGCCACTTCATCCCGGAGGATCAACGTCATAGCTTTGTTGAGGGTGGATGGTTCACTTCCGAGGTGATCCCTGGCAAGCTGGCCGTGATTAGTCTGAATACGATGTACTTCTTCGACTCCAACAGTGCGGTGGACGGATGCGCAGACAAGTCAGAGCCTGGATATGAACATATGGAGTGGCTGCGGGTGCAGCTAAAGATCCTTCGCTCTCGCAACATGAAAGCTATTCTGATCGGCCATGTCCCACCCGCGCGCTCAGGTGACAAGACGAACTGGGACGAGACTTGCTGGCAGAAGTATACCCTATGGGTGACTCGGTATCGTGACGTGGTGGTGGGATCCGCATATGGACATATGAATGTCGACCATTTCATGCTGCAGGATAGTCATGATGTCGACTTTAAATTCCTGACGGATAAGACCATCAGCGACCGGGTATCGATCGAGTCCAAGACCGACTACATTAGTTCGCTACGGTCGGAGTGGGAGGATCTCCCAACCCCCCCTTCAGGAGTATTTGATGACTCGCCAGATGCTGAACACCAAAAGAAAGGGAAGAAGGGCAAAGGAAAGAAGGAGAAAAAGCGCGAGAAGTTCCTAAAGAAGGTTGACGGTCCATGGGCGGAGCGATACAGTGTGTCCTTGGTATCGCCTAGTGTGGTGCCAAATTACTTCCCCACACTTCGAGTGATAGAGTACAACATCACTGGCTTAGCAAACGCTTTTGAGGCTCAACCTATGGACTCATCATTGGCCGATTCAAATGATCGGCCGAGCTCTCCAGAAATACAGAAAAAGAAAAAGAAAAAGAAGGACAAGAAAAAGCAGCCCGACTTCAAGGTGCCCGATGCACCATCACCCACTAGCCCACCGGGGCCAGCCTACTCCAACCAGCCCCTTACTTGGCTGAGCTACACGCAATATTTCGCCAACCTCACCCAAACTAACCTACAATTTGCATCTGGCGAGAAAAACACCCATATCGAATTTGAAGTCGAGTACAGTACTGGAGATGAAGTATATCAGATGAAGGATTTGACGGTGCGAAGCTTTTACCAACTGGCTGTTCGCATCGCAGAGCAAGGGGAGGCGGCCTATGAGGCCACTATCGCCAAAAAGGTCAATAATGCCTGGCGGGCTTTCCTCTCGCGTGCATTTACAGGCTTTCTTGATGTGGATGACTTAAATGACCAAGTGGACGCATGATTGTTACGAGTTTTGCATTGATTGTATTGGATTGGAGATCCATACATTAACGGCGTTCTTTTGTATTTTTAGAATTTTGTAGAAAACGCATAATGTGATTCAATTCAAATCCCCAAGCTGAGTCGACATCATTCTAGCGGTGTACTCGTGCGCTAAGTAGCGGTACCCGCGCTATCCTGCGCCCACAACACAACCACTTTACATCTCACTCCTAGTCAATGGATACATTCATCGCTAACCAAACAGTGACCTGCATAAATTGACAAGTCATCCTGTCTGACCTGTCATAATACTTGTATCATAAGGCGATTGCGATCTTGACCACGTCAATCGACACAAAAACGGTAAATGTGTACCGAATACCCCCACCATAAGTACCAAATGCCACGTTGGCAAAAGTCACTTTTTGTACCTGAAAATATCCGATCCGAACCATTTGAACACGGATTTTCAACTTAATTCAAAGCTAACGACCCAATTGGCTTACACATCCTAAGCCGTTGCCACGTAGGGCGACTCAAGCCAGTGCATACCAGACAGCGCATAAGTAATTAGTCTGGGTTCTTGCCACCTTACATTGGGCATTGAATTTCGTCACTATCGTACGGCCTAACGGAGGAGAATAATGATTGTGGACATACAAAGACCAGACTAGTAATCTTACCAAAACACTCGCCCCATTTTCCATTTCTAATTCCCTTTCCCGCGTCATATCAAGAGGCTCGGCCCCTGCTTTTAATCTTCCCTGGTCCCCGATCTCAACATTTCCGTGCTCCAACTTTCCCCGCACGCAAGTGTGCGCTGTCAAGAATCGTCAAATTCAGACTCAATCCCCCTTGCCACACGATGCGTCAGAACTTGTCTCTATCACTCTCCTTTCTCTTTTCCGACCGTGCCTTGCATTGCTAGCGGTCCTGCACAATCGAATTGATCCCTTACCCGAGAGAATCCGATCGGCACTGTCTCGAAACCACATTCGATAATATTTAATATTGTTATAGAAAGCTTTGATTGTGGTCTCGGAGCTCTAGTTCAATTGTGTGACGGGACTTGGTGGATCCGAACCTTACAGATCGACTTCTGTATACTCCGTGCTTAAGGAGAAGTGGCATTGGTCCAGCTGCGTCCCACAGATCTATCCGATTTACCAACCTCTCCTTGGAGTTCGGCCCAATTGGTCAGCGGCTTCGGTATATGCACTTGATTGGAGTATGCTTTACGCGCTGCGTTTGATATTCGTTTGAGGCTTCGTTTGCATATTAGCTACGTCGGTAAGCTTGGTTCTGTCTCTATTCAGCCTCTTCTTCGGCTTCCACATTCCCTTTTATCCCATATCTCAAACGATGCATTCAATTCAATCCATCCCCACACATATGGCTGACCATATCGATCAGGAGGTTGCCGCCTCCCTATCATTGGCTTTATGGATGGCCTCCTCAGAAGTAGACCAGAAAGCCTTGGGCAATTTCGCTGCGGCAATGGCCCTCGAAAACCCCCTGTTGTCCGCGATGCTATATAAAGTCCTTGGAATATCAGTCATGCTATCAAAGAAACTCCTCCGCGCTCGCCGACTACGCCGACTAGACACAACCCGCGAAACCAAATCTCTCCAGCTCTACCACCACATCATCTGGCTCTCACGCGAAGGCCTATTCATTCTAGAAGGCTACATAATCCCAATGGTTTCCCCATACGTCGAACTAAAGGTCCTCTCCTACAAACTGCGCGCCTCATTCTACCACATCGTCGTCCTATTCCACAACAGACCCGTCATCCAATCAGATCCCCATCCACCCCCGAATCTAAAACATGAATCCATATACGGGCCAGACGCACTCACAGCCCTCCGCGCATTCGACCCCCAAAATAAAACGCCACACCCCCCAGGCCTGGAACCCGTCCAACCAGTACAACCTATCTCCTCATTCCTACTCCCTCCACTCGACTACACCGCCACCGCAACGGCATGCTTTAACCACGCCGCCATGCTAGCCGAAAAACTCCTTCCAGGCTCCCACCCGCTCCGACTCTCCGTCAAGCTCGAATACGCCGCATACCTGTACGACTGCCTCCAAGATCCAATCGGCTGCCGCCGGCTTGCCAAGCGCGCAATCGCAGATGTGTACAACGCACAAGAAGGCATGGACGACGAGAGCTTCGAAGATGCAGCTGAGATCGTCGGTGTATTGGGGAAGATGGTGAAGCGTGGTGGGAAGGCTGGGAGCAGTACTGCGGCTAGTAGTGTGTCGCGGGGTGATATGTCGCGGAGTCGGAGTAGTAGGAGTCTTTCGCATTTGGATGCGAGTATTCCTACCACTGTTTCTCCGGTTCCTGTTACGAAGACTACGCCTAATCCTTCTACGACTGTTATGGAGCCCGCTGTGCCGCATGTGTCTATGATTAATCCGATTTGATTGATGCTTTTGCTTACGTTTATGTTTATGTTTATGCTCATGTTTATATGGAGTTATGATAGAAAAGCCGATAAGAGCTTTGTTGGTTTTATGCTCTTTTCTCATCGCTTGATGGGGTTCTTTGTTCATTGTTGGGGCAGGCTTGTTTGGTTCAAATTACGCTGTGTATATAATGGATATCTTCATGCTAATTCTCGACATGAGAACTAATTAAAGCATCTGTAATGTGACGTTCACAAATCGGAGGTCTCGAACGGGAGGTTTCAATTGGATACAGAATAGTAGGCTATCACATCGCAGATCACATCACATCATCTCACCATCACATGATTCAGCCAACTAACTTCCAAGGTCTAAAGAAAGTAGCTTAAATGCACTTAGTTCAAGTTGGTTCTTCAGCTCATAAACCAAGGATCAACAAACAGTAAGCGATCATTTCGCTTTCAATATCTCAACATGATAGCAGTAAGCCTTTTTATCTGATTCCCCACGATCGAAACAATTCCAATCAATTATTCTGAGGTGGCAGTGCTCGAAACGATCTTCAAGCACGCTGGCGGCTGGAGTGTATAACACCCGGCCGAAGTTGAACCCGATTGACCCCAAATCGGGTGGTTGAACCTGCAAGTTATGTGCGCAATTCGCCACCAGATTAAGCCGAACTCCTCATTTCTCCTTCAAAACTCTAGATACTCTGGTTACACTGGACTATTTCCACCCTGCCACCTGGGCAGGTCCTTCCATATCATGAGAAGTTCTCGGTGATCTAGAGTTCAACATACAAATTTTCGAAAGGCACATCTCCAGATGGAATGTATTGGGCGTCAACTTCAGCGCTGGGAAGGCTGAACTGGCTATGTACAATGCGAGAAGAATTTACACCAATAATCCGACAGCTATCTCAATCCGTCTTGTTACGATCCGCGGCCTGTGTTTCATGAAGAGACACTTTCGATGGAGCTCGGGACGTCATTCGAGAATGTGTGATGCCATCTGTAGTACTGACAGCATGGAAAGAGAAGTCCAGTTCTCCAACCAAATCTTTCACTTGCCTAGGCAAAAAGGTATTAGCATTTGTGCATCATTGTAGGAATTTGAAGTCTGACTTACCACATGAGTCTTTCCACATCTCCGACTATACAACGGGTGGAAATCTGTAATACGGCAAACGTTGCGAAACCTGGTTCGGCAATGTGCTTGATGCTCAAGATATCCTTGTCGAGCGCCTCCAGGCGCTTGGAAAAGCTATAGGGCCTTGGTGTTTTCAGATACGGCGGCAAAGGTTGGCTATTTGTAATACTAGCCGATAGAAGACATAGCAGGGATGTCACCTCGTGGGTAGTAACCTTGGCGGTACCGACGAGGCGGCGGAAGTCGTGCATCCAAACTGATCCCGATTCATCATCGTCATCGTTCAGACGCATCATCGAGTCAGAGGCGTAACCAAGTAAACTGAGATAGCTCACGATGCTAGAGAGAAGGAAGTGTTAGCGAGAGAGTATGAATTGGGTATAAGGGGGAATCCACTTTTCGACGCATAGAATAATCGAGTCGTATTGCTTTTTGGGGAACACTCCGCCGACAGGAACTTCCCAAGTAAGAAATCCGGAGTAAGTGCGCAGACCAGCTAACATGAGCATCTGTTTGGAAAAGACCTTATGACGGGCCTTCTCTAGCTTGCGACCGGCGGAACTTTTCAAAGTGATATCGCCTTCGTCACCACGGATACGCGCGTTCAGCGTCTCGTGGATAATAGAGTAATAGTTCGCCAACAGATACAGAGAAGCTCCTAGACTCTGTCGTAGTACCGAGTGTTCGGAAATCGGGTAGGGGAAGAACGTCCAGATAAACGCCACGAAGATACCGCCGCTTACTGCGGCCAGGCGATACGGCGCAAGCTCATAAATGGGATAGTAAGCTTGCCCATTCGAGGTTGCAACTGCCTCACCGACCTTTCGGACAGAGAGCTCGTATCCAATAATCATGGTGGTTGTGACGACGCTGATCAATCCAACGACGCGAAACCGGAATAGCTTGATTGGTACGTAGAAGCCGATGGAGACGAAGATGAAAAGGAAGACAATGATTCCAGGTGTCTTTTGGTCGGGGATGTACCAGATTAACAGACTTACAACCATTGCAATCGTAGTACCAGCGATGCGGAGAACAAAGCTGAAGATGCTTTGTCCCGAGGTGGGGGACATGCTCAGATTGACCATGATCATGGCCCACACTAACCGCTGCTTCGTAAAGAACTCCTGGGTGTCATGTAAGAATGCAATGACTGCAATAGTCATTGTTGCACACGCAACACGAAATCCGTAAGAAGATTCAAATGAGCGAAGGAAGCGTGGAATTACTCGAACCCGATCCCCAAGTTCTTGGAATAAATTCGCTGGGGGTAAATGCTCAGGGTCTTTGCGGTGCCGATAAGCTTCTCCAAGTTCGAGAGAAGTACTTTGAGTATGAATGTCTCCCATATGATCATCTTCATGGTGATCATGGGCACTCAAAAAGGTTTTAGCCCATTTCCAACTCCGCTTGAAACCAGGGATGATAAGCCGAGTCCGGGACAATTTCCCTTTGGCAGCAACGCCATCGGCATATTCGACAAATCCGAGAACAGTCTGGCCGGTCGAGGACAGGAGCTGCTCCATGTAGAGGAACAGGTACAACTGGCGTCTACTGCGGTCTTGGTATGAGGCTGAGGCATCAAAGAAATCGCCCTTCAAGCTGTCAACCGGTGGGTGTTCAAAAAAGTCAGGTGGCAAGGAGACCCCCTTTTCTTCAGCCCAGGTTTGCAAGGCAATTTTCTTTGCGCTTCGGAACGCACTTAGCTTTTGCTGATAGTGCGCCGCAAATCCCTTGTCGCCCGGTGCGGTGTTATCAGCAGATGCTTCGACGTCCTTTTCGTCTTCCTGTGTGCCTTCACTATTCATTGCCACGGCGACTCTCTTAGGGCGCTTGGTGAGATGAAGAACGTACGAGATATGTAGCAATCCCTCATCGATAGTCTGGATCATGGTTGCAAAAGGGTCATGCACTGCCCTCATGATATCATTCCAATCTCGCACAACCTGCTCACGAACATGGTCGGGAATAGCTTCAGAATTTGCATCAATAGGCTCATTCCACCGATTATAGTCCGATAGTCTTTGAAAGATATCGACAACAAAACTCAACCCCACCACGGGAACCATAATCTGTCGCAAGTGGCGAAAGATGGATTGAATATCATCTGGTCCCAATTTCCCAAGTGCGAATTCTCTTTTAGCAAAGGTCAAGTCGCCGTGAAGCTTCGCATGGAGATCGGTAATTGCTCGGACCGCGCCACGGATGGCTTCCGCCTCGGGGCTGTACACCTTCCCCTTCTTTCCCCATTTCTCTTGGGATGAGTCGTAGGTCTCCGCTCGGCCAAACATATCATCCTTTTCCAGCGTTTCAAAGTACACGGCATGAGCGCCTAACGCAGCTCGAAGGCTTCCAATATAGCCACCCATCTGTTTGAACACTGCTTTTCTCGAAGTCATCGGAAAGACGAGGAGAGAAACTCCACTTGACAAGGCCAGTCCAGTGAGAAAGGTCTTCAGCAGCTTCAAGACAAGTGCTATTGAAGAGGCCATGTTTTTTTCCTGTGGGGCGTAGATGGATGAGACGTTGGCAAAAATGGAGTAGAGGACCACTGGAAATTGGAATTGTGGGTATTTGGCGCGGAAAGTATGGACAAGCCAAATCTGAAAGAACAGCCAAACCGCACTGACTGCCGATGCGGATGAATTGTACGACGAGGTCGACCCGTTTTGGGTATGCTGGCGTGCCTTGACGCTGCAGTACATGGTCAACAACGCCAAGCATGATGCTATACAGACAGCCAACACGTCAAAGATCATCATCTGAATGAACTTGGCACGAGGCATGATAGCAAATCCCAAAATAGATACGATCGCTATAAGATAGCCGAGAGTGGTGTACTCATCTGCCACATCCGTGGCTTGGTAGCTGATCCGAGTCAGATGGGGACCATGTTAAAATGGGGAAGATCCACTTACATGGATACGGCGATTGCCGGAGCCAAGCCACCCCTAGGTTCAAATTAGCCATATTTCCTGCAAATCGGAGTCCATGTCGTACTTCATCATCAGCACAATGGTTTGCTGATCCAACCCAGTTTTCTGCCATATTTTTTTTAATCTGGTCCCAAGTGTAACTTTCTCTTTCTTGGTGGTCTGGGTGTCGCGGCGCGACAATGTCTCACTAATTGAGTCATCCAGATCCCTGTTAGTGCGAGCCGCCATGATTGAAGTTAGCGTTGATGCGCCCGCGTTCGGATCCAGTAAAATTGCCCGAGTGCGCGCAGTCCAATTAATGCATGTCGCGTAGGACGTATAGCGCCGATCCTAAAAGACGAAGCGACACGACGCGCTTAAAGGGAGTGTGTGAGGGGAAGAGTTTTGAGGGTGAAGGAATTCCGGTTTCGAGATCCACGTTTTTCGAGTGGGGCCGAGGCCGAGCAATGATGTTGCGGGGGTTTCAATACCGTTTCTTTTACTATTTCTTAGTCAGGATAACTGCCGAATTCTATATTATCTCAATGAATTCTTTAATTTACTCCATTTATTTCGTAAAAGGCTTCAGTACTACCTCATCCAAGTAGCAAATCAGCAAATGTGAAAGAAAACGGTCGCGATTACTATAGCCAATACGAAGTTCCCTATGTTCAGGGTTCTTATCTGCTTATATCCGTAACTGTTAGTAGTATATATCCCATCGGCGCTAAAAATTGGCCCCTGAAAACCCTTAGAACAAGCTTGTTTCCCCTCTCCAATCTGCAAGGCTTCTTGTCTAGGACATTGAACGCCAGCCACAACATTATGAATCATTCAGACGAAACGATTGACGGAGAACGAACATACCTCTTTCACTGACTCCCAAAGCCATAATGTCTGAAAATACATCCACCGCACAAGATGCGACCAAACCATGGGCCTCAATGCCCCATCGCAAACCAGTCCCACCTGCCGCCCCCGATAACGAGGCGGCGACATCTGATTCCCAAGTCCCTGAAACAAAGAATGTTGTTAGCGAGCAAAAACAAAAATGGCCCCTTGTCGCACCGATAGTCATATGGTGGACATCTCAAAAACGATCACGAAAATTCCTGTTCATTGGCAGTATCATCGCGATCCTTCTAATCGCCTTAATAATTGGCCTTGCCGTCGGATTAACAGTCGGAAAGAAGTGAGTTTTTTTGAATGATCAAGGAGACAGCCATTCTGACTCCCATAGTAAAAAATCTGATCTTGCCTTACCGACTTCCAACGGTGGCCCCTACTCGGGAGACCTGACATACTACGATCCAGGACTTGGGGCATGTGGCGATACCAGTACATCCTCTGAGCTTATCTGCGCGGTATCTCACATCTTGTTTGATGCAGCTTCGACAAGCTCGAATCCCAATGATAATCCTTTGTGTGGATTGAAGATTCGGATTCGTCGTGATGGGAAGAGTGTAGATGTTAAAGTTGTGGATCGATGTGTGGGGTGTGCGGAGACGGATCTTGATGTCACTGAGACCGCGTTTGAGAAATTAGCTAATATTCCCCAGGGAAGAGTTACGATGGAATGGGCTTGGTTAGAGAAGTCTCCTGTTGATGCATAATACAATTTCAACCTATTTATCCTTCTTGGAAGCTAAATCTAGGAGGCCTTGAAATCGATCTCCGTTTCTGGAAGGTGGACCTCGATCTGGGCAATGCAAGGTCAACTCAAAGTTATTGTTCCTGTTTACGTGCATTGATAAAGCGCTTAAATCAGGTTATTCTTCCATAAGGCTGTCGCCCCCCTAGCCGCAGATCACCTGGCACCTCATCCATGGATCACCTCCAATGACATATATATCCGCACTCCCCGCATCTTCTCTTTTTAAACCGAAACAATTAATTAAAACAATCCAGTTAACTAACCACCAGGGCATAAATAATGCCAGGGCAAGTCGAAAGTCCCCGCCACCCTATAGGCCTCCGCAGCGAACACATCGCTGAATTCCAAAGACTCCTCTGGATCGAACCAAGCTACGATCCCCAGTCCCCCGCTGAGTTCAAAATAAACTACGACAGCGATGATTCCACCCTCATCACAGTAACAGGCACCAAATATAGCTCCCGGCGCGTCCGCGAATTCCGCGACGCCTCAGGGCTGCCCATGTTCGAAGCACAACGCATACGGCTCCCGTGGAAGAGCAAGCCTTGGCGAATCCGGCTACCAGGGACCGAAAATGAGGATCTCGCTGATGTGAAACGGAAGGGGATGATGTATGATTTTAATTTAACATTTTACAATGCTCTTGCGCAGGATGCGAAATCTGACGAGGAGAAGATGGTTACTTTGGAGGTCAGGCATTCATCGGCGTTTTGTACGTTTGGAATTTGGGCGGGTGGGCGGAAGGTTGCTGATGTGCGGGAGAGTGTAGAGAGGAATAGGACAATTTCTAGTATGTTGTCGCTTGGGGTTACTGGGAGGTCATCTTATATGCCGAGTAGATCGATTATGGAGGTTCTTGTTGCTGATGGGTTTGACTTTTGTTTGGTGGGTTCTATGTCTCCCTGTGGGAATTGATTCTGGGTACATACTAACATCGGTCTAGGCTTCACTTTGTGCGATCATTATTTGTGATACGTACTTTCGATCTACGGCTCCTACTCCTGCTGAGATTCGAGCCCGGGAGAAACGGCTTAATCCGATGATGATAACGAGATGAATGATTGCCAAAAATGGTGTGATTTAAAGTATATACCAATTGATTCGTGATGATACAACATCTATTCATAACAATCAAGCGCTGCTCTCTTAGTGTAGGAGATAGAGCATAGTGGTAGGTTGCCTCCTGGAAGCCATTACTTCCCTTCCACGTGTTCCTTCGCTTGCTCTACATGCTCTTCCACGTGTTCAGTGTGACCAAAGTCAGTCTTGTGGAGGGTCTGCTCCACATCTGCCTTTCGCTGCATCTCGTCGACGGCACCGAAGACAAGGTCCATCTCCTCGAGGGTGCGACCCTTGGTCTCTCTGAGGAAAATAAAGACAAAGATTCCCATGGCGGTACAGAAGATAGCGAACATGAGGAAGGTTCTCCAGCCAATACTGTTGATAGCACGAGGAGTGACTTCGGTGATAACAAAGTTGAATAGCCACTGGACAGCAGCACCGAGACCGACTCCGTATGAACGAAGTCGAGTGGGGAAGATCTAGCAAAATTAGTGGAAATCTCAAGAATCAATATGGGGGCTCTTACCTCGCCCAAGTACACCCAGGGTGTAGGACCCCATGAGAAGGAGTAGCCAATAACGTAAAGGTAGATCATAGTAACCATGGCAATAGAAGCAGAAGAAACGCTGGTCGCATCAGCGTCGGGAGGGTGTGTAGCCAAGACAGCACCAATAATAAACATCATGGAAGCCATCCAAATAGCACCACCAATCAAACTGTTCTTTCGGCCCCATCGGTCAATTCCAACAAACAGGAAGATGGCCGTCGCGACAACCTTGACAGTGCCATAGATACCCGTGGCAAAGAGCGACGAGTGGGTCGAGCTAATACCAATTGACTCGAAGATCTGAGGAGCGTAGTATCCAATACTGTTCGTTCCCGAGAACTGCTGCCAGAACATGATGGTAGACCCCAGGAAGAAGCGGTAGCGGTTGCTCTTCTTCAAGCACTCCTTCCAGGTAACACCTTCGGTAGCCTGAAGCTCCTCATCAACGGCAGTATAAATCTCCGCCAATTCCTTCTGCACCTCCTCGCTGTCCTCGGGCTCATTGCGAATATACGCCAACGCATGAAGTGCCTCATCCTGACGACCTTGCTTCATCAGCCAGCGAGGAGATTCTTTAAGGAAAAAGAGACCGATAAGCATCAGTCCACCAGGGACGAGCTGGATGGCCACGGGAATCCGCCACTGGCGGGTGCTCTCTGGAATGTGCAGAGCAACACCGTAATCAAGCCAGTAGGCAAAGGTACTACCGATCACGAGGAACTCCTGGAACATACCCGCGATGCGGCCTCTGTGCTGCGGCGGGCAGTTCTCGCTCACGAATACAGGAGTGATACTTGACATGCCACCAATGCCGAGACCGGCAATGACACGACCTCCGTAAATCATGCCGATTTCGTGATGAGCACCGACTTGAATGGCGGCACCAACCAGGAAGACCGAACAGAAGATCATGAGCGAATAGCGACGACCGATACGGTCATTGATGTAGGCTGCAAAGATGGAACCGAAGAAACATCCAGCTGTGAGGAGACTGACGACGTTTGATGAGACTTGGGCGTTTTTGGTTGAGGAGAATCCAGTTTTGGAGGTTGGGAGGCCGAAGTCTTTCTTGAAGCTGTCCATGGCTAGGACGGAGCTCATGACTCCCGTGTCATATCCTGTATTATGAGTTAGTGATGCACTGGACAGCATGCTTGGTGGAACGAACCGAAAAGCAAGGAGCCTAGGTAGGCTACTGCTGTGAGGATGTAGACACGATAATTCTTCAATGCACGAGGTGCCATGGTGATGATGTTTGTGAGGGAACCTCACTGGAAATAAGTTCGAAAGGAAGAGAGAAAAAAAAAGGGTGATAAACGGCCGGCCGTATATGAGTTCCCCGGAAACTGAAAGAAAAAAGGAGGGGCCCCGGATGGAGTCTTTTTTATACATGATCGAGCAATCCTTCTGCAACGGTACCAGTGGGTCAAAAAGGTTGATCTACATCTTCTATTACTCAATAGCATCATGGTTGGAGTGCAACCCCTACTAAAATCCGTGTGGACAGTGCCTATGGCGCCAGCCGACCGGGGTTAGAAGCCGGATGGGGCCACATTGGGGAAGTCATGGCGGGGAAAACCGTGGGGATGACTGGTGGAGAAAAGGGAAAGGGTCTTTGCGCAGTTTTTCCGTCAATCTAAGGGTCCCCTGGGACCGCTTCATCGGCAATTTTTATTGGTTTGCATGGGCTGCCAAGATGTTTAAAATGCAAGCTTGTCATTCGTGGAATTTCTATCAAATTGTCCGTCGATCCACTTTATGGCCTTCTATCTACTGGCATAAAAACATGGTATTATCTTGATATCTTTCCCCACGGGGTTGCGCGTCCAGGAATTCAATGTCTACACGTCATCTGGGGATCAATTGGGAAAGACCCTCACCAAACTGAGTCTTCATCTTCGATATACGGAATCTTCAATTCACTTTCCATCTGAGACTTGCAAACGCCGTCGGCACAAATTCAATTGCCGACCATCACCGACGCTCTGGACTTTGGATTTTGCAGAATGAAAAGACACAAAAGCAGACACAATCGTTCACGGTTATTGGAAATCGGTTATTGCGGCAAATCCAGTGAGCGCCATACGGCCCCGTGGGAAGTTAAAATGAACACGAATATCAAGCATGAAGTGAGATGCAGTATTCGGCAATGAAAGTCGGGATCATCCAAGAACAACGAAGAAGCTTCAATGCCGAGAACAAACACATTAATCCCAAGACGGGAGTTTACGAAGACCAACTTGCCGAAATTCCAAGACCTTGACTCAGCTCAATTCTCCCTATTAAAGCCACCAAGTCTAAACACAAATTATAACAGATTCTCTCGAATACCTTGAGTCGTGTACATCGTCATGGCCATCGTAGAAAGCGTCGTTGCTCAGATTGCCAGAGTCATTGATTATCCTTTTCCCATCAATCGACGAGTCGCGCTTTCTGGTCCGGGCCGTGTGTGCACTAGAGCTAGCCACATATGGAGAGCTTAGTTCGTGCGTATTCCTGCTCGTTGATGGACTCTTCATCGATCGCACTAAAGATCGAAGAAATGGGACTGATGCCGTGATTATCACCAGATAAGTCTCAATGTATAGCCAGCGGTCGTAATCTATCGTTGCAATCGTCGGGTCCATGTCGTAAGATGCGAGGACGCGTGTTTGAACAGTTCGTATGATAGCGGCGACCATTGCACTGGATGAATCAGCCCATTAGTTTCAATTGGTCAGATCGCTAGTGCGAGTCCGGATCGCCACTCACAAAACTCCTAGTCCAAGTAGAGTAACCAAGCCCAGCTTCACTCTTAGCTTCAGATTCAATGTCCAGAATATGCAGGTTGAAAAGACGGCCAGATAAAGGTCCGTTGCCGAGTTGAAAGCTAAGACATGAACAATAAATATCAAATGGATGTCGGCGCCCTCAGGGTGGTCTTACCTCCTTGGAAATATCCATAATAAGCCTGCACTCGAGTGTTCCAGCATTTCGATTTCTCAGAATGCTCCCAAATCGCAGACGCATGTTCGGGGCATTGCACAAACAGGATGATGATAAACATGGAGTTCACTATCAATTGCATCGCCACAAGCCCCCAAAACACAACTCGATGCCACTGCCTGGACACAAGCAGGCCGATGACGAAAACAATGAACGAAACTCGCCCTAGTGCCCCACCCGCCAGCGCAAATGTCTGTGCAAGGTAGTCATACATGATGACTTTAGGGACATTGACGGTGCTAATATCGTCTACCTCTTGGCCAAATCCATGCTGGATGCCGATCGTAGTCATGACAGATCCGACCGTAGCTAAGCACTGCAATAAACACAGACGTCAATTGAAGACAGGGGGAGAAGACAACAATATTTGATTTATCGCATTGGAAAAGTCTAGCTGGTAAGAGAAAGGTATGCTAACCAGTGCAAAGCCCATAAGCAAATCATCCGGTCCGAATTTTCCAACTCTCAATTTCGCAACGAATCTCAAGATCACCACGAGTATGGCAACAGCCGTGAGAGCCCAGACATCTCTTAGAAGATGGGGTCCAGAGTCATACTCAGGCATGTTGTGGAGGCGTTAGGTGCCCAGGCATTAACACATAGTAAAATGAAAAGCCCTGTCATCAACATATGTAACGAATCGTTCATGGAACTGTCGGATTTATGATATTTGCCCTATCAACATGTTATCGAGATGGGAAAAAGGGGGACATGTGAATCGGAGATCTCCATGGAATTGTATCGTTCGAAAAAAATCGACCAGTGATGAGCCAAGATGGCTTGTATAGGGTTGTCGGAGGTCACCGTGGCGGATACTCGCATGATAATTGATAAGAGTCAGCAAGACCTCGATTCCTTGAGTGAACCAAACCTTAATACGGATTAATGCGGGTGGATAGGGACCATGATAATGGCCGTGATGTTGATTGGCCGGATGTCTTCGATTAATACTTAACCAATTGAGAACGAATGCTTCGAGATCTTGAGCTGAACTGATAGTAAGAATATTTACTGCGATGATTATATTGTATTCCTATCTTTGGATAAAAAAGGAAGTTCGTCGAATCAAAGCACGTGAGACTAGAGCGGGTCAGACGCACAGTAGAGCCACCAGATTGAGACAGGATGGATCGAAATCAGTTTCACTGATCTACTCTCTCAGAATCTTTCTCAACCCCTAGTGCCAAACAAACTAATCCATTTCGGACTTGGCTCGCTTTCAGGTACTGTATTGCATTGAAAGACACCATCACGTGTTACTATAGTATAACATTGAGAGAATCACTTGAAAGACTACTCTATGGCGCTCGCAGCCCCTTAGCTCGCTCATTGGGCCTTGTTCCTGCATAACCTCAATCTTTTATCAGCGCAGTCATTAAGGTGGTAAGGTGAATTAATATAGAGTAGCGACCGTCAAGTCATTCTACGATGGGAAGAATTTTTTGGGAAGTTCACATACAAAGCAGAAATTGCCAGGTAAAAGGATGACATTCAAGCATCTAGCATTTCAAGTATACTCAGGCATCGCGTTTCCAATTTCAACAATATTTCAAACTTAGATAATGTAGCCTGAGAGTGTAGACCTAGTTTCTGCTGCTATCTGCTTAAGTAACCCCGCAGCAAATCAATAGCTTCGGCATCGCGAGTTGAAGATTTCCAGGTAAAAGTAAGATTAGCCGTATTACTCAGTGTGTCGAGATGATTATGATCAAGCTTCGTGTTGCTCATCTCCATCACCTACACCGCAGCTTCTCGGCCTCCTTATACCGGCTCTGACTCCAGTACGTCATTGCTAGGTTACAAGTGGGATACGTATCTTGATAAACTGCAAAAAATCATCTCAATCTACATCTGCTTTTTTATGGCGACTGAATGGCAAATTTTGAAAAGGGCTGTTCGTTAGTTCGCTTAGGGTACTCACGTACCAACTAGAATAGTACGTAGAGGCTGGAGACTATACATGGGAGCACTCTAGAGTACCCCACAGCTATAGCTACTTGTCAAACCATCCCAGAGCTCAAAGCCTAGAAAGGTCTTATGCATTATCCTGCGTCTCGGCTTCAAAATGTGGCGGGAATAGCGGTGAGCAAGTGGTTTGAACGAAAGGCTACGGTTTCACGCATGCCACCTGAGGCAGAAAGCCTTGAACTGTTGACATATTTGACTGAGATTGAATCTATACAGTGGGGGCGCTAAGCAAAAGCCGATTTACTTATAGATCAAGAGATCGATCCAGGTACAAATATAAGGTTTGTCCCCCTGAAAGCAAACACATAACTTCCTGGCTTCGACATTACCCCTCGCCCCGTCACTTTACATCATGACCGGAACCAACACGACCCCTCACATCGGAGAAACTCTTCGGATATGGAAACAATTGCAGGAATTGAAGGAGGAAAAGACAGCGATTGTACTCGATGGTAACAACCTCGATATCGCTTCTATAGTTGCGGTTGCCCGCTATGGAGTCAAGCCTACCATTAGCACAGACGAGCATCTTGCCAAGCGACTCGAACATAGCGTCAACACCCTCCTCGACTATTTATCACATCAATACGTGGTTTACGGAGTGAATACCGGGTTTGGGGGGAGTGCCGACACGCGAACTAGCGATGTTCTCGATCTGCAGATCCATTTGCTACAGCATACCCAGAGCGCAATCATCACATCAGCGGATAAGGACCCCGCCAGCAATTCGGAGCGAGAACCATCCCACGTCATGCCTCCTGCTTGGGTTCGCGGTGCCATTGTCGCCCGAGCAAACCAGAACCTCCGGGGCCACAGTGCCATACGATTGTGTGTGCTTCAGAGCTTGCTGGATATGTTACACCACGACATAATTCCAATGATTCCCCTCAGAGGAACTATTTCTGCGTCTGGAGATCTCATGCCTATGTCTTACATTGCTGGAGCTATCGCCGGTAACCCGGATGTCTTTGTGCAGGTGGGTAAAGGCAAAGAGGCTAGAGTCATACCCGCGTCAGAAGCGTTGAAAGAGAAGGGGCTATCACCTTCCGGACTAGGACCCAAAGAGGCACTTGGTTTAATCAACGGCACTGCCCCTTCTGTGGCTGTCGCCAGTTTGGTACTCTATGACGCGCAACAACTCGCACTGCTTGCTCAGATGCTCACAGCCTTTGCTGCTGAATGCATGGGCGGAAATGTTGAATGGGCTCAGCCCTTCATTCATGCCGCACGCCCCCATACCGGTCAAATCGAGGCAGCCAGCAACATTCGCCGGTTCTTGAATGGCTCCAAATTTGTCGATGGTCTGGAGTCGAGGAAGAGAACCGGTGAAGGACTCTGGCAAGATCGCTACTCAACCAGAACTGCCCCACAGTGGATTGGACCGTACCTGGAGGACCTCCTCCTTGCGCAACATCAGCTGGAGGTCGAACTCAATTCTACATCTGATAACCCACTCATTAATCCTGCAGAACAGGGCTCTGGAGATGTCTACTCGGGCGGAAACTTCCAGGCAGTTGTGGTCACCTCTGCCATGGACAAGACACGCCTCGCTCTTCAAATGATCGGTCGCATGCTTTGGTCTCAGGTCAGTGAGATCATTGGCCCGAATACAAACAATGGCCTGGAGGCCAATCTCAACCCTAGCGACCACGAGAACTACACCATGAAAGGCATCGATGTCAACATGTCAGCATACATGTCTGAGCTGGCAGCGTTGGCGCATCCAGTTTCTTCCCATGTAATGTCCGCCGAAATGCATAATCAGGGCATTAATTCACTGGCGCTGATTTCAGCTCGACGCACCATGGAAGCTGTGGACCTGGTCGCCCACATGAGCGCTTGTCATATCTACGTGTTGTGCCAGGCTGTCGAAATGCGCGCAAACCATATGCGATTTCTTTCGAAATTTCACGAGAAGTTGAAGAGCCTCCTTCCAGACGGCGCAATGTGTGATCTGGGATTAAATGGATCGCAAATCGAGATTCTCGCTCAATCCATACAACCCCTCATCGAATCAACATGGTATCATTGGAATTCCAACACTTGGAAAGACCGTATACCACATGTTGTGGATGCTGTAGTTTCCCCGGTGACGGAGTTTCTGGTTAGCAACGAACATGATTGCTCGGTATCAACGCTTGTCGCTTTTAAGAAACATTTCCAAACAATTCTAAAAGACACGGCCGACCGCATGTTTTACCCCAGTCCGACCATCCCCCCGATAGAGGTAGCCACCCAGTTGGGTGATGGATCCTCGCAGCTATATACTTGGGTCCGCTCAAAGCTCCAAATACCCCTGCACTGTGGTCTTAAAGATGACCCCTTGTATAATGCCAGACAAGGTCTACCTACCGATGACAAAAAAACTATTGGGAGCCGAGTGAGTGCTATTTATGAGAGCTTGATTCACGGTGAAATGATGGATATGGTTCTAGATGGAGTAGATACTGGTCGGAGCTTTCCTGATGTCTGCTTTTCATGCTTGGCGCCGAAATAGAGGAGGCTCTTTCATATTTTTGTCGAAAGATGGAATGACTCACATTTACTTTATGATTTGATGAGCGATGTTTTGACTTGAGACAGTATTTTTTGCTTGATATTTTAAGAGAATGCACTTTTTCTTGGTTAATTGACCCTCTCCTTGGCGATGGGGTTGGCCTTAGCGCTAAGGTGACGTTTACAGCAATTTTCATTGAAATCGCTACATAAGGATTCTTGAAGGCCACCAAAATGGACCCTATATTCAGACTACCTGTTAAGTGTCAGGTTTGTTCGTAAAGCTTGAGGTATTCAAGGATCCCGACCTTCTAGAGAAGATTCGAAGCGAAGCACGGACGTGTATCATAAACCAGACACAATTCGATCTCCAATTCGACGTTGACCGATTACTTCGGCAACCCATTATGCAGGCTGTATTCTGTGAAACGCTTCGCTTACGGGTAGATAGTCTTTTATTGCGATGCCCTTTAAAGGGCAGTCATGTGATCAAAGACTGGTTCTACCTAGACCTCGCCAAAACCCGCCCACCGCCCAAACCCACCCACGAAAACCCAACCCACGGGCTGGGTTGGGTCTTAGTCAGCATACCCGTGGGCGGGTTGTCATCTGGGAAACCCGACCCAAGACCCAAATGGGTACCCTGTATAACCCGAAAAAGCAAAAATAGTTGACATATCATTTTGCACTAAATTATGCAGTAATTTTAGATTACGTGATGGTTTAGCCACTGTCTGGGTATCTTAATCTATAGCGGGGAGATTGGGGAACAAATATTATAGACAAAGGGAATGAGATTGGTGCATGAAGACTAATATAGCTCGTACCCATGCAGTCGACTTGAGGGCATCGTTACCCTACCAGAGGATCTCTTCTGACTTCTATCGCCCAATTGTATTATTGGAGGTGGAAGCAAATCAGCTTCATCGACTTCAATTACTTCCCCCTCTTCCACCTCATTTACGTCTCCATCCTCATGGTTCGTCTGGTTGTACGTTGAAGGCCGGTCAGCCTCTACCAGTATACTTTCAACTTGGTATGAGGCCTCGATTTCCAAATTGCCTTCGATGTCTTCACTTTCTTCGACCTCTTCCTCGTCACTGATCGGCTCAGCATCCTCTTCATTTCCTTTCAATGCTTCATCCTCTTCAATTGTCTCTTGACCCTCAATCTCCGTCGACTTTTCCAGGCGAGCTAACTGCTCTCCCTCCAGTGTAAATTTCTCTGAGCACATATACATCATCAAGTCTTGAATAGTCACTTCATGAAGAGACCCTCGACGATAATGACAGATGTCTCGCGCACTGTTGAAAAGCCTTTCCACCCCCGCGCCGGTGGCCGGAACCGAAAGCAAGTCGCGTGCCAGCCGAGAAAGCACAGGGAACTCACGCTCATGTTCTCTCCAATAGAGCCGTGGTGGCACGGGAACATTTGCTATAGAAATCAGTTAGTGGTCTAAGTGTAGTATGCCAGTTGCCCATACCTTCTCGGAGGTACCGATCCACCTCGTCATGCTCTACCCCTTCGAGGAGCATATAGTCATTAACTGGTTCAAGTAGCCGATCAAGTTCTGAACTATGCAGTGCCGACGAACGATGCACTGTACGAAACAATAGCTCAGGATTTTGTTGTTGATACTGCGTGAAACACGCTCTCAAGTATTCACAGTACCTTTTCGAAGTATCCTCGTGGCAAATAGAATACTCCCTGTCATCAAAGGCAGATAGTTTATATTGAGGAGCAAGTAGAGCTCCCGTGCCATAGAAAAAGCCGTGGTCACGGTAGGTCTTCTCATAGTACTCTCTCAGTTTCTGCCTCGCAACGAGCAGCGCGCTATACATGTCCTTCTTCCAAGGCGTTGTCTTTTTCTTCAACTTTCGATTTGACCGTTCGATATGCTCCAGAAGTTTCCTATACACAAGGAACACGCTATGAATTGTCACGTCTTTGGTCTTCATTAGAGCCATGGTGAATTGAAAGAACGGTTTGGTCAAGTGGACTAGATAGTCAATTTGCCGCCATTCAATGTCAGTAATCTTGAACTGAGAGTATTCATGATCGTCGCAGTATTTGTCGATGATATTTCTTAGTCGACGCGCACGGCGAAGCATCAAAAAAGTGGAGTTCCAGCGTGTTTGAACATCGTGCAACGGAAACAGCCGGGTTCCGCCTGATTGAAGACATAAAAATGTATCTCGCCGTTGTGGGCTTGCATTGACAAATACCGCAAATGACCGAATCTGCCTTGATCAGTACTCCGCCCATATTTACAGTCATTCGTGGAAGCTCCAGACTCACCTTTGCCAGGGTATGAGCCACATCTCCGTGGCTTGCTGAGTCTCTTAAACCGATGACTTGAGTATCAGACCAAAAGGTCTTTACTTCTTTGTTCTTGGGCGCTGCTCTAATATGCCCCAAAAGCTGCTTTAGGCAAAGCTGGATCACATGGGCCATACAAGGAACCCGGATAATGGATTCCCTGGAGCCAATCGCGCCAGTAGAGATCAGTTTTTCTTGCAAAGCGCGGATCAACGTCTCATTGTTGGACGCATTATCTGTCGTGACGCTAAAGATGCGATCCAAGAGTCCACGTTCCTTCAGTAACTGATGGAGAACATCACTGAGGTTGTTCCCTGTGTGGGGACCGTGCAATGGTTCAAAGCCAAGGAGCATTTCTCGGTAATTCCAATCTTTGTCAATGAAATAGACTGTGATTGCCATAAATGCTTGCTGGAATGGACTGGTCCAACAATCCAACGCGAGTGACACCTTAGCGTCTTCAGGCAGATCTTGCAATTGCGACTCCTGTTGAACTGTAACTGCATTCCGGAGTCGCCTTCGCAGGGTTTTTGCTGACGGAAGTTCCAGTACTCCAGTTCCCGAATTTACGAGGTTAAGCAGCCTCTGGAACACAGGGTTCTCCACTGTTTGGAATGGCAACCGAAGACAGGTAATAGTCTTTAACAACTGCTCCTCAAGTTGGAATGTTGTTACCTTGTGCACATTGGCCGACTCCCTCATGGAATGGTTTTGCAACGAATCGGGGATTAGTGTTTGATGAGATCCTCTTTTCTTTCCCTTGCGACAGGAATTTGACTTTTGGTGTCTACTCATAGCACTTGTCCCATTGCCTTTGTACTGTGGATGATCAAGCAAAGTAAGACAGGCTTTACAAAGGACTCGTGGGCGCCCAGAATCGATATCGGCTACCTGGTCAAAGTGTTTCCAAGCGTCGGCATGACGCGACTCGGTAGACCACTTGATTTGGGACTGACCGTCCCCGTTTAGCTTGTGGCCATATTCGGTTTTCTCCCACCATCCTAAAAATTCTCTCTCCAGGTATAACTCGTACAAAATCCAGTTCTTTCTGCGTTGAGGTCCCACGCGTCTTAGCGTCGCCGGAGGTCTTCGAGTATATATGTCGTAGCTCTCGCGGGATTCGGTGAAAGGCTGTAGGCTATCTTAGCATACCAGTGGGGAGTCTCGCAATAGTCAATCAAGCACACGAAGGAGGCATTTGTTCTCATACAGAAGACTGAATATCCGAGTCCAACAAAACGTCAGACGATGGCTCAATAGAGAGCAGAGGGCTGAAAGCCTGATACCTTGATTGCGATGACGAGGAAGAAGCCGCCATGTTGATGGTTTGTGCCATCGGAGTTGAAGATAAAAATATCCATCTTGTGTGCTTGAATGTGGATTTTTGTTAGAGTCGCGTCGTGCGTTTGGATCTATCTATTCTTGAGTCGCGTAAGCCCGCGGGTACCCAAAACCCAACCCAACCCAAAACCCGCGCGACTTGAGGACGCTGAGAACATTCCAATGGCTAATTTTAAGTGCGTCAAGTTGAATATAATCGAATGAATACAACGCAGTAAGCTTGGATTCCATTAAACTTTCATAAGCTCATCGATACGGCTTGAGATCTCTTGAGATACAGAAAGACTGTCAAGAGAAACCTCGAGATAAGCAGAATATATATATATTTTCTGACACATGATGAGGGGGCAGTATTTGAGCGTAACACACAGCCAAAAGCGTGACAATTATAAAATACAAAAATTACACACAGTGACTAATCAGTTTTATTCGCGATTTAGCCATATATTTGGGTATTTTGGGTAACCCACGGGTACCCGCCAAGAACCCACGGGCGGGTTCATGAAGGCCAAAACCCGCGGTGGGCTACCCGTGGGTGGGTAAAGAAAATGAAAACCCAACCCAAACCCACGCTTGGCGAGGTCTAGTTCTACCTGAGAACAAGTTTATCATAAATAGCATGACGCCGGAACACATGAATCCAGATGTTTGGTGCACCGGTGCTGTTGAAACACATCCAGCGGAGCAATTCTGGCCAGATCGCTTCCTTGAATATTTCGAGCAAGAAAAGCTATTCACGTTCTCTATGGACCGAGCTGAGGGTCATTGGATGTCTTTTGGCGGAGGTAACTTTCCTTGTCCAGGTCGACACCTGGCGTCGACACCTGGCGGAACTTACTATGATTTTGAGTATGGCTCTTCTTTCTACCTTGTATGACTAAGAGATACTTGCGGGTGATGAAGATATGAAAATGAGTTCTAGGAATTTCGGATTCGGGACTCTTGGTCCTGCTGGCAAGATTCCTATTAGAATTCGTCGTCGGGACGCTGGATTTGACTTTCACTTTCGTTAGGTAGATTGGTTACAGCATTCAATGTGGAGCATCTATGCTCTCTTCCAGGTTCCAAGATTTAGTGTGAAAAGATAGAATCTCGATACCGTAATTTGAAAGGAATCTTGGAAGCTATATGAGATGTGTAAATTAATAGAGTTCATTGAAGGTACTACTTCATCTCAAACCCTAGGAAGATATCTTATATTCATTGGGTCACTCATATTATCAACATAAATCTTTGCTTCACCCAAGTTTCCCCTTCATTCCCACCTCACCCATAGTGCGATGTTGAAGCAGAACCTCAAAGCCCATCACCATCCACAAAAACTGAGTAAAGCCACCGGGATGGTCTCTTGGCTTCTGGCTTAAATCAGGTGTGGGACTTGGTTCTATTCCAGTCAGGATCTTGCTTTAGCTGGATAAAAAATTTCCTGACCTTCAGATGGCTTTGGGTCATTCACCGCTTCTGGGCCATATATTGGGAGACCCATTTCATTGACTTAAGCTTCACGTGGGAGATATGTTACTTGCGAGGAATTGAATAGAGAAACGTGAACTATTGTTTTGGATATCTTAATGAAAACTTAGAGACTTGATTCAAAGATGGAAATTGAGTGTAGATGGAAATGCGGGGAAAATAAATACAGACCCAGTTGGCCCCCAACAGCCAGCCACATGGTATGACGCGGCGGCGTCTCAGCTGGGCAGATTAACTTACCAATAGTACCAATAGTACAAGGACTCATGGCGCAGGATCATAATTTGTTCATTATCATTGATATATCTTGCGAATCGGATCAAGAAAGCCTATGAAAGTATCTCCTTGAAATTCATGTAGATTGCGGCCCCCAAATTGAGATTTGGGCTGGTTGATCGTACAAAGGGAAATGAGGGGTAAATAGTGAAAATATCAAGGTTCTTACCCTCGTCAACTAGGTGCATTAAGTGGATTGCCTGCAATCTTTTTTTTTATATTTTCGATTTTATCTCGGAGTGATCAGCCTTGGAACTACTCTTGCAGTCTTGTGAGTTACACTCCTCAGTGGTCAGGTGACCTGGGAGTGTTGAGATAGATTAACAGATCACTTTGATTTCTCCTTCCCTTCTTTCCATGCTTCTCCAAAACATTCGAATAATATCTCCTCTCCTTATGCTCTGCTAAAGAATGTGTGAGAGTGGACGATCCCTTACCCGAAGCCGTTTCCAGAGTCCATAGCCGCGCCTATCTCGTCCGTTTCCAGAACTCAAAGCGGGTGAGTCCAACAGTTACCTCATCACAATACTCTCTTTCAAACCACATTGAGTAAATTTATAATCCGGAAATGAAGTGGAGAATGTATTCCGGGGATATGGGGATTATGGAGAATTTATAAAGCTGCCAACATGTCCAGATTTTCAACCATCCACATTTCCACCCTTACAAGCTACAGCATCCGAGCATGTTCTCTCCACGTTCCATCGCCTTAGGGGCCCTCACTTTCCTGTTCATTGAACCCAGTTACTCTACAATGAACGTTCCCCAGAGCCTGCTCCTCAACAGCGTTGCCGAATCACTTGCACTGCCCATGTATACTTGGTCCGCCAACGGCACCCACAATGCAAAGGGATATACCACCAAGGAAGCCGATGTTGCCAGCGTGCAGGGCCTGTTCGAGGACTGTGAAAATATCAATCTGAATCGCAAGCTCGCTACCAACTTCCGGAGCGACGTGCTTGGCCCTGGTGTCTCGGGTTTCTTCTACAAGTGTGAGAAGATCAGTCATGACACCAATAAGTACTGGTTCACTATTAGCTCTGGGGAGCAGTCGCAGATTGACAAACTCTGTGATGCGAATCAGAAGTACCCCATAGTTTACGACCAGCAGCACGATACTTGGTTTATTGATGAGCCATTTGATTGCACTCAGCGGACTTCGCCTGAAATTTGGCCTTGAATGCCCTATTTGGTTGGTGGGTTTATTTAAATGTTGGGTTGAAAAATCGATCGTTTTTTTCTACTGCACAGGTATTCGGATCCAGGACTACGGTGGCTGTATATCTAATTATCGAGCAACTTCTACTCATACTCCGAAATTTAATGCTTGTGCTAGAAATCAAGTGCATAATGTCAAAAATACAAATTAGGCTCATGATTGAACCCTGAGTAGTCGCGTTAAATCTTCAAGTTTGAGCAGTTCGCGCTTCAGCAACATCAAGTCCCCACTCTGTCTTCACCTTTGGTGTGAGAATAGCCGATTTCCTGAGAATATGTTCCGCAAGAGCAAGCAAAGAATCCCCAGCCAAGATCTCCAAAACTTGCATACTAGATTCCAACTCTCGCGTAATCCAGTTCCGGATCTCAATGGCCACAAGTGAATCTAAGCCGTAGATGGAGACCGGAGCTGTGGGGTCCAATTCCTCTAAGGGACGCATAAGGATGTTGGAGATCTTACCAGCTAATGCAGTGACCACGATAGCTTCTGCAGCCTCGCGGCTTTGGCATTGCCGGATTGCCGTTGCTGGGGAAATTTGGTCGGATGCCGCTCCATCGGTTGGAGCACCCGTTTCGGCCAATGTAGAGAGACGGAGGAGTTGCGAGAGCTTGGTATCGGTTATCCAGAATGGCTGCTCGGAGGCGGGTTGTCTCTTTACACCGTCGAAGCCGACGACGCAGTGGCCTTCGCAGGTTTCCCGCATTTCGTTTCGCATGGCTGCGGCCACGAGGCCACGGATGTCGGTTGCGTCGACAGAATCGGTGCCCAGTGAGGCGGCGATTTGCTCGCGTTTGGAGTCATCAGATAGATATCCTACACCACGGACGATGGGAAGATCGATTGTTGTGCATGGGATACCCGATACCTCGGGGTAGGCGGCCAATGCCGCCATGTATGTACCACTCGCGGCATATGGTGACTGGCCGAGATTTCCAACAAAGCTGGCAGCTGATGACAGTGTGATAAAGAAATCGAGGTTTGAGCTGACGCTGGCACTCTGTAGGGTATTTTGCAGGTTCCAGATTCCGTGGATTCGAGGTCTCATGACGGCTTCGTAGTCCTCATGTGTGAGCTTTTCGAAGAGTGTGTCCTATCGTGATGGTTAGTTTATGCCCATTTAGTAATTTTAAATAACACTTACTCGAAGAACCATTGCACCGTAGATAACACCACGAACAGTAGGCAATCGGCTTAACAACGGAACCATGTTCTGTTCTACACTCTGTGGGTTGGAGATATCACAACGACAAACTTCCACAGTCACGCCCTGCGATTTGAGATCTTGAATGGCTTTCTGGGCTTCTTCGGTTGAAGCTCCACTTCTGGAAACAAGTAGGATGTGTTTTGCTCCTTTGTTGGGCATCCAGCTGGCGAGATCGAGACCAATGCCGCTAGTACCTCCGACAACAATGTAAGTACCTTCAGCGTGGAGTAGCTTCTCTTCCTTCCTTGCCGGGTGAACCTGAAATGTAAGTTAGCATTACTTTCGGGCATTGAAATCAGAATGGAAGTATATCGCACTTTAACCTTGGCATCATCAGTCAATGTGACAACCAATTTTCCAATAACCTGGCCACCCTGCAAAGCTCGTAAGCCTTGCTCGACCTCAGAGATCGGCATCACGGTAATAGGCCAGCGTGACTGGGCGTTTGTGTTGGCAAAAGTGTAAAACGCCTCGCGCATCAATCGCCTTGTGAGCCTTGGGTTCTTCTCTCTTACAACGCCCAAATCTACCGAGGAAAATGTTACATTTTTGTTGAAGTGGGCCATTTCCAATCGGGAGTTCTGGTCGATGTCACGTTTGCCTAGCTCAATGAACCGCCCAAAAGGAGCAACACATTCAAAGGTCGCTTGCAGGGCATCTCCACTCAGCGAGTTAACAGCGACATCAACACCCTCTCCGCCAGTGGCATTGAGAATGCCTCGAGAGAAAGAAGTATCACGGCTGTAGAAGATCTGGTCCTCCTTCAGACCGTAAGTTTTCATCAAGAAATTCTTCTTCTCAACGCTTCCAACTGTTGCAAAGACCTTGGCGCCAATTTTCTGGGCGATGATGATGCCTGCTTGGCCAACTCCACCAGCTGCTGCATGAATAAGAACACTCTCACCTTCGGCCAGCCGTCCCAATTCAACAAGGGAATAGAATGCCGTGCAAAATACAGCCGGGATTGATGCTGCAACCTCCCAGGACATGTCGTACGGAATTACCCATGCCCATGAGGAATGGCAGCGCGTGTAGGTTGAAAGTGATCCTGGCGACATGGCGCTGACACGGTCTCCAACACTGAAGTCTCTCACTGCGGCTCCGACCTTGCATACAACTCCACTGCACTCTTGGCCAAGCTTGTTGCCTCGGAGCTGGCCCATGGCCAGTAACACATCTCGAAAGTTGAGGCCGGTGGCATGGATGCGGATCTCGATATAGTCATCAGGGAGTGGCTCATCTCGGGAGGTGTCATCGGTGAAATGGAGCTCATCAAGAACACGACCCTGTCCGGCAGTAAGTCGGAGTGCTCTATCCTGCTTGAATAGCTGCATCTGAGGAGGTGCGTCTGAGGTCTCAAGTTGCACGCTCGAATTTAGAGCATGGTTGTCAAGCAGACGAGGCAAAGATACATGGCCGTTCCGAATGACAAACTCGAAATCTCCCTGATTGAGCTGTGACTTGTGACAGAATATTCCCCCGAAGACCTTCAGCATGTGGTTCACAGCCTCTGCATCAGTTACACTCTCTCTTTCTCCCAGGTCGAGAGTCGCAAAGGGGAGACCAGTCTCGGAGCGAACAGTTCGCGCAAGACCAATTGCCATGTTGGATCCTAGAGACTCCGGGTCGGATTTGGTATGACGAACAACCCAGAGTATTCCTCTTGCACCACCGATAAGGCGCTGGATCTCTTGAAACTTGTCTGCCGTGAGATGAGACAGAATACTCCGGTCCATACCACCTAGGAAGATGCACCACTTGTCATTTACATCGGCAGTGCTTAGATCTGACGCAGTTGTTGGCACCACATCAGTCATCTCCTTCAAGCCAGCTTCAAGGATCAAGGATGACACACTGCCGAGAGACTCGCTACCAATGATGACAATGTCTCCGGGGTTGCTGGGGCCTGATTTCAGTGTGTTCGCCGTGGAGATCATCACACAACCAGTCTGGTAGGAAGCGCCCGGATATGCCTCCACACTGAGTTCAACGCCAGTGAAATCGTTTGCCTTCATGACATTGGACCAGCCCTGCTCGCTAAGTAGAGGGCCATCCTGACGGATTTCCTCACTGGCTAGCCACCATCCGGTCAGAAGAGCGAATGGGAAGTGCATGGCGGACGATTTAGTCTCTTCGATCAGTATGATCTTGCCACCAGGCTTCATGATAGAACGAATGTTGGCCATCGTCTCATTCATGTTAGGCGTGGCATGGAGAACATTGCAGGCAACCACTAGATCGTAGGTATCTGGCTTGCATCCTTGGGCCATGGGATCGGTCGAAACATCGAGAGTTTGATAGGTCATAAGATGACTCCAAGGCTCAAACTTGCTCTTGGCTTTTTCGAAAAATCCAGGTGAAATATCGGTATAGGTGTAGTGGCCAAATCTAGGCGTGGTACCCGGTTCACGTCCACCCAGACTTTCCAAGATGGGTAAAGTAGCACCTCCAGTTCCAGCGCCAATTTCAAGGATGTTCAGATTTGGATTCTGATGCGCCATCTTGTCAACACAAACCGACGCGTGAGCGTAGGACTCTTGGAGATTGTCAAGGTCTTTGTAATTCTCTCCAAGCATGTCGTCCTCAAGCATGAGTGTGAGAGCGTCGAGCTTGCCACGAAGAATGTCAGGAAGACGCTCGCCAACATAGCAGTTAAGCTTTCCAGCGGCATTGGAGTTCCTAACCTCCTCAATGAACGTAGACATGTCACAAATCGGCGCCTCTTGACATGTCTTTTGAGCCCATCTATAGAACTTTTGATGGTGACTCTGAAGGGTGGAGAATTCTTCTTCCGGGACAGCTTTGATGGCTTGCCGAAGCCAGTGAACAGCCATTTTTTGTAAACGGTGTGTTCTCTCTCCTCCATGTCCATCTCCAACCTGGGCACGAGGGAGCTGTTGGTAGGTCTCCTCAGAAAGAAACTCAAAGCACGGCTCCCATTGTATCTTGTAGCACATTGGGTCTGGTGCAATATCCTTACTGCCCCTATTTTCACCGGCAAGAGGGACCAGGGTGATTCCATTAACGTCCACAATCACATCATTGGCGTTATCCGCACGAGTAGCGATGATCCGGTTGCTCTCAGGGAAGCTGACCGATTCCATCCCTGAGCGAGAGCCGAAAAGCTGCAAGCAAGTCCCAGCGCTAAGTTTATGATCCAGACATACTGTGAAGCGATCAACGTGGGAGGGGACGTGGGTTTGCTTTTTGCCTGGTTGGCCAAATCCTGTCAGAACCCACATCGCCTGGCAGCATAGATCGAGCGTGGCAGGGTGGGCAACGCAATCGGTTTCACGCCCATTGGGCATGCAAATACTTGTATCTGGGACCTCAAATCTGGCAAGTGCCTGGTGTTGTGGGCCAACAGAAATGTTGGACAAGCGCCGGAAAAGTGTGCCATATTTAACACCGCCGCTGCTGATATCCTCGTAAAGAGCGTCGGAGTCGATTGGCTTTGTGCATACTGCCTGTAGGTCCGCCACCATCTGTACCAGAGCTTTCTCTGTAATACTCTGTTGACGAGACCCGTTCACCGGGTTTACTTCCTTCGTTTCATGAACCATGACGAGCCCACTGCAATGCTGGTCCCAGCCCCGGCTCTCTGCCCAAGAGAAGACTTTGAACTCATGCCAGCCAAGAATTGATCTTCCAGAGGACTCTCCCCGAGCTGGTCGGAGAGTGAACATTGTCTCAACCGCTCCGTTGTCAGGAATCATAAGGACACGGGTGATAGAAATGTCCCGGAGTTCAATCTTCCCTGGCACCAAGTGATGGAGTTGTGCTTGTTGTGAGATTGCCTCCATGGCCATTGCCAAGAATCCAGTCATAGGGTAAACGTTGTTGTCCTGTACCTTGTGCTGTCGGATCCAGGGATGATCGTCAGCGCGCACAATGTTTCTCCACCGTGGCTCAACATCGATGTTGTCCATACAGATTGTGCCAAGGATATCATTTCGTGGGAATGCGGTGTGAAGGATATTCTTCGCCACTCGGGAGGTAAACCAGTACCTTTCACTATGGTTCCAAGGGTATGTTGGAAGGTTGGTCAGAACTTGCGGCTGTCTTGCGGCTTGATTGGGGAAGTTAATGGCCTTGAAGTTTAGATTCAGGCCTCGGTTGAACATTGTGACTGCGAGCTGTTGAACAGCCTCAATTCCATCCATCTTCCGTTGGAGGGTATGTGCAAAGTGCATTGTGCGTTTTTCGTCGTGCAATTTCACAATATCCTTTACAGGATTCTGGAGTGCTGGGTGAGGACCAACTTCAATGAGAGTATCAATTTTACCGTTGGATGAATCTGTCAGAAGGCTCTGTACTCCTTTTACAAAGTCCACACGGGAAACTAGGTTCTCGACCCAGTAAGAAGCATCAAGTGTGCTTCCTGGGACTAGCTTTCCATAAACAGTTGAGTGGAATGGAATCGCCGACTGACGAGGGACAATCTTTCCAAGCAAGCTTTGATAATGCTTCGAAACGAGTTGCATATGATGGGAATGGTACGCAACATCGACATGTAGCTTGCGAGTGAAAATGCCTTCTTTATCGAGGGCAGTCTGTAAGACCCCGATGACATCTCTGTCACCGGACAAAGTCACACTGGATTCGCTGTTGACACAGGCGATCACAGCTTGCTGGCCTCGCATCGCATCTAGGATCTGTTGAATGTCCCCGGCGTTTGCTCCGACTGCCAGCATTGCACCCTGCACTGACTTATCCTTGGCGACCATGTCCGCTGCGATACCTCGACAGTACGCAATGGAAGCACATTCTCCCAAGGTCAGTATTTCAGCGGCGTAAGCGGCTGCAATTTCTCCGCTGGAGTGGCCAACGACGGCCTTCGGTCGGATACCCCAGGTTGACAACAAATCGACAAGGGCGAGCTGGACTGCAGTACAAGCTGGCTGACTCATGTATGCCTCAGAAATCGAGCTTGCGTTCGGATCCTCCAATTGAAGTTCGTCTATGTATTGATGTTAGTAACTTGAAGCAGACGAGGTGGGCAGGAAAGCATACCAATAATGGAGAATTTTGCTCCAAGCGTCTTCAAGCAAATGTCAAAATCTTCCATTGATTTACGGAAAACTGGGTATCGCTGAAGAAGCTCCTTGCCCATACCATGCCACTGCGCGCCTTGGCCAGTGAACACAAATCCAACTGTTGGCTCTCCGTTCGAACGAATTGGTTCCTTGATGCTCGCCAGGGAATCAATCAGGTCTGTGTGAACAGCAGCCGAGACAGCAATGCGCCAATTGAAATGACTTCGTCGCTGACCCAATGTATAAGCCATGTTGTCTAGTAATCTGTCGGTAAAAATAGGTGGATGGCGGTGCAAGTATGAAATCATTTCATCTGCCAACTTGGCTGCCGCTTGCTTGTCATATCCAGACACGACATACACCCTCCGTGTCAATGGATCTTCATTTACAGCTCCTTCGCCTCCACTCACAGGACCGCGCTCAAGAATACAATGGGCATTGGACCCGCCAAAACCAAAGTTATTCACGCTCGCATAGGTCTTGCCTCTAGGCCAAGGAACGAGCTTCTTGGGAATCTGATGAAAAAATGTCAATGAATGCCATGCTGCGTTGGGTAGTGCATTTCTTACCTTCATATTCCACTTTTCCATGGGAATCTCCTCGTTCGGATTCATGAAATTAGCGTTTGGAAGCACGAACCCACGCTCCAGCATCAAGGTCGTTTTTATCACGGATACAATACCACTGGAACCTTCCAGATGGCCAACGTTTGACTTAAGCGAGCCAACAAACAATGGCTGCTTTGGTGTACGCCCTTTCCCAAACACTGCATTCAAAGCCCTGGCTTCCAGAGGGTCTCCAACCTTTGTCCCGGTTCCGTGAGCTTCGACATAACCGGTTAAAGAGGGGTCGATTCGTGCCGCTTTGTAGATGTCGCGTATCAGTTTTTCTTGGGCTTCGCTGTTGGGCATTGTAATACCCCGGGTGCGACCATCTTGGTTTGTTCCACTGTTCACGACGACCGAGCGGATAGCGTCACCGGCCGCTTCAGCATCCTCCAAAGATTTCAATATAATACAACCTGCACCTTCACCACGTCCAAATCCGCTGGCTCTGTCATCAAACGCATACGACCTTCCCGAGTCGGCAAGCAATCTATTAGGTTGTTGATATTAGTCATTTGAATTGGATAGCTGCCGCCGTAATTCTCACCTCGCACGAGTCATGATAACAAATGCCTGTGGGAGTAAGTTCAAGTGACACCCTGCAACGATTGCCATGGTACAGTCGCCATTGCGAATACTCTGACTGGCCAAATGTAATGCGGCCAAACTCGAAGAGCAGGCCGTATCGACAGTAATGCTGGGTCCGTGTAGATCGAAGTAGTATGATATGCGGTTCGACTGCAAGGCACCAGCACAGCCAGTCCCCGCATACATCGGAATCGAGTCGATATCCATGCAATTGTTGGCGTCATAATCCGGGTACGAGGCACCGGAGAACACACCCACATTCTTCCCCGCGATCGAGTTCACCGATATACCCGCGTTCTCCAGTGCTTCGTACGTGCATTCGAGAATGATGCGCTGTTGGGGGTCAAGGGAGCGCGCTTCTTGCAAAGTGATATTAAAAAATGGGGCATCGAATAGGCCAACATCTTCGCTCAAGAAATGTGCGCCTTGAGCGTTGTATGAGCCAGGTCGGTCTGGATTCGGATGATAGAATGCGTTGGTGTTGAATCGGGCTTTTGGAACCTCTGACCAAGGGCTTTTTCCTCTTGAACACAAATCCCACAGGTCATCAGCGGTGGATACTTGTCCCGGAAGACGACAGGACATGCCGATAATGGCCATGCGCTTTGGAACATCTCCCACCATTTCTTCCTCCTCCATCTTTGTGTTATCGAGGACTGGTGTACCAGATCCAGAAGGCGGTTGAAGATGCATATTGATAGTCCAACCCAATTGCTATATCCAAAATGATCGTGGAATTCCAGGAATTCCAAGAAAGGGAATGACAGAAACTTTCCGAACTTGTTTCGGAGAAAAGGGAGATACCAAGGTATGTTCACGAATGAGCTATGAAGGTTTGAATCTTTTTTGCCATGTTTTGGGGAGATCGAAAAAGGATATAGGTTGTGTGGCCAAATCCGCCCTTGCTTGCCATTTAGGTGAGTGTGGATCGTCTATCAATAATCACTTCTCATACCGGAGACTAACCAATTGGTAGGGATGATGTTTTGCGCCTTCCTTAGATGACAAAGACAATCATCCAGGAGGTCAAATACCTCTAATCCGGACATTTGTGAATCGCCACGATGGTGCGAATCTGAGTCAGAGTATCTGATCCTCTGATCCTGCTCTTCATTTCTATGAAACGCGTCCATCTAACTTGCAGCCCTTGCTAACGTGAGGGTGCATGAAGCATTCCAAAAAAGAGGCGCATTGTACACGACTCTGGCAAGGGATTCATTATCGCCTCTTGATAAGCTTTTTACTTCAAGTTCTTGAGTGAAGGCTCTGGCGTTTTTGAATCTCTTTGTACACTCATTGAACGATTCTCTGCTCGATATTCAACCGCCGCGATGAAGTTTCTTTGTTTACCAGGAGGTTACTCCAACTCCAAGGTACATCCCAACACCCTTCTATCTTAAAACTTCCTGGCTAACAAGAGATGTGCAATTGCAGGCACTACAAACACAGCTGGGTAAGCTGATCAAGCTGCACGATCGTGGTGCAACTCATACTAACCCGTGGGAGTGGATTAGGTCCATTCTGCGATGCCCTCAGATCAAATGGAGAAGCCAACTTCTTCTTCACTCAGGGGACATCCCCAGTCTACCCTCCTCCTGAATTTCAAGGGTTTTTTGGACCACCACCCAATTTTACTTTTACCACCGTCGACTTTCCGGAGTTGGTGAAGTTCAATATGCGCGATTTCCCAAGGCGCGAATCGCCAGAAGCTACTATGAAATACGCGGTTGAAAAAGCGGGAAACCCGAGTTTCTCGATGATCAAGGAAGCTATGAGCCGTTTAATTGAAATGATCGACTGCGATGAGGAGATTGGAGGCGTCATCGGCTACTCTGAAGGTGCTGAAATCGCGGCATCCCTCATTCTAGAGGAGGAACGCTTGAGCAAAGAATCTGGGCGCATTCCTCGGATTAAATGCGCGATTTTCATGTGCGGTTGGCCTCCCAAGGACCCTGTCACTGGAAATATTGTTCTGGCGGATGACTACGATAGGGAGGTGATTAAGATTCCTACTTGTCATGTTGTGGGTGCTATGGATCCGTTCCTTGACGGGTCAATGGCGCTGTATAACCTTTGTGACCCTGATACCGCTGATCTATTTGACCATGGAGGTGGCCATGTTATTCCTCGGAGCAAGGAGACTCTAACCGATCTCACTGAAGTCATCCGGGACATGATCCGCTCCGTGGCATAGATCCGGTCTTGTCGTTTCTTCTTGTATGTCTAATTTCCTACATCTGAGCTATGTACTTTGATCGAGTTTCATTTGGTTCTCATGTTTATAAAACTCCAAAAAACGCTTTTTTCTATTCCGAAATTCCTATATGTCATCTTGCATACAAGCACGACAACTACGCTAGCAAAGGCCTCGTCTCCGCATCCTCCTGCCCTTCCTCTACCAAAGCTTGATTTACCCCTTGCCCCTGCGTCTGCGTCTGTGTCTGCGTCTGTGATTCCCCTTCGCTAGATATACCCACCAATAAAAGCAAAGAACTTAAATCGAGCCAAGCAAACCATGAATCTTGGGGTTCGCCCAAACGTTCAAACTCCGTCTGCTTCAATCGTCTGTGCGCCCGCCTCACCAACGAAATAACCAGTAGAGCAATAGCAACCAAGGCGACCGTCCCCGATACAGAGACAATAATCGACAGAAATGTCAACGTGCTAACGTTACATCCCAGTGGACGCGATCGCATCTCCCAGCGTTCTTTCGAGCCAAGTGGACAGATCTGGTCAGATCCAATAGGAGCTAGGATTGGAACTCGCCCCGCATTTGGAACACAGGTGGATGACTATTCTGTGGGGTTAGCTGGGCCACTTGCGATCTGATGTATCCAAGCTAGGGGTTGTGAAACTCCATTCCGTGGGTTGGAACGTAGGGGGAGAGAAGGGGGACAAAACAGGCCGGGATATGAGAATGCAGTGGCGCAAGAAAAGTTGGGGAATACAGTAGGAGTCAAGAAAACACATCATTCTTGCTCGGATGTGGTAAATGGTCACATACTATTGCACACCAACTGCAGTTCACTTCGCTCAGACATTGTGAACAGGATTGTCGTCGCCAGCAGAGGTGGAAAAGAGAGTCGTTGTTATCGGATTCGGTTAGGCTGATATTATGATCGAGAGCCATGTCTGATCCTTATGGTTTCCTGCTTCATGTAAGGTGAGTGACTGAGGAACATCGCAGAAGGGATTTCCGTTGCAGTCTCCCTTACAGTAACAAAAGTACCGAGTTTCCCAGGTGGCATTGCGGGGTCATATAACGTTGGGCACTCGTCATAGTCTGGTCAATCTAGACCCGATTGTTGGCTTGTTTATCGGTCCAGTTTCAAAGTCTCTCCACGGCTGGTCACAGAAATCGACGCGTCGGGGCTTTAATGCTGCAATGCGTACGGAGTATGTCTTGGCTTTAACTCTCAGTTGTGATCTGGAGAATCTCTGGTAGTACAGAATATATTATATCAATAGAACGTTTGCATGACACCGTAATCCATAGATGTAGGATATGAAAAACAAAAAATCGATCGCCAAAAATGCAGCTATTCAACATCTACATGGAAACCGTAATCCCCGTCCACCGTAGTTCATATCATATTCTTTTTTTCGGAAGTTGAAAAGGTTCAGACGACGCGCTTGACCTATTACAGGGTGAGCATCAATTCTCTCATTTACGGAACAGTCAACTTACCTCGAAGAATCTCTTCAACCACCACACCTGGAACACACCCTCTCCAATAACCACAGCCAACTGGAAGGTACTCCACCACTTGACTCGGCCGTTGGTGCTCTCTGCTGTGTTCCGGTGCACGCGCTCGCGGACAACAATGTACCCCTGTTCATCCCTAACCTGTGAAACGGCCTCGGAAAGTCGACGCACTAATATGCAGATAATTAGCTCATGCACTCTTTTCCCTCAATCGTTTGACCCGGGTTTAACGGCGATGGGTGACTCAGTCTTACCTTCCGCCTCCAAGGGATCCTGCGCCATCTCCGACTCCGGCACGTAGACGATTCCGTGGACGTTGAATGAGACCTCCTTCGAGTTGGAAGTCCAGCCCTCGTTGCTGAAGCAGTAGTTGTATCTGCCGTCGGCTTGTGCGGTGAATGAGTAGTCTTCGTTCGAAATGGCTTGCTTGTAGTACAAGCGGTTCCTCAGGGGGTCCTCGACCTAGAACGTTCACGACACATTAGTATCCAGAATCGTTCATGTTGGAATCAATAGATTCTGGTTCCGCTCGTGCTCCCGATCCCTGTCTTCTGGTGATTGCCTCGCTGAGCAGCACCGCTCTCCTGAGCCGCCTCAAACCAAAAGACTAGGGATGGGTGTAAGCATCGCGAAGACGTACCCAGAAATCAACCTCGAGGTTGCCGCTTCCTCCAAACTCTCGGTCGCCGACTTGGAAAGTGACAGTCATCAGATCATCCTTGTGTAGGTTCTCGTGGAAGCATTCCCGGGAGTGAGCCTTGAGCTGGATAGTGTGTGCGGTCGCGACGGAGAACCACCCCAGTGCAGTCACCAGGAGTGTGGCTGCTGAGAAGCGCATGTTGTAATTGTTTCAGATCTCCGGATTTCGTTCGAATTGGCGGGCTGATCGAGGATTGGGGGGTGTTGAAGGGAGTCGGTCTCGGCCAACGCGAAAGGTGTCAATTCGAGACGCTCGGACCACTTGGATAAACACTAAACATCAACTTGACCTTTAATTGAGAAGAGATATAGATTTGCTCAAGTGCTGGGGACTGGCATTGAGAATAAGATCAAGTTACAATTTCAAACTCAGTTGAATATTATGTAAATAAGAGTTGAATATATATGTCTATTCCGTGAACCATCTTCGTGAAGCTCACTTACATAAAAGCTGCCATTGCAGCCGGGTAATCGAGATAAAATATCCGTCGCAAGATGAACAAACGATATCGCCGTTAAATCCGATGAGACTACGCGCAGTTCAGCGACAAGAAAAGATACCAAAGAATCCCAATCGCTTGGTGGAAAGTCAACAGGAAAATTTTCATTGAAACAACCGATGTAGAAGCTTTATGATCCAACATGAAAAAAAAAAGATGGCCTGGAGCTGAGCGACTCTCAAAATGTTGAACTGGGGATTCAAAAACGCCTAAGATCAAGCAGATTACTATGTATTAATTAGAGCGAGTATATACACCTCAAGCTGGTTTATGCCTCTCGAATGGACATAAAGTCACTTGTATAAAGGAGAGGATCAGGAACATCATCAGCCTTGGCTAGATAATTTAGCTAATGTTTTATATTTCAGGCCAAAATTCTACCGGGTAGATCAAACTAAATCAATTCAACTTGGAAATCTAATTCAACTAACGAACGAATGGTACTGTGGTCGCGCTAATGACACAATGGTTGTAAATGGATCCCCGCTCCACAAAAAGCGCATAGTTAATAGCGCCGGAGAGAATTTCACCGTTCAGCATTCTCGCCTGCCACGACGCCAATTGATTGTCAGCAGCAATAAGCATATTGTGGTAATCATTGTAAGGTGGAATGATGTAGAAACTCAAAACTGGTTCGCCTGTTAGCTTAATGGAATATTCAATTTCCGATGATCCATCTACCCAACATTGTGAAACAGCGATGCAACTCCGGGCATACGCTAGAAGTTCTGAATCTGATTTTTTGAAATCATAGCCCCAGTTGTATTGAATGTGAATCCAGGCGCCTGGGCTAGCACATAGTTGGTTTTGGGCAACCATTTTTGGAGCTTGAGGATGTAGGTACGTGAGTAGATCCTGAAAAGTGGGCTGAAATGCTGTGATGATGCTCTGAGTATAAGCATGGACTTGAGGTATTTATATAGATCTACCGGGAGGTTTGATGGTTATAATAGATTGACCTCTGAAGTACTAGTGTGTTGTCAGTTGAAAGACTCGGACTCGACAAAGGTCTTTCATTCATTGGATGTTCTTCATACAACATGGTTCATCATAAGACTCGGTGATAATCAAATCAGTCTCCTTTGTTACTCCAGAGATACTAAATTGTATTCTTGGGTTGACTTTGTTCATGAACTTTATCTATAATGAGAAATACCCACAAAGTACCAAGACTGGGACAAGTGGTCTTTGATTCTTTTGAACATGTTTCTAAGGTCTGGCTTTGTTAGACTTCGGTCTTTCCATGAACCGCCTGCTGCTCCACAACCACATCAGCAGGAATACGGTCTGGCGTGGTATTCACAAGCACATGCATTGGCAACATAGCAGCCCCAAGTAAGCCAAATGTCACGGAGCTAGTGTTTCAGTCAGTCAAAGTAAGTATGGAAGCAAGACAGGAGGACATACAATCCGACGAGAATGTTACTAGTTTGAGTATTCATACTGTAGGCAATAGCTTGACCGACGGCTTCAATGCATCTAAATGCAGCGCCATTGCGGACGTTTTCTACCATAAAAGTCAGCATCAAGCAAAGGAAATCAGACAACCAAACTCACCTTGCGCATTTGTTCCAAAGGATGAGATAAGCCAATACATGTACGATTGCGATAAGGGGCCGGTGGTCTGTACAAAGAAATATGGTAGGAAGGCTGACGGGTATAGGCTGTTATTCCAATCAATATTGCCAGGATCATTGCGATCAAATTTTGTTTGGATAATGATAGACCAGATGTATACACCAATGTTAAGAATTACGACAGTGTAAAAACCGATCTGAGCGCGACGGCGTTGGCTAACGCTTTTCATATCGAGAATGAAACCCAGTCCAAAGCAGCCGACACTGGGAAAGGCTGGTCAGTTAAGGAGTAACTCCATAAGCGCGAAAAAGACATACATGCAGAAGAAGGGAGAAATTAAGGATGAGAGAGCGCGGGCGCGAACAGAGAAATAGGTTCCTAAGTAGGTTGACCAAGTACCGCTGTTGTGTTTGTTAACATTCCCTCTTCCCAATGGGTAGACTGACCACCTTACCTGTAGAAAAATGACCATAATGCCCAGAGCGCAGAGAGAACAATGAGCTTCGAAGTAATAGTCTTCCAAATGCGTTTAAACTCCTGCTTCGTAGACAGAGTCTCCGCAGTAATGATCCTCGTGCCATCGGATCGGACGACATGTTGAAAAGGCATAATTAGCAATGAAAACGGTAGACTGAACATTTGAATCATCCCTTTCCAGCTTTCGTCTTTGTGTACTCACGCAAGAGACTCAATTATAACGAAAGCCAAGTAAGTATTCGGCGTGACACCACCGCTATCCCCTTCAACGTGATTTTTGGACAGACTTCACGAAGCATGGTTGTTAATTGAAACCCATAAGTCCTTTCCCACTCAAATCTTTCAGTGACTTACTTGATCGAACCTCCAACCAGCTGTCCTAGATTTCGCGAGACGATCCACAGAGCTAGGTATTTTCCACGCGCACCAGAAGGAGCAAGTGTCATGATGGCTCCGGCTTCAGCGACGTACCAGCACGCGGTTCCAATACCACTAATAGCACCACTGAAAATGAGGTACTGTACGAACATTATCAGTTATTGGAATTGAGGCTGTTTCTGGATCCAACACACCCATTGGTCTCCAAACTTGCTGTTGCAATAATATGCCGAACCCTGGATGGGGAAGGACATTGCACCGATGACAAGGGCCCACTTTACGCCAATCTTGTTGACGATGGGACCACCGATGAAGCAGACTAGTTCGAAATCCTGTCAGCTTATTGGATCTGGCGATCATTTTGGAAGAGCTTCACATACCAACGGCAAGAAGGGCGTATGTGATTGCGGTGCAAATATTAGACACTTGAGGAGTTGCAAGACCACCACCACCAAGTCATGGACATGATTAGTTATCAGGGTAAATCTCCGGCACAAAATTATGAAACTCACCAGTGATTGCGTCAGACATAGCTGGCCCACAAAAGGCTTGTATACTCAGAAGTATCATTTGGGTTAAGCTGTGCTGCCAGACCCGCTTCCAGCGTGGAACAGTCAATTTGTACCGCTCCATGTCCACATGAATCTGATCGGATGGATTTGGTGGTAGGGAAGGAGGATCGGTATTGTGGAGAGTCTTAGAGTCGGTCATGATGAATCCCGTTGGCTTAGTGGGCATACATCCTAAGTAGCTCAGAAGGCTACTATGGAAGTGTCTCATGTACGGTTACTTATAGGAGAGCTTAGCTGTCCCGCCATAGAGGCACAGATTCTATCTAATATTTTTCAATTGAAGGTCCAGGTGAAAGATGTTGAACAGAATAAATGCAATGATATGGGAAATTACAGATTCCGATTGGCCGATGGAGGGTATCAGTGACCAGTATCATAGCAAGCGGACTCAAATTGCAGATAAACATTTAAAGCTGGGGAAAGTACCCCATTCTCCACTACAACTACGCAAATAAAAAGATAAGCTTCACATTGATTCTCTTCCAAATGACTGCCAAGCTTCCCCTCTGGTCAAAAGAAGGTCCAGGCGAAAGGAAATGCACTAGTCCTCTGATACGCTAGCAAATCCCACCAATCATGGCAGTTCGCCTGAGTCATCCATATCTTTATCAGCATGATGCGATGTATGCAGCTCAGTTCACATTCATCTAGCAATTATAACCTCGCATAATACGGCGAGGTCAATTGCAGCCGAGCCTCCCACAACCTCCAGAGAAACTGTTATCCAACATGGCCCAGTCACGCGCACGCACCAAAGTAATCATCGTCGGTGGAGGTGGCACAATGGGATCATCGACAGCCCTACACCTCCTCCGCTCAGGATATACTGCCTCAAACATTACCGTGCTCGACGTATACCCCATTCCATCAGCTCAATCTGCAGGAAATGATCTCAATAAGATCATGGGCATTCGTCTGCGCAATGCGCCCGATATACAACTCTCGCTGGAAGCTCTTGATATGTGGACGAATGACCCGCTGTTTAAGTCATTTTTCCATCACGTTGGCATGGTATGTAGTACCGAGGGGTGCGGGTTATAGATGGATTTCACGCTAATAGATTCTTAGATTGATTGTTCGTCATCGGAAGAGGGTATCAAAGGTCTTGAACGGAAATATCAAGCTCTGGTCGATGCGGGTATTGGACTTGAGAAGACGAACTTTTGGTTAGACAGCGAGGAGATTCGGGCTAGAGTACCTCATTTTTCGCAGGAACAAACCGAGGTAATTTTTCTTGATCTGTGATTTATTCATTTTTGTTAGCACTTGCTTACTACGGCCGAATTAGGGATGGAGAGGCTTGTTCTGTGGCGAGGGAGGCTGGCTTGCGGCTGCGAAAGCTATCAATGCAATAGGAAAGTTCTTGGCAAATCAAGGCGTCAATTTTGGGTTTGGAGGGTATGAACTTCATTTATTTCTTTTCGTTCTTCGTTCTACTAACATAAATAGAGCTGGAACATTCAAGCGACCTCTATTCACCGATGAAACAATCTGCATCGGCGTAGAGACGATAGATGGAACCAAGTATCATGCTGACAAGGTGGTTCTAGCTGCAGGGGCTTGGAGTCCCACACTAGTCGATCTTGAGGATCAATGTGTTTCAAAAGTAAACACGAATTACCCATAACTTTCTTTTCATTATGTCTAAAGCTAATCAAACAATGTTCAGAGCTGGGTCTACGCTCACGTTCAACTCACGCCAGAAGAGGTGTCAAAATACAAGAATACCCCTGTCATATACGATGGTGAATACGGCTTCTTTTTTGAGCCAAACGAGTACGCAATTACCAAGCAAGAAAAGATCGAGATTTTTGTTCGCTAATCGTCTACAGAAACGGCATAATAAAAGTCTGCGACGAATTTCCTGGCTTCTCCCGCTTCAAGCAACATCAACCATATGGTGCTTCCGCTCCGAAACCTATCTCTGTTCCTCGATCACATGCTAAACATCCGACTGATACGTATCCCGATGTCTCGGAGATAACTATCAGGAAAGTGATCGCGAGATTTCTGCCACAGTTCAAGAATAAAGAGCTTTTTGATCGAGCTATGTGCTGGTGTACTGATACTGCGGATGCCAATCTGTTAATTTGTGAGCATCCGCGATGGAAGAATTTTATTCTGGCTACTGGGGATAGTGGGTAAGTAAAGAGGCGTGAAGAGGGGATCTGATGGCTGGGCTTGCTAAAATGATTCGAACACAATAGACATAGCTTTAAGCTTCTGCCGAATATTGGTCGACATGTTGTTGAGCTGATTGAAGGGTCTTTGTCGGATGAGCTGGCTTATGAGTGGCGATGGAGACCTGGTGGTGATGCGTTGAAGTCTATACGGGGTGCGCCGGCCAAGGATCTCGCCGATATGCCGGGGTGGAAGCATGATTCGAAGTTATGAGTGATGTATCGTCACAGGCGTTCAAATACTAAAACATTTGAATGAAGATTCAAAGCGATGATGAACGATCCATCATTACATAAAATTTGATCGCGTGCGAAAATCGGTGACAAAAAGTGTTTAGTAGTATAGAACATTGTGAAAGCGAGTTATGTTTAAATATTAATATGTAAGTGTAAGGATAGGACATGAAGAGGAGTGTATAGCGTGAGGACAAGCGAACGGTTATTTCAATGCGAGGTCAATGTACAGGGATACCAAATGCCACTGCAAGCAGGGTGATCAAAAGAAAGAAGAAAGAAAGGTAGACTAAAACACAGGGTGGTATCAAATCCGAAAGGACGTAAAAAAATCACAGATCTGAGTCGAAGAGAATATGTATGGGCGGTTCAAAGAGTGGCAGGTAGTGAGTATGGTAAAGGTAAAGAGGGAGAGGCGGAAGAACGCTGGAAACATAAGCAGCAAAGAGGAACATATCCAAAATATCAGGGACATTGATGGAAATGTTGAGAGCAAAACGGGAGATGGGCATAATTTTTCAGAGCAGTCTATGCGAAAGATCGAATCAAAAGGAGAAATAGGTGTTAGACAGAAGGGTCTGTCTATTACTCTTCGGTCTCAGTCTCCTCAGTCTCTTCGGAAGTTTCTTCAGTATCAGACGAGATCTGTGGGCCAAATGGACCTTCCTCGCCAGTGTCCTTGGGAGACGCCGAGACCATACCCCCAACGGTGCTCTCGACATCATCGGAAGCAAAGTTGTCTGCCTCGTAGTTCGCTGGCTCTGCATCGTGGTCATAGCTGGAGCGCCGAAGAAGTGGGGGAGTCTTGGGTGGCTCAGGGATAGGTGCTTCAGACCGAACTGAGCCGCGGCGAGGAGTGTTGAATCCTCTGAGAGGCCGACTCTCGGCGTAGGAGCGTCCCGAAGCGGAAGATGGAGGGGCGTTCTGACGAACGTGCGAGCTTGGAGGTGTCAGGAGTCCTGAGAGGAAGGCACTCGCATTGCTGGACTTGGATGGAGTCTGCTCAGCTGGGCCACCACTGGTCTCTCTGCTCTTGCGCCAGTTTCCCCAAGCCGCGGCAGCAGCGAGAGGAAGGGAGCGAGGAGACGCCGCGATTGATTGAAGTGACGGAAGTGTTGCTCCGGACATGGCGCGCTCTCGTTCTTGCTGTTGCATTTGCAGGTTCGCCTTCAGGCGAATAGCTGCATCACGGACGGCATGCTGGTTGAAGGAAGGCTGCGAGAGAGTCTTGATAATGTCCTGCAGGTCATCGATGCGAACGCCGAGCACCTCGCGGAGCCAGGTGATCTCGCTGTCGCGCTCTTTGATCTTGTTGGGGGCATCCTTGTCCACGGACGCAATCTCTTGCTCAAGCTCCTCAATGCGGGTCTCGCGCTGCTGAAGTTGGTCTTGAAGGACGAAGATAGACTCGCGAAGAGCCTGCGGGGAGATCTTATCAGGCTCATTGGATCCCTTGTTGAAAGACATGGAAGGCGAAGACGAGTGTGTAGGGGCCGGGGCTGGGACAGAGATAGGACCAGCGCCAGCCTTCTGGGCAGCCTCAGCAGCAGCACGGGCAGCAGACTGGGCAATTTCAAGCTTCTCTTCAAGGTGTTGCACGCGGTCCTGAAGGTGGCTGACCTTCTCACCTGCAAGAGCCAGGCGCTCCTGCGTGTGAGCCTCACCACGCTGGCGATCCTCAGAAGAGTTGTGCAAAGCACGGGCGTGACGCTCACGAAGATCATTGAGAACGCGCTCGTGGGTCTTGCGTTGGTCCTCGAGGGCAGTTTCCCGGGATTCCTTAGCAATGCTCAGAGCAGCGACCTTGGAGTCGTTGGCATCCTCGAGAAGCATTTCATAGCGTTCCCGAGAGGTATCGGCATCCATGCGAACATGATCAATCTGGCTCTGGAGACGGATAATCTGAGCTTCCAGCTCGGCGCGCACAATATTGACCTGGCTGTTGGCAGCTTCGAGGTCTGCCTCCATAGAAGTGCGGGTACGTTGGACCTCAATACGGCTGCTCTCACGGGCCTCGTTGAACTCACGCTCGAAACGAGCCGACTTCAACTGTAATTCATGATTCTCGGCACGCAGGTTGGCGATAGTTTCCTCCAATCGAACATTCTCTTGTCGCGACTGTTCGTGGATAAACTTAATCTTGGCAGCTTCTCTTTCACGCAGCTCAAACTCACGCACCTCCTGCTCGAGTTGCTCACGGAGCTTGATTTCACGAGCATGCGATGCGAGTAGCTCGTTGTGTTTGGCAGTCTGTTCTTCCTCTCTGCGGCGGGCAGCAGCTTGGTCCTTGATTACGTCGGAAGTGACGGTAACCATGTCAGATTGCAGACGATCGAACTTCTCGGTAAGATTTTGGCGGGCAAACATGCTGTCCTCAATGCGAGTACGCAGATGATCAATAGTCTCATGTAGGGACTTATTCTCGTCCTTGGCAGTCTCCAGTTGACGACGGAAGTGGTCGCTAGAAACGCGATACTCGTCCAGAGTGCCTTCAAGGGCAATATTCTTTGAGGAAAGCTCAGCAAGCGTGACCTTCAGTGTCTCATTCTCCTCCGTAAGCGACTCCGATCGGAATTGCATCTTTTCAAGATGGGGAATCTTCTCCTCCTTGAACTGCAGGAAGCGAGCCTCGGCATCTTCAGCGGCAGCACTGTGACGCGCAGCATCCTCTTCAGCGAACTTCAGGAGATTTTGGAGTTCACCAATTGAATCCTGTGCTTCTCGGCGTGCCTTGTATTCTTGCTCAGAACGCTGATCGGCGAGTCGCAGCATGCTCTTGAGACCGTCGATTTGGAGCATGAGGCTATCAGCACCAATCTCGTCGGCTTCAGACAACTTCGGAGTTTGCTGAGCCAAATGTCTAGCAAGGGTCTCCTCAAGAATCTCACGCATATCACCGACGGGATCCTGTGCAAGCTTCTTGATGGTCAAAGCCTGCAGCTCAGCAATGCTTTCCTTGAGCATCGCCATTTCGCTGTGACTAGAGTGATGTGTAGAGCGGTGGGGCATATCATGGGTGACAAGCGCTTCCATGACGATGTTCTTCAGCATCTCCACTTTACGGTCGCGCATATGATGAGGTGAGCGGTCTCTACTAGAGCCCCCATGTTCCTCGTCATCATCCTCATCATCAGCGTCGCTATTCTCAAGTTCCGCAGATGTGCTGCGTAGAACCCTCCGGGTAGCAGCGCCAGTAGCAAGAGAGGCAACAGACTGCTGAATAACAGCCAGAGCACGCTCCATAGGGCTCAACCGATCATCAATGGCAGAGCCAACAATGTCATTGATGCGACGATCGAAGAAGCGGTTGCGGTTGAGGAACTTCTCATCTTCACCAGAGGATATCATATCATCCCAGTCGCTGACATGGTCATTCTCGGTGATGAGCTGACGCACAGGAGACTGGATGCGAGAGATAAGGCTCTTGACAGGAGAGAAGGTAGCATTGCTCTGAGCGTCAATATCTGACCCAAGCCGAGGGATTTCAAGCTTGTAGCTCTTGTGGCCGCCACCAGGACTAGGGCTGGGTGCCTCGCTTCTGCCCTCTGCAGAGCCAAACGGCCGTTCCTTGGTTGGTCCACCCACGGAGTCTGAGAAGAACTGACGAGGAAGAGGTGTAGTAAGAGGAAGAGGGGTCCCCTGGCGCTCAATACCCACATCCGAGTCATCATTTAGCTGCTCCATGATCGCATTAAGCTCATCATCGTCAGGCGAGTCCTCCGCAGATTCGCGGTAATACTCAAGTTTCTGTTGAGGAGTGAGATTCGCGGCTTCCTGGAATGGCGCACTTGTATGTGAGAGTGATGGGGGATGCGAGTTCAAGGGGCTGTTAGTAGCGAAACGAGAAGCCATAAGGCCACCCTGTTTATTTTCAGCGGATGTCCCGGCTGGCTGAGACTCTGACTTCTGTGGTGTAGAGGTTTCCTCTCCAGAGGGCTCCACTGCGGTCGGCGTGAAAGAGGGGACAGCAGGCTTGAACTCGAAAGGCTTGGCCGTGGCGGAGAGCATTATGTCTTTGTCCTTGGATTGTTGAGAAGAATGGCCGGTAGGCTTGGCATCAGATTTAGAAGCGCTGTCCTGAGTGGATTGTTCCAGACTCTCCTGGGTAGGTTCATTGATATCTTTGATGTGCTCAGTAAGAACAGGCGATGCAGTTTGAGATCGTGCACCCTCGCGCTGCGCATCAAAGAGAGTCCATGTATCCGCCTCACTGTGGGGAGTAACCTGGCGCTCGCCTCGCTTGTTGTCCTCATCATCGGGGGAGGCGTTCTCCTTGCCCTCGGCAACACTCTGCAGCGTATTAGGAGCTTGAGCGTTGCCCGACTCACCCAACGGATGGGTTGAGATACTGTACCGGGCCTCGCCTTCAGCGTGGCCCACGCCTCGGCGAGCCCGCTTATGACGATCAGTTGGCACTGGTCGTCCCTCGTCATCATTAGTAAGTTGGTCATACACTTGGCTGTGCTCGACTTCATCGTCAGGTCGGACGATAGGGACAGCCTTTGACTCCTTCGTTGGCTTCGAGATCTCGGAAATATCAATATCACCAAAAATCTTTGTCCGACTCTCAGATGGCTGCTTGGCGGTATGATTTGAGGTAATGCTAGCAGACGGGTTGAAGACAGGCGCATCAACGTTGAAAGACGCAGCAGAGAACTTGAAGCTGGACTTGGGCTTGGGCTCGGGTATGGGCACGGGGTTGTGATCGACGGGGGCGTTCACCATGCCAGGAGCAAAAGAAGGTGCCGGAGCAAACCCATACCCGGCCTGTTCGATTCCTGCGAACTGGAAACCATTGTCGGGGAAGCGCCCGGCCTGGGAGCCAAAAGAAACTGTCGGGTCGAACTCCCTGGCTTCGACATTGAAGGATGAAGTGGAGAGCTTGCTATGGTGACCGCGGAAAGAGCCAGCGCTTGGCTTTGATTCGTGCCATGGCCCTTGGTTTGGCTTCGCACCGTGAGTCTGCGGAGTTCCAGTGATACTAGGATTAGTATCATAGTCAGAGCCATCATGATGATTGTCTTGCGTGTAGTGATCATTGTAGAACTGGTGAGGGTGCTGGGCAAAGGAGTGCAATGGCTGAGTCGGCCCATGTTGAACCTGTCGATGAACACCATCCTCTGGCAAAGCCCAGTGGGGCTTGAGGATGTTGGCATTGAGGTCACGGTGTCCCACATCCTGCTCGTCTGTCTCCATCTGATGGTCGGTATGGCTCAAATGATAATCAGGATGTGTCATATTGTCAAGACCTCTCTGGAGGGTTTCGCTCAAGTTATGACCATGACCGCGAGGTGTCGGGTGGGCAATCTCGACATTGGAAGCGTGGAACTGACTTGAATCGTTTACGGGGGTTTTAGGTGTTGGGAATGGAGGGCCGTCCTCATAGCCAGCATTTCCAAAGCGGTCGTCATATACCTCCTTATCTTGGAATCCGTCATCAAAACCGGTATGGAACGGGACTTGGTCATGCAGCGGTGAGACAGGCGACAGCATGGAGCTAAAGTTGTGAAGTGCACCTGGACCAACAGAACCATTGGCTTGGCGGAGGTTGATCAGGCTTTGCGGGGTCATAGATCCTTGTGCAGGTGGCGTAGGCTGGAACTGGAATGGGAATCCAGGCATCATGCTCTGGTCCATGCCATTCATGCCCATGAACGGAGTCTGCACGCTGAATTGTGATGCAGGTGAAGCCAGAGATCCAATACCTCCACTTACGGCCCCGGTTGACTGGCCGAATGCTGGCGAAAAAGGATGAATGCCAAGCGGATTGCTTGCAGCGGACGCCGTAGGAATGGGTGGCGATCCCATCATGCCGGGGAAGGGTGTTTGGCTGTGGTTCATTGATCCGGAAGCAGGTGAAATGGAAGGACCCGGTTCATCATCACCAAAAGACACGCCGAGAGCCCGCAGCTTCTCCTCTTGCAAGTGGGCCACATAGGAATCCCATACTGCCTTGTCGGGGAAACGAATGAAGGTAGGTTCAGTCTTCCCCTCCTCGTGCACCTCGACTGGATCAGGGTACAAAGGACGGGTCAAGCTACCAAGGTCGGTTGGCTCAGTGGAATTGTACACATCACCAATAGTGAATCCCTGAACGTCGTAACCCTCATCCTCCCACTTCTTCAGTCGAGCCTCGACCTCATCTGGCTTCAAAATATGATAGCCAGATGCTTCAGTCCCACGAGCGTCATCGACGGGCAGATCAATAACGCACTGCTTGCCCTTCCATACGATCTTCTTCCTCCGCCTTTGTGGGGGTTGAATAGATGGAGTGACCTCAGCCACTGGTACCTTTGAAATATCTGGCATTTCCGAGCCTTCTGCATTTTCTTCTGATGCCTCCTCATCATTGATTGTCGGCGGAGGCGGTAATGGTTTCTCCGCTGGTGAAGTGACTGGTGAGGTGACTGGCGAAGTAACCTCCATAGCCGGAATTTGAGACTCCTTGGAATCTGACATTATGTTGGATGATTCTTTATCGTACGCGAAACCCCAAAAATCCTCCTGGCGCAGCGTCTCCGTGCGCTTGTGAGTGTTCTTCTTTGCCTTTGCGCGGACAGCAGACCTCTTCCCAACAAAATCAGAAAGTGTCGGTGTCTTCAGAAGCTCACTTTCCCGAGTATCTTCCTCCAGACCAAGCCAGTCGTCCGAAAGGTCGTCGGCAAGGTGATTCTTGGCTGTGAAAAACGAGGGTGCCTCGCTTCCTGAATCGTCGCTCAGCCAATTACTGCGTTCGGTTCTGGGCTGGCCGGATAAGTATTGATTGATCCAATCCTGGGTGAAATCCCGAATGGTTTTCCCTCCGCGATGGCCAGCAAGATCCTCCGAATTGACGGCGACACTAGCTCTCCGAAGCTCGGGGGGATTGACGATAGATCGAGTGGGCGAGCTATCCCTTGAACCTCCGTTGTCGAGACCGGCGTATTGGCTTAGAGTCAGCGATAATCTCCGGGTGCTCGGTGCTGCATACGGAGATCCCCAGGCAGTGGTGTAGTAGACACTGCTTTCCGCTCTGCGATTGTCCGGCGACGACGTGAGGGAATCGCTTGGTCGAAGATTTGCCGATAAGAAGGGAAGCGGCGGGGGTTCGAGGGTCACGCTCTGGGAGGGAGAACCAGCGGATGAGCTGGAGCTCGAATCTCCTGACGGAGAGGATAAGAACACCGCCGGGGCCAGACGCGATTTGGCACGCAAATTGCGCGTGTTGGAGGGGGACAATGAAGAAGATGCCGAAAGGGCGGAAGATACGGGGAAATCTAGATCTGGGGATCCATGAACCATGGAATGCTTAGCATGTTTTTTTTTTTCTCGGGAGGGGGGGGATCTGGGGAAGAACAATCTCGGAAGGGGAGAGAAATCGCGTGGATGACGCGGGTTGCAGGGAGGCCCAACGATCAATGCAACCACGAACCCGAAAGGCACCGAAAGATCATAAACAAAAAATAGCAAATGAAGGAATCAGATCACTCACCTTCCGTGTCGACTCCTGCAGCAAGCACTTGCTTGCCGCTCCGCTTATCGTCCAGAATGTTGACGCATGGAAATCCCACGGGAATTGAAGACCACCTGGCAGAAGCAGAACGATCCGTGCTTGATCCTGAGAGAGCGTGTTTAAAGTTAACGTCTTTCACTTTCCCCTTTTTTTTTCCCTTTTAGTGATAAGGAGTTGCTTCGAACGCGCTAGTATTTCCTTCCGCCAAGGATTAACTCGAAAACAAACCAGAAGAGAGAACCACGAACCACAAAAAACTGCAAGGAGCTTAAAGGGACAGAAAGGGGAACGAAAATTAAAATGAGCTTATGTCACGTCAACAGTGCAGGTAACTAATACCTGGCTAGACTATTATGAATGGGGCACCGTCGGTGTACCTAGTACTAGAGAGGATGAACTAGTTTAATTCATTGGACCATTACGACTAACTAATTCAACCGTTTTCGAGCAATTTCCGCTTGAATAATTGGACATGGAGTTTACAGACTCCATTTACTACGGAGTACCCTTGAAGCGGGTTGCGCAGGTACCCCGGAGATCAATTATAGGAAAAGATTGACCTTGACCGCCACCCACTAAGACCAAGTGGGAGGTCGGGTAAACGGAGTACTTGAGTTGACCTGCTTCTCCCCTTACTGAAAGGCTTGGGCTTGAATGCAAGCTTTCATGTACTCTACCTAAAGTACATTCGCGCTCTATGTAAACAAAGAATTGCTGAAGATGGATTCAGGGGTAAATGAACCATGGTTTATCATGTTATCGTACCGTAGGTCCATGCAGAACGATGACATAATCTCCGGCCAATCAAATCATGGGAACACAGAAATGTGCTGCTTAATGTTTGGAGGTAAACTTATACTCAATACATGCATCTAAATCATACTGTACGGGATGAATTGATGCCAAGGAGAATAGCGACCAATACAATTTCATCACTTCATTTCCGAATATCCATCGGGTAAAAGGACGTGGGGCCACGGAGACAAGAAGACCGTGTATGTCACCACAGCAATGGGATGGGGCAAAAACTACTGCATTGCTACGTGGTCCCAGTACATGAAGGCAAACAAAACAACCCGATTCTATATTTGCATTTTATTCGAATGCCACAAAGAGATTAACCAGATATAAGAAATACACCCTGAAGAAAAAAAAAAGAATATCTACTGAGATCTCTTTTGCGAACCTCATTATACCAGAAGGTCAAAAAATTATTTCAAGAAAAGAGACAAGATGCTCAGTTAGAGCAAGTGGTGTTGAACTTGTCCTGGCGGGAAGCAGTGCGAAGACCCCAGTGCTTCTCATCCATGGCCTGGCCGTTGTCACCAACACTGTCGGGCTTCCAGGACTCATCGAAGGCCTCGAAGTAGAAGAGGTCAACACCCCAGGCGAGCATGCCACAGACACCAGTCTGCCAGAAGATCTCAGCATTGGCGGTACCAGCCTGAGCAGCCTCGTAGTTGGAGCCACCATCTAAAAAAAGATTTATTAGTCATAAAATCCTATACGCGGTTGATGTCTGATCTTACCAGTAGGCCAGCCAGTCTCGCCGTTCAGAATGCGAATCTTATCAGCGTTGGCACCCGCAACCTTCTGGATGTGAGTCATGGCACCGGACATATCATCAAAGTAGGTCTGGTAGGCCTGGTCGGCCGCGGTACCCTGCCAGTAGGCAAAGGCATTGGCAAGAACATAGGTGACGAGCGGGGCAGATGCGGTGTCACGAGTGAACAGATCATCAGCAGTTCCGTCGGCGAACTTGTTCCAGCTGTCGGCAGTACCAACGGTGATGTTCGTGAACTGGTTTGCGACAAGACCAATGTAGTTGTGCAGCGAGGGACCGGTCTGGTCACCACGGTAAAGGGTCTCGGAGCCGACTGTGATAGCCTCGACGACATCCTCGTATCCGGGAATGGCCTGCTTGAGGGCGGCAAAGTCCGCGGTGAAAGAGGCATCGTTGGTGCTCAAATCGCCACTGGCTTGTGCGCCGACCCTAGAAAATAGAAATGTTAGATGACACGTCCAGTAATTAGGCCTAATATTAGGATCTTTAGCTGAAGCATTGGGTTCCTTACCAGATACCAAGGACAACCTTGAAGCCCTTGTTCTGTGCGGCTGGGAGAATGTTTTGAGGGGTGTCACATTCGGTGCCGGAGTAGGTGCGGACAACAGTCGTCAAATCCTTCAGATTGTCGAAGTCGGCCTCATAGTCACTGGTAGACTTGCAGGTGCCATCGGCATTCTTGTCACCTAGGGAGAACCCCAGGGTACCGCGTGCAGAGACTAGGGCCGGAGCAGCGGCCAGGGTGAGGGAGAGAAGGCCAGAAAAACGCATTATGAAAATGGGGGGTGGGATTGGTCGTGAGAGCGAATGTCGACCAGGATGAAAACTGAAAAATAAAGGCCAAACAAAAATAGAAAGAAGTAGAGAGCGTTGAAAAGGAATGGACAACCTCAACGGGAAACGAATGGCTATATATAAGAGAACCTCAAAGTGTGGAGGAGAAGAACCGGGGGGAAATGATCACTGGTACTTGTCGCAGGCGCAGGGTCCTGTGGGCCGTCCCTGATTCAAGGGGTAACCAATCACTAACCACTGCAGCCAACTATTCTTGGTCAAGCGTGGGTGAAACATTCCAGGGTCTTTGGATCCACTTTATGGGCTTTCTCTTATCTTTTCCAGAACTTTTAACCTACTTTAATCTCACATACTCTATTGCTACAAAACCCTCTTACTCTATGTATCTTTCTCTGTCTCTATTGTCAATCCCCATCATTCGCACAGTCCTAATTTCATCTAACGCCAAGAACCAGACTTGGCCCCAATTAAGTCATGATGTCACTTCCGCCATTTGTCTATTGTCCAGATCCCAACCAACCTTGGATATTGGAGAAGAAGTGGAGCAATACTGGGGGATCGCTCGGATGGCAACAAAAGTTCATAAATAGCCGGCGACTCCGATTCAGTCGGCCAATTGCATTCATGGTAGTTTGCGGACAAAAGAGCCACCGCGTAGCTTTCCGGGGTTGTCGTCTCCCGGTTCGCCCGAGTCGAGGCCGGCAGGCCGGCCAGGGCATTATTCTCGGCCAAAGCATTTGCCTCTCGAAGTCGGAGACTCCGGATAAGTCCCACTTACCTAGGTGGGCATGTCTGCCTGATTAGGGCCTTCTTGGTGTTGAGATCGAGACTGGACCTGATTATCTCTCCACCGGGTGTTCTTACTTGTATAGGAAGGCGTTGAGATATGTAAAACTGTGAATGACTTTTATTAGCTAATTAGCCTGGGTAAGGAGGTGTCAACTTACACCGACCCTGATGTTGGTAGCTCGAGATTGATTGGAAGAATTACATCTCGTCCTGCCTTAATACTCAAGATCACTCTTTGTCTCTTGGGAAAAAAAGTCATTCCTAGGTATTACCGCGCTATATCACATGTGCACATGTGTTCATTTCAGACACACCAAGTGTCTAATGAATGTAGTCGTAGCGAAGAAGTTCAGCCTCCCGTTCGTCTCTATCTCAAATAGACTCCAACACACTGGAGATCCCATTGACGGAGGTCTATCCTTTTCTGAACATGATTGGGCCATGTGATCCACTCCCTGAGCCACGTCGTTAATATGGTCGATGGCTGACATGGTGGCGAGTAACTTAATCTGGATCATAGAACCGCGGTGCGGGTGGGCGGAGATTGAATCTGGACTCAAGTGGGGAGTCAGGCGTGGTTTGTCTCGAATGCCTGTGGCTTGTGGCTTGTCACTGTCCTGGCGGTTGGGGTGAGGTTGACTCCAAATGTGGCAATATGTGTCACGGGCTATTGAAGTTTATCGACTTGACTTGGCATGTACTAGTGGTTGGGCATTATTTGCTCCAGAATCACATTTTTACTATCCATTCCCGCCTACGGCAATTCGTGAACTTTGGCATACATAAGTCCTCCTAACACCGTATGTATATTACATGTAATGGTGAATTGACTCGATCTGCCGCTTGATTCGGGGTAGAGCAGGTAAATAGAATGAGCCTGCGATGATTGTATGCAGTGCTTGGGACTTACTACCTATTCAGGTAGCTCCTAGGCACTATATACATATATATAGGTTGCCATGGCTTATCAATTCTAATATTTTGAAGAGTCGATGTGGGACGAAGGATCACATGTGCATGCGCATGTGTTCTATGTTGATCATTTCAATTCCTTGATTGAAATTCATCTATATCCAAGCCGCTCGTTGGCAGATGCTAAAAATTTCCTGAAAATAACTCCCGTAGACTCCGGTTTTCCGCAAAAACGCTATTCACAGAAGGATGTTGCTTTCCCGATAATAGAGCTCCTTGACCAGCTTCAGTTGGTTTACAGGCATCGTATTGCGGTTCAGAGCTGGGGGTAACCCAACCACAGCCTGACGGACGAGAACAAGGCCGATTTGCCCGAAAAAGCCCAGGATTCGATCTCCAGAGGGTCGAAGCATGGATTGGAGAAGGGTAACCTGCGTGTCCAGAATATCTGATGGAGGGAGGGAAAGGATCTTTTGGAGAGATTGCCAGAAGATGGTGTTAGGGAAAGGATTGCGCCGTGTTGTTTTGCCAAAGTTACGCAAAGACAATGCTGCAAACCCGGCACCGAGGGCTGTCATTCGATCCAGGTGTGTTTGTTCACTAACGAAGGAGGTTCCGTCGTCGTTGCGCCACCAGCCAATGGCACGCCGGCCCGACTCTGTGTCTTCGCGGCCGGTAAAGCCCCAGAGAGCTGGGCAGACGACGCGGTATTTAGCCCACAGAATGTCAGACATGTGGAGTCCTTTATACATGAACGTTTCGGTGGAGAAGATCTGGGCGGCGAGGATGCCCACAGGCTCGGCATGTCCGGGTTTGGCGGCGGCTTCAACGATAAGGGCCTTGATCAAACACTTTGCCAGGATGTTAAGACCATAAATTAGCAGAGCGGGGACCTTATTCTCCGAGTTGGCGATTTCCTCTGGGGGGAACGCGAAGAATTGCCGGACATCCACAGTAGGTTCTGAAATCGTCAAGGCCTTTTCCAGCTCAGCGCGGATCTGCTGGGTCTATTCAGAGCAATATGTCAGCACTGCATCAGAAATAAAATTGAATTGGTTTGCAGCCTTACCTGTTGTTTGTTAACGCCCTTGGCGTCACGCAGCTGGCCTACCGACTTCGTGATGGATCGACGCATATCACCCATTGCCTTCTTGATGACCGGCTCTTTCTTGCCGAAATCACGCAACCACGCGCGCATCTCTTTCAAGGTTTTGTGTAGCGCCACATACCGCTCCTGGATATTGATCTCCTCGGGGGCAAGGCTGCTGCCACCAAACTTCTGCTGCTTCTGCTGCTGTTGGCTGCGGGCCTTCTCTTCCGCTGCTTCTTGCGCTTTCTTCGCCTCCTCTTTCCTTGCGCGGTTCTCAGCCTCTACCTTATCTCGCTGTTGACGCTCTTCCCGTTCCTTCTGTTCCTGCGCTGCTCGTCGCACTCGCTCCGCTTCCTCCTCGGCCTTCTTCTTTTGCTCTTCCTTCGTCTTGCGTTCGGCTTCGCGCGCAGCCTCACGCGCGGCTTCGAGACGTGCGGCTTCTTCTTGTTCTAACCGAAGCCTTTCGGCTTTTTCGCGCTCAATGCGCTCTCGCTCCTTGCGAGCTTGCTCCTCCTTGCGACGACGCTCCTCTTCCTCTGCACGGTTGTGTTCTCTCAAGATCTCCTCTGCCTCCCTGCCAATTTGGGCATGTTGAGCTGCGACCTTATCGAGAGCTGCGGTGTGGACTTCTTCACGCTCACGGTCAAGTCGGTCGAGTTTCTCATAAAAGGTTTTTCGCTCGTAGGCACGGACTTTTCTCATATCATTGTCGAAAATTTTGGCTTGCTGTAATTCGCGCGCAAGGTCATCCATGAGTTGCTTGGAGGGGCTGTCCAGCGCGCATCGTTTTCGGTGGACTGTCATGGCGTAAAATTCGTAGTCGTCGGAAATGTAGAGATTAAAGGCAAGTTTCACGGCGCGCTGAAGTGCAAGTAGAAGAGTCGCAAAGTGTATTGAAAAGAAGAGATGAAAAGCGTATGAGAAGGGTTTTGAGGTCAAGCGCTTGAATAGACTGTGAGATTAAGAGCCATGCCTCTCACAAGTAGTCAAGAATTGGTGAAATCACGAGGTTCGCTCGTCAAACTGACGACAGTTTGTATAGTGGGAGCGGGGGTCAGGAGTTGAATTGGGATCGAGGCGAAATATGAAAAGTTGAGAGTGTCGGGGGCTTTATTGAGAAAGAAAAGGTGAGGGTTGGAGGGAGTAGGAAGGAAAGCTGGTGTTCGATCTGAAGCTGTTGATTAAAGTAGATCCAGTCAACACTTCTCTTCTTTCAATTGATTGATTTTCACCGCAAACTTCCACGTCCAGCTCTTGCATGATCAGACGAAAGTTCTATCTGACTAACTGGATCTTACCTGTTGGTTATCTGTAATTGGTCTTTGTGCGGCCAACCAATGCTGCAATGTTTATCGCGATTCGAGTCCAAAGGGAGGATTAGGTAGAAAATAAGATACGTAAATTACGCTGAGTCATCAGGACCATCAAAAAGTCTGGTTCATTTGCATCATCATGAGCATCACCATTTAGAAGCTTCAAAAAAATGCTGCTGGTAGATATGATCATCGAACCAATTCATAATCTTCTCGAGGGATTGCTAAGTGATAAAATTCGGGGGTGTATGGTTCCATGATTTGTGAAGTGAGATGCATGCTATGTGGACTTCCATAAAAATGTTCGAGCCAATTGACCGATGGAGTCCAACTCATTACCTCCAGAAAGCTACTAGTGAGTATTATAGTATTTATCAGAGGGGGGCGTAGATCCCGGCCTCTTAGACCAACCGGACTGATTTCCCCCACACCTGACGCAGCTTGTCCTACGTAGATCGTATAATATCAAGCATATTTATTCTAGTGGGTTGCGAGGAAGCCCCCTGATGATAGTGATGAGGTTGTCGGGAGCAATGGAGATCATCCACGGCATCCGCTGGGGAGGAACCAGCGTATATATAATACTATACACACATATGACGGTACATTCACGGCTGGAATGCTCGTAATTGTGGGAAAATCAAGGTTGGTATGGATGTAATTACCATAACATACGCTAATTACACGGCCCTTATCCCCACACCCGCTGGGTATGGATCCATCATCATCACCTTCTTCCTTCTCCTTTCCCCCTCCTAACCTTCAACTCTTCCTCCCTCCCCCCTCAATCTCTCCCATTTCTCTCTCTTCCCCCATCGCTCCTTCTGATCGAATCGATCGATGCCTGCATCGTCTCGGTTTCATCCCACCCCTTAATTCATTTGTTGTCATTCTCTTCGAGGACGTGCAACCCACTCCGCCTATTTTCGGGCTTGAATTTCGTTGGACAGAAGCAGCTCTTCTTGACCATCGTTCTTCCCGGACAGACTCGAGTCCAATACCGTCTCTCGGCCGAGGATCTTCTTTGATTCCTCTATCCACCAACTTTTTCGGCTTTTAGTGGTTGACTACGGTGCAATTCACCAAGCTTTCCACTCGCCAACTCGGTCCTTCCAACACCCTATTTTCGAATCGAGCGAGCGTCGTCTCTTTCAGTCGGTCCTTGCCATCATCGATAACAAGTGCATTGAGTGTGCAATTGACTTGACTCGCTACTCCTCGGTTCCTGCGATCTGCTTGTGTACAGACCGCTATTGCTTCGTTGGCTTCTAGCAAATCTCATCCCACGTTGACAGCGTAGACGTCATTTTGGAATGCTAGGGCTCGAAGTTCGTTATTAGTCCCTCTCGCAGGTAAGGGTGTCAAACTAGTTTCATTTTTGTTCTGACAGGCGCGCATGGCCCCCATGATTTGTTTTTGTATGGTTTGGTGGAGCTTTCGTTGTCTCACCCTGTGCTGAAGATACTCTGAGTCTCCTGGGCTTTTATCCGCGCATGGATCCGAGTGAACCATCGCAACTTCCACTTGCCCGTCAGCGTGTTGTTGCCTCCTTCCCTGTCGTCGCTCCTTCACGCTTTGGCCCTACCTTTCTTTTGCTTCGGCTCCGCTTTCTTGTTATCGACTCTCTCTGAACCTTGTACTGATCAACACTCTCTTTCTCTTCCAGTATAGTTCCCAACTTTTCCTGTTGAAAACTATCGTCCGCACATATAATCACCTCATCCGCGGTCGGTCGGTGATCCGCATAAATTGGTTCGATTGTCTTTGGAGACAATACCAGTCTCTCCTGTCGCCGGATCCCCTCCCGCATCCCGCATTTTACACTCTACAGTGATACTCGTTGTTCATCAGATATCATGGATCAACAAAACCAGTCTGGCCCTACTGGGCGCAAACTCCATATCGCTCACCGGAGAAGTCCATCTGAGCTGACCCCTCTGATGAGTATGTCTTGACCTCGATTCCCCTGAGCTTTCTCCTGGGACGACTTCGAACTAACGCAGTTACACAGTGGAACAACTTGCCATTCAACAACAGATTGAGCTGCTCCAGCAGCAGCAACAGCAGATCGCTGCTACACACCAACAGTATGTCAATATGGGCCTGCTCCAGCCTCAGCAACTGGGTCAGGTCAACGCATTCTCTCCCGGTGGTTCCATGGGTGGTGTTTCGCCTCAAGTTAGCGCTTTCCAATTCCCCCAGCAGCAGAACCAGCAGCAAGGGCAACAACAGCTCGGATTGCCCATGAACGCGAATCAACACTCTCACCGTCGTAACCAGTCTGCCCTTCCCGGCCTTGCGATGGGTCCACCCCCTGCCCCGTCGTCAGGTGCCTCCGGATATGCCGATTACAACCAGCAGGGCCAGAACAATCAGAAGAATGAGAACGCCAACCACGGTCGTGGTCGTGGAGGCCCGCCTGGTGGTGGACACCAGCGCCGCCATTCTCTGGCTCTGCCTGAAGCGAAAAAGGCTGCTGAGCTCGCGCAGCAGAAGAGAACGGCCTCTGGCTTCCAGTTCCCAGCCCCTTCTCCGGGGGCCGGATCGGATAACCAATCGGGATCGGATGACAAGCCCCAACCCAGTACCTCTCCTGCACCCCAGGGACTTGGTCTGCAGCGGGCCGGTAACATTCGTTCCGGTGGTGGTCATGGCCGAAGCCAGTCTATGGCCATTGGCGGTAGCCGAGGTTCTATCTCTGGTCGTGGTGCCGGCGGCTTTCAGTTCCCTGCGTCCAACGATGCTGGTCAATCTGACAACCAGCGCCGAGGTAGCCAGCCTGGTCATGCTCGTACGGGGTCTCGGAACTTCGATGGCAACTGGCGTCAGCCCAACAACCAGAACCAGAACCAGAACCAGGATCAGCAGAAACCGTTCAACCAGCAGCAAGGTGGCGGCTTCCAACCTGGACACCGTTCGCGACCTTCTATGAACCAGTCGATGGGTGCCATCGGCCAATTCCAGTACCCTGGTCAGCCTCAGTTGATTCAGTTGCCGCAGGGGCAGGTCATGATGGCCCCACCTCAGATGTTTGGTGGGCAGCAGCTGAGCCCTCTTCAGCTTGCTCAGCTACAGGCGCTTCAGCAGCAGCAAACTGGGCAAGGTATGGGTGGCCTTGGTGCGAGCCAGCATGCCCCGCCGCAGCTGTCTGTTCAACAGCAACAGCAGCAGCAGCAGCAGCAACGGAAGACTCTCTTTACCCCTTACCTGCCCCAGGCCAACCTGCCTGCACTTATTAGCAACGGACAATTGGTTGCCGGTGTTCTACGTGTCAATAAGAAGAATCGGTCCGATGCCTATGTGACCTGCGCCGAGCTTGATGCCGATATCTTCATTTGTGGTAGCAAGGACCGTAATCGTGCTTTGGAGGGTGATTTTGTCGCCATCGAGCTCCTGGATGTTGACGAGGTTTGGACTCAGAAGAAGGAAAAGGAAGAAAAGAAGAAGCGCAAGGATATCACCGATGCCCGTTCTAACAGCAACGCCGGCAATGACAAGTTGGGTCGGTCTGACTCCAACGGCGATAGACAAGAGATTGGTCCAGATGGAAGCATCCGCCGCCGTGGCAGTCTTCGCCAGCGACCCACCCAGAAGAAGAACGATGACGTTGAGGTTGAAGGCCAGAGCCTTCTGCTTGTCGAGGAGGATGAGATAAGTGATGAGCAGAAACCTCTCTTCGCTGGACATGTTGTTGCTGTCATTGAGCGCATTGCTGGTCAGATGTTCTCCGGAACTTTGGGTCTCCTTCGCCCTAGCAGCCAAGCAACAAAAGAGAAGCAGGAGGCTGAGCGCCAGGCCAGAGATGGTGCCCATGGACGTCACCAGGACCGCCACCAGGACAAGCCTAAGATTGTCTGGTTCAAGCCTACGGACAAACGTGTTCCTTTGATCGCTATCCCCACTGAGCAGGCTCCTCGAGACTTCGTGGAGAAGCACCAGGATTATGCCAACCGCATCTTTGTCGCCTCCATTAAGCGATGGCCCATCACCTCTCTCCACCCCTTCGGTACCCTGGTGGAACAGCTTGGTGAGATGGGTGACCTGCGGGTTGAGACAGATGCTTTGCTTCGTGACAACAACTTCGGATCCGACGATTTTACCGATGCTGTTATCAAGAGCATCGGCTACGAGGATTGGTCCGTTGCTAATGAGGGTGATGCCCTTGCTTCGCGTCGTGACTTCCGTGAAGAGACCATCTTCACGATCGACCCTGAGGACACCAAAGCACTGGAAGATGCTTTCCATATCAAGAACCTTGATGATGGAAAGATCGAGATTGGTGTTCACGTGGCTGACATTGCCCACTTCGTTAAGAGCAACTCCCTCGTTGACCGTGAGGCCAAGAAGCGCGGTACCGCAGTGTACCTGGTTGACCGGGTTATGAACATGCTACCTCCTCGAGTCTCTACGGAGCTTTGCTCCCTCGTTCCCGGCGAGGACCGCCTGACTGTGAGCGTTGTGTTCAAGGCCAACCTTGAGACCGGTGCCATCGACGATGACGTTTGGATTGGAAAGGGTGTCATCAAGAGTGCTGGCCGTCTCAGCTATGAAGAGGTCAACGCGGTGATTAATGGCAAGTCGGATAAGACCACTGCCGGTATCACCTCGGACAAAATCCAGCTGATGAACGTGAGTCTTTCAAGTTTTAAAACTGTTCTAGATTATTTTGACTAACTTTCCTTAAGACCATCTCGCACAAGTTCCGCGACGCCAGATTTGGCAACCGGGCAGCCAATGTTCCTTCTCTGCGTATTCTGCAGCAGCTTGATGACGAGAATGTGCCTGTGGAGTACAACATTTTTGATTCTACTCCAGCTCACGAGCTTGTGGAGGAGCTTAGCCGCCAGGCTAATTTCTTCGTTGCCCGTAAAATCTCCAGTGCCATGCCTGATAAGGCATTCCTGCGTCGCCAGCCTTCCCCTAATCCTCGCCGTCTTACCTTGTTCGTGGAAAGAATGAACCGTCTTGGTTTCGGTCTGGATGCTTCTAGCAGCGGTACTTTGCAGAGCACACTCTGCAAGCTGGAAGATGTTGACCTCCGCAAGGTTAGTGTGATCATTATCTGACTTGACTCATCTTACTCTTACTAATATGATCACAGGGAATGGAAACTTTGCTTGCGAAGGCCATGCAGCGCGCCAAGTACTTTGTTGGATCCAGTGTGTCGGATGACCAGCGTCTCCACTACACCTTCAATGTGCCTGTTTACACCCATTTCACTAACCCATCGCGCCGCTACACCGACATCATCGTCCACCGTCAGCTTGAAGCAATCCTCTCAGATGGTGCTATTGAGTTCACTGATGATGTTGAGTCTTTGACCAAGACTGCCGACCTTGCCAACAACAAGAAGGACTCGGCTCACAATGCACAAGAGCAGAGTGTTCACATCGAGGCTTGCCGCAACATGGATCGCAAGGTACGCGAAATTGGCGGCGATCTCATCAGTGAGGGTATTGTGCTTTGTGTCTACGAGTCTGCGTTTGATGTTCTCATTCCTGAATATGGCTTCGAGAAGCGTGTACACTGCGACCAGCTGCCACTCAAGAAGGCCGAGTACCGCAAGGATAGCCGTGTGCTCGAGCTTTACTGGGAGAAGGGTGTTCCTTCTTCCGCTTACGTTCCCGAGGATGAACGTCCTAAGCCTGGCAATTCTCGTGCTGCCCAGGCAGCGGCTGCCGCCCGTGAGGCCGAGGCTGCCAGAGAGCGCGCTCGTGAGCATGACGAGGCCATGCGGAAGCAGACAGAGACTGGTACCATGTCTGCGGATGCTGTTGATGCGCTCTTCGACGATGACGATGATGTTGATGAGGTGACTGAATTGGCTGCAGGCGTGTCTCTTAGCTCGGCTGACCGGTCGACTCAGAGCATGCCCCCTTCGCCGACTCGCAACGGCCACCCCCAGCAGGCTCCTCACCGCACTCGCTCCGACCCGAAGATTGCCTCGAGCACAGGCGATGCGCCAGAGAGCAAGCTGACCAACAAGGAGAAATATCTGAAGCTGTTCAAGCTCAGAGAGGAAAATGGCGATTTCATCCAGGATGTCACCGAGATGTCTCGCGTTCCCATCATTCTGAAGACCGACCTGAGCAAGAGCCCACCGTAAGTTCCACACCCTGTGCCGAAGTATTTGACCCAAATTAACCATTTCATTTTTATAGGTGCCTCACTGTTCGGTCTGTGAACCCTTACGCTCTGTAAGGAAGTCCACGGTACTTGTTTTCTCCTTCTTTGGGATATATTATTGCATGTCTATCCTGCAGATTCTTTGGGCGTCGTAGAACATGGCGCATGTTCTGTTCCCACGCACATAATCCATCCACAACATGCGGATCGAACATATTGTTATCGGGTTAATTCCTGATATCTCGTTTTTCCCCCTTTGGTGGCTTTCCAATCCGCCTTCCTCGATCAACATTTTTCCGACGTCCTTTGGGGCAACCATACTTAACTCTTTGTTGTTATTACTCGTAGCGATTGTTTTTGATTTGAGGATCATGATTCCTCTTCCAGAGAGAGTGTTATCTGTGCTTATCACTTTTTCTCGGTCCCTTTCTTGTTACGTCTCCCATGCTTAAAGTGCCTGGGACTGGAGATATCGTGCCATGATTGGAGATTGAAGGGAAAAGATTGGCTACAGCTCGATAGTTCTGAGGAGTATTTCCATTAATTCAGGCATTTTACATATGCCCTTTTCCTGTTTGTCAGTAGCGAATAAAGTAGATCATCTTCTCTGCATGAGCTAAGCGAGGCTTTGTTGATGGAGAGTGAAATACAGCCTACTTGTTGATTAAGATCTAGGTGCAGTTCTTATAAACGTAACGAGCTGGCCTGAATATTTGATATCATCCAAGTCGGACTTTTGTGTCCTAATTTCTAACATCACTAAGTAAAAAACGCCATGATCCGACTTATGCAACCTCAACGCATGCAAAATGCTTCCTTTCTTCTTCACAGTGATGCAGATAGGCCCGACATTATACTGAGGCAAACAAATTTAAAGAGCGAAATGGGGTATCATGCCCTCCCGAATAACAATCCAATCCGATGCAATGTAACGAGAGCAAAAACGCAGAAACATAGAAAATTCTCAACCAAATTATAATCTCAAAGTCGTCGCAGACCGATCCGAGGCTTGGCCTTTGGCATACCTCCCTTCCGGAGACCGGAGATTTTCTTCGAGAGCTTGAAGGGGGATTGCTTTGATGGGATCAATGACGCCGACGTTGTACTGGGCTGGTGGCCTGATTGCATCGCTTGGTGGTTAGCAGCGTGTGCTACCTTCTCAGCATGCAATCCACTGATATCTTTCAATCCGCGAGGTAGGAGGACGGAATCGCGGTTCTCTTTTCCGTCGCTGCCGAATCGGCGTGAAATATCTGTTACTGTGCGGTCTGGTACGTCCTCGTAGATCTGGACATCTTCACGAAGGCGGCTGGGTGTGTTTCCCCATCTGCTAGGTGCGAGTTTGGGGGTTTTGCGCTGTGGAGACATGGTGGGAGGGTTGCGGGTGGGCCGAGAGAAGTTTATTGTGGTAGAGACATTGGCGGCAATATTTTTCTCGGAGGAGCTGAAGCTATTTGTTGGGGGCGTGTCGGTATCGTTTCCTGGTTCTGAGTCCGAATCCACCAGCATCATCTCTGTGTCTGGGTCTTCGGGATAGGCCAGTGACAGAACAGACAGTGGCCGTTTTCCAAAGGCATTCTTGCGGGGACTGGATGGTGGTGCGAGGCGAAGAGGTGTTGGAGAGAGAGAGGGGTTATTTTCTTTGCTTGCGCTAGCGGGGTCGTCGTTCTCATTTTCACTGTCGCTCATTTGCATGGGGTCGTTTTCAAGGACTGGCTCTGGATGTGGAGCCAAGTCGCGGGGTGGGTGTGGAATGTATTCAGATGGTGGGCGATTTTTCATAGTTGTGCCTGTCTGTATGCGCTGTTGCTTTCTAGGGCGCTGATAGTGGGCATCTGCTTCCCGGGGCATCGATCCGGGGTCTTCGCCACGATGTTTTGCTTCTTTGACGGCATTTTCGAGGCTGGTGTGGATTGGGGCATGGATAGAGGTCATTAGTCTAGCTTGATGGGCGAAAACATCGTAGTCTTCCCGGAGCAGATTTCCCGCAGATGAGTTGAGAGCCGAGTCGGGGTTGGGGTTGATGAGAAGACAAGAGATTGTCTACATACTCGAGTTAGCTCAGTTACCCGGACGCAAATCTACAAGACTCTGCCCATCCCACTTACAATTAGAACATCCCGGAGGGTCAGCTTGGACTGCCAATCTCTCTTCAATGTATCCACACACACCGCACCGGTCATCTCCTCAACATTGGGATGCCATATGCGAGTCCGAAATGTCGCTTTGGGCGGGCTGTTCGGGTAGTCTTCCGGTATCTTCAACTGCAATCGCCACAAGCCCTGGGAATAGGGAGTCCCTGGAGGGCCAGTGAGCAGGATTGTGAGCTGCGAAAGGTCATCTGCTGCAGCGAAGTGGCCGTCATCCGGCTGCACGAGGTAGTACGGCGGGAGCTTGGAGTGCAAAGCGGCATGATCTGCCGCCAGCCGGCGTAGATTAGAAACCTAGATCGTATCAGTGGTTGAGTCTTGATCTTGCTTTTGGTTTCTCTTCTTTGGTCATGGAGCTCACTTACCATTGTGGTGGGGATGTGGGTTGTCAGAGCAATCAAAACAATCGGTTACTTCAACGACGGGGTTGTTTGGACAGTTTGAAGTGTTTGGTGACGCTAGACCAGATGTGGGTGACGTGGTCGCGTTTGCGTTTTCGTGCCGTGAGAAGGACGCGTTACCTATTTTGCCTATTTAGGTTTAGCGTGTTATTGTATACTGACATATCACATTGTTCCTGTAGCCTTGAGAAATTTTACTGGCATAGTAGCATCAAGGGATAGAAACATATAAAGGGGATTCAGATATGTGTCTCTTGTAATAATCATCATGACCATTTTAGATGGATAGAATACTAGTCAAGTTGAACGTTCATATAGATTTATAGTAATTACTGCTCTAGCGATGATCGATGGGGTTTTCACGTATGTACTGAGTATTATACTAGTAGATATCAGGGGAAAGATATTAAATATGAGAAAGGGGTCTGCGCCATGAATATGCTGTCCAATTCCCAAAAAGAAGCAAATAAAGCCAGGCTGCAATGAATACAGGCCCCCATGATTAGAATGCAAAATAAAACCCAATGTCAACCAAAACCAATTGTGCTAGCATTTTCACGTCCCTCGTCCTGCAGATCCAAACACTCGCATAGAGGCATCTAGATCTCCATCCAATGACCACTGTAATGTCCCTAACGTCCAAAGATATTTGCAGACCCAATGGTACATCCAACTCGCCAATGAGTTGGAGTTCTATCGATTGCTTTACAGGAAAGCAAGAATAGCAGCACCAGCAGCGAGACCCATTCCAGCGGTGGCGAAAGCAGCGCCACCAGTGGAGGTGGAAGTTGTGCCAGTGCTGAAAGTGCCCGAGTCGGTAGAGGAGGAAGACTCGGTCGATGTACCAGTGGAGGTGGAGGTGGAGCCAGAGCTAGAGCTAGTGGTGAGAGGGGTGCTGCTGCGGACAGAGCTGGTCCAAGTGCCGGTCTGGGCAGTGACCACAGGTGCGGTCAGACCAGCTGGGATTGAGGCAGCGGCCTCCTGGGAAGTGGCAGCGGCAGGCTGACTAGTGATAACGGAGGGTTGGCCAGTAACGACACCGAGGGAGTTAGTCTCAGTGAGGTAGTTGATCTATTTGAATCTTGATTAGAAGGTTATCCTCTTTTAGCTATCGATGGGGGATCTGGATTGCAGCTTACTGTGCTAGTGGAGCTCGATTCGGCGACAACACCGGAGGTCAGGGCAAAAGCCGACAGGGTAGCGAGGAGAATAGAGGTACGCATTTTGAACGAATGTTAAACGTTTAACGACAGTATGGGGGATTGAGATAATGATCGATAGGGCTGGTATGTGGAACCGAAATGAAGTGGGGAGAAAAGGGAAGATGGAGTAGCTGGGGGGAGAGAGACGGTATTTATTAGCAAATTGAGGCAAACGGGGGGCTACTCGGCATTGTGTTATAATCGCAAAGAACCGCGAAATGCTTGACCCGTGGTCCAGTCATACACGGGGAAAATACTAGCGCGCCTCTGGATCTGCAAGGTCGGGTTCTATTTTGGTATTGGGCTGTACCTATGCTGCTACAATTCGTAAGCTTAGCGCAATGCCAATACCCTAACAGTGAGGTTGAGAGTCCGAGGGTGTCGGCCTCTATTGCGACGCACATAAATAGTAAATATGATTCGCATGTACGGAGTAGGCGAAGTACTATAAACTCAAGATCGGCTAGCTCAGTACTTTTGTTTCAGTGGCAATAACATCTAGCTTGTACTCTGTAGCCTGGACAGAAACCAATACCTGTCAACGGCTTGGCAGAGCGCGTGGAAGCCTAGGAATCCAGTTCATTGTAGCCAGTGATTAAATTTGGCTGAACTATGAACAAATGTCAATTCACTATTGTCGTACCGTTCGGGCTGTGAAAGACCCCAAGAGAGGGGTTGTTCGATGTGGCGTCCCCGGGTGAGACAAGCGCCGTACTAAACCAGGAATTTCCACAGATCACCTTGGAAAAGGTGAGACATCACTTGATCAGCTGTCAACCACTTGCTGTTATAAATGTAGGTTTTTGTGGAGGTCCAGACTCTGGAAAGAATAACATGGACTGTAATCGAATCGGAGGGGAAAATTAGATTGAACAGCAAGGACTGAGTGGGTCTTCGTAACCTAGTAACAAAATTCCTCATTTACCTCTTTCACCTCGACCCCATTGTGATCTCTCTCTATAATCCACTCTAGATCCACCTTACGGCTTACATACTACTAAACACGATATTGCCACTACAATGGATGTCTCATCCGAAATCACCACAGGGTCTCAGCCATATGACATCTCATTTTATGTATCTCTTCCCTCCGGATATTGACATCTGAGCAAGACCCTGCAGGGAATTCCCGTCCAGACTGTCCATTTTAAGCTTGAATGCCTCGCGGGTAACTATGTTCCAGTCCAGTCTGACTATTGTAACACGGGCGACACGTACGCTGAGCACGAGATGGGATGCCTATGACACTTAGGATCATAATAATGATATCACTGCATCTTCAATATAGGGCATGTGTACTGACTACTCTGCACCCCCATATGCCTACATGGAACTTAAATATTTTCCAATGTTGACAATAAACAAGCCAAGCATGCATGAAGACAGATGTGGCTTGGGACCGGTGGTCGCCGCGGCATCCTTGCTGAATTAATAAAGAGGCGTATATTAGCTTTGCTTTTTCCCCCCGGATTGGTCAAGCACGACGATCGACCGGACAACGCCCTTCTGTGGATTCGATGCAGCTGTGGTGCACTGTTGATCTCTGCAGTATATTCAAAAAATGATGAAGTCCAGGCACACCAATCCCCTTCGAACTGCAAGCTTCGGTCTCTAATTTGTTTGTTCGGAATTTGCGAACGGCCATCTCATGCAGGGCTAGGCGCCGGAAACTTGGCGTTACAGAAAAGCAAAGAAAAGGGGCAAGGCAAGTTGAAGATGAGACCGGAGCTATGATCAGCAACTACGATCAAATCAGGTATATTGATTTTGATTGCAAGACCCCCTCCGGGTGCATCATATACATCTCACCACAGTGGAGCCCAGACGAGTCCTTGTATGGAATTCCAATTTCAGAGCAAATTACTCCTTAGTCAACACCTCCTGACCCCGGACCCAATCCGCGAACTCCTTCCGCTTAGCCTGTATCAACCAATTAGCTCATATTCCTCATTAACCAGCTCAGCACATCCAGTTGGCACAACTGAACCATTGCCTGTTCCTCTGAACAAGCATAATAGCCGCATTATGCAGAAATCCGGATGACTCACCCGAATATCCCAGAATCCATATCGCTCCTCCATTCCCAAGTATGGGTTTCGCGCACCACCATCCCGCTCGATCTCGCCCGCCCAGTCGCGCCAGCTGATCGGCTTTAGCTTCTCTGCACCGAGAACCAATCCAATCGAGACGGCTAGGACCGCAGCCAGGGTCTCGACGATAATGTCACCCGGTAGGGAGGCGATAGCGGCGATATTGGCGTTACTGAAGAGGACGGCGTGTTCGTGGGCGGAGTAGCCACTATCGTAATTGAAGGGTTAGCTAGCTCGATATCATCTGGTGGTATTCTGAGTTGTAGAATATTTCGACGTACGCGTGGACTAGCAGGACCAAGCCAAATAGTGTGGCCACGCGCGAAAGGAAGCTCATGGTGGATGAGAGGTGGTCAATTGGGGATTTGGGATGGTCGTTGTTGGTGAGCCCTGGGGAGCTCGGACGCGGTCGCGAGCCGTTGCAAGGATATTAATTTCTCAAGAACCTTTTCACTTGACTTGATGCTCAAAAGCCAAGATTCGGGGATAGATGTTTCTGGTCTCCTCATGGGGGGAACTCGACTTCGATCTGCGGCCACACGGTCCCGCAGTTTGTATTACCTAAGCACATGTGGTTGGCAACCCCGGGTTATCCCAGTCCAACTAGCCCTCAAGCTCTCATTGTTCTGTGAAAATGTTTAGACCTGTATCTCGATTTTAAAAATTGGTACTCATACTTTAAAAGCACCCAGGTCACTATCAACAATATGTAACATTGGTATTTTTAAGGTTCGGTGTGAACCAAGATATATATTTATGTCCATTGGATCCCCGCCAAGTTGGGCATCCATCTTCAACATTGAAATGTTAATGATTCTGGACCACTTGCCATGCAAATATTTGCTGGAGACCGACATATTTAAAGCAATTTCCTAGGCATTCAGTGCATTAGAAACTACATTTTTTTCTCCAAGACTAGAAAGCTGACAAGGTGTCTCTATTTGAAGGGAATCAACCTTCCAAGATTAAAACATGGCAGAAGTGGCCCGATTCCTGCCCATGTGACATCTCTGCACAGGTGGGCATACACAAATATGCGACGTAGGATGGTATAATATAGGTAGTAGGATGAAAATGCTAAGGTGCAAGAGGAGTCGAAAGAAAATACAAAAACCTTAAAACCTGCATGGGGGCAAAAGAGGCCATGTCATGACCTTGAAGAGGACGGAGAGGGGTTTTTATTTTGAAATGCATCAAGTGCTCGTAAGCAGCTCAACAAATGGGTACCAAAATACAGAATACACAGGATCTTGAGACGAACATTTGGAAGGGAATACACAAGTGGTGACTCCCAAGGTCCTCATTCCAATCCAATGTTTATGGAGTAATTCAGAAGAAAAAAATGGTCATGAAAATTTTGATTTTTTCATCAAGCCGGCCACTTGTGGTCTCGGATTCTAAATTCGTTACTATTGGGTTCCTTAGACATCAAATATTCCTTCATCACGCCATTCTTCTTCATAAAAAGGCATCTCGTTTACAGCTTCTGCATGGCAGCAACGTCGGTGGACTGGACGTGGTCCTCATCCTCCTCGATCTGGGCCTGGAGGTCATCGGTGGAGACCTTCTCGTCCTCGACGACCAGGTTGATCTGGAGCTTCTTAATACCGAAACCGACAGCAACGAGCTTGGAAGCACCCCAAACGAGACCGTCCATCTCAATAGCGCGAACGTTGGCCTCCATCTGGGCAAGGTCGGTCTCATCATCTGTAACAAGTAGGTTAGTACTGAGAATTTCACGTCATTATCGGAAAGGGAAAAACATACCCCAGGGCTTCACCTCCAGGGTGACCAGGGACTTAGCGGCGGGCTTGGGTCCCTTGGAAGCCTTCTTGGCCTTGTACTCCTCAAGACGGCGGTTGCGCTCAGCAACCTCCTCAGGGTCCTCCTCCTCGGAGTCGGAGCCGAAGAGGTCCTCCTCCTCATCGTCATCCTCAGGCTTGTCCTTGGGGTTGACGGGGAGGTCGACAGTCTCGGGGCCGTAGGCAGTGAACTCCTTGGAGGCATCACCGGGCAGAGTGGAGAACTCAGACTCGTAAGAGGCAATGTGCTTGTACCAGCGGGCAACGTGGGGGTACTTGGCAGCGTCAGGGGCGGCGCTGAAGGCCTTGAAGGTCACAGCATCGGCCTGGCTGGGGGCATTGCTGTCAAGAACAGTCAGTATTGAGCGTTCGACATGTATGTAACAAACAATGTTGATTGGAAGTCAAAAATCAGAAACGCGATTGCTCGCAAATGGGTTTTAGTCAAGCAGCGGGGTCTTAAGCCGCCTCATCAACACGGACCAATTTTTCTCATCATGAAAAGCAGGGTGATTCGAACCAGGAAAGCCAAAGAAAATAAAGTGGCAAAGTGAAAGAGTATGCAAAGGGATAAAGTCACTTACCCAACGATGTAGCTGCGGGTGGCCAGGTAGTTGTTGGCCACTGAGGGACACAGTCAGTCCAAATAGTTCAGACGTTCACATAAAACCAAGGGATTGCCTACAGGTCAGGCCAGCCTCAGAGACGAACTCAGTGAAACCCATTGTGAAAGAAAGGGAGTATTTTAAGGGGGTTGATTATAAGAGGGGAAGAGTGAATAGGGAGAGGAGAAGAGAAGAAAACAAAGTGGGAGTGGGTGTCCGAGGGGTAAAAGGTTTTTTTTTCTTCCCGTTTAAATTGCTCCCCACGTGACTTGAGTGGTGACGGAGCTTGGTCCAATTTGATAGAGTGGAGCTACCGCCACTCCACTCAACGCGTGGAGCTTTCCAGAAGAATCGTGATGATGCTACCATTCAGCTATTAAAGCTGCATATCAGACCGTGATCCCCCCCCTCCCGGACCCTAATTTACTAGTGTCCACCATGGCGGCGAGACTATCCCTCAATACTCGTAGTCGCCTACTGCGAACACCTTTATTTTCTACAGTTTCACGCTCAACCCCACTTCTTCCGAGGACCGCGTCGCTACTTGTGCCATATGCTAAACACACCTCCATTTCTTCCATACGCCATTATGCCAATGGCCGGCCTCATCCCCCCGGTGGTACCCATCGTATGGACATGAGCGGAGAGCCAGAAAAGCCTGCTTTGGAAAAATTTGGTGTCGATTTGACAGCGAAAGCAAAGGCGGGAAAGCTGGATCCGGTTATCGGAAGAGATTCAGAGATACACCGAACGATCCAGGTACTGTCGCGTCGTACCAAGAACAACCCTGTGTTGATCGGCTCAGCAGGTACTGGTAAAACAGCAGTATTAGAAGGTCTTGCGCAGCGCATTGTCCAAGGTGACGTGCCCGAAAGTATCAAGAACAAGCGCGTGATCTCGCTGGACTTGGGCTCGCTCATTGCAGGTGCCAAGTTCCGCGGTGACTTTGAGGAGCGCCTCAAGTCCGTGCTAAAGGAAGTTGAAGACGCTCAAGGTGGTGTCATCCTCTTTATTGACGAACTCCATACATTGCTGGGACTGGGCAAGGCTGAGGGCAGCATCGATGCAAGCAATCTGCTAAAGCCAGCTTTGTCCCGGGGAGATCTTCAATGCTGTGGTGCCACCACTTTGAACGAATACCGTCTGATCGAGAAGGATGTCGCACTGGCTCGACGCTTCCAGCCCATCCTAGTCAATGAGCCATCCGTTGCTTCAACAATTTCCATTCTGCGCGGCATCAAGAACAAATACGAAGTCCACCATGGCGTTCGAATCACTGACGGCGCTCTGGTTGCTGCCGCCACCTATAGCAACCGTTATATCACCGATCGCTTTCTCCCTGACAAGGCGATTGATCTGGTAGATGAAGCGGCTTCAGCACTTCGCTTGCAGCAAGAATCCAAGCCCGACTCTATTCGAGAGTTGGAGCGTGATATCACCACTATTCAGATCGAACTCGAGTCTTTGCGTAAAGAAACCGATGTTAGCAGCCGTGAGCGAAGAGAAAAGCTCCAGGAGGATCTCAAAATCAAGAAAGAGGAGGCTGGTAAATTGACTGAGGTATGGGAAAAAGAGAAACTTGAAATCGACGGTATCAAGCGAACGAAAGAAGAGTTGGAGCAAGCGCGATTTCAACTAGAACAGGCGCAACGCGAGGGCAACTTCGCCAAGGCGGGAGAGCTTCGTTACTCCACAATCCCTGGTCTAGAAAGTAAGCTACCCAAGGAGGGAGCGGAGATGGATGGTGGGGACACCCTAATCCACGACTCTGTCACCGCTGACGACATTGGAAATGTGGTTTCTCGGACCACGGGTATCCCGGTCAACAAACTAATGGCGGGAGACGTCGAGAAGTTGATTCACATGGAAGACACCCTTCGAAAATCGGTTCGAGGACAAGACGAAGCTCTCTCTGCAGTTGCCAATGCTGTTCGAATGCAAAGGGCGGGCCTCAGTGGTGAGAACCGGCCGCTAGCATCATTCATGTTCCTTGGCCCGACTGGCGTAGGCAAGACAGAGCTCTGCAAGAAGATGGCTGAGTTCCTTTTCTCCTCTGAGACTGCTGTTGTGCGATTTGATATGAGTGAATTCCAAGAGAAGCACACCATTAGTCGCTTGATTGGCTCTCCTGCTGGATACGTTGGTTATGACGATGCTGGTCAACTGACTGAGGCTGTCCGGCGAAAGCCATACGCCGTTCTATTGTTTGACGAATTTGAGAAGGCTCATCGAGACATCTCGGCTTTGCTTTTGCAGGTCCTCGATGAGGGCTTTTTGACAGATGCCCAGGGCCACAAGGTCGACTTCCGAAACACTTTGATTGTTTTGACTTCCAACCTTGGTGCCGAAATTCTTGTTGGAGGCGATCCCTTACACCACTACAAGGATAGTGGCGAGGCCGAAGTCCCCCCGATATCAAAAAGGCTGTCATGGATGTTGTTCAGCATGCTTATCCGCCAGAGTTTTTGAACCGGATTGATGAGTTCATCATCTTCAAGCGCCTTTCAAGGGAAGCCTTGCGGGATATCGTTGATATCAGAATCAAGGAGTTACAAGGCCGGCTTGATAGCCGCCGCATGACTCTTCAGGTGGATGATGAGATTAAAGATTGGTTGTGCGAGCGCGGCTATGACCCCAAATTCGGTGCTCGTCCCCTGAATCGTCTCATCGCCAAAGAGATTGGAAACCGGCTGGCCGATAAGATCATTCGTGGCGAGATTGTTTCTGGCCAGAGTGCTCATGTTTCCCTCAATGATGACAAAACTGCCTTGGTGGTTACACCCAAGGAGATTGAAGAAAAAGCATAAATCAGTACACTTTTGTTTTACGCGGCATTTGCATCGGTGTTTTCTAGGCTGGGATTGTGGATTTTACGGATGGATCACCACTCGTGACTATGTATATTAGTTCTCAATATTCAATTGTACATTACTGCGGTGCAATGCTCAAATATCTACTTATACCATGGTAAATCTTAATCTTATGTAGCTGTGCAAACGATTCAAGGCCCGATATGGAAGTCCAAGCAACGTGACCTACAACTTCGGTTTCTCCAACCATTCCCTTTCATCTGAATTTCAACCCACTCACCAAAGATTCTCTTGACGCCTGGTAATGTTTTCCTCAACAAGAAAACGTTCACCCGCGGCCTTGCGTCCATCTATCATCACTCCTCGTACTGCCAAATCACGGCCTAGCTTCGAGGCTCGCGTGACAAGCGCACCATCCCCCGTCCAGCGAAATCCAGTCCATCCAGAATCTTCAGCTGCGAGACAACTACGCACACCATTTTGCTCTGAAACCCACCATGAAGTTGATTGTTCGGGAAGTTCAATTGATGATGATCTTGATCATGTCATCGTCGCCATCGACATCAAGGACTATGGGACGGTGGGCTGTGCTTACTATTCAGCAGAAGAGGAAAAGATGTATTTGCTTGGTGACAGTCGATCTGGTGGAATGGAAACAATCGATACCTGTATGTTCAGTGAAGCAATGGAGATGGCATTGAAAGGACGCTGAATTCATGAAAGTGATTGCCCAGATCAAGCCCACTGTGATATTGACGCCCCCTCGAGTTGACCTAGCCAGCATACATGGTCAAACCCAGAGCCTAGCACATGAGAATGGTAATCACAACTTTTATTATCCAACCGTTATTGTCACTAAATTATTCATTTTTAGATTCGTCATCCTATCTACCTTATCAGGTGGATGTTCGTCCCACACAGGATTTCAGTCACTCAAATGCAGAGAACAGACTGATTGCCCTAGATGCATCGTCTTCTCATGAGGATCGAATCCGCTTCTTTGTGCCCCACAGTGGTCTTACTGGGCCTGAGGAGGTGAGCCTCGAGGATATGGGGTTCACGCTCCACGAGGGACGACTTCTACACATATCCAGCATTATCGACATGGAGAACCCTGTGACAATTGGTTGTGCTGGAGCAGTCCTCACCTACCTACAGAAACGTAGAGCCGCGAGTAGCGGGATGGAACTTGTGGATGGCTGTGCATTCCGAGTGCGATTTTTGGAGATGTTCAGTTTGAAGGATACGATGTAAGTGCTTGAAGAAATGGTATCATACATGATGAATTGAATATGACCGATATGCGCTAGGTGGATTGGAAGCAATGCTTTCTTATCTCTCCAAATCTTACAATCCGAATCACATCCCAACATGTTCAATCAAGGTCCAGGAAAAAATTCCGCTTCCGCGAAGGAGGGTCTTTCGATATATGGCCTTTTTAGGCGCTTTGCATACACACCCCAAGGAAGAGCGAGACTCAAGCAGCTTTTCTTTCGCCCAAGCCTGAGCCTTGATACAATTCGGGAAAGACATGATTTTATCGGAGTACTTTCACGGCCCGACAACATGGCTGCATTGGAGACGATGGCAAAGGCATTGAAGCATATTAAGAATCTCCGACCCACAATGACCAATCTTCGCAAAGGCATTAGTGTTGGGAAAGGCACGACTACTGGATTCAAAGCAACAGCATGGGAGAGTTTGTTGGCTGTACGTACCTTGGCTGTATAGCCGAGCTGTATAGCCGAGCTGTGCTAATGCTGTTCAAAGTTTGCCTTCTACGCGATTGACATCCATGTTGCTCTACAGGAGATCTCCGGTGCTGATGTCCTACAAATCCGAACAAAGGTTTGAACTCAAAGCAATAGCATCACGTTGAGAGCTGACCGGTAGAAGGCCTTCCGGGTATTCGAAGCGGCGCAGCTTCACAGGGTAGGCCGAATGATTCAAGAGATAGTAGGTCTGATATGAGCCTGTTTGGGATTGTGACTCATTCTTCCAGGTTGATATTGATAATTCCGACGAACAAGGAAGAACTGTGGTCAAACAAGGTCTCGACCGGGATCTTGATCGGATGAAAGACCGCTATGATGGCCTGGACAGTCTCCTCAAGCACGTGGCCATCGATATTGCAACAACCATTCCAGAAGAGCTGGAAGTTGATGTGAATGTAATCTATTTTCCCCAACTTGGATTCAACATCGCTATTGCTCTCAACCAAAATGGCGCATGTTCATATTCTGGGTCTCTTGGGGACTGGGAATTGGTGTTCATTACGGAAACGCGAGCTTACTTCAAAGACTTTCGCATGAGAGAACTGGATGAAAAGCTCGGGGATATCTATGGACTCATATGTGGTACACCCCCAATTGTGAAAGGTGGTCGATGCCTTGATTAAACTAACGCATTGCAGAGAAGGAAATCGAGATCGTGTATGATCTAGCTCAAAAAGTACTTCAATACGAAAGTGTGCTGATAGAGGCGTCCGATATTTGTGGTGAAATCGACTGGTTTGTCACACACTGGTACATTGTGGCACAAACTAAATTTTTCACAAGCAATCTCGCTCTCACTCAGGCTGCCAGCTCTTATAACCTGACCCGACCGAGAATGGTACCGAGAAATGTTATCAAAATCAAGGGCGGGCGGTAAAAGTTATCCCACCATAATATGCGTTTCATCCTAACATGGACTAGGCACCTTCTGCAAGAGATGACAGTCTCTTCCTATGTCCCAAATGATACAATTCTCGTGGGACGCCCCCCAAACCCGGAAAACATTGCGCTTGAAAGTGAAGTTCCAAGTATGCTACTGCTGACTGGGCCAAATTACTCAGGAAAGAGCGTCTACATGAAACAGGTAAGCGACCATTGTAATACATTAACCTGGTATTTACATACCGAGATATAGGTCGCTCTTATCGTTTATCTCGCCCAGATAGGAAGGTAAGTAATTTTAGTATGAAAATGTGACCCTGTCTGAATCATTTAGTTTTGTCCCCGCAGACAGTGCAGAGTTGGGGATCACAGACAAGATACTGACGAAAATCAACACCGAAGAAAGTGTGTCAAAGGTATAGCATTAGTCCTCTATCAAGGCGCTGACCTATTCCACAGATCCAGAGCACTTTCATGAGCGACCTGCAGCAAATATCTCTTTGCCTGAAGCAAGCGACCGGCAGAAGTCTAATACTCATTGACGAGTTTGGTAAAGGGACAAACGAAAGTGGTCCGTCATCGATCCCCCACAGTTACTCGAAAGCTCTTGAGAACAAAGCTGATTAAGATAGATGGCATCGGTCTGGCATGTGGAGTATTTGAGCACTTTCTGGGCCTTGATGATTCTCCCAAGGTCCTTGCTGCCACCCACTATCATGAGATTTTTGAGAATGACTTCCTTGCTCCGCGGCCTAAACTACAACTAGGACACATGGAAGTCAAGGTCTGCGAAGACTCTCAAGAGGTGGAAGATCAAGTCACATACCTCTACAAGTTTGTTTTCCCGTTTTTTGGGAGACGAAGCTTCTGACGAATGAATAGCTTTCGCGAGGGACGAAGCAACAAAAGCTTCGGTACTATGTGAGGAACCTTTGGCCTAAATGATATCAACATCTCAATGATTAATTTCAATCTACAGTTGCGCAGCAATTAATGGTATCGATGCATCCATTATCGCCCGCGCCAATGAAATTAGCTCACTCGCTGCCCGAGGCGAGAATCTCATTGCCGCATGTGCCGCTATATCTGTGGACGAGATGCAAGCACTTCAGAGTGCGGTATGAATACCCGATGCATGGGAGAAGCTCACTGGTACCCAGCCACTGACTCAATCTTCAGGACTCTCTCGCAAGGAACTTTCTTGCGATAGACCTCACGGACGAAAGTAGGCCGCAGCGGGATTCCAAAGCAATTCTAGAAGGTTTGTTTGACACCACTTACCAGAACGATGCAGGGGTGTCAGCCTGACAGCCCTGCTGGTACACGTTTCCCATTCTTGATCTTTTTTATGCACGGCGCCTATCCCGAATTGGCCCATAATACGACGGCGATCTACACTATTGACAGCAAGATTGTATGTCTACACGGCTCTCTTCTCCACTCAGGTCCCCCATGCTCGCGCTCCAAGGCCCGAATAGAGATATTTACTCCAGCCATACGCCGGTCGGACAAGCAGTGGACTTATATACGATACGCCACCCCAGGCTAGATACCGATGCGGCCTTGCTAAATTCCATTAACTTTTAATATAACTATTTCAGTGCCATCATAACTTTGACCAAATAGCTATAGGTAGAGTAGCTCGCCATGATTTGCCCCAGTACCTACCCCGAAAGCAGCCCAGAGTATTCCCCCTACCCTCGGTGGTATATGCACTGTGAACTTTGCGATGATTGTGCTGAGAGAGAAGGATGCTGCTCAAGGGGTTGTGGGTGTTGTGCTGCTCGCTATCAAAGGCCAGGGCGGTAGTCAGCTGTCGGGCATTGCACTTTGGAGTGCCACTGTTGCGAGCAATCTCGGGAGATTGAACTCGACGGTAATCTCAGGGTGCGTATTCGAAAGGCATTTTCTCTGGACCCGGAAGATCCAGAAAGACATGGGTATAGAATAAGGATGATAGAAGTGTCAACTTTGGGACTGGTAATTGGAGACTTTGAAACCCCATTTGACCTTATCAGTGTCCAAAATGAGCTGAAGTATATCATTAGTACTGGATTCATTACTAAGGTGCGTAAAAAAGGTAAACCCGGGAGCATTTATCCCTGTCGATCAAGAGAAGTTGACCTGCGAGCGTCTTATTCTGTACGAACAGTCAAGCTATTCTCGTGGTCGACGATTTGGCTTTATTGTTTTTCTAGTACTTGCTCTGATCTTTGCTTTCATGTCTTTACGAACTAGCAAAACGAGGAAATAGCATTATAGAGGTGGATAAGAGAATAGGTTGAACGTGAGAGTATGAAATTGAATTTGTATATACACATCAAATCCTGTATCTGCCATGAACCACAGTAGACGCCTTGCGAAAAGACAAAACACATCCATGATTTTAAATCCCGCTCTATTTTCAGAGCTTAACACTCTTGACCAGGTTCTTCTTGATACCTGTAAGCTCACCACCGTAGCCACCACGACCCTCGCCACCCTTGTAGATCTGCCGAACACTGCCGAGCTTCTTCTTCTTCTCTTCGTACTTCTTGCGCTTCTTAACACGCGGGTTGCGCGCATCCTTGTTCCGCTTCGCCATAAGACCCTTGTTCTTCTCGATCTGGTAGGTGATGGCACGCTTGCCATCCTCTCCGACAGTCTCCTGTACCTGGACATGACCGCCAAGGCGAGCAGCTTCAGCATGGGCGTCGGCGCGAGCCTGCTTGTCGTCTTTGCGTTGCTTGCCACGGGCTGCAAGCATGTCGTAGTACTCGTCGTCTGAATCCTCCTTACCCTCATTGCGAAGCTCCTTTCTGACGCGGTGGTCTTCCTCGTCACTGTCTCCGCCAAGCTCTTGGCCGATATCAGGGTTTTGGCGACCACGTCTCTCGGCCTCGGCGTTCAAGCGGGCCTGTCTGTCCTTCAGACGCTCACGGTGAGGAATATCGGCATCACCACCGGCATCACGGCCTGCATCACGGCGCTTGTTGGCCTTTTGAGCTAGTTGGGAGGTGTAGAAGCGGAGAGAGCGCTTCTGCTTGAGCTTCTCCTCGGCCTCGCGGGCTGTAAGAGCGTCCTCGTCACCGAAGTCAGAGTCGTCATCCTTGGCGATGGTCTTGGTCTTCTGAATCTTGCGCTTCTGAGTGGGCTCTGTGACCAAATCGTCCAGATCAGCCAGGCCGGCCTCTGTCTCACGGAGTCGCTCCGCGCGAAGGGCTTCAGCCTCAACCTGTGCTGCCAAAGCTGCACGCTGGGCCTTGCTAAGATTCTTTGTCGTCTTGACCTTCTTGGTCTCTTTAGTTTTGGTAGGTTGTAGCTCGACCTCGGTCGATTCGGTCTTAGCTGGAGACTTCTTGATAACTTCAGTGATCTCTGAGATTTCAATGTCCTTAACCTTCTCCCAGATTTTGCGGAATTTGACTAGAGAGCGCATGACAGGATGTTGTCGGAGCTCGGTAGGGGACATCGGAGAATGACTCTTGGCGCCGTCGGAGGACGATGCCAGGAGCAGGAAGTACATGTTGATCGTACCCAGGTACGTTGATAAGGCACGCAATTTCACGACAGCCACGGGTGCAGGCTGGGGCTCATCTGCGGTCGCATCTGTAGATTTTGAAGCCTCTGCCGCCTGTTGCTGCAAAGTCTTGTAGGTTGATTGGAGATCAACGTAATCCTTGGCCAAAGGCTCGAATTCGGGGTACCTCGATTTCAGGATCTTGAGCTTTTCGTCGGTGCTCATGTCCTCGGTAATTTCCAGCTGTGGGAGCACTTCGGTAACGACTCCGGCGTTCTCTGCTTCATCCTCCGCATCCTTGGATTCCGCCCATTCAGACTCATCGAAGCCAAAGTCTGCCTCATCCATAGCCTCTAATTGCTTCTGTTGCAGTCGCTTTGCCTCCTGCTCCTCCTCTAAGGCATCGACCTCGGTCTCAATCTGGTCTGCATTGTAAAGATCTTTCTTCGATGTACCCCACGCCGCAATTCCCTCCTCATCTTCGTCGGAGTCTTGTGCAATTTTACTCTTCGGCTCGCCCATGTCATCGTAGTCATCTTCGGAATCTTCGTCTTCAAGATCGTCCTCGTCGACATCGTCGTAGCCTAAAACCTCCTCCTCGGAATCTTGCAGGGCCTCCTCTGCAATTGTAAGTCAGATCAACCAACATACATTCCAACTGTATTATCAACTATCAACATACCTTCTTGGGCAACTCTGCGCCGCCGCTTGGCCTCGGGGGCTTCATCCAGCAGAATTTGGTCGCGGCCTGCCTGGAACTCATCCTCGGAGTCGTCAAAGCGTTCTTCAACGTCGAACTTGGTGCGCGCAGGGGCGTCAGCCTTTGAGGGGCGACCTCCAGCCTTTCTTTTCTTGCCCATGATCAAAAATTTGTGGATTCGTTCGTTGATCTGATATGGTGGTCTCGACTGCGCGGACAAAATAATTTTTTGGGCTGCTTTCACCGCCCGTGATACACTACGCCCAGAATGGACAGTTTGTGAGGTTTGCATTTATTGAAATATCAATACTGTTTTAATTACGGGACACCCCACGTTGTGTATTGTATCCATGTTCAGGGGTGTATCCGGGCACCACCTTCTCTGCATTGCTCTTGCCTCGATATCAAAAATAGCAAAACATCTAGAATAGGCAGGCGCGCGCAATTAACCTCCACTCCTTCCCCTTTGTTTTAGTTCCTCTTCCTCATGCCTCAGATACCATTCATTACCTCTTCATTTCATATTTTAACACCAGTCCATGTGATATCTGTACTCGTCTGCTCTGTCATTGCCTATACGATTGCCAAGATGTTCGGATTTCAACGCAAGAACGAGTTCCAGGTTGAGGGTCGTGTAAGTGCAAATCCCTTTTTTTTTTCCAACTTTTCAACTGACTCATCCATCCAGACTGTGGTCATCACTGGTGGATCTGATGGCATGGGCCGAGCTGTTGCAGGCCAGCTGGCCGCGAAAGGTGCACATGTCGTCGTCGTCGCTCGCACTGCTTCCAAACTCCAGCAAACTGTGGAAGAACTCAAGGTTAGATCATTATATCCCTTTCCTGTTCTTTTCTTCATCTTCTCTAACATTTCTTCCAGTCCAAGGCCTTGAACTCGCTTAAGCAGCGATTCTTGTACATCTGTGCCGATCTCACTGATGCCTCTGAGTGCGATCGAGTGATTGCTGAGGTCACTGCCTGGAACAACGGCTCTGCACCTGATGTCGTTTGGTGCTGTGCTGGATATTGCCACCCTGGCTTCTTCATTGATGTGCCAATCGAGCTCCAGCGTCAACAGATGGACACCGTCTACTGGACTGCTGCGAACATGGCTCATGCCACTCTCCGAAACTGGTTGGCTCCTGTTCCCCCAAGCGGTCAGATGCGCAATCCCCGTCGTCATCTCATCTTCACGTGTTCTACTCTTGCATTCGTTCCCATCGCTGGCTACGGACCTTATTCTCCTGCCAAGGCTGCAATCCGCTCCTTGTCTGACACTCTCAGTCAAGAGATCGAGATGTACAACGGCGCTTACAGTCAACGTCACCGCAACACAGCCCCAGCTGCTGATGTCAAGATCCACACTGTTTTCCCCATGGGCATTCTGAGCCCAGGATTTGACAACGAGCAAAAGATCAAGCCCGAGCTGACCAAGATGCTCGAGGAGTCCGACAAGCCCCAGACTACTGAAGAGGTTGGAAAGATCGCCATCCAAGCACTGGAACGTGGTGAGTACCTCATTACAACCATGTTTGTCGGCCACGTCATGAAGGGTACCGCACTTGGACCCAGCCCTCGCAACAGCATTGTCGGCGATACTTTCCTCAGCTGGTTGAGCAACCTGATCTTCCTTCAGGTCATTCCAGATCTTCGCAATAAGGCATTCAACTGGGGAAAAGCCAATGGTCTCCCCCAACAGGCTTGTGTCGAGTAATGTGATCCCTCTCATGGTTTATGATTCGGTCACTGTATTATACCCTCTTGCATTGTCTTTCTGGCTGTCCATTCGTTTGGCTTGATCGGCGTCCGCCCGTTTGTGTCTGACATGACTGGGGATTCTATATTATTATTTTTCGGGCCCAAAAATACACTACTTCGTTCAAATCTTATTTCCAAATCATATAGTATGTTGTCAAAATGTAGGGCCACACGTGAAATGCGGGCGGCGGTGACGTAATGCAGATTCAGGTCCCCTGCTACCTCGGTTTTCTTTCATGTATTTGCAACTTCCCCATCAACATGCTTCAAAGAATCTCGGGCTCACAAGGCTCTTTAACGAACTTCTTTGTCTTGAAAATGTATTTCTAAACATACTCTTTCGATACAGTCTATATCTTAAACCCCTCAACCTGTCGAGGGTTAGCAAAGATCTCTGCTCTTAAGAGAGACTCGACCGGCATCCAAACCAGCTGCAACCAAAAGTTTGGGGCATTTCTAAAGCCATCGCTGCGATATTATAAGCCACAATGGATGCCATATTCTCACTCCCTGTTATTTCTCTCCTCCTCATCCCCACCATGTCATCTTACGCAACCAGTCTCAACTTTATCTTCTTCTACGTGACTTGGTCGACACTCGTGCTGTCGCACTCCCCCCTCCGAGTCGAGCTAGTCGGTTCAGTCGCCGTGCGCCTATTATTTTATGTCCTACCCTCCCTTTTGTTCTTCCTGTTCGACATCCTCACACCGTCTGCAGCCGTGATCTTGAAGGCGCAGGGCGAGGCCGGTCTACCCAGTGGCAGGAAGAAGGGCAATGTTCGCGTGAGGGACCTGAAGGTCGCAGGCTGGTCAATTTTCAATCTGCTTCTTGCAGCGGTCCTTCAGGCTGGTGTCGAAACCCTGCTGGTCCAGGGTCTTCGGATCCGCAGTGCTGTCAAGGTGTCTATGAAGCTCCCCATGCCGTGGGAAATGGGCAAGGGCTTGCTAGTCGGCCTACTGATTCGTGAAGTATGAGCAAGGCCTTCTTCTACTCTTCTTCTTATCTGGCGTAAGATGGATGACTTGCTGATCGTGCTCTGTACTTAGATCTTTACTTACTATATCCACCGCTACGCTCTGCATAATCACCGAACAGTTTTCACCCGGTATTTGACTCGGTCGCACCAGTCATGGTACCACAATCTCAGAACCCCGTTCCCCCTCACCGCGCACTACGATCACCCGCTCGTCTACGTCCTTGTTCGCTTCCTTCCTACCTATTTACCAGCCTTGCTTCTCCGCTTCCATATGCTTACCTATCTTCTCTTCTTGTCGACTGTGTCCCTTGAGGAGACTTTCGCGTATTCCGGATATACTGTTATGCCAACCAGCTTTTTCTTGGGTGGGATTGCGCGTCGGACTGACGAGCATCTTCTTGAGGGAGGTGATGGCAATTTCGGGCCTTGGGGTGTTTTGGATTGGGTGTTTGGAACAAGCATTAGTGACTCTACTGTTGAGGAAGATGTTGTGGCGGAATTGGATGAGAAGGAGATCGAGAAGCAGGTCAAAAAGGCCATGGAGGTTTCGAAGAGGAAGATAAGAGAGGGGACTCTGCGCAGACATACGGCGCCACGAAAGTGATGTGATGACGTCGCAACTAGACATATGGACAGATGTCTTATTTGGTGTTTTCCAAAGAGATTCCAAGGTCTTCAAGGTTGGAATTGATATGAAATGAATGTTATGAGTTGTCATAGAGAGTTGATGTCGGAGGATTTGGCTTGCTTTGAATGCATATTTGGACCTCGATGTATATATATCATGCCCATACTAGAGGCTTTCTGCCGCCCTTTTTCGCGCAGCGCCTACTTAGATGTTATACGATATCTCCTACCATATATCCTAATTTATTTCCTACCATTAACCCACTTAGTTTCCCGCTCAGAGTCCTACCTTCTTTCCTACCGGATTACTGAGATAGTCATAGGACTCTCCAAATTCATCTATACCAGAATAGAAGAAAATGAAGAGAGAAAAAAAGTCGGGGGCTGGGCATTTCAATCATATGTCCAAAAAAGTCTGCGGTATAGTCTGCGGTATACCCAGGTAGTAACACAGGGGTTAACATATTTTGTGGCAGTTGCTCCACGTATATATATATACCCCGGCCCAGAACTCCCACGTGTAATATTAAAGTGCATCGAAAGTACCCACAGATTTAGTATCGTGTAAGCAAAGATGAAAGGTAGATTACAGACAAGGACTAGTATATTTATACATGTGCCCTGGTGGGTTAAAATGGATTTAGGGGGTACGGGGATTAATTTCCACATGTGCATTTTTGAAATCCCCGGATCTCAACCGATCAATTACGTCGTTACCGCACAATGGAGCCTCAAATGTCCACTTTAAAGTATTATCGATCTGATCTGTTGATCTGTGGCTTAACTTTTTATTTACGTAGAGGTAGATATAGGTTTTACTGTAAATCCGTAAAATAGAAATAAATGACCCAATTTTGGATTGCCGTCTGTACCTGGAAATGGGGGATGTATGTCATACTGAACATGAAAGAGAATCCAGCGGGTGGCTGGAGCGAGGTATTTTTTAATCTTTTTTTGTTTGAAGTCTTTCTTCACACCACGGCTCTTTTCCCCCATTCCCCGAAGAGAAAAGAGAAAGGAGGTCATGCTGAATCGACCGCGCCGAGAGGGGAAAACAGGCTTTAGGCAGAGGCAAACAACAGCCGGATGTCCGAATTAAACGCAGAATCCTAGAAAGCATGTAATAAAACGGATTCCACTTGAAGTTACATGAATCATAAAACCGCTCCCTCCGTGACGCGAAAGGATGCCGATTTGCAACCGAGCCGCCCCTCGTTGAAAGATGAGTCCTCCTCAACTATCTACCGAACCCGCGGCCGCCGCATCGCACTTTTTTACCACTTCATCTCGTGGGGCTTGTCACCGCTGCGCAGGCTGAAGGTGGTGGCAAGGTAGCTGCCGAGGAAGTCCTCCTTCTTGATACCGGCGAGAATAGACTGGTCGATAGTCTTCTGGTCGGTGGCACGGGCGCTGGCAACAACCTTCTTCTGTAAAACGGAAATTACATTAGTCTATGCTCGGCTTTTAAGGGTAGATCCGAATCAATCGGTACGCACCTGGGCCTTCTCGCCCTGCTTGAAGAAAGCGTCCTCAGTCTTCTTCTCAGCAGCCTTCTCCTTGGTGAAGTAGCCGGGAGCGGAGATCTTCTCAATGGTCTTCTGGTCAACAGCGGAGACGTCGACACGCTTGGAGGTGGCGATAACGTAGCGGGCGTTGACACGGCGGAGGGGAACACCGTTGATCTTGAAGGGGCCGGTGACGAGGAGAACACCCTGCTCGAGGTGCTTGAGGAGGATGACACGCTTGCCGCGGAAGCGACCGGCGAGGAGGATCAGGACGGTACCGGGCTGGAGGCTCTCGCGGACCTTGGCGGGACGGATAGTCTTGCGAACCTAGAAAAGCAAACAAGTCAGAATATTGAACCTCGAAATGACTATCAATCGAATGGTCTGCGCTTGAATGTGCCGAGTTGGTATGCCGGAATGAATGCGAAAATGCGATGCGCTTGAATGAGAGGTTTGAGAAAAACTCCACAGTTTGTGGCGGTCTGCTACCCGGTCTCATCAACAAATTTGTCGCTTTATTTGTCGTTTCAAGACGCTTCGACCGACTCGGACGCCATTATCGCATTCATCCCGGTTTCCAATCCCATGCTCATGTCCTCCGCGTTGCTCCTTTCGATTGTTTCGGTTGACTTGTGGTATACGGACCTTCTTGGGCTTCGACTCATCGTCCACGGGGTACCACTTCTGAGCCTGCTGGGAAGGGTGCGGCACAGTGCGCTGACCCTTTCCAAACTGCTTCGTCTGGCCAACAGTAGCGTCCGACATCGTGGCTGCTGGGACGAGGTGTAGGTGGTTGTCGGGTTGGTGGTTGGTGTTGGAGGTTGATGTGCGGACTTCAAGTGGAGTCTGGTATGAGGGTTTGTGGGAAGCGCAAGCCCTATCTCACGTGATGCAGGGTTAGCCGAGTAACAGTGAGGGAGCTCGATGAGTCAGCTCTAGGGTCATGTGATCGATTGCGGGTCTCGCCCTTCCAAGATTTAAGTGGGGCCAACGCTGCCCTAACATCTCTCATCTCTAAAGAGATCCACTACTTGGGTGCTAGTTCTATGGGAAATGTCAAGATGTGAAGATTGGGTGGAATCTAGTCGTTGTTATTGTTTGATGTTATTTCATGTACAAACTACCTCGCCTAACACGGATCATCTTTAAATCACAACAAATCAGCCGATCTGTGCCATCATCTAGCCCCGCTGGAGTTCCGGGTAATCTGGAATAAGCCATCCACCCTTGTTCTCATCGGAATATCTTGCAACAAGCTGGGGAATATGAAGGAAACACATCAACCACCCAATGAAACGCAGAACTGCAACTCCCCATTCCGACTCCGGTAAAGCATACCCTATAATACGAGGATTCATCTTTTGGATCTCGTCCACGAATGGTCGCAAAGTCTTTTGATAGTTGGCAAAGGCCTGCGAAAGATCATCGGGCTGTCGACAGATCTCGCCCGCCAAAACATAGGCACCGACCAGAGACCCGCTGGTCCCCATTGCACTAAAAGGCGAGGGACAGTGGGCAGCATCTCCAAGTAGCACAACACGACCCTTGGACCATATCTTGGTTCGGACTTGAACGACTTCCTGGCAATACCAGTTTTCTGTGGTTCTCATACCCTCTAGAAATCGATCAGTCTGCCATCCAGCGCCGCGATATCGCTGAGTCCAGAACTGTTTTTGTTGTTCCACCGATGCTCTGTGGATGCTGGAGACCTCTGGAGTAGAATCCCGGAGTATGAAGTAGACTTGAGATTCGGTCGAGTTATGCGTTCGACGCATGATGATTCGGCCGCCCGGGCAGTTGTAGGCTCTGCGGATATTGTTGTCTCCCTCAGCACGCGGAATGAACCAATAGGCCATGTGCACCCCCGTTCTAAGATATGGATCTGAATCCGAAGGCAGAATTGCTTTGCGAATGCGAGATCCTTGTCCATCTGCGCCAACAAGGACGTCAAAGGTATCAGATGACCCGTCAGAGAAGTGGGCGACGACTTGTTTCTCGTCTTGTTCGAAATGTACAACCGTCTTGCCGAAGATATATTTAACATTGTCTTTCGTAGCGTCGTAAAGGATGCGAACGAGATCGCCACGCATAATCTCATACTCTGAGGTCAGAGACTGTGCGCCCTTTCCGGTCTTGTTGGCCATGAAGGTGGCATGAACCTTCCCTTCTGAATCCACAATAGCCACGCCGTCTTCGTCGACTAGTTTACTGCGAATGGTGTCTATGAGACCCATTCGTTTAGCGACTTCAATGCCTTGGCCTCGTAGATCAATTTGAGCACCTGTGGCTCTTAATGCCGGAAAGCGCTCCACCACGACGACTTGATGGCCATTGCGGGCAAGCCAGAAAGCTAGTGCTGATCCAGCGCATCCCCCGCCGCAGATGAGGATTTTGAGAGTCATGGATAATGGCTGAATTGTACTAGTGATCGAGTTCAAAAAGAACCGAGAAATGAGGTTCAAATTTATTGCTGAGGAAGAACCTTGGAAGAGCATTTTCGCCATGTCATATATACTTCGTAACCAGCGGGTTTTTGCGGGGATTTACGGCATTTTGCCTAGAGCCCGAGGAGATGTATTTGGAAATAGCGCGGATAATCAGCAGCTCATGATGCAAGCACTGGATAGAAAACGAGTTTACATTAGCCACAACATTTTATTATTCATGTACGAATTGGTTGTATTGATCTCCCCCAGGAAATCAAGGGCCGTGGATTCCCGATCGGGTCGATAAGAACTACTACATCATGCCTTACCGCCTGATTACCAAGGCCGATCACAACGGTAGCCCACACGCCCACTCGGTGCAAGTCAGCTGCTCAACCACAAACACGAACTGACGTATCCTGAAGCTACTCCAGACCTTTACCTTCCAAAGACCACCTTTCATCCACCTGGTGTGGAATTCATCAAACCGTTCAGTCTTTCAAAATTGCCAGATTGCATAGCGGTGCTCTTCCATCATGTCGAGAACTCACATCATCACCTTCAAAGCTGGTATCTGTGACCTTGATGTACGTGCTCCAGGCCTCATCAATTAGACCACATTGAAGGATCATGTGATTTGAATTTCTCTGGATAGGACTGACCCCTAGAAATTAGAGCTCCACAACCCCTGCTACTGTGAAACCCAAGCCCACTCCCGGCTATATCTACCTCTACTCCGAAGATGACCTGGTGCACTTCTGCTGGCGGCCTCGCAGCTCGCCCATTGACGACGAGGACAATCTCGACCTGGTGATGATTCCTACAGATGGAAGCTTTACCCCCTACAGAAAGGGTGCCACAAACGGTCGTGTGTTTGTCTTGAAGTTCTCGTCCAGCTCTCAGCGTCATCTATTCTGGTTGCAGTCTCAATCCCAGCACGAAAGTGGTGACCCGAACTGGTTCAGTCCCCGGGACTTGAAGCTCGGAGAGATTGTTGATGTTCTTTTGCAAGGTGAGGATGTGGATGTGGAACACGAGATCGCCAGCCTGCCCCAACGACCATCTGGCGACGATGATGAGACCATGGAAGACGTCGAGGGAACAGACCATGACGCCAGTCACCACGCTGCTGGCAGTGGTGGAGCTGGTCCAGATGCGACCGGAGGAGATATTCGCGAGGAGGGCCAGGAGTCGCGTGAAGGTGGTGCCGATGGTGGACGAGCGTAGGTACATATCTCTGCCCACCTCAATTAGAGCTTATGAACGTCTGACATATTACTTCTTCTTTTCTATTATCAGAGCGAATGATGATTCCGATCCATCCCTGGTCGTTCAAGACTTCTTGCGGTCTCTGGGTAGCCAACGCCAGTCTCAAACCCAGGAACCCGAGCGACCTTCTACAACTCTCCAAGAACTATTGCCGCCTCCCACCACTCTTCCATTTATTGAATCCGCCGACGAATCTACTGCCGACCACCTCCTAAGCTTCTTGCCGCCAGCACTGCTTCTGATGGCCCAGGGCAATGCAGAGGCCTCCGAGGCGGACACGGACCCCGAGTTGGCCCAGGCGGCTCTTCTTTCTCTTGATCTCACTCAGAAAAAAGATATTCTTCGCAAGGTACTCCGGTCTCCTCAATTCACACAAAGCTTGGCCAGTCTTACCGTGGCCCTTCGTGATGGTGGATTGCCTAGTATCAGTGAAGCTTTGCAAATCCCAGTGGCAAATGGAGGATTTATGCGTCGAGGCGGTGTACCCCTGGGTGGGGGTGATGCAGTGGAGGCGTTTCTAGATGGCGTTCGGCAATATGTCAAGAAGGATGAATCTAAGATGGACACGGATTGATATAGGTCGCTACAAATCTTTATGCAAAGAAAATGGTGAAATAATATACTATTTTTGGTAACATAGCAACCCCACCAGGCAACATTTTTCTTGACTAAGGCCTCGTCATCAACTAAGATAGCGTGAGGCGTCAAGGGGGGAAAAGTGTAATTTCCCGGAGAACCACGGAAAGATCAGTCATTCAGGTACATAGCTGCGTACAGTTCGATTTATTTATTTGTATATTTGAAGATAAGAGTCATTGCTTCTCTATAAATCTGTAGGATTTTAGTTTATTCACATTGATTCTGTTTAAGTGTGAAACAATGTGCAAGCCGATTTCCTCGGCCGGATAAGGTGTAATCTTCCAAATCAACCAATCACCATTAAGTGTTCTTGCGCTGTTCCCGTTTAGTGGATTTGCGACCGGCGACTTTTTTGGTTTAAAACACCTGTTCAGCTAAACACAGCTTAGGCCCCATTCATTTTCTTGGCCTTAGCAATGCTCCGAGAGTCGCTGGTTTAAAGAAGAGAACTCTTGTACATCAGACTCCTTTACGAAACCAACGAATACCGCCCTCTTGACACCTTACCCTCCTGTCGCGGTTTGATCACGTATAGCCTTGCGATGTCTACGATTCGATAATCTATACCCTTGACGATGGCGTCAAATAGCCAAAGCCCTGGCGAGAATGATACCTCCAATCAGATCCCGCTTCAGGATCTTTCCAGGTCCGACATCAATGTCCCCGCAGATGGCCATAGCAGAGGCCGCGCCAATAGTGTGGGGGGCGGAGTCTTTTCACGACGATCGTTAATGGGAAGAGGGTCCCGCAAGCAGTACCAGAGTGTTGCAGAGGAGTCGCCGGTCGACTTGGCAAATGCAAATAACAGGGACCCATTTCAATCACCTGAAGATGAGGAGAATGATCTGGGTGCACTCGCACAGGCGATGTCGTTCGGAATTACCTTTGACGCGCCACGATTATCATTATCAGGACCCTCCGCTAGACACGACTTTGATGGTGCCTCCGATCTCGATAACGTGCCCTTGGACAATTATAGCTCACACGAACCCGACAATTATGCGCCCCAAGCAGACGACGAAGACGACACTGCACGCTTGACCGATCCCCGATTCCTCCAGCCGATTAGTGGCGCCCTAGCTGAAGGTCGACCAAGAAGTGATACTGGCGGTTATTCCATGCACTCTGGTGATGGGTCGCGTCTAGGCGATGACCTCCCTCATGTGGAGGATGGATTGGGCCGACGCCGTGGCAGTAGCGCGCGGTCTCGTTCTCTATCCCCATCGGCCTCTGGCGGGGCGCTGCAGCGTGCCAGTTCGATGGTGAAATCCATGTCACAGCGAGTGGTTAACCTGAGTAATGAACCGGAAATCGTGCAGCAGTCAATCGAACGGGAAGAGTCCCAAAAAAATTCACGGCTAGAAGGGCCCCCGGTCCTACCTGCGCTGACGGATTTCGCCCATGATACCACCCCTGGACTGCCGCCGAGAGAGAACCGGGCGTCGAGAACGATGTGGAAGTACCGAAATAACCCTTTCCGAGGCAGGTCGCTGGGCTTCCTGGGTCCCAATAACCCCTTTCGACTCTGGCTTTGCGATATTCTCGTGAATTCGTACATGGAACCCTTCATTCTGGTAATTATTGTGGTTCAGACTATTCTGCTGATCGTGGAGTCCTCACGATCAGTATTCAATCGACCTTTGGCGGTGCATTGGGGCAGTACTCCGTTGGATTATGTTTTCTTTACCATTTTCATCATCTATACCCTTGAAATTGGCGCCAAGATCTTGGTCTCTGGTTTTATTTTCAACCCGAGGGAGTATAGCACGCTAAACCGAAACCTGGGCATCAGGAAAGCGATAGCAGAGAAGGGTAAGAACCTCATTACTCCACATCGGCAAACGACCAAGAAAAAAGTTTCATTCCTACAACCCGACCCCCAGGCTTCTATCTTGCGAACCTTTACTGGGATGAATGCACTGGAAACTGAAACCTACGACGATCCTCTGCAGAAACGCCGCACTCTACTCGCCCACCGTGCGTTCCTCCGCCACTCTTTCAATCGTCTGGACTTTGTGGCAATCATTTCCTATTGGGTCTCCTTCGTTCTTTCACTACAGGGCTTGGAGGCAACTCACCAGCTTTACATTTTTCGCATGATGAGCTGTCTTCGAATCTTGCGGTTGCTTTCTCTCACCAACGGTACTTCTGTAATTCTTCGAAGTCTTAAACGCGCCGCACCTCTTCTTGTGCATGTTGCATTTCTCATTGGATTCTTTTGGCTTCTGTTCGCTATTGTCGGCATGCAGAGTTTCAAATCGAGTCTTAAGAGAACCTGCGTCTGGGTTGATCCTGAGGGCATTTCTAATTTCACTTCGAACGATCCCTACGGCACAATTCAATTCTGCGGCGGGTATATCAACAGCACAACAGGGGAGCATATGCCTTGGCTTGATAGCTCTGGGACTGTTCCGGCCAGTTCTACCGCCAAAGGCTATATGTGCCCCACAGGTTCCCTCTGCGTTGAAGGCAGTAATCCCTACAATGGAACACTGAGTTTCGATAACATTTTTCAGTCACTGGAGGCGGTTTTTGTCATCATGAGTTCCAACACGTTCACCGACTTGCTTTACTACACCACCGACAGTGACTATCTGGCAGCAGCGCTGTTCTTTGCCTTCGGTATAGTTATTCTAAGTCTGTGGTTGGTGAATCTGCTCGTTGCAGTCATTACCCATTCTTTCCAGGTCATACGAGAGGAAAGCAAACGCAGTGCTTTCGCCATTCAAAAGATCGACAATGTTGAAGACGATGATACCATGACCCGAAAAGTGAGCACGCTCAAACGATTTTACGACAAAACCGAATACTTTTGGGTTCTCATCATTGCCTACGACCTTATCATCCAAGCATTGAGAAGTTCCACTATGGCAGAAGAACGAGCTCGTTTCATTTCAAACACAGAATTAGTGGTCACACTAATCTTTCTCCTTGAAATTGCTGTGCGCTTTGCATCGGATTGGCGTGTATTTCATCGGAGACCCCGAAATTGGCTCGACCTTCTCCTTGTTGTCGTCACTTGTGTCATTCAGATACCTCCCATTAAAAGTTCGGGCCGTGCTTACAGCGTTCTCACGCTCTTTCAAATTTTTCGGGTCTACCGAATTGTGCTGGCAATCCCTGTCACAAGAAAGCTTATCATGGTTGTCTTCCGAAACACCGTTGGTCTGCTCAACCTCATATTCTTCCTCTTCTTAATGACTTTTCTCGTTTCCATCTTTGCAACCCAACTCTTTCGCAGTCAAATTCCTTCTGAAGATCCAACTGGAAATTACATCAAGACCACGTTTGCCGATATCTATAACTCGTTTTTGGGAATGTATCAGATCTTATCAAGCGAGAACTGGACAACCATCTTGTATAACGTCACTGCATACACGACCCACTTCAATACCGCTTGGATTTCCGCCTCATTCATCATCTTGTGGTTCATTGTGGCCAACTTCATCATTTTGAACATGTTTATTGCGGTCATTCAAGAGAGCTTTGATGTGTCAGAGGACGAGAAACGTCTCCAACAGGTTCGGGCATTTTTGGAGCAGAAGCATGTCGGGCAGGCTACCCAAGGGAACCTTGCGCTTTCAAAGATTCTTCGCCTGGGCCGCGATTCGGATCGCTATAAGGATCCGCTTGATCATGGACCCGCTGCGTTGGAAATGCTTTTGAAGGATGCCGTTGTCCGCGAGTTTCTCGATGAAGAAGAAGAGAAGCTGGAAGGGGAGTCGGAGACCCGGCGCCGAGAGACTGCGCTTCCTGACAGTGTGGCTGCAGAGACCACTGACCCTGGTTTCATCTCGCAGGCCTTGGCCAAGGCGAATGCTCTCATTATGGGCCGGGAACCAAACCCATTCTACTCGAAACTAAAGTTTTCACGGGCCTACGAAGAATTGGATCCCAGAACCATGGCCAGAGAAGTGGTTTCGGCGGCTGAGGCGAGGAAGCGGGCACAAAGAGAGTATCTCATCAAACACCCGAAATACAACAAGTCGCTTTACATGTTTGTACCACATCACCCAGTCCGAAAGCTGTGTCAGCGAATCGTTGGTCCTGGACGCGGAAACCAACGTGTTGAAGGCGTGGATCCATATAAGCCAGTGTGGTATACCTTTTCAGCCTTCATTTACGCGGCCATTGTGGCCATGGTCCTGCTTGCATGCATCACGACCCCATTGTACCAGAGACAATATTTCAGTTCGGACCGCAATTGGTTTGTCTACACCGACATGGGCTTTGCAGTCGTTTTCACCATCGAGGCGACTATCAAGGTGATTGCCGATGGCTTTTTCTGGACACCCAATGCATACTTCCGCAGCTCTTGGGGTTTCATTGACGGAGTTGTATTGCTCACTCTGTGGGTCAACGTCGGCAGCACTCTGTATAAGGACTACAATATTTCCAGACCTATCGGTGCCTTCAAAGCTCTGAGGGCTCTGCGTTTGCTGAATGTCAGTGATAGCGCGAAGGACACTTTCCATTCCGTCATTATCCTAGGGGGAATGAATGTCATTGCTGCAGCGGCGGTTTCGCTGAGTTTTCTAATCCCCTTCGCCATCTATGCTCTCAACTTGTTCAACGGACAGTTGTTAACCTGCAACGATGGAAACTTTTCAGGTAATTTGACTTATTGCGTCAATGAATACGCTAGCTCCCCTTACAATTGGGATGTCATGGCGCCCCGAACTGTGAGCAATACCTACTACGACTTTGACAATTTCGGCGACTCCCTCTTCATTCTCTTCCAGATTGTGTCTCAGGAAGGTTGGATCGATGTCCAACAAAGCGTAATGAGCATTGTCGGGCCTGGGTTACAGCCTCAGGACAATGTTGCCCCCGCCAACGGCTTCTTCTTTGTGGTCTTCAACTTGCTTGGAGCCGTGTTTGTCCTGACGCTGTTTGTATCTGTTTTCATGCGCAACTACACAGAACAGACCGGTGTTGCCTTTTTGACCGCTGAACAACGATCCTGGCTGGAATTGCGGAAAATCCTTCGACAGATTTCACCGTCCAAACGTTCCCTCCACGAAAAGAGTGCCCAGTGGCAGCAGTGGTGCTATCGTATCGCTGTCAAAAAACACGGTCGATGGGCGCACTTTGTTACTTTCACCCTGTGTATACATTTGGTCCTTTTGGTGCTTGAGTTCTACCCGGAGCCTGAAATGTGGGAGTTGGCTCGTTGTAAGTTTGATCCTTATAGTCGTTTGATATAAGGCACTAGCTAATACTGTCTAGCCATTCTATTTTTTATTTTCATGTTCGTCTACGTGGCCAATGTCGTGATCCGATTTGTCGGCCTTGGATGGCACCGGTTCAGCCGAAGTTCATGGGACCTATACTCTCTCCTAGCTGTACCCGGTGCATGGGTCACCACTGTATTGCATATCGCATATTCGACACAGGTTGTTCTTGAGTTGAACAAGCTATTTCTCGTCGCAATTGCTTTGCTTCTCATTCCACGAAATAACCAGCTGGACCAGCTGTTCAAGACTGCCGCAGCTAGTCTACCAGTCATTGGCAATCTCCTTGCTACCTGGTTTGTGTTATTTCTAGTGTTCGGCATCGCCATGAACCAAGCTTTTGGTCTCACGAAATTCGGAAGCAACGAGACCAATAATCTCAACTTCCGCGACGTTCCCAAAACACTCATCCTGCTCTTTCGATCCAGCTGTGGAGAGGGATGGAATCAAATTATGGAAGACTTTGCCACCATGGAACCCCCTTACTGCACATATAGTTCCAACTTCCTCGAAAACGACTGCGGCAGTGCCGGCTGGTCTCGGACTCTTTTCATTGCGTGGAACATTATCAGCATGTACATCTTTGTCTCACTATTTGTTTCGCTTATTTTCGAAAGTTTCTCTTATGTCTACCAACGAAGCAGCGGGCTATATGCGGTGAGTCGCGAAGAGATCCGCCGCTTCAAACAGGCCTGGTCGACGTTCGATCCGGATGGAACTGGGTTCATCTCTAAAGAGCAGTTTCCCCGGCTACTTGGGGAGCTCTCAGGCATCTTCACGATGCGGATCTACGACGGAGAATTTACCGTCGGCGCAATATTAGATCAATGTCGAACCAACGCGCGAGACTCAATGGTCTCCTTCCACTCACTGAATATGCACTCGGCAGAGTCCTTGAATCCGATGATGCAACTCCGTGCGGAGGACATTGTGGATGAGGTCGATCTGAAAGAGCTCAACCGCATTCTTAACCGCATCCCTATTAATACCATTCGTGAGCGGCGACAGCGGCTCAATATCTTCTACGAAGAAGTCCTGGTTTCGGCAGACCCCGACCGTGGTATTTCCTTCCACCAATGTTTGATGATTCTCGCCCATTACAATATCATCAGCGATAGCAAGAGTCTACGTCTAGAGGAGTTCCTTCGTCGCCGAGCACGCCTTCAGCGTGTCGAGGAAGCTGTCCGCCGTAACACCGTGATGGGTTTCTTCGATACTCTGTACTGGTCCCGTAGATTCCGCCAGGCCGTTGAACGCAAGAAGAACGCCCGCATGACCACCGTTCCTCAATTCACAGTACCCGAGATCTACGTCGACGACCCCGTGGATGACTCCAAGGAGCACGAGGAGCCAGCCCCCGGCATGATGACGCCACAAACCCAGCCTGATCTCGAAGGAGCCTTTGCGCCAATGCTCTCACCGTCGTCTACCTTGCACCGCCGCGCGGAATCCAGCCCTAGTGCCCACCGGCATGACCTGCCTCGTCTAGACACTACTATGACTGGCCGATCATCGGGTGCCAGCACCCCGACGGAATGGGCCAGTATCAGTCCATCGCGCACACCACGCCATATGTATGGCGATCGCGCGTCATTCGATTTTGGTGAGCGCCGTGATTCGGCTTCGGCTTCGGGTGCCGACCATTCCCAAGAGAACAGCACCATGAGCGTGCAAGATGTGATGAACTCGCTAGATAACTCTGCCTGGGGCGAAAGTATCCGGCGTAGTTTTACGCAGCGGCGATCAGGTGAGCGACGATCCGGTGAGGGCTCAAATCGGTCGACCCAATCTACTGAACCAGCTTCACCTTAATGCATGATGTTGATGTCTCCATGAGAGACGAGTATGGATATACGGACGATAGATGGTCGGAAGAAGCTATGTGTTCAAATATTCCATTGAGCGACTTATCATTTTTTACTCTGTTTTGTTTTTGGGCCTAGGGCGTTTCCTGTTGTTTCCATGCTGTACAATACCCAGTCCTGGCATCCTCTGGAAGCATCTTGCATAGCGGCGTGGGATCTACCATTTGGGCGTTTATTTCTCCTTTATTGTTCTTTCCCTATTCCCCTTCAATAGAATGTGGCGTGTACATCCAACTATCAGATAGAAACGTTTTCAATATCGGTGGCTGAATCAAGTGGGTCCGAACTATTGGATCATATAGATCTTCATCACCGGAATAAGGAGGCTGGAACCAGAAAGATAAAAGGATTAATAAAAATAAAAGTGACCGGAATTTAGATAAATAGAGTATACTTCATGTATGTAGATTAGATGTTCTCGGAAAAGGACAATGTCTAAATTACCGAAAACAGGAACCGCAGGTACAATGGCATTCATCCGGATGCGTTCCACCGCATCCGATATCCATTTCATGTCTCAAACTCCCTGCAGCCCATCCTTGCAGTTTATGAGCCTTAATTATATTTGAACCTTTGTCTTCACCCGGATTTCAACTTCACATCTTTTCTCCCTGTAACCACTCAACCAAGTTACAACTACTGGGATTCATCCTCCCGCATTGATCCTATACCCGCATTCCACATACATCAACCCCACCAAGAGCAAGAGAAAACAAACCATGGATCGATTCTCATCACCATTCTCTCCCATTCAAACAACTCGACCTTCAACGAGTGACACTTCAAGCCCACCAAGCTCCCGAACAACCTCCCCACCATCATCACCAACCTTCACATTCCGTCGCCGGGAGCGAGCAAACAGGAACCAATCATCCCCACACCACCTCTTCAATCTCTCATTCCAACAACACCAAACCTCGCACCCACAAGAAGATCACCACTCTACATCTAGCCATGGCCATCCGCACGCAGTAAGCGTCCTCCCCTGCGCGGTCCTACGTGGCCGATCATCACTTATGGTTGTGCGACGACGACCATCTGCTGTCGATATGGCACTTAGCGAAGAGCGATCAAGGTGTGATGAGGATGTGATTGAACGTCAGGGATTGGATCTTATGGAGCCTAGACCTGTTGAGATGAAGATTGATATGAATGCGTCTTTGGCGTTGCATGCGCATTCGCATGGACAAATGGGTTCTGGATTGAGTGGGAATGAACGACGTGGAAGTGGGAGTGGGAGTGGAAGTGGAAATATCGTGTTCCAGCAGCCGCAGCCGCGGTTTGTTATGGGGGGGATTTTTGAGGTTATGGAGGGTCGGGCTTGAGGATTTTTTACAATTTTATTATTCTCTTGTGAGTTGGAAGTGATTATCGATTCGGTGCGGTGGGAGTATGGGGAAGGGAGTTTGTATATGTATATATAATTATGGGCATTTCCAAAGGTTTGCATGGAAGTAGGCGCGATGTACAGACTTCAGATTTGATGTCAGGAGCGAGATCTATATCCGCTACCATACAGGTTTTTCTTCAATATACCTTTTGTATTTATTGATTACCAGAATGTTCAAAGGAGATGATCATTGATTCAAAAATCGTTATGATTGTATGTTTTGTAAGTCCGTTAACTATGGTCGGGGGTCGTGAGGAATAATCATGGCGCCGGTAGATGCATGCAAGCTCGAGAAGCTGAAAGAACGAACGCTATGTAAAATACCGCAAAGAAAAAAAAATGAAGGCGAGAGACAAAGCGCAATGAATATGAGGGGTATCAGAGGCCAGACCTTCCAGGGCCTTGTTTGCGCGCGTTAGGCCATAATTGGCCACGGCAGTTATCTTCGCCGCAGAGGCACTTGACAGCGTGCGGGTCGATCTTCTTCGTGCCATCCCAGAATGGGTTGTAATCAAAGGTAAGTTCGGTGCCTGGGGGGATATCTCGCAGGGCGAAAAGGGCAAGGTGGTAGAGGTTCTCATCACCGTGCTCCGTTGTGGATACCGGGACGATTTTGCAATTGGGATTGCAAGAGTGGTTGATAAAACGGGTTGGTGAGCCAAACTTTTGACCATCAATCACGTAAAAGTCATCATCGAAGGACTCGTCATCGGGGTCTCCATCCTCGGGGTTCTCAATCTTCCAGTCAAGAGCGAACAGGTAGGATTGTCCTTTTTGGTTTGCAAGTTCCCGGGCATCTGCCTCGTCTTGCAGGATGACTTCACCAAGGTACCGGTCAATAAACTGACCAGCCATGATGGGGTCGGGGGAACGAATACCTAGAACCTGTTAGTATAGATATTCAAATCAGGAGAATGATTACATACCACAACCACGAGCTCCTGTATCAAAGATCTCAAACCGAACCTGGCGGCCACGCTGAACCGCCGTATTCCAACACTTGCCCTTACAGCTGCACAGGTCACAACATTCCACGATTTTCGAACGCCTCTCCAAGAAGCTGGGACGGAGCACGATCTGACCATTCTCGGCGATTTGGTAGGTAGGGATCTTTTTATCCGAGTCTTCTTCTTCGAAGAGACAGTCACAAGCGGTAGGGTCACAGGGGCCGATGCAATTGCATCCGGAATTGAAACCCTCGTCAACGCGGGTCACACCATCAAGAAGGACATAATCATTTACAAAGCCAAAGGTAGCAGAGAGCATAGCCAGTTGCTCGTCGTCGATGTTAAAGGTGATGGCTGGCCCGTTGATGAGTTTCAATTTTTCATTGAGATTAGCTCGCAGCAAGTCGGCCGGCGAGGGGTGATGAGAGTCAGGTCCGGATTCGGACCACATAGACAATGAGACGATGCTTCTGTCGACTTCATCTCGTTTGGGATAGGCTCTTTTGGCGGCCCTTCTTTTTTCGATAGAAATAGTGGGATACCGCCTCTCAGACAGGCCCATGCTGGGCACATGACTGCCAACCAGCACTCGCTTTTGATGCGCAGAAGGAGACGGGATAACGACATTAATCTTGACATCCTGATCCAAAATCCTCGGTTTTGGTGTAGATGTGCGGCTAAGTTTTGACCGCGATTGCGCCAAGGTCAGGACGCCATTCGGAGAGGCCCGACAAGGAGCCGAATCCACTGTCGGAGATGAATAATCTGAATCTTCGTCGTCTTTTCTCTTGCTGGGAATGACGGCGGTGGGGCGATGAGCCACCGTGGAGACAATTGTCATCTTTTTGTCCTCCTGGAATAGCGAATGTCCAAGGTTAGCGTCATTGGTCTCGATTCCGTGATTGGTTGATATGTCATAGTGCGGGTGCATGATCTGCAGGTCAACCGTTAGGTGACGCCGGTGCAAATGAAGAGTCAAGTATATCAGATGTGGGAAGTACATCCAATTAAAAGTCAAAGTTCAACACGTAGCCCACGGACTCGACAAAGGGTGGGTTTGACCTGGGAATGCGGGTTGAAAGGAGGAATGTGAAGCAAGAGCAACATATATATATATATATGTATAGCGCCAACCGTTTTGGAAAGAAGGCCACGGCGCGGGGGAATATATCAGATATACATATATAAAGTGGGAATAGCCATCAATTGCGAAGTGTCAATACCTGAAAACTCACCTCTCGATCACCCATGCCAGCATCTCTGGTCAGTTCAACATCATCATCCCCAGTTAAGTCGATAACTTCAAGCTGTATCTTGGCCGGGAGGGCACCCTCAGCCTCAGGGAGTAAAGTCATCACTACCCCCGCTACGCTCAGGTGACGAGACAGCGAAGGTAATGGCCTTTTCTTTTTTTTCTTTTTTTTTTAAAAAAAAGAAACGCGTCTTTAAATGCGTGACATGCGGAAGAAAAGATGGTCATCGACGAATCGACGACGATGACAAAAAACAAACAAAGAAAAGTAAAATTTTGACTTCAAAGAGAAGCGGGAATGTTATGTTCTTGAAATAGAAGTGGGTCAAGAACGCCAAGGATTTAATAGAGGATGAGAGAAACGCGAAAAGTAAGATAGGGGGACCAAGGGGAAGAACTTCAATTTGCGTGACGATATAAGATGGTGGCCCGTGGCCCCTAAGAATGGAGGTTCAAGATGATGAAAGTGTGGTGGTCCGAGCTTTTATAGATTAGTCATCGATTTTATTTAAATATCTTATATAACAACGAAATTTTGTCTTTCGAAATCTATTTAATAGTTCAGAAAGCCTTTGGGAGTCCTTGAAAGGTGACTTGAGCAAAGAACTTCAAAAATAAGGTCAACTTGCATTGTCGGCTTGTGAATTTCAGTGGATATAACAGGGGTCTATATATAGGGGTATTCTGGTTATACGCAGATAACGATATAAAAATGGTGGAAACTGGTAGCTTTACAATGGTACGCGTTGGCCAATGGCCAGTAGTATTTCACGGAATCGCGGTAAGCTCGCGTTTCGCCTTAGCCCTTGACCTTGCTTTAGTTACAATTTTTTCTCTATTTCGAATAAAATATGTAGCGAATTAAATTGTATACCCTTTGAAGACTATCTATTATCATAAATAGAATATAAGCTCTTTTTATTGAGGGTGAGTAGTAGTCGACTTACGTTTCTTGGTTTCGCGTTCGTAGTTAGTGGCGAGTCCGATTGCAGCCGCACGGGTCACACCGCACACTAGCTGCTACACTATTGACGCTAATGGGCCAATGATAGCGCTTAAAACCTTGTTACTAAGCAACTTCTAACAAGAGCCATATGTCTAATCGTTATATAATTATATATAAAAAATTTCTCTCATTAAATCTATGTATTAAAGAGTAGAATATTCGCGGTGTTCATTGCGTGGTCGCGAGTTGATATTTCTATAGTATTCACTACTAGGTGTCGCGATAAGCGCCTCCTGGTAGATAAGGATTATGATAATAACTAAAGCGCAATTTAAGCATAATTTGATAATAACTATGTATAACGCTACTAAAACAAGTATTCACATTGATTTTGAGATTCAATCGGAAAGTAGAGAGGCTCAGAGAGTGGTCTACATACCTTGTGAGTAGGCGAGGAGCAGGCGATTAGCCGACAGCTTGCCCGGGCAACTCAGGGCCCGGGCAGCCCTCCCGCCCAGGGACCAGGGCCTGCCGCCTGCCGCTGTGCCGCCCGCCCCGCCCCTAGGTCACGGTAGATCCTACCATATCTCGGTGGTCATGGATACCCTTAATATTTATCTGGAAAGTAATAGTAAATCATGAATCGATAATTGAGTAAACACTATCAAGTCATAAGAGTAACCGACCGAGATTTTGCTTATTTTATTTAATTAAAACCTCTTCATTTAGATATTTCTGATTTAATCCTCCATCGGGCAGTTAGAACATTAGGCCCTAGGGCTGCAGGCACCCCAGGGGCCAAGATGGTTGGTTGGTGGACGATCGGGGACTGGCAGCCTGCAGGGGTAGGTACGGCTTGTGGTGGTACGAACGTACTTTCACTGATCGGAAAGTCTCTTATAATGGCCTTGAAAGCTTATTGGACCATATACCAGAGTGGGCTCTATCAAACAAAGAAGTTGATCAAAGAAAAGATACCGAAGATAGGATTTAGTGCATATGCAAGAAACGACCAGGGCCACTTTCTTTGATCGTATTTTTGTTGCATTTTCATGCACATGTAACACAATCCGTTCTTACCACCCGTCAGTCTGTCGCAGCATCGAGGATAGGTACTCGTTTGACTCTACCGGCAGAAGTGTTAATATTTATGATGAAGAATTTAGCCCTTTAATCGAAGAAAAGTATTCATGCCTAGATAATCCTAGCAGAGACTATGCAACGCCAATTCCCTGCCTCGACGCTAAAAGAGAACTGCAGGCCCCATGATGCTGCATGCAGATAACAGACAAAGAAACAGAAGCACCAATAATATGTCTTCAACTTTAATGTACACCAAGAAGACCAACACGCTTTTCTAGAACGACAGTGGGAAACGGACAGAAGTAGATGCGACCCAGAATGATAGGCCGAGGAAGAGCTAGAGAGCAGGGGGACCGGACAGAACAAAAGGAGCTCCGAAATGCAAGGATAAACATATATATGGGAAATGCTCATGTAGGGATGTATCATGTGGTTTGATGAATGTACCTATGCCTGTACCTAGCGGGGAACGCGAGACGAAAAAGAATAAGAGATAAATGCCATCTAGGCAAGACTTCTATGTGATCCCTGTCGGAGCGAACGTGCATGGTGTGTAATAGATATCTAGCTTTGGGCTGAAATCACAGTCGCAAAGCATCAAGAATCTTCTTCGCCATCTCTCTGTATTGCCACATGCCACCCGAGACCTTCTTGAACTGAATGCCGTGTAGGGAGAACAAAGGGACCTTTACAATGAGAATCTCAAAGCGAAGTACCAGGTTCTCGCCGGTGTCGCTCTGGACGCGGGTAGTGGTCTCCCCAACCACCCGCTCACCCACTGCGCCACTCTGCTGGCTATCGCGAGCAACATAGTCATCCGAGGCGTCTGAGTTTGAGACGAAACTGCGGTCTGGTTGCGTCTGGGGCCGGCGTTGTGGCTTGTTAGATCCTGAACGGCTGTCATCGCGGCTGTCGTCGTGGCCAAGAAGGCCACCAAAGCTGATGCGGCGACGGTGTGAGACCTGGCCCTGGCGGTCCGGGCTAGGGGGGCTAACATCGATGACCTTGTCGAGGTCGATGCTGGGGGCGTGTCGACACCGGAAGCCACCCTTGATCTCAACGTAGTCCACAGCCAGCTGTTTCAAAACGCGGATGATATCGGCACGGATGACAGGTAAGGGCTTGCTGCTAGTGGTTGACACGCTGAAGAGACCCTTGAGGAAGACCGGCTTAGACAGGTCTTCGCCTTCGTTAGCACTCTCCAGCGCGGTGCCTGCACCGGTAATGTCCTCATCAGTTTCTTCGGGCACGTTCGCCTCGAGAGCAGCCTCACGCCGGGCCCGTCGGGCTTGAATGCTTTCACGGCGGGCATGACCCAAAGACATGGTACGTGCTGTATGCGTATGCGTGCGGCCACCGGCTTTCGTGCCAGCCTGATCCTTTTGGGTGTTGGGACCAACCTGATCCGAGCCACTCGTCGAGGGAGGCTGTCGCTCAACATCCAAAGTATCAGCATCGCCTCTTCGGGCCGCTCTTCGGGGTCGGTAGTCAGCGGAGTTGACACTGGTAGACCGTCCCAAGACCTTATTAGGCTGCGAAGTTGACTCGCTCGAGCCCGGTGCAGCGAGGAAGTCCTGGTATTGAGGCTGGCTTCCCCCGGAGGGAATAGGAGGGGATGGCTCGGCCCGCCGAGTTCTCCGCACACTAAACCCACGGTGCAGGGGAGACGCGGAATCGACAGGGGGTTGGACGTTGAGTGTCGGAGTATTGGGGGTGCTGATACGCTCCCGTTCCACATCGCGGCTGCGGTCCTTGACTTTGCGGGTGCTGAAACGTCGCAAAATACCGGCCGCTGCACTTTCTTTCTTCGCAGGTGTGTCTGGCATTACGTGTCCAGACGGCGAGGAAGTATGAAGATTCTTGATACCTTCCGTGACCTCCTCCTCGCCGTGGGTTCTGGCCCGAGGACGAGACCGTCGGCCAGTGTCCTTTTCTCCCGGAACTGAGTACTGATTAGTGTGAGCAGCCTCTGGGGGTGCGAGCTCCGGCATTCCCACATCAAGCGGGATTGGACGAATGCCCGAAGTAGGAGGACGACTCTCTAATCGCTCCCGGTCCAGTTTCTCCTTGACAAGGTGGTAAACTGATACCAGCGGACTGTAGGCGTTCAGAGGATCATTGCCTAGCTGGATTGCCTCGGATGAAGGTGCCGATAGGGTATCACGGCTAGCAGCAGAGTTGCGTCGTTTGTAGAAGTCGAAGACGCCGCGCTTTCGCTCGGCTTGGCTATTCACTGGGTGCTCCCGGAAATTGAGCCGTACAGCGTGCTGGTACTCGTCTGAATCCAGCACCTTGGTTAACTGGGATGTGATATAGTCTGGTGAACCAAAATCAAAGCCTGTCATCTTCTCAATGACTTCTTGGTCCAACGGAAGCTGGATAGGCACTCGCTGGGGGAGGTAATTTTCGGGAGGTGCATTGAAGCCTTTGTTCATCCACGGGTGGCTCATAATCTCGGCCAAACTGGCACGCTGTTTCGGGTCGGTAACAAGCATACGTGAAATAATATGACGGCATTCTGTGAAAAGAAGTTAGTGAAAATACTTACCGAGAAGTTAGTTTAGAGAAATGTTTACCAGTTGTTAGGCCAGGTGGGTATTCTACAACACCCTTCTTGATCTTTGCATGGAGCTGGGGCATGCTCTGATCATCAAAAGGTACTTTCCCGCAGACCAAAACGTAGAGAACAATTCCAAAACTCCAGACATCCACCTCCGGCCCAGTGTATTGTCTTGCCTGAAGCAGTTCTGGAGCCGCAAAATAAAGACTACCACAGAAGGTCTTCAGAAGACTTCTGGGAGAAAAGAGATTGCTGAGACCAAAATCGATGATCTTTATATCACCCGTCTTGCTGATGAGGATGTTCTCGATCTTTAGATCACGGTGGACGATGCTGTTGCGGTGGCAGTAGTCCAGAGCACTAGCGATCTGGCGGGCGAACTTGCGGGCTTGTTTCTCCTTCAACTTGCCGTGAGAGATGATATAGTCCAACATTTGACCGCCGTTAACATACTCGAAGAGCATGTACCAGTGATATGTTGTGCGCACCACATCTCGCATTCCGCATATGTATGGGTGACTAACGAGACTCACAATGGCGGCCTCTCGAGCCGTTCTTATTTCTTTTGACCGGTCCGCCCTCTCCGATTCTCGACCGTTGCGGTGCTCCTCAGTCGAAAGTCGGGGAACGATCTTGACAGCGACCTGGAACGGGCATTGTTAGAACATGTTATGTTGATAGCGGATGAGATAAATAGGTGTGAATAGGAGGGAAGCTGTACCTGTTCCCCGGTTTCCATATTTTTCGCGAGCTTCACTTTACCCATGCTGCCCGCACCGATAGTCTTCCCCAGGGCCCATTGGCCCGTTGGTGTAGTGATCGTCGTCCGACGCCTTGGCTGTGTGGGGACGACCGGGCCGGTCGCATTCTGCGAGGAATCAGCTGCGCGGTCCGCAGTAGCGGTGCTTGTCATATCGACACTGTCCCGTTGATGAGCTTGAGTGGATGAAGTGCGCTGGTGTCTTCGGGTGGATTCGGTTCGGGTTGCGGTGGGTGGGCGCTCCTGCGAGCGTTCAGACGGCATGTTTGCGACATTGGATGCCTCAAAATCCCGACGGGCGACGCTGTCCAGCGCGGCGTGGTTTGCCGGCGGGCGACGGTCGTAAGAGGGGGTTTTGGAGTGTGAGTATTGTGTCTGTGGAGGGGGCTGGGGCTGGGACGTGTTGGACGATCGGACCGCCACGCTTCGAGTCCGATGGGGTAAATCAGACGCAGGCGCCCAATGGGCGGGGCGAGAGGAGGTAGATTGACTGCGTACCACCATAGGCGACTTCGAGGCAGGCGCCGGAGCCGACATAACGACTAGGACGAGTCTGGGTTGGGGTTGGATAGATGAGGTTGGAGCGGTCAAAGGACGCGAGCGGGGAGAGGCTGACGGACGGTCGACAAGAGCCCCACGGGCTGCATCCACCTAGGCACCTGTTGTATTTGAAAATCAACAGATCGAGGAAATAAGAAAGTGTGAAAAGTGAGATAACTGGAAAAGTTTCACAATCCGACAAGGAGGGGAAAAATGAGGGTGATGGGGGGAGGGGAAGAAGGGAAGTGGAAGAGTAGGTTTGACAGGGGCCTTCGAAGTCCAAGCCCAAAAAGCTTTTGGGAGTGTAAAATATTCCAACCAACAAGGACATCTAATTTCTCATTTGAATCCGAGCTGGGTGTTACCCGGACTTGCTTGATGCACCGGTTCTATTCTCCCCTGGTCTTTGGCCCCCTTTGGGTACAACTCTACGTCCCATGACGTTTTCCACGTTCCCGGTTCCATTCAGGCACTAAGTTTAGTGGAGATCTAGACCTATGGACCACGTCTATCAGGGAGTTCATCCAGGGAAATGCCTATTTAGTTAGTAGAATAAGCGTATATATGTATTTCTACCATACTTAGGTATCTATCTCGATAAATTATACATACTGTACTTGTCCAAAATAAGATGCAATCTGATGAGACGAAGAAATGCATACGTAATCACATGACCCACACCTATAAGTATCTTTGAAACTCCACACTCAACCCGGTCATAAATCACGCAAATTCATACTTCAGATCATTACTCAAGCCTGCCCCGACCTGCACTCTTCCGTTGGTGATAATACTCCTACTATTTCGTGCCGGTGGATCCCAGACCACTTCAGCCGCACTTGACCGTGGACGGGATATTCCACACCCAGTATCGTCTCGATCATGGAAAAGGACAAGATCCGGACTTATACCCACTTGCACAGCAAGGCCAGTATCACAAGAAAGACCGATAGCAGCTCGGGCGCGGGTAGACACACATTCATACAATAGTCCAGCATCATCCTGTGCCCCCGCCTGATAAACCCCCACCCCGATACAGGCCAAAAATAACGGATCGGCAGAGCCCCACGGTGTAAATGCGTTTCCAACGTTGTTGACACCGATCACTGCATCTAGGTCGTATTTGCGGATCAGCTCGGGGACTCGTAGGGTACCCCGGGCCCGTTGGTGACTTTCTTGGCCCAGTGGTGCGGCCATGTATAAATCGCTGGTGGGTAAACCAACGATGCTCACGGGGAGGTCATTCTCATGGATTACGCGAGATATCTCGCACCACTCCTCGTCGGTGAGTAGGGTTAAGCGGGTGCAATGTCCCAGCATCACGCGTTTTCGCGTAGATCTACTAGACCAGCCTCTTTGTTGAAGTGTTTGTAACACATGCCAGATAAGGGGCTCATTGCCGGGATCCAGGTTATAGTCTAAATGGAAATCGACATGCTTGTCAAGGAGTAAGGCGTGATCAATCGCCCACTCAATGTTCTTTTTCGAAGCCTCCACGCTGGATTCAACGTATGGCGTAGTCCCCAGTACATCAATCTGCTGATAGGTCTCTAGGGCGCTTTCAATCAGAGTGCGGTTTTCGTCTCCAAATTGGCTGGAGAAAATGGGATCCTGGGCGAAACAGGCGATCTGGATATGACAAGCCTCGCTCCATTGACTCTTCAACGTAACTGCCGCATCCAAGCAGACCAGCTTGACTGTATGATCGACCTCAACAAAAGCCCTCATAGCTGTAACCCCTGACGAAACAGAATCGGCTAACAGCCATTCCCCTCGTTTCAGAAGATCGGGATAGGTAAAGCTCTCTTTAGCTTTGGTGGTGAAAGACAAGGCTTCCTGGAAAGTGCCCGTGCAAGGCAAGAGGTGCGAATATTTGCTTGCATTATGAACAAATGCTTTGTCCAAATGGATATGTGGGTGAGTCAAGGCCGGTAAAGCGAGCGGAGCTTGGATGTCATCTCCCGAGTCGTGCGGGGTTATTGATGCGATTGTGCCTTCTTGAGACCCTGAGGGGTAATCGAGGTTGACACTCCATGCGTGAGAGGATCCAGCAAGTCTCACTCCCCGGACTGATTTTATTTTCTTGCTTAATTTAGGAGGGGGCATGGTGTATATATGTTAAAGAGGAACTTGTATCAGAGTCTGTTCTTATGGGATGCTCCACTTCGGGGAAGTCCGCCATTGAGCCGAACACCCATCTCATTCTCACTTCATGCAGTAGATAATTAAATTGATCGTAAATTCAAATTGATACATTATCTCGTGTCGTTTCACGCAATAGCGCTTGTAATCAAACTAAATCAATTCTTCGCATATGGCCAGGTCCAGTTGCGAATGTACTCAGGATCCACACCATTTTCAAAAGCCTCCGACTTACAAGCAAGACGTGCATTGATCAATTTCTCTCTAACACTAGATGCAGTGTTGCCCAGAGATGGAATCAGGTCAATTGCATCAATTGCCAAGCTGTACCGATCGGTTCCGTTGCGCACCGCCAATTCGAACGGAGTATCAATGTTGCCCTTCTCACGGTATCCCCTCACATGTAGGTTGTGCTGACCAGGACGCTTGTATGTCAATCGGTGAATGAGCCAGGGATAAGAGTGGAAATTGAAGATAATAGGCTTGTTATCTGTGAAGATAGACTTCCATTTGCGATCAGGCATGCCGTGCGGGTGATGGATCCCCGAGATAAGTCGGAAGAGGTCAACGACATTCACGAAGCGAACCTTGAGACTAGGAAGATATTTGCGCAAGAGTGCAGTGGCAGCTAAAGCTTCATGTGTTGAGACATCACCGCAAGACGCCATCACGACGTCTGGCTCTTCGCCTTGGTCGTTACTAGCCCAGTCCCAGATTCCAAGGCCCTTGGAACAGTGTGCGACGGCATCTTCCATGTTCAAGAACTGAATATGCTCTTGTTTATCTGCCACAATGACATTCACATAGTTCACACTACGGAGACAGTGGTCCATGCAGGACAGGAGAGTGTTCCCGTCAGGTGGGAGGTAGATTCGGACCACCTCGGGGCTCTTATTGGCCACCACATCGAGGAATCCAGGATCCTGGTGCGTAAATCCATTGTGATCTTGTCTCCAGACAGTAGCTGTGATCAGAATGTTGAGAGAGGCGACCTTAGCGCGCCATTCGACCTCAAGACACTTCTCAATCCACTTGCAGTGCTGGTTGACCATCGAGTCAATGACGTGCACAAAAGGCTCGTAGCTGTTGATGAGGCCATGACGCCCAGAAAGGATGTATCCCTCCAGCCAGCCTTCACATGTATGCTCACTGAGGATTTCCATGACACGTCCATGCGGAGAAAGATTACCTCCATCGCTGTCCTCTTCGAAGTAGTCTGCCATCCATACTTTCTTACCTGCTTTGTAGACTTCGGCGAGCTTATTAGACTCGGTCTCATCAGGGCCAAAGAGGCGGAATGTAGTCATATTCTTAGCCACGACATCACGAAGGAACTTTGCCATGTTCGCCATACCACCTGCGGAGGTCTTTCCGGGGATAATGTCCTGGATGGCATAATCACGGAAATCATTCAATTGCAGCGGCTTGCGCAGGAGACCACCATTGCCGACCGGGTTGGCACTCATGCGTGAGTTGCCGGCAGGCGCAAGCTCCCTTAGTTCAGGAAGAAGCTTGCCATTCTCATCGAAGAGCGTCTCTGGCTTGTATCCCTTCATCCAAGTTTCAAGGATCTCTAGATGAGCAGGGTTGGTAGAAACATCGGTGATAGGAATCTGGTGTGCACGCCAGAAACCTTCAAGTAGTTTCCCATCGACTTCCCTCGGCGCTGTCCAACCCTTTGGCGTGCGAAGAATAATCATGGGCCAGCGGGGACGGAACGGCTTGTTGGATGACCGGGCCTGTTGTTGGTATTGCTTAATCTCCTTCACACACTGTTCAAGTGTGACAGCCATAGCCTGGTGCATGCTTTCCAAGTCACTTCCCTCCACGAAATATGGCTTCCAGCCATAACCGATCATCAATGAAGTCAATTCCTCGTGACTGATGCGTGCAAGAACCGTCGGATTGTTAATCTTGTAGCCGTTCAGATGAAGAACAGGGAGAACCGCTCCATCAGTAATTGGGTTGAGGAATTTAGTGCTGTGCCAGCTCGTCGCAAGAGGACCAGTCTCAGATTCTCCATCACCAACCATGGTCAAGGTGATGAGATTGGGATTATCAAAGACAGTTCCAAAGGCATGAGAAATAGAGTATCCAAGCTCTCCACCTTCATGGATACTGCCAGGAGTCTCGGGAGTACAATGGCTTCCAATGCCACCCGGGAACGAGAACTGTTTAAAGAATTTCTGCATACCCACAGTATCCTCGGCCTTGTCTGGAAATACCTCCGAGTACACACCCTCAAGATATGACTGGGAGATAATACCCGGAGCGCCATGGCCAGGGCCGGAAACGAAAAGAACGTCCAGGTCATATTTCTTGATCAGGCGATTCATGTGGATCCAAGTGAAGGATTGGCCTGCATCAGACCCCCAGTGTCCTAGAAGTCGAGCTTTAAGATGCTCTACTTTCAAGGGTTCTTTAAGAAGAGGATTCTCTCGGAGGTAGAGCATGCCGAGACAAAGGTACAAGCTGGCATGAAAGTACGCGCTCATCTTGCGAACTTCGTCGGGACCAAGACATTTTCCGGAAACTGTGGACCGTGCCTCTCCATAAGCTGAAATGCTCTTTGCTTCGGCGTCATTTGAATGAGAGGCCATGGTGATTCACGGCGCAAGTGGTGATTTGAAGATGAGCGATGAAATGTGAAGTATATGGGTGGCTAAGATGGAAAGATGGTAAAGTCAAGTATAAGTAGAGAAAGGTGGCAATGCTGGTGTAATAGATTCAATTTCACGGAAAAATCTTGTTTATAAAGGAAAAAGATCCAGGAAACTGGTGGAGTGGCCTGATCCCTGCATTTGTGTACTTTGGCCTGGGTTCGGCCGGGAAGAGCAGTCAATGACGTGTAGGCCGTTAATGAACGCACCACTACGATTTGATTCAAACATGTTTGCCCATATTCGAGAATGACAAATAACTCAAATAATTAGAATGTTCACTATTCAATAAAAACCGATCCTTCCTTGTTGCTCAATTAGTACCTAGGCAATGCCGGTCATTGAGCATCGTGAATACCTCCGCCGATATCCGGATTGCTTTTGCGGGGAGAACAGATATTAAAAATGGAGCGGAAACCAATCTCAATAAAATTTAATGGAATAAACAACCGGAAATCTTGTAATTTTGAGCTTATCATGAGACATTAGCATTTGAGCACCCGAGTGGTAGGGAACGTAGTGCCGACAATGCCGCTTATTGGTACACAACATCAGATACTAATAAGCTCGATATTGCCACGAGGTACCTTGTGCAATAGTGCACCTTACTACTTAACTTACTAGTTATGAAAACGCCTTAGGTCATTAAAGTGGGCCCATTAGGCTTCACCCCCACCTACAGTCACGCTAATGAACATATTTTTAGGAAAATCGATAACTTATGATCTCACAGCAATACATGAGTGGGCCATTCTTTTTCTTTTCATTTTTCAACAGCTGACACATGATGTCTGTATCAACATCATCATCTATTCAACGAGTCTCAGTCGCACGAGGATACAACTTCATCCATTCGTTCTTGGTGAAACGCTGCCGTTTTGTAGCAAGAAAATCGTTGATCTTTGTGTCCAGCTCTTAAATCATTGTCAGCCAAAACTCTTCTCAATAAAAGCGCCATATACATTTTCTACTGTCATTTCCTTTCGGGCTTGTAATGAGTAATGATGCTTGAATTCATGGACTAGAATAAGATCATCGGGTAAAATGATACCTAAATAGTGATCAAGTTAACAAAGTCATTTGGTATAACAAAACTCAGGGAACAGACCTGCAGGAACAGAAAATACATAAATGGGAGATCCTTCGGCAATGCGAACAAGCCACTGCTGTTTCGGACGCATAGATGCGCCGTTCGGCCCTAGGCTAGATCTATCAGTGTCCTAAGCAAAACATTTGTTAGCCTAACTCTCACAGCAATAAGTAGCTGGATTAAGAGCTTGTGGTATGGCCTTCCCCGCGGTGATGAGGAGATCAAAACTGCGCTGCGGTCGCACGGGACCTGGATGACCTCGCAGCCGAACGGAGATGCCCATGTTGGTGCGGAACATCTCTTTTGGTGTCTGAGTGAAAGACTGGATAAACAAATCTATTCTATGACATCTTGACTCCAAGGTGCGAAGATTGAAGTGACGGAAGCAGAGGGAGGGAAAGAACAGACGCGACCAAAAGGTATGTTTTCTACGTGAGCTTCGACGGTTTCTACATTAACCCTCCTTTTCCTCGAGTACACCAATTTGAACTCACGTTCGACCCCTAGGCCCCAACTTTGGTTTTTTTCTTCTTTCAGCATTTCTAGAGAGCCTGAATATTCAAATAATGCAGGCGAGGCAAGGGGCTCCAATGATTGAGGGAATTCGACGTGTCAATTATAGCGACAAGAGGTAAGATACCGACCAATAAAAAATGTTTTCATTCAAGCCCTGTCTAGAACCCTGCAACTTTCAGGGGCTCAATGATTCTGGCCTTTCTCAGTTCCCCTGATTTATTTCCTTGATCTATGCACTCAAATCACCTACCTCACTAGCGATATCGGCCATGGCGACGACTAATCTGGACGATGGCCTTGGAGATAAATTCAATAGATTTTTTGAGAAGACTACTGTGACTCGCTCAGCATGCGATGCCTATGCAGAGAAGCTTGGAGGCAAAGCCATACCGGTAAATGTGCAAGGCGTTTGCAGTTACACCGTCTATGCAGGACCCAGTGCCGAATATGTGGCTCAATTTCGTTTCAAGTCTCTTCGGCTGAATATGAAGACTGCGAGCCTCGCCCAAGCTATATATGGTGAACTTGCGCCGCAGGTAACCTTCATGGGAGAAATTGGGGATATAGGGAACGAGAGCGAATCCCTCTGCATCCATCTCATGAACCGGATCAAAGGCATCAGTTACTTCGATTTCATTATAAACCACATCGTGGACGATGAAACACCTGCATCTTGCTGGCGAAAAACCCTTACTTCTGACGTTTCGAGGTATGGTTACAACTTACGACTGGAGGTTATGTAATTGAAAGTTCTATCCTTGAAACCTTTGCTCACGATTTCTTATGCTAGATTTTTCGCTATGTTCTGGAAGGCACCTCAGGAACTCAACAAGGCCTACCGTGATAGCTTGTACCATCCATATATGAAAGATCTAGGCTTGCTGCTTATTTCGCTTCCACCAAGTTTTTACCCTATCACACAAAAATCTCTGATTTCATTGCGGACCATTTTCTCCCTTCCAATGGTACTGCTGCATCGAGACTTCAGTGTCTTCAATATCATGGTAAATGAAAAATCTTGCAATCTAGTCGGATTGATAGATTGGGGGAAGACAGAGATTGCGCCTTTTGGTCTTAATCTACACTTTTATCAACGTTTCCTGAATAATGTCGACCGCAGGGAGGGCTGGTCCAGATACGACGACTACCTTCCTTGAGCAGGAGGAGATGTTCTGGAAGATCTTCAAGCCGGAGGCTGGAGGGTTGGACAGTCAAATATTGCAAGCTGTGAAAACAGCTAGAATTGCAGGGCTATTGTTAAATCGCGGTTTTACGCCTCGCCTTGCGGACTTGCCCAAGCCGGTGCCTATTTGTGATGATGAAAGCGGATCATATAGCATGGATGAACGAAATGCTTTGCTAATCAATCCAGCTACAAGATTCACAGAATCAATACAGGCTAGGAGTTTTAATACAGAATCATCCATGGATGCCGATAAATATTTCACGTAGACATTCCAGGGTTGACGATACCTGTGGACCCAGAAAACCTTGGAAATACAGACCCACTTTTTATCGAACTGCGGATATCAGCTCCAACTTCCAACAAGGCACAACTCGATGTATTCGTTTCCGATATCACAGGTACAAGCTGTCGGTTAATAATGTTACCGATCTGAGGATTACCCCGGTCATTTCTTGACTCAGCAGATGCCTATCTCATCTCAGGGGCACTATTAAGCAATTCGTGACTTCCTTTTCACAATAATGTTGCAAACACGCCGTCTTCTCAGGGAAGGCATCCCATTTCACGCGCTCAGGACAAGGACTTAACGTACTTCTTCAGCTGGGCTACCATGACCAATCCCGCATCTCTATATCAGACGTGAGCGGATGAAAGTTGAGTTGCTCATCATTTGGGTTCGAAATCGACTGGTGTGTGTCATGTTGCGCATACAGAAGATTGGTTTCGAGGTAGCCTCAATGTCCGCATTTTCGTTACCAGAGAAATGGGATGGTCGGCGACAGCCCGGAAGTTGTGTCATGATCCGCTTCCCGCTTCCTCATCGCATTTTTCTCCCCGCGCTTAGCCACTTGGCCATACCCTGGTGATAATTCGTTATTCTAGACTTTGGCCGGACAAAAAAGCACGATTCGGCTAATTGCGACCGCTAGTATCTTGCTACAAGCCGACGCGGACGCCGAACCAGTGACCATCGCGGTGCACCAGTTCGACACGGATAAGGTAGAACAGGTCTCGTGGACTTCGTTGGAAAGGTATTTAGAGTTGTCGATTGCGGCGCAGTTATAACAGCATTTCTTGATTAATTTTGCGAATCGGGATATCCGAGTTGGGGTATGTTTCGCTGGCGGACGCTGCGAGAAGGGCCCAGCGGATTGAGGGCTGGCTAGATAGCTGGCAAGAGAGTTCGTAGATTGATTTAAAACTACATTTGTGTGTCAACTCAATCTATCCGTTGGTTCTCATTCACTCTAGGATCACTGACAGCTCATATTCAGCTGTGTGACGGAGCCTCCGTCTAGTTCAGCTAAGCCCCACTATAGTCAAGTACATAACCGAGTTATGCATCAAACTCAAAATGTTGTCCCTTTCAAGATAATCAACAAGGGTTAGTTAACGCGGGTATATCCTCCCAATACTTCAATCCAGCAGTGCAACAGACATAAGGCTTGTTTATTAATTTGCGTTACGTGTAGGACCGTGGGCCTGTGACTGTTTAGGGTACCGGCAATGGCAATCTCAGTCTAGTTATGACACACTACGAGCATTCTTAAAATCGCTTCAAAGTTTAATTCAACAGCCACATCGCTAGTATCGGTTTCCCTGCTTGCGCGTCTAAATCCTGACTGCCGAAACAGTCTGTGGATCTCGGCCTCGCCGCATCTGCCGCACAGACCACACGCCCAAAAACACCATGATGGAAATCCTACGCGACCAAGATCATGATGGTGGAGAACAGTATGAAATCGTGAAGGAAAACATACGCGACCAAGCTGAAGGTGGCTCCTGAGTGGAGAATAAACAAAGAATAAACAAAAAGAGAAGGAAATCATACGCGACTAAGATCAAGATGTTGGAAAATATAAAGGAGTCGAAAAGCCCTGATAGCGCCGATCAATTCCTTTCTCATCGTCGTCAAAATGTGGCTATTAACCTATATCCTCTACCTGCGCCTAAAAATAGGTGCCTTGATCGTGAGACTCTTATTCAGGCTCATTGAAGGAAAATGGACCGCCAACCCTGACGCAATCCATAACCTCCCATCCCGCGATCCTCAACGCAAAATCAAAGTCCATATCTACAAACCCTCAATACAAAGTGCCACCCGCCCAGGTCCCGTCTTGATCAACTTCCACGGAAGTGGTTTCGTCATCCCAGCCCACGGCATCGACGATGCATTCTGTCGCGAAATCAGCCAGCGCACAAATTACACGGTCCTAGACGTTCAATACCGACTTTCACCCGAGCACCCTTTTCCTGCTGCAATACACGATGTCGAAGACGTCGTCAAATGGGTCCTGCAACAACCCGCCGTCTTTGATCTGTCCCGCTTAGCAGTCTCTGGATTCAGCGCTGGAGGAAATCTAGCCCTGGTCGCCTCATCCACCCTCTTTCCGAAAGATACTTTCCGTTCTGTGATCACTTTCTATCCAAGTACCGAGGGACATCTCGATCCTGCTACACTGGTTGCGCCGGAGGCGGGTGGGCGCCCTCTTCCCGTGGCCACTATGCGTCTTTTTCGGCATTGTTATGTTCAGACTGAAGTTGATAATCGGGATCCACGCATTCTACCTGTTTTTGCGGACCCGGCACGTTATCCGAAGAATGTTCTTGTTATAACGGCTGGCTATGATATTCTTGCTGATGAGGGTGAGAGGCTTGCGAGGCAGCTTCAGAAGGATCCTCAGCGGCATGTTGTTCACCGGAGAATGCCGAAGTGCAATCATGCTTGGGATAAGAACGCTGCTTTTGGTACCCCTGAGTGGGAGCAGAGAAATCTGGCTTATGATTTGGCTGTTGAGATGCTTCGGCTGTAGTGTTGTCATTTGTTTGTTATGCGTTCTGTTTGTTTACATACCCCGGGCGCAATATGTCAAAGACTTATTCGGTAATGATAGATTTCATGTTTAGAAAAGTTATAGAAGTTCATTTTTGAGTTCTTTTGTGCATGAGTAAACCGGTGTAAATGCCATGAATAGTAGGTATTGAGTCGAGAGTGCAAGTGTTCATGTCCCACATGTGCATACGGTGGCCCACAACGGCCACTGATCGGATGACCTAACCTTGATATCACGTGCATTTTACCCGTTTTAGACCCTGGGCACCGCTTTAGTTACGTCTTTCTTTTATTAGTCATCTCCGCCTTTCCCATTACTGTAAACATGGATTCTACAGGTTTGATAGAGCGGGCAATGCAGATATATTCAGGTGATACGTAAAAATTTGGTATCATTGAAATATGAATATTGGGAAGCGACTGCTTAAATCCCTAAATGACTCTGTTTGTTGGAGTTTGTTCTTGTTACAGTATCCAAAAGGTTCAATACCTCTGATGTATCTCGGATAATTCTGCTCTGTGTATATTAATTTGATAAATGAGACTCTTATAAGATCCCCGCGCTGCTGTTGCTGGGGGAGACACTAAATGTGAGTTGCAGAGACTGTGGTGTGTTCTCAACATGAAAAATATTGTCCCAGTGGGACCGAAAGTTTTCATCAGCCCGTGGTGTTTCCAGCCACATGACACTCTTAATTTGGACGAGGGCATCATTGAAATCATCCAACTGTAAATATGCTGAGACGGTCTGTGCTTTCTCAACAAACCATGCGTAGTTGGATGTGCCCATGGTAGTCAACAACCCGATTGAAATAAACCAAACATCAAGTGAATCATACACACGAGGTGCTAACTCAAGTTGTCTGAAAAATTCCACAAACCGGGTGACCATAGTATTCATAATGACTGCATGTGAGTAGTATGTTGGCCCCTGGACGATGAGCATATATATTATAATTGAGTAGCGAAGAGATTCCGTGATTGGTGACGGTTGGGTGTTTTCCGTGTTCGGGGTGGGGCGTAAAAGTCGGTGTATGACAAAGCAGGTGAGGTCGTGGAGTTGTGTTGATGAGAAAGACATAAGATGTGATCGTTCTAACACGCTGCGTAGACGTATGAAAACATTCCAGACGTCATAGTCGACGTCAATATTATCAAAACCGATTAAACCGTCAAGGGCGGTTGTGTCGAGTTGCCATTCCGGGATGCATGGTATACCATCTCCGAGGCCGACGTCGTCTTGAGTATCGAATTGAGGATGACCCATGATGAGCATCGACACCCTTTAATACATCAGCATCATGTTTCCTCCAATGTCCAGGGGATACTCACCAGCTGACCATTCGCGCAGTGAGTGGACTTGTCTGCCTCACTGAATTGATGCCACCTCTCATATTGACCAATTTCTTCACTCCATCCACATGCATCTGGCTGACATTAATGTTTCCTTTGCCAAACTTAAAGGTTGAATTGTCAGTGGCTGGCCTAGATGAAAGAAGGGTGGATCCTACCTCGATGGCTGCCAATGTGATGACAGAGTTCATAGTGCCGTCCTGTACAGCCAGTGACATATTCTCAACTTTGCGACGCAATAAAGCGACAGAGTCAGCCATGAGAAGTTCTGAGGATTGAAAGCCTTTTTGTGCTAACAACTCTTCATCAAGGCATGCTGTTTGTAAGGAAACATGAAATAAAGCCGGATCGCCGAGAGCAAGCGGCCACCAGGAGACAAGGAACGGATTCGAGGTTGTGCTCATGTCGAGAGGGTAGTATTGAAAGGCAATTTTATGAAGGACTAGTCTTGTCAGCGAGGCTTGCTGAACGATCTCGACCTATCGCATACGTACAGCCGTATATAAGACGTTGGACTTGTTCCCGCGGAAATCTTGTTTGTGGATAAGAATCGAATGGATCGAGCGATCCAAAAGTGCAGTCGTTCAATGAAACGGATAAATCCATAGGTTTTGTTAGGGCTCTCTCTCTTCTCCCGGGGCCCGCCGGCGCCGCCCAGGGTTCATTGGCGTAGACACATTGAATTTGACGCTTGTTGCAACGCGAGCAGCGGGGTGTGCGAAGGTCGCAGCTAATTTTAGACTTTGAGCACGCAGCACAGGACCGACGGAGCGTTTGGCGCATTTTGGGGAGGAACTCGAGGCCCGGCGCGTTAGTGAAGATTGAACAATTAATTCCAGGAGGAAGAGTGCCGGTGGAGACGGCCTAGTCCTGTTAAGAAAGCCCCACACCGCCTTGGGGACCTATAGGCTACAAATAGTTCTATCGAACCGATACAGTATTGGTCAGTATTATTGTATAGTAATATCATGCGTGTGGTATAAGCTAGAGAGAAATCCGAAGTTGATCTTGAAGTAATGCTTTTCAGCAAGCCCGCGAAAGAGCAAACATCACCAACTGCACACTGGTAAAGTAATTCCGTTCTTCCAAGTGACGATGTGATCTATTTATTAGGGCAAATTCACGTTTCAGGGACTAGTGATTTTTTCATACCCGGCAATTCCGATTGATCATGCAATGCTTCGGAGAGCAGATTGGCAGATCCCCCGCTATGCAATCGAATGTGAATTCCCTAATCGGGACTAGACCCCGAGACCACAAATAACACTAACCAAAATAGGACTAGACCCCGTTTATCTGTGTCAGCAATGAACTATGCATACAGTATCAAAATGGCTTCATTGGGTAACTTGGAGATCTTACGATGGGATCTGAACTTCGATTGAGTAAAGATTCTTCAAGTTCCACAAAAATATGCTTACAAACTTGAACTTGCCAGGGGTTATGTCTCGAAGGCCTTTGCCTGAGATCGATTTGGCTCTGTGACCCACAGAACAAGCTGGAGGCTGACCTGATCTTCTTATAAGAAAGGCACGAGAATCCTTGATTTGCCAGACTCAACACCTTTTATGACTACAAAAGCCACCACCATGGATGTTGAATTCATTAGCAACTCTAGTGTTCAACATGATTGTTCACAAGCTTGGCCTGCCGCGTCCAAAATTGGAGAGCTCGTACCGGATTTTCTTGTTGGCTGGTGCACCTGGCAATATGTCGTGACCTTTTTGTTAGGAGTGGTGATTTATGACCAGGGTATGCAATCTTGAATATCGGCAATGGTCCCTCTAGCTAATGGTACCCAAGTTATGTATATCAAACACAAAGGCTCTATTGCTGGGCCTTCATTCAAGATTCCTCTTATAGGTCCGTTTCTCCAAGCTCTAGACCCGAAGTTCGAAGAGTACCTTGCTCAATGGGCAAGCGGACCCCTCAGCTGCGTGTCGGTATTTCACAAGTATGTTCCTCGCCCTAACAAGGCTCCACATCGGCAGAACTTCTACTCACATATTTGCAGGTTTGTTGTCCTTGCCTCCGACCGGGATATCGCACACAAAGTTTTCAAATCCCCTTCATACGCGGAACCCTGCATAGTGCCTCTTGCTAAAGACATCTTGGGACACAAATCATGGGTCTTTCTCCAAGGCAAAGCCCACACCGAGTATCGTCGGGGGTTAACCCCTCTGTTCACCAACAGAGCTTTGGCAACCTACTTTCCTATTCAAGAGAGAGTGTTCGCCGACTACTTTGACAAGTTTGTCACCGCCAGTCAGGAAAATTACAACCAACCAATGGCCTTCATGACCATGTTCCGTGAGATCAATTGTGCGATTTCATGTCGCACCTTCTTCGGGGATTATATATCCCAAAGTGCGGTCAAAAAGATTGCTGATGACTTTTACCATGCCACCGCCGCCCTAGAGTTGGTAAATATCCCTCTTTCGATTTACATTCCATTCACAAAGCCATGGAAAGGAAAGCGGATAGCCGATGCAGTTCATGTTGAGTTCGCCAAATGCGCGGCGAGATGCAAGGAAAACATGGTCGCCGGAGCGAACCCGACCTGTATCGTTGACCACTGGGTGCTGCATATGATGGATTCAAAAAAGTATTATGAAAAAGTCGCCGCAGGCGATACGGACGCAGCGAAGCCCACAAATCTCATTCGCGAGTTCACAAACGAAGAGATTGGAGAGACGCTATTCACCTTCCTCTTCGCATCCCAAGATGCATCTAGCAGCGCGACAACCTGGCTCTTCCAGATCCTGGCCCAGCGACCTGATGTACTCGATCGACTCCGGGAGGAGAATCTCGCCGCACGAAATGGCGACAGAAGCAAGCCTTGCGATCTCGCTATGCTGGAATCTCTAACCTACACCAGTGCTGTCATTAAGGAGCTTCTCCGTCACAGGCCGCCAGTTATCTTCGTTCCTTACCTGGCTAAGAAGGACTTCCCAATTACGCCGAATTACACCGTTCCCAAGGGGTCTATGGTAATTCCCTCTTGTTATCCGGCTCTGCATGATCCGGAAGCGTACCCAGAGCCGGAGGTTTTTGATCCTGATCGCTGGATCACTGGGGATGCTGAGTCCAAAACGAAGAACTGGCTCGTATTTGGAGCGGGCTCCCATGATTGTCTTGCAAGGAGATATGTGCCCTTGTCCATGGCAGCAATGATTGGTAAAGCAGCGATGGAACTCGACTGGGTGCACCATGCGACAGACAAATCCGAGGAGATCAGGGTATTTGCCACTCTATTCCCAATGGTTAGTTCAATCCTCGTGTTACATCTCTTGCATGGTATTTGTTCCCTGGGAGGTTGTGCTAATTAGTGGTACAGGATGGGGCTCAACTGGTGTTCACGAAACGCGCATAAAGTATTTGGAAAGCACTAGTTTGAGTGAAGATATTTCTTTTGCGTTGAAGCGCCGAAATATACTCCATTTAACATTTCCATACTGTACTAAGGGAGTTTTTTCCCTTCAATTGATTAAATACTGTATCACTGATTCATGAAGGGTTCAAGAGTTGATTGATGCGCAGCACCTGAGGTTCATATCAGATTGAGGTCTTCAATTAGCACGGCTCAACAGCTATATATTTCTTTCGTTGTTGTCAACTTATATCGAAAAAATGACCTGGGTCTCTAATCTATAATGTTTTCTCCTATGTCCCCATTAGCAAACTTCCAAGATTGATGGATTTTTCTGGGTTGCTTCAGAACGATGATGATGAGGATTGGGGACCATAGTGGGGGTGGGTGAGTTACTAGTTTGTGTCCCTATCTCTCCCGGAATGTAAATCTTGTCCCCTTTCTTCTTATTTCAACCCTGGGAGGCTACGCACCCAGTAGTACTTCTTCCGCTGACTGAAAACATCATCTAGCTGTTGACAAATATCCAAGCTTCCTCGGTGACAGATCGACAACGGCCTACGGATTCGGCGTTTGAAAAAAGGAGAACACCGAGAGAGAAGACGTTGCCCCTTGATTGGGGCCGTGCTTAGGCAATCAGGAATTAATCATTTCCATGTTGATAGCCACTTATGTTGTTTAAAATTTGCTTACGAAGCTGTTAAATAATCACGATTAGCTAAAAGAAATGATGAGTTGGCATCGGCGTCTGTTCAGAATTTGACACGAGTACGAGGAATGCTTCCGCCACCAACCTCCAAGCCAAGCAGATTCCGTAAGATTCTGCTTAATCAGAACGTTCCTTGACTCAGTCAACCTCACTTCCCCTCAAATACTTAATCACCTTGCTGGTACTTGATGTATTCTTCACAGATATTTTCAAGTTCATCTTTACACGACTAGTCCCATGGTGTTTTATCCGAAAGCTCGGCAGCCGCGCCTCAGCATCAACCACCCAACGGTCCGGCCAATTCGACTGGCTGTACTAAAGGCGGCGACCATCAACCTTTTCTTGCTGCAAATTCTGTTCCTTGGTCTTTTTTGCTACCTTTTTGGATCTCTTTTCCAGCAAACTACACATATTCATAATATCAATATTCTCTACGTTGATTATGATGGCGGCGCAATAGGCACGGCAGTCCTTGATGCTTATCAAGAACTCAAAGGCCCAGGCTTTCCAACTTTGATTGCGCGGTCCACTCAAGAATACCCCGAACCAGCTCTCACTGTTGAGGCTGTTTGCAATATCGACTACTGGGCAGCTCTTTACGCCTCGCCCAATGCATCGAATCACTTGCTCAGCGCGCTAGGAGGAGGCTCTGCCGCAGCCTCATACAACTCCAGCGATGTCCTCACAATGGTATGGAATGAAGCGCGTTATCCCACTGTGGTAGACTCTGCTGTTTCTCAAAGCTTGACAACGCTATCTGAAGCTGCACGAGTGGCCTACTTCAAAGAAGGCGGAAAGCAGTTGATACAGACGCTGAACAGCTCGGATCCTGCAGCCATTGCCATCTTTGCCGACCCCTGGAATTTGGACTCGATAGACATTCAAACAACCAAACAGGGATCCCGGCTGATCTACAATACCCTTGTCGTCATCCTAATCCTGATCCAGGAGTTCTTCTACTTGGGACTCATCAATGGTCTCTACCTGCAATTCAACCTCTATACCGCCGTCTCGCCCAATCGGATCGTGGTCGTACGTCAAATTATCTCACTTCTGTACACACTTGCCGGGTCTTTAAGCACAGCAGGTGCTATCTGGGCCTTCCGATTTGGCTGGCATGTAAATGGCAACCAGTTCGCGCTTAACTGGCTGATCTTCTGGCTGTTCGCTCACTTGAACTTCCTCGTGCTCGACGTCTTCACCATCTGGCTTCCGCCTCCATACATTCCAATGGTGTTCATATCCTGGATTGTCCTAAACGTAACCTCTATCCTCTTGCCGTTCGAACTGTCGCCAGGATTCTACAAAGTGGGATATGCGTTACCAGCGCATAGTTTATTCCAGGTCATGATCGATATCTGGTCCGGTGGTTGCAATCCTCAGCTCAACTATGCACTCCCTGTGATGTTCGCTTATGAAGTGGTCAGCCTCGTTCTCAGCTCGATTGGCGTTTATCGACGGGCTCATTTGGCCACCATCAAGCAGGAGGCAGATGAAAAGGCACTGCAGGAACGCATCGCGGCGGCTGTTGCTGAGAAACAGGAGAATCTGCAGCCAAACGAGGAAAGCAGACCGGATGCCCTGGATGGCGAAACACCGGTCAGTGAGCCAGAGCAACGAGCTACCGTGCAACGACGCGCGACTTTCACAAGTATGGAGGATCAGGAGAAGATGTGTGATATCATTCGGCGGGAGTTGTCGCGTCCTGCTGAAAGGGCGGATACCAGTCGCAGCAACAATGGTCCCTCCTTTTACCTACCCTATAAGGAATGATTTTTTGCATGTCGGATTTACAGGGTTCGAAACTCGATTTCAAAGTGATTTGTCTAAGGTTAATCGGATAATTTAATTGAACAATATGTAGAAATCCCCACCCAATCTTTAAAAATTTAGTAATCTTCGCGCCGGTATAGTCTAAGACTCGTGGAAGAAATACTCCGTGAAGGACTCACGACCCACTTCTGGGTTCCGTATTGGGAATATTCATAAGCCGAACAGCTGTAGGGCACGGGCTTAATAGATATGCTTCATTGGTGTGGAGACTATGGGGGTATAAAAATTAGTGCCAATAAGAGTATGCGCAGTCATGTCCATGAACACGTAAGATATGCATAACTAGAGTGTTACTCGAGATGCCGGCATTGAACTGTGTCACCGCTGACTCAAGCTGACGAGACTGTTGCATATTGAGCTAAGCCATTGATCAACTGATGGCTTTTAGTTTTAGAATAGCAGTCAATTGGTTTTTACGGTGTACACCACCGGAACACTATTATCCGTAAGTGTAAAGCGGAATTCCCATCGACCGACTCAGCGACGATGCTGTTCCTATCTGACACACCGAGTTTCTCATGCCGCGTATGGCGATGCATTGACTGTTTGCAGTTGATTCTTTTGAAATCTTCCATGCGGATCTTCCGAATCGGATTGACCTAATCAGGAAAAGCCGACCTGCAGGATCTTGTATCTAGTGAGTTTCATGCTATAGTAATCCATTAAGTCCATGTAGGTCGAGATCCATATAAGTCTTTCTACTCCGTAAGCTCCATATAGCCGTCAAGCCAGGGAAATGGAAAGGTCGGCTAATTTCTGGTGAGACCGGAGCAGGGTCCTCCGATCGGTTCCCGGTGTAGGGAATCAGGGCCAAACGGTTGAGAGTACTCCGTAGTCCGGGTGGGAATTTTCTTTTCCTCATGATTTGCTTGGGTTTTTCATTCTCGCGTATTCTTTTACCAGGTTAATACTATGTTCTTTGCTGAGAACTTTGGCTGTATGATGTAGTTATACCTATTGGCTGAGTCAGCCACTAGTAAAAGCGTCCAAAGCTCCCTCTATACTGGGAAGAATAATGAAAAAGAATCCAAAAGGACGAGTGATGCATTTGCTTAACTTTAGACTATAATAGGACCAGTATACCGCATAGATAATATCCTCCATTACCCGTGCGCCAGTAGGATTGTCCCCCGGCGGTTGTTGTATGCGGCATCGCAACCAAGCCCGGACAGCTGCGGTTGCCCCACCACAGACATCATACCCCACCAACAAATACGTTCCTCTCTTCCCCTTCTTCCCTTTCCCTCCCCCATCCTTTCTTAAGTCATTTTGAAAGAGTATGCCGTGATCCTCCCTTTACAACTTTCTAATTACTGACGATTGTCTCCCAGAATCTGCCATCATGGGTTACACTGATCTGGACGTGTTGGCCATCAACACCATCCGCCTTCTCGCGGTACGCTACTCTTGCGCTAGGTTGATTCAGGGTCTCAATTGGAGAGCGAAGGATCCAATTGAACTTTGAGGCAATTCAACGCATAAAAGTGATTCCTTGAGCAGTCATGCTGATTCTGCACTTCTAGGTCGATGCCGCTGCCAAGGCAAACTCGGGTCACCCCGGTGCCCCTATGGGCATGGCCCCCGTGGCTCACGTCCTGTTCAACAAGTTCATGAACTTCAACCCCCAGAACCCTGATTGGGCTAACCGTGATCGTTTCGTTCTGTCGTATGTGCTACCCGAAGATGTCGTTTCCTTGGGAGCACGTTCCCATACCCCGCGGCAAACTACCCCTCAATCGAGATCGTCAGCTCTCTAACCGTGATGATCGAATAGTAACGGCCACGGCTGCTTGTTGCAGTACTCTTTGTTGCACCTCTTTGGCTACCAGCTCACTCTGGATGACCTGAAGGCCTTCCGTGTAAGCTTTCCAGAATTGCCCACCCAGAAAATGCTCCGTGCTGATTTTCCCTAGCAACTCGACAGCATCACCCCTGGCCACCCCGAGGCCCACGACACCCCTGGTATTGAGGTGACCACTGGTCCCCTCGGTCAGGGTTTCGCTAACGCTGTTGGTCTGGCCATTGCTCAGGCTCACTCCGGTGGTGTCTTCAACAAGCCCGGCTTCGAGCTGTTCAACAACTACACCTACACCTTCTTCGGTGATGGCTGTGCTATGGAGGGTATTGCCAGTGAGGCCGCCTCCATGGCCGGTCACTTGAAGCTCGGCAACCTGATTGCCATCTACGACGACAACCACATTTCCATTGGTAGGATTATCCGGATTTCTCCCAAATAGGATAGAGACTAACGCTTCACTTAGACGGTGACACTAAGTGCGCTTTCACTGAGGACGTTCTGCAGCGCTTCGAGGCCTACGGCTGGCACACCGAGTGGGTCAAGGACGGTGACCACGACCTCGAGGCTATCGAGGCCGCTATCCGCAAGTGTCAGCAGGTTACTGACAAGCCCTCCGTCATCAAGCTGACCACCACCATTGGCTTCGGCTCCAAGCTGGCTGGTACCGGCGGTGTCCACGGCAACCCTCTTAAGGCTGACGATGCTCAGCACGTCAAGAAGCTCTTCGGCTTCGACCCCGAGCAGACCTTCGTTGTTCCCCAGCAGGTTTACGACCTGTACCGCAAGCACTCCGCCGAGGGTGCCGCCAAGGAGCAGGAGTGGAACCAGCTCTTCAAGAAATACGAGCAGGCTTTCCCCACTGAGGCTGCTGACCTGTCCCGCCGTCTTGCTGGCAAGCTTCCCGAGGGCTGGGAGAAGAGCCTCCCCACCTACAAGTCTACCGACCCTGCTGTCGCCTCCCGCAAGCTGTCCGAGGCTGTCCTCGAGGCTGTCCACTCCGTTGTCCCCGAGCTGCTGTCCGGGTCTGCTGATCTGACTGGCTCCAACAACACCCGCTGGAAGAACGCTGTCGACTTCCAGCCTCCTCAGCTTGGCATTGGTGAGTGGTCTGGCCGCTACCTCCGCTACGGTGTCCGTGAGCACGCCATGGCTGCCGTCATGAACGGTCTGGCTGCCTACGGTACCGTCATCCCCGCCGGTGGTACCTTCCTGAACTTTGTCTCTTACGCCGCCGGTGCTGTCCGTCTGTCGGCCCTGTCCCGCGTCCGTGTCATCCATGTCGCTACCCACGACTCCATCGGTCTGGGTGAAGACGGTCCTACTCACCAGCCTATTGAGACTCTGGCTCACTTCCGTGCCATGCCCAACTGCATGGTCTGGCGTCCCGCTGATGGCAACGAGACTAGCGCTGCCTACTACTCGGCTCTGACTGCCAAGCACACCCCCTCCATCCTGGCCCTGACCCGCCAGAACCTGCCCCAGCTCGAGAACTCCACCATCGAGCGTGCCCTCAAGGGTGCCTACGTCGCTGTTGACACCCCCAATGCTGCCGTCACCATCATCTCTACAGGTTCCGAGGTCGGCATCTGTATCGATGCTGCTACTTACCTCAAGGAGAAGCACGGCGTCGCTGCCCGCATTGTCTCCGTTCCTTGCTTTGAGGTCTTCGATGCCCAGGACAAGGCTTACCGCCTGTCTGTCCTGCCTGACGGTATCCCCGTTCTGTCCGTTGAGGCTTGCTCCACCATGGGCTGGGAGCGCTACGCTCACGAGCAGTTCGGTCTCAACCGCTTCGGTGCCTCTGGTCCTTACAAGGAGGTGTACGCCGTAAGTTGTATCCTTGATCCTGTTTTCAGCTCCTTACTTACCATTTGCAGAAATTCGAGTTCACCCCCGAGGGTATCAGCAAGCGCGCTCTTGCCACCATCGACTTCTACAAGGGCCACACTGTGCGCTCTCCCATCAACCGTGCCTTCCAGCAAATCCTGTAAGGAACGACGAATTGCGTCAAAATGTTATGATTGTGTTTTAGTTAAGAGGCGACAGCCATTATATACCAGGTATAAGAATGAAATAGAGCGATGTCTGCCAACCAAGGCTTCCAAAATCTGTAGATGTACGCATGAAACTCAATTGTTCTCAGAACACGCCCGGAAAGTCTCCATTAATACTCATAGGAATTTATTCTGCATCTCAATTACCCCCTTCAGCATCACCTCCTTCTTCTGACGCTCTTCCGGCGTCACAGAAGGCCCATAGGCCTCCTCAGCTTGTCTCACAACAGCCTCCCTCCACTCAGTCTCCGTAGCATCCTCTTTCCCCACCGAGATATCAACCTGTCCCAAGCCCCCCCAAACATCCTTCATAGTCGGCGCCAACTTCTGCAAGAAAGCCGCAATCCCCCCCTCCCCACCCCCAGCATGATAACTTTCAAACACCCCACTCCCCGCCCACCTCGGCCCCAAACTCGCCATAATAAGCGCATCCAAATCTTTCACCGAAACGACCCCTTCCCCAACAAGATAACAAGCTTCCCGCAGAAGTGCAAACGCAAGCCTATTCCCCACAAACCCAGCAATCTCCTTATGAAGCACAATAGGTCTGTAGTATTGCTCCTGCTGCGACGCAGACCCTGACCCTGGCCCTGCCTCTGACCCAGGAACCAAAGATGGACCCGGAACCCCAGCAAAATAACTCTTAACAAACTCTACCCTCTCAGGATTCGTCCCTGGTCCAGGTACTATCTCCACAAGCGGCATCACATGTGGTGGGTTAAACGGATGTGCAACGAGCAACCGCTCCACAACATCGGGAGAACAAAGTGCCCCCTGGGCAGACGCTGCGATGCCTGATGAACTACTCCACAGGTGTGCATCCCGACTGGTGTACCGTGCAACCTCCTTCCAAAGAGCCTGTTTGGAGGCCGTTTGTTCGGGTGATTGTTCCTGGATAATGGTCGCGTTTTGGACGGCTTCTTGGATTGTTTTTGCGATTGTGAGTTGGGTTGTTGAGAGAAGAGCATCGACTATGGTTTCTTTCTCTTTATCTGTTTCGTTTCCGTTCTCGTTGGGGTGAATGAAGGCGGGGAGTGTGCTTCGGACTTGGGATTCGAAGTCGGGACGGGGATCATAGATTGTTACGCGGGTGTCTGGGCGGCGGAGATGGAGGGCTGTCATTGAGAGGCCTATTGTTCCGCCGCCTAGGAGGGCGATGTGGTGTTTGTATATTGGCATCTGGTTGGTTTGGTAGTATTTGATGAGGTTGAGGTTGATGTGTGTTACTGGTGTGGAGAGCTGGGGTTGGTTTGTTTATTGCGGGGTCGGGAAGGTGGGCCGAGGTATGTCCCATTTATTTAATTGTTAACTACGTCCACGGTTTACTCAGAATATAATATTGGGCGGAAATGATGTTTTGGATTAAAAACCTGGTCTTCATCCTCATGCAATATGAGAAATTGCTTCACATCGCCCCCGGATTACCGGTGTACCGTCTAACCCGATCAGGAACATACTCATGGCTTCAAACCACGCACCCAGATAGTTTAAACTATACAGATAGCTAGAACTATACCTAAGTGCAATAAGCTCGATCATTTCTTTATACAGGTTAGGCATACCTATTACGATGTATCATTTAAGAAGTTGGAATACTGAAGTCGTAGACGCGCCTCAATTTCCAAGTATGTTAAATAGTGCGAAAGCTCGGCAATTACTAATCGGTCCTAGCGTATGGTGGACCATACTAAGAAAGTTATCAGCTAACTAATCTACAATACGGGTGGGTTTTGTGGATATTGGATGATTAAATTTATGGATATCAGAGTGCCATTCAATACGAGTTATCGAGGGCGGTGAGCCTAAATCATGTGATTTTGGGGTATGGCCCACTGATACGTATATCTGTAGTCCACATACCCAGCGCTTCCGATGATCCTTAACCATCCAAGTACCTTAAACTCCGAATTATCCGTGACTCAGTCCATACTTTTTATTATCTCACACAAAATAAGGAGTGCACCATCTACATATTGATGCTCCAGCCATGCCTCGGCAGAGTCGAGGCTTGAAAACAAGAAATGGATGCGCTCAATGTAAAGCGCGCCGTGTGAAGGTATGCTTGAATCGGGATTTTGTGGCTTAGTTGGTTCTCAATCCGAAGCAATATGTTTCAACTACATTGTCCTCTTTAAATTCTTCGACATGTTCCCAAACAAACGAGATGCAGAATGTTGCTGATCGAATTAGTGTGATGAAAAAAAGCCAAGCTGTGTTAATTGCAAGAGGCTCAACCGAGAGTGCAGTTTCCAACTCATTGAACCATTCCTCTCAATATCGCGTGCAAGTCTACAGCCGAATCTATTTAACTCATCTTCACATGCACAAGCGCAGTCAAAATCACCCTCAAAAGATCGAGATGACCGGCCACTGCGACCGTGCGAAACAACCTTTATGCTAGAGGACATGCGCTTGCTACACCACTTCGCTACCCACACTGCCGCAACATTATCAGATCATCCAGAAGCTCAGATTATATGGAGGACTAGCGTGGTTGAATGCTCTTTCCGACATCCATTTCTGCTTCAGGGTATCCTAGCAGTCGCTGCACTACACACCGCAACTAGCAACCCCCAAGAAGAAGATAGGCTATCCATGATGGCTGCAAGTAAACAGAACACCGCTTTAAAAGAATTTCGCACACAATTGCAACAAATTACACCGAAAAATTGCGATGCTTTATTCGCATTCTCTTTCCTCGCTGGATACTATGTTCCAGCTTCCGCGGGCACCGTCATCAATCCGTCAGCCAGTTTTTTGAAGGAAGACCTTTTCAATGCAATGGTATATTGGCTACGACTCTGTCGTGGTACCAGCAGTATTTACCAGTATGCGAAGGAGTGGATCAAACAGGGGCCTCTTGCTAATCTCTTTTGGACGAACCAGTACTCTGATAAGGATCGATCCAGCGAGGTGCGCGATGACTATTCCCTTCATACGCCATACGAGCAGCGCCTGAGTGATTTGGAGACCATGTGCAACCAATTATCAGGCCGAGAAGAGGTTGCTAGTGAGACGGTCGTTGAGGAGAGGGAACTCAACACTCATGCTCTCAAAATATTCCTGAGGCTCTTCTGTTGTTTGAATACGCTGGCCTCTAAGAAGCCGAGATCTACGTTCCCTGATGCCGATATGCCTAGCAAGCCTAATTCTGTCAACAGCACGGGAAAAAGTCCATCTGACTTGACTTTGTCGTTGGCTTGGCTGTTTGAGATTCCATTAGGATTCATTGATTTACTGGAACAACAACGGCCTGTCTCCTTGGTGATATTTGCTCATTTTGCGATTTTGCTGCTTCATGCACCGCAGTTCTGGTGGAATGAGCCGATTGCGAGGAAAATCGTGAAAACGGTAAACGACTCTCTGGCTCCCCGATACCATCGGCTAATCCAATGGCCTATCCATGAAGTCCTTCAGCGATCTCACTAAGTGGGTTCTGCTCAAGTGGACTATTGGAAAATCAGATTCATCGCGACGTTCAGTCGGAAGCAGTGATGCCTCCGGTGAATGTTCTTAAAAAGCTTAGCCCAGCAAAAGACGTGCCATAAATGAATATAAATACCAAATACCAAACTTTTTTTTTTTTTTGCATTGTTTTGCTCTATAGTAATCGCCGCACAGGATAAGGTTGTTAAAGATTGCTTAAATCTAATTCTAGTGAGAAGCAAATTTGCTGACAAAAATATCTACCAAAAACGTTGAAAGGGGGAGAAGGAGACTTCGAGAGATTTGATCTTTAGAAACCTCGTGACAATTTTGTAGCCCATAGATAATCATGTTTTATGAATTACATCCAAGCTGAGATTTGGCTTATAGAACGTTGCGACAGAGGACAAGAAAATAATGCATTCTAAAAATTCGAGTCTAAATACATCCTTCCATGCTGGAGTAAGGGGTCAGATGCTCCCCTCAGTTTGCTCCAACCCTTGCTTGTCTATATAATTCACTGTGGACGTAGATCATTTGACCATTGCTCTACAGAGAGACAGGGGCCTCAGAGTCGTGGAACTTGCCGAGCTTGAGCAGCTTCTTAGCGTTGTCGCGACCAATGCGGCGGTAGTTGTCAACACCACCGACAGCCTCAGCAATGGCCTTGGCATCATTGTCCCACCAGCCACAGGCATCCTCGATAGTCTCGTAGGGGTAGTCGACACTGAAGAGGAGACGGTCGGCACCGATCTCACTGACAACGTACTTCAGGGTAGCAGTGGAGAAGTGACCACTAGTGGTGATCCAGATGTTGTTCTTGAAGTAGTCGTAGATAGTCTTCTTGCACATAACACCGTTCTCTTCCTTAGAAATAGGCTTCTTAACATCCTCGAACCAGTGGTTGATACGCCAGAAGTCGTAAGGAATGTGTTCACCCTGGTGACCAATAATGACCTTGGCCTTAGGGAAACGGTCGAAGACACCGTTGCTGATCAATCCCAGGATGTGAAGGGACACGTCGTTGGCGAAGGAGAGAGGGGGTCCAAGAAGGTAAGGACGCTGGGCGTAGAGCTTCTCGTAGATCACGCCGGTAGGAGCAGCAGGGTGAATGTAGAGAGGGACATCCAACTCGCAAAGGACCTTCCAGAAGGGATCGTACTCGGGCTGATCGTAGAACAGGTAGGTCTCGCCATCCGGGCCAGCGTGCTGGAAGTTGCAGAGAAGGGCGCCGTGGAAGCCGAGCTCCTTAACACAGCGGCGGAGTTCTTGACCGGCCTGGACAGGGTCGTGCATGGAGAGACAGGCGAAGGCACCCATACGGTCACGCTTTTCCTTGATCTGACCGGCAACCCAGTTGTTGGTCTCAGTAGCGATGCGCTCAGCCTCAGCCGGGTCGGCAATGCCCTGAATACCAGGGACGGTCAGAGACACGACGGTGTAACCGATGCCGTGGGCGTTGGAAAGGGTGACACGCTCGCCGTTAATGTCACTGATCTGGCGCATGTAGCGCTCACGGTCGGTAGGAGCAATGTAGAGCTTAGCCTCACGGATGGACTTCTCCTCCAAGCCGGTGCGCTCGTAGGCCTCCTCAAGTGCGATTTTTCCGAGCATATTGAATGGGAGATGGTGGTTGTCTTGTTTGAAGAAGATGTGAAGACTGAAGTATTGTGTTGATGAGAAGAATAATCAACGGGGGATTTTCTGGCTTGTTATATAGCGTTTCTTGAGGCAATATGAGTCGGAAGTCGCGGCATCCTGGAACAAGGCATGACGATAACTATTCCATTCGCTATGTGCATCATATGACAGCATGACCGGGCTGAAAGATGCCGACTCACCTCAGAGGACACGAATCTGGAAAACGTGCATAGGCTATATTGGATAAAGCTTGATAGTTCCAGGCTTCGATGTAGATCTGTATAAGGGTACACTTGATTGACCAATCGCATGACGAGCAACGCGAGAAGAAGGTCGGGAGTTGAAGTATGATCTTCTGTCGGAAAGTCTAAATGATCGGAAGAGGCGGCCCCACTTGCGGATATCACACATCAATCAGAAGAGGGTCGCACCGAGAGCTTTATCATTGGCTAGTAATATTGAAAGTACCGGTAGATCATCTTGATTCTAGCATACCTACGGAGTACAGCCTAACGCAAAGGAAATCTCGGCACAATCTCTATCAACAAGGATGGCAGCCCCTTCGCCGTAATTTTGTGATGTGCCTGCATAAAAAATGAACAAGGACGGATATTCGGCTCTTTCATTCAATGTCAGGTAGTTAGGTCATAATAAATACTACTAAATGAAGAACTTTACCTAGTAGATGATTGGAAGCTTCTAAGAACGTTCTTTTCAAACATACTCAAAAACTTCCTCTCCGTAGAGGAAGACAGAGCGACAAAATGCAAGCCTACTTTCAGCATCGTCGCATCAAACTGGCTGTCGAACAGCAGTATCAGCTGAGCAATCATTTGAAATCAGTTCATTCCGACTCTACCATCGCTATCGACCCTGAACCAACCCTAGATGCAACAGAAGAACCTAGCCACAATCCACTACAAAGATTGCAGGCTGTTTCAATACCGGAGGTTTCAATTCATGTCAATGCCTCGACAGTTTTGAAAGAGGCAGCTCAATTTCCTGGAGTTTCCATTCAACAGCATGGTACAACGCCCAGTGGAGATCCTGAATATGTTTTTCTTGTGGAGTGGGCCAACGAGGATGGCAAACTCAATCCTCGCAACTTCACTACCGGGAAACGAGTCGGTGTCACGTTGGTCGTGTCTGCCTTGTCATTTGTTGTGGGTATTGCGTCGTCAATTGACACCGCTGTTTTACCTCAGGCAAGTCAGGACTTGCATGTCAGTGAAGTGGTGGAGTCAATTGCCACTGGTAAGATTTTTTTACACCTCTCTTTCCTATAACCATGTGTGTGTGTTTAATATCCATTTTACTGACCATCTCAAATTTCAGGCATTTATCTACTTGGATTTTCATTTGGCTCGCTATTCTCGGGCCCTCTCTCTGAAGTATTTGGGCGCAATGTAGTCTATATTGGCTCTCTAGGTCTCTTCTCAATCTTCATCATGGCGTCTGCGCTAGCGCCGAATATCGGCGCCCAACTCGCTTTCCGATGCTTAGCGGGCATTTTTGGCTGCCCCCCGCTCACTTGCTGTGGGGGTACTATTGCTGATGTGTGGAATCCATTGGAAAAAACATTTAGCTTTCCACTCTACTCCCTAGGAGCATTCGGGGGCCCCATTCTCGGACCAATAATTGCCTCATATATTGGACAGAGTTCATTATCATGGAGGTGGGCCGAGTGGCTCACTTTGATCATGGCTGGACTTGTCATGATGACTGTGCTTTCATGGATGCCAGAAACCTATTCGCCACTTCTCTTGACATGGAAAGCTCGCCATATGCGGGAGATAACGAGTGACCCACGGTATCGGTCAATCCTGGAAGTTGAGGATACTAGTCTCTTTACTCGGATGTTCATCAGTTTCCGACGCCAACGCCAGCTGATAACAAAAGAGCCTGTCGTTCTACTGATTGCCCTATATCTTTCGATTGTGTGGATCGTGCTATTCACATTCTTTGATGGCTATACCTATATTTTCACTGATATCTACCATATCTCTCAGGGACTGACCAATATTATATGGATTGCCATGTATATAGGAATCATTCTGGGAGAGTTTTTGGTGCCTTTCCTGTACCGCTCTCTACAGAAGTCTTTGCTAGCGACTCAAGACACTGAAAAGGGTACAAGCATGAAGATTCACCCTGAAGTCCGCTTGTGGTATGCCATGCTGTGCGCTCCTGCTATACCCGTAAGCCTCTTTTGGATGGGGTGGACGAACTATGTGAGTCTAATAGACCTCTTTTTCCTCGATATTGGAATGGGCAAAACTAACTATTTGATCTTCCTAAAACCGCAAGGCCTCTATTAGCATATGGAGCCCTATTATTGCAACTACATTATTTGGTTACGGCATCCTCGGCATCTTCATCAGCTCGTGCATGTATGTCATTGATTCATACGACATTCTGTCTGCATCGGCTCTCGGATTCATGACCTTCTCGCGTTACTTCACGGCAGGGGTAATGACTATCGTCGGTCTTCCCTTTTACGAAAATATGGGTACGCACTGGACCTTGACGATCCTGGCCTGTATAAGTCTCTTGGTAACACCGTTGCCGTACGTCCTCTATCACTTCGGTCCAGCAATCCGTCGCAGGAGTCACTATGCATTGAAGGACTAGGGTTACTCCAAGGCCGCATTTCTCATTTGCTCTGGTGTCATTTTTCCCATCACCATGACTGTTTTTTTTTTGTGAAAAAGTGTTTTACAATATGACAGCTAGTGATTACCAGTTCAGATTTATGTCAACTTTCTATAATGCCACTATTCCTGTTTCTCTCACTGAGAAGATCAATTTGATCTCTGCGCGCTCTCACTACCAGTCTTCCATGTAAGAGCCAGCCCCAATTTTGACATCATATTTATTTGACAGCCGGATAGGCCTCGAGTGCAAATATCAACAAGAGATGCGTCCGATTAATTTCAGCTCAACTACGGGATACCATATCCAGCTTTCTTAGTGTTTGACATCATCTAAGAGTCAGAGCGTACTTGGCTGCATGGTGCATCGGAAGCTTAGTCAGCTTGCATCGGAAGCAATCGCACAGATTCCAGCCAGCGCTCGGCATCAGCCAACTTGTATGGCCAATAACAAAAAGAAAAGGGTATGAAAGCGTCATAGAGCCATTAAAATAGATCAGGCCACATTCAGGGTTTACAACTATGTAGGAAGAAGGGGGAACAAGCTGTCTGCACTTTTCCTACCAGATTCCTTTCAAGCTTTAACTACCGTCAGTTAGTACAGACCGCAGAAATAATATCCGTACAAACCGCTCCACTCCAAAAAAATATGTCTGCTTTACAGTACACATACATCTTTCCAATTAATAGTCTATGTAAAAGCCCCTATTTTTACGTACAGCAGCCTTCCATTTACCCAATCGATATAATTAAGCTATTGAATTTTGATTGATCAATAGTTTTCCAAGCAGAGATCAGACACGCCCGGAAGTAGGTCCAAACCTCTCTAGTTTACCCGCATTGATTAAATTTTGGGTACAAAGCATAAAGATTACGCTTTAGTATACCTCAGACGGGCTCAATTGAATTCACATCAGGAGAGTGCGCGGGCCAGTCTTTCATCCATGTACTATACCTTTCGAACCATGCTTGCGTCAGCTTCGCCTTATTAATTCTGGTATTGTCGTGCTGAAACATTGTTCTAGACTTGTAGTTTGGAAGAAGACCAATTTAAGCGTAGAAACATACGATCGCGCTGAGAAACCCCTTCTTAGTGATTCCTTATCCCGCTCAATGAAAATCAGCTCCGATCGCCCTCTAAGCTGTACAGCTGCCTAAAACATCAATGAAACATCCTTTATATGAATTTTAAGGTTTAAATTTTTTTGTAGGCTTTCCAGGGGGTCGGGAGACTTGACATAGTCGAGAATTGGAATATTGAAGTTCGTTGAAAGAGCATTCATCAGAAAAAAGTTCCAATTCTCAACCCCAGAATTAACACCACTCGTCCACTATTTTATTGTAAATTTCAATCAAATTCGAGTAAGAGTCTTGAAGACAGGGATTTCCCCTTTTGCTAGATGTTTTGGGGGTTTTGTCGCTTCAAAATCACCCGGAGTGTTGCACGGATTATATTTCCGGGCACGGCAGTACAAAGCTGCCTATAATTAATTATACTAAGAGTTTCTGCGGTTAAGGATTCGGACATAAAGCTTATGTGGATGGCTAAGCTTTCGAGGACGAGCGGTTCGAGGTAATGATTGAGTAGTGTGGTGTTGCTGGAAACGATAAAGGGTGTCGTAAATCGTCTTCCGCAGTTGAAATTCTTCAGTAATATTGGATACCGGTATTTATACCGGACTTGCGCTTAGTGATAATAGCTGACCTTCAATCTGTGGAAAGCTTTACTTTCAAATTTTGATTTCCACTAGTTTCCGTGCCTAAAAACCTTATGGTGATTATAAGACAGAAAAATCAAAAATAAGGTCATTTGGGGGGGATGATGGAAGTTTGGGGGGCATGTACGGATATTTTCGACAGTATTACAGTATCCAATAGATGATATATGAATATATACATAGTATTTACCACATATAGTTAGTATACATATGCTATGGACTTTTCTAGGTTCCTCTTCGTCTCAGTAACATTCATTATCTGAATGAGCGTATATATTGGATGTACGACGGATTCCAATTGAGTAGTATATTATTAGGAAGTCTATGTTTATGCACTTTTACATAAGGATGTTGACGCTACAAACGTATTCAATGTTCACGGGTTACTTACATTAATATATATCGGTCTAAATGCACATGTGCACATATGAGAAGAGTTACAGTAAGACCTAAACAAATACATACCTAGGTAAACATTAACCTATTGAAATTTTGAATGCAGCGAAGGTTGGATCAGCATACTCCATCTCAAATTTCATCTGCAGTTTCTCGCTCTCCTATTCATTCACAGTCCATCTTAAGTATTTTCCGTTTCGAAGTTCACGCAGAAAGTGATTCCCTCTCCAGGAGTCGGAGGTAATCCTCCAACAAAGAAAACGAATTATTGCCAGGCAGCGTCACATCTGAAATAGGCGACGGTTCATCAGAAAACGGAGACTGTTCAGCTGGGATGTTAAAGCCAAGAGGGCATTTATCAGACATTCCATTGGTGGCCAGAGCATCGTATGATAGAGTTGTTTTGCCATCTGACACGCTGAAAAGAGCATCCCAGAAATCGTGACTTGAGAGAGGCAGGCCATCAGATGCAGCAAGTGACGGCTGTGTTGTGAGATATGGAGACCGAGTATCTGTTGTGCTGGTGACTTTAGCTCCTGATTGGTCGAGAAAAGCTACGGGTGCAGCTTGATCTCTTTGTTGTTGTTGATCTTGGATATTAAAGCGTCGGGTATGACTATCACGCTCATGCTGACCAGGTGTCAAGAAAAAATATTCTCCTTTACCACCTACATGGCCAAAGGTTTGATCGACCTGTCCACTGCTTTCCTCTATCCATTGGTGATTCCGGCGTTTCACATATTTCAGCACGGCAGCACGAAGATATTTTATTATTTGGAGAAGGCGACATGCATGAGGATCGTGCGGAACGAATAGGTCCAAAAAAACTTCCGCTTTGTTCATGCCATCTTTGAGTGGTAGTAATTTGTCGTAATCAGCGAAGTATGCAGCACCGAGAACGATGGCGGAGTTGAAGACAGAGTTGATGAGGAATGGTAAGCGTCGTGGAAGGGAGGGGAAATGGCATAATCCGGCAATCACATCGAGGGTTCGCAGCGCAGAGCAGACACACGCGTCGGCAAAAAGGTCGATCCGAGCGCTGTCATCGTACGATCCAGAAGAGGAAGCCGAGTCGGTTTTGTTCCTCTTGTGATGAGATAGGCGGTAAACGAGAAAAGGCCGGGTCAGAAGAATGATCGACCAGTAATATGATCCGAGTAAGTGGCTAGCAGCAAGGCTACCCTCTAGGGTCTTGCCGTCTGATCTCTCTGTATGTATCCTGAGCTCTATAGGCAGAGCACTAGCCCAGGCTCGATGCTGGTCAGATATTCTTTCGGCATGGCCGACTGATATAGTTTGCTTCGTATAAACCCCTGTCAAAATCTGTTCGAAGATCTGACACAAAGAAGTCACCGCAGCAGATGGTATCTGGTCTGATATTATGTTCTTATCATCGCTTGACGTAGCTGGAAGTTGCCCTAGGGAAGCACTAAGGAATAAATCCATCATGCGGAGACTTCTCCAAACTCGCTCCCTGATGAGTCGCTCTTGTTTATTGAAAAAAGTATTAGTTTCTTTGCGGTGAATCCCCACGGCGTATGCTGCGCGTACAGCGATCCCAAGATTGACGAATGCACCATTGCGTCTGCACGCACCAAGCATGTACACGGAAATCAAGATATAAGATTGGACGGTATGGATGCTAGGCGTTTCGTGCAGGGTTGAAAAGGCCAATTGATAGCCGCTGCCAAAGTATTGTTCTGCCAAAGTCTGGTCGACATTGGAAACTTGTGTGCCAATGGCGATAATTAGGTAGAATATGGCGCTGACACCAGCTTCATGGCTAGACGGATTAGACACCCAAGTAGCCAATCGTAGGTAGAAATCTTCCAGGTTGAAGAGATCCAATAAAGGATTGGTCACTAGTATGAACTGATGAACTAGCTCCCGAGCTTTATCTTGACTCGGTGGCGCGGTGAGGGGTCCGTGCTGAATGTGCGTATTTTTCTGCAAAGCCTCGAGAATAAAGTGTCGTGAATGATCCTCGGTAAACTGACATGGACCGGCAGATGATGCTATGATACGACGCACAATCTGTAGAAAAGACAGACCGGCAGAGTCACCAATACACACAAACCTCCCTTCTCCATCACGAAGAAGCCTCGCCGCTTTAGGCACCGGAACTGTTACATTCTCCTCGTTTTGAACTTGCTGTTCTGAGTCCATTCCAATGCTCCCAGGGGAGCATATCAAATGATTCGCGGCATTTTGCATACATGGAGCTTCCGGTTCACTAGAAATAATCGGTGTGTCTTTAGGATAGGACTTCAGTAGACGAGCAGACCGGCGTGAAAATCGACAACCCGCCTCTCTATGTTGTTGAACACAGCTTTTGCATGGACTTTCTCCATTGCATTTCTTTTTGCGCAGTTTGCAGCTATCGCAAGCTCGTCGAGATCGACGTCGCGGTTCAGAAGTGATCAATGCTCGAAGCATACTGATGGCTGCTCTAAGAAGAGATATTATATTAGTGTGTTTTTCGGGAGTCATCGTCGGATAGGGTGATATTTCGGTGGAGTTCAAGTCATTGCACTGACCGTGTGGCTGTGTCTGTCAGGGCAAAGAATGCGCTACGACATAGGTAGCCCAGTAGTAAGAATAAATGAGGCAAAGCTTTGTATTCGGAGAGGGATGGTGAAAGAAAGAAGCGAGAGCACTTGAGAGATGAAAAGAGTTATCTAGACTAGTAAGCACTAGAGCGAACAATTGAGGGTGTCACCTGACCCCATATACCGATAGCTGTATTGAATGGACTCAGCGATGAAGGTTGCACTCTAAAGTTAACTCTGATCGTTGCACTCTGAATACAATATAACGAACTTGCGCTAGACTATCATTGCCCATAAATTCCTATCTATGGATCCCGGACTGATATATTCTAGGGACCCGGTTTAAGCCTAGAACTTGTTAAGGTCAACAGGAGTGGGTCTTGGAAAGGTAGTCGGAAGACTAGAGAGAGATCGGAAGCGCTGAAGTTCAATCAGGCAGGGACACGGAAGTGGCGAGATGATTTACGGAAGAGCGGAAGTGGGCATCCCCACCACCACAACTCCCATGACCTCAGTCACCTCGCGGCTTCGGCAAGACAGGGTAAAATGATAAAGCTTGAATCTGTTTAAATTATCCGATACTTGCCTTTTGTGAATGTGGTGACCTTCGCTTAATTTCTTGCTTCAACGCTTTCATATGCAACTCATTAATGATCATGCGCATTCATGGCAGATCATGAGGATTTCTCAATTGATCCTCAATCTCCAGCTAACCTTCCGATTGAATAGCGGGAAAACCAGTCAGCAGGTAGTATTCCCCACTTAACATGTAGATCTATTGTGTCAAATTCATTGGTCTTAGATCTGGCTTCGTCATTCTAACTAGTAAATTTAGATCGGCTAAATACATAGAAAAATACAGAATCTTGTATTTTTGACTCTCGTAGGACTATTGAAACGCCAGATCCATTACTGTACACCGACTTACGTCTTTTTATGGCAATAGTATGTTCCAGTTGTCTTTTCCATCCCACTTCATGTCTGCATTTACCATTCTATATATCATTAGAACATCCAATGTATAGTTTATGCATCCAAGTTTCTCGTCAATTCACTGATTTGATACCAGATGATATCCCAGCCTCCACACAAGCATGCACGACCTTTGTATAAGATTGTGGGCCATGGAATGTTACGGACTATTATCTTCGGAACTTTTGTCTTGGCCATGTGCTCCTTTCTTAAGCATGATACGAACATCTCCAATACAAAGATTCTATACGTCGACTACGATCGAGGGTCCATAGGAACGTCCATCCGAAATGCCTACGCACAACTACAAGGAAACGACTTCCCAAGCATAGTCGAGCGACCTGCTTCGGAATTCTTGGACACGCCAGATCTGGAGGTAGCAATTTGCCGCAGATTTTATCACGCAGCAATTTTCACTTCACTTGGAGCCTCTGACAGGCTGGACAGTGCATTGATGGCCAGCTCAGATCCTACGACATTCAATCAATCTGATATCCTGATTTACGTCTGGAACAAGCATCTATATCCTGGGATCTTAGACTCTATCATTGAAGAGTCAATCCAAACTCTGAATAGAGCCACTCGTGCCGCTTTTTTCCGGGATCTTGATCCTGGAAATTGGGCGATGATATCACGGAATCCAACAACTATACCAATTGTTACAAATCCGTGGGTTTTCACACCTAAAAACGGCTACTACAACTCAGAACACTCTTTCACAGTTGGTGCTATAATTCTTGTTTTCGTCATTCTTGTTCAAGGATCAATTATTCTGGAGGCGGCTCATACCACCTTTACCAGATTGGCTTTGCGTCGAAGCACTACTCCATTATTACCTATTGGCCTTCCGATACTCATCTCCGCAGTGTGGACGCTGTTTGGTTCACTATTCACAATCAGTGTATTCTTCGCATTCTGCCCAAACTGGTCTATTGACTGGTATCAGTTCCTACAATTCTGGGTTGTTCTTTGGATTTTCTCGCACGTCAACTTTATGGTCTGCGATGCCCTTCCGTTGTTTTTCCCTTACTCCGGCAAATCCAGAATATGGACAGTCTGGATGTTGCTGAATATTGCATCTGCTTCGCTTTTATTGGATTTCCCCAGCTCATTCTCCAATTTAGCGAAGGGAATACCGGCTTACCAGGCGAGCAAAGTCCTGATTGATATCTGGGCCCCGGCTTGCGAGTTCCAGAGCTTTGTTGAAATTTCGTTTCTTTTCTCTATCGAAGTACTATGCTTGATGTTTCACATTTTTCGAAGCACCAAGAGCCGCAAAGTCTTGTGACTAACATCGGTTACGTTTCTGGCCATGCCGGTTGACATGGGAGGCAAAGGTGGCGTTTACTTCAGAGAACGGAATTCGAGGCTGTCCCTTTTGGAGTTATGGTAAAAAATACCTAAACAACCAAATTTTGCGGTATTGAATATTATTTGTGGTGCCGAGATATCCATTGAGTTATAGTCGATACTTCATTGGAAAGTCTATTATCAGTGACCCAATCAACGAGTCCTCGGTACGTCCACTTATTAATTGGAAGGAAGGATATATGTGGGGCTCCAAGTCGTTTTCCGAATGGTTCAATTCCCCACGGGGATCTCCACATAGAGATGCCACGTATCCGATACATAATAATTGTCATCCGATAGAGTTCGTTGTGCATGTGGCATATCCGAATCTACCCCAAACATTTGACTCGTGTTATGGAAGTGAGATAAGTTAATTTCTTTGCTTTAAAAAGAGTACCCCCCCTCGTCTCTCAGAATTCCGACACTTTTGTCTCTTCTACACCAAGTTGAACCCAAGTACCCGATCCAATGGCTCCGTCTAAGAAGAACTTCCATGTTGCCATTGTAGGTGGTGGTATTGCCGGTGTGACGCTCGCCGTCGCCCTTCACGAGCGCAATATCCCAGTGACAATCTACGAGCAAGCAGCTGCCTTCAGTGAGGTGGGCGCCGGTGTGTCCTTCGGACCTAATGCCGTCGCAGCAATGAAGGTTTGTCACGACGGCATCCACAAGGCGTTCGAGAAGGTTTGCACGCGGAATATGTGGCCGTCGAAGCAGAAGGTCTGGTTCGACTATCTTGATGGATATAGCAAAGGCACCTCGGCCACGGCACAGAATCTTGGCGGCCAGGACATTGCCTTCTCCATTTTGAACAGCACTGGTCAAACCGGAGTCCACCGCGCACATTTTCTCGACGAACTCATCCGGTTGGTTCCTAGTGAGATTGCGCGTTTCAACAAGCGACTGAATGACATCACCGAGCGCGATGATGGAAAGTTCATTTTGAAATTCGCGGATGGCAGCGAAGACATCACCGACTTGGTTATTGGTTGTGATGGAATCAAGTCCCGCGTTCGACAGCTTATTGTGGGTGAAAACCACCCATCTGCGAACCCCAGCTATACGTACAAATATGCCTACCGTGGTCTTGTGCCCATGGATAAGGCAATCGAAGCAATTGGGGAAGAATTGGCTTGTAATTCTTGCATGCACGTAAGTCGCACTGGAGAACTTTACTGCGAGAGGCTTGACTAAGAACGATAACAGATGGGTCCCGGTGGTCACATGTTGACATTTCCCGTAAACCAGGGCAAGACGCTTAACATTGTTGCCTTCCACACGACTACAGACGAATGGGCAGATTATCCCAGATTGACCCGACAAGGAACGCAGGAGGAGGCTCTCCGCGATTTTGCAGGATTTGGACCTAACGTGACCAATCTGTTGAAACTAACTGATGAAAATCTCAGTGTGGTAAGTCTCAGTCTATCTGCACCAACTTTCCTCCATATGTCGTGCAATGCTGATCATTTGCTAGTGGGCAATCTTTGACCTGGGAGAAAATCCACTCTCCACATTCTATAAAGGGCGCATTTGTTTGTCCGGTGATGCGGCACACGCCACATCGCCGCACCACGGCGCGGGCGCCGGCTTCTGCCTTGAGGATACAGCAGTCTTGGCTGCACTGCTGGATGACGACCGGGTGAATACACACGAGGACCTCGAGGCTGCCCTCGCTACTTTCGATTTCTGTCGCCGAGAGCGAACGCAGTGGCTGGTGCAGAGCAGCAGGTTCGTCGGAGACTGCTATGAATGGCGGGCTCCAGGAGTGGAACGTGACTTCAAGAAGATTGAGGAGGCGATCAACTACCGGAATGGCATCATTGCCAATGTGGACATTGATATTATGTGTGAAAACGCCCGAAAGCATCTGGATCAGAGACTTCGTAGACCTGCGAGTTCCCTTTGATCCTATTTGTGTAATGAATGATCAAAGCATTTGTACATATACCATACTATGAATACCGTTATTCATGTGAGCAAGTGGATACTGCTGTAGGCCAGAGCAAGAAAGGCTATGGCATTCGTAGCTGGGGAACAAAAGAAAGGAGCAATATCTGTATCCCCAAAGGGACGGAGCAAGAAGACAGAGAGAAAAATGCTATTTACCGAAAGACCAGCAATCTTCGAAGCGCTGTAGCAAACGAAGAGGGTCACTTGACCACAATCTATTCAACCGAGGCCGTAGCCTTCAGCACCAGAACTACTTTGATCTCAAAAGTTATTTGATTCTGAGGAAAGGAATTTCTATTGACATATTAAATCGGTTCTCTACCACTTTGACAACCTTCAAGTGATTCAAAGAGGTTTGGACCATTGCGCCCTTGCCTCAGCTGTTGAAGCCATAGGCTCCAGGCTTCCAGTATGCAGCTTGCCTGTTTGCTGCTTGTTGTTGTCGTTCAAATCGGGATTAGCTTCGTGTAACTACAGCTTCAAAGAAGCGACCCTCGCTCTCATCATACCTTTTCTCTTCTCATTTCCTCCAGTCGGAGTATTATCACCTCTCTGATCTTCGTCTACGTGTTATGTTTCTCATCTCAGTGCTTCATATGATTCTTCACCAACAGCCCTGTTGGCAATCCTGCACACGATTTATTCGGTGGCCTCAACTTTTACAAATATTTCACTATCAACATCCACACCAGCTTCGATCGCCATAACTGAGCACTTCACACGCTCTATCGATCCACGCAGTAGCACCATACAGGTATTACAATGCAACCTTACATCACTATAAATCTCTATCTGTGGCATGGTCCACATGGTGTTCTGCGCATAAATAGCTTTCCCGTGGATACCCAGCAGCTGCCCCCCGATACTATGATAAATGATTTAGATCGTTTATCGAACACCTTCTATCTCCTAGCCCCCTGCTGTTCGGTATGAGCCAGAACCAGATGATATCATCTATTTCGCCGACGATGTCAGGAAGATTGAGGATGGTAGATCGCTTTCAGTGTGTCTTGGGTATGACGACTACGCCGCGGCCCGCACGGTGCACGAATTATGCGCCATATTTGATCTTGGTCAGAAGGGACCTACATATCGCCTACATGTGGTGATTGAACGTCACGCGCCGCCTGCAAGAAGAAGGTAGAGCACGTGCAGCCAGGGAGCACCGCAATCGAAACTACTTAGGATCTTGTACGGACGGGACCGGCGAGGTTACCAATGGAAGAGGATGGATGGCCTCTGGTAGTTGATGCTGTCAAAGTGCAAGTTGGTGTCGAAGATAACGAATATCTGGTTAGGAATGTTGGAAACGCAAGTCCTACATATGCAGGTAGTTGTGATGCCTTGGAGAGCTTTGCTAATGGCGTTTTATAGCTGCTCTTGAAAATGAGGTGTTTGGTTGTTGATTTGAAGTCACGGCTCGGACTTTACGATTAAGTCGTCAAAAAATAGGAACACTGAATGAGAGATCACACGTGAATTTTGTACTGTCTATGGATATCAAAATTCAAAATTGAATGAGTACCAGGATCCGAATGGAATTGATCGGGTTTGACATACATTTATATGCATCACAAAAACAGTCGCGGGAGGAATATTGGCTGCCTCTGCATTCAAAGGAGATGTATTCCGATTGCCGACCTCGAGTTTGGAAGACATGCATATGGGATGGGGAACGTCGGAGTTTTGACTACATGGAATATTTCAGGTTATGTATTTATCCAAGGTCAGAACCCTTCAAATGTTGTGAAAGAACTTCAAACTTACGATTGATTGAATCAAAGGTTGGAGAAACTATGAGTAACTAAGGAACCACCGGCCTAATTTTCCGACGTACTTCCGATCAGCTACGCCTGTGGAAATCTTCGGGCAGCCCGAGAGTTAATAAAATCCCCAAGTTCTGGTACAATTACCCGATAAGGAAAGGTTCTTCCCGATCCAATTACGATAACTGGTAATGGTTCCAAGGTTGATTGCGACCGAGAAACTGGCCAGGGTCAACCCCCGGACGAACCAAGAGAATAATAACTTTCATCTTGCGGGACATGGAAGAAATGGCATCCGCCCGATTCGTAGGGCACAAATGCATGAAATCTGTGGCTTCACACCCGTCTAGACCATTCTCCAGTATGACGAGGCCCTTGTGGATAATGATAATTGGAGGTGGCGATTGCATTATTGCCCGCGAATCAGATCCACTGGACTAGTACGCGTACAATGTGACAGTTTCAGGCTTACTCTTATCTGGAGATTATAGACTCTGATATCTAAATACTACACACGGAGTATATCCATAACCATGCACATGCATACAGATTTGAAGATGGATCAACACGAAATTGGATACATTGGACCCTGAACTTGAAATAATTGTAGATACGAAGTTCGATCAGTTGAATTGATTGAATCCCGGATCCCCTGGCTGCCGATCTCCGCCCCACGCGCCTCGAACAAAACCCACATGCAATTTGGCATGAAAAGCGGGTCGTTGATTGGCTTATGATATGAACTTGACGCTAGGGGGTAGAAGAAAAGAGGAGGTGTTTCAATTTCCCACGCCAGGGAGCATTGAACTAGTAGGGGGGTCCCTTTTAGGCCCCTGTCAACTGATCCAATAGGCGCTCTCGGTGTCTACAACTATTTATATCCGATCTCACTTGCCAAGCCCCGTGGACCAAGCCAATCTCCCGGGCAATGGTATCCCCACTGGTCTCCGTAAGTTGTCATTAGTTCTCGCTCGGATATGGCACAGTTTATTCGGATACAACTCATGTCCGTAAAAATTTAATGAGTTAAAATTCACTTAAAACTCACAACGAAATACATCATCCATCACAAGAAGTACGGGTTAGATTTTAGTAACATGCACCCCTTTGACTTGCATGCCCCCAGCGTGGCGTTTCTTGGACCCACAACGTCAAGCGAGATTTGTTCATCAAGTGATTGGCCCTGGCTTTAGACTCATTGGTGCCTGCAACCCACTTTTTCTCCGGATGCGTGCTTTCACTCATTGGTGCACGCGGCCTTAGGACCCCAGGATCCGTAACAGGCAGCGTCCCGGCTCCATCAGTCAAATTGTACGAACTACTTTGGTAACCTGGTGGCAACCAGAGTCATGACGTCCTCTATTCCCTAATGTGGCTTAAAGCAATGTAGAAGTGTCATTATTTGGATAGGTTTGATTACAGTGCGATTTTACCTAGATAGGATGAAAAACCTTGAAAGGAACCAATTTCCTTTATTGTATATGCAGTACAATATCTTTGTAGAACATGAAAAGTTAAAAAAGTCAAGATCTTAAATCTTTTCCTTTTCAGCCGAGTCAAGGGCGTAGGGATCAGGTTTGCCTTGTTTAGGCGTTGGTACATATGCCTAGAAAAAAAAGTGATTTACACTATAGTCCCAAAATTACCGACGTACAGAGTACTAGTTGCTAGCGAATTGACTGTTTAATTTCTTTTTTTCCTCATCGTTTTTAGACCCGAATTGGTTCCGGGTCGGATACAACGGGTAATACGGTTTGTATGATTACGACCGTAAACCTCCTCCCCTCTCCTGTTATTATTCTCTCATCTCTCAACGACCTACCTTCCCCTTTGGTCCCCTCTTTGGCCTTCGTCGTGGCCGTCCGTTCCTTTATTCAAACTATTGATCCTGTTCTGTTCCCCTTTTATTCCCTTCTCTGCCTGGTGCGGAAGATTCAAATGAGCTTTGTTCGAGGCTGTTAGACTGACCTCCAGATTCCTTGCGACTTTCTCTTATCGCCAGGGAAGTCGACTGTCTGGAGGTCTCTTTGTCCATCTGGATCTATTCGACCGTTCCTTGTATTGTTTTTGCGTTTTATCTCTTCAATTCCAGTTCTTGCAGCATTGATGGCTTCGATTTCTCTTCCCCCGCAGTCTCGGTCGGCCTTCTCTCAGCATTTTGATTCAGCACCCTCCAACACCGAGCCCAGTCGGCGACTCACAATGCCTCCATTGCCTAATCCACCGTTTGTGTTTCCGGCTCAAGGTCCGGATAATTCAGTCTCTTCAGAACCGCAGCGCCTAACACCGCCGGCTTTGCCGGCCTTCTCTTTCAATCCCGGATCAGAGCCGTCTTTACCACCCGTACATGCACCAACCCGACCGAATGGACACCGGCGACGACCGAGCGAATTTGTCGGAGACAATCAGTTGGTGACACCTGGGGACGACAAACGGGAAGAGCCCTCCACGCCAACACAGCCGAGCGCTCCAGCACACGGTCCGCCGAGAGGCCCCGGACGACGGAACCATGCTCATCGCCGCTCGCAAGCAGTGTCCGGGGTCGATCTCATGGCCATTCAAAAGGCACTGGCAACACCAGCGGGAAGCGCGCCAAATACCCCTGGCGATCTGTTGAACAAGAGCCATGAGGATATCTCCAGGCCGCTTTCCTACTCAGCTGGAAGCCTTGGACGTCCGACACCTCCCGCATCACCTCATTTCCCGCCTTCTGATATCCCACCAGTGCCACCAATCCCTACCACCATGAGGAGCGAATCAGCCCCCTGTCACGACGCCGACGATGGACGCCCGGTATCTGCAGTCTTCCACGAAACCCTGGAGAGTCCTGCGACAATTAAACATACATCACCAGAGATCCCGACACCCCCATCAGAAAAGGCGCCAACACCGAATCGCAAATTGAAGCCACGGCCGAAAACCGCAGATGCATCTTTGGTTTTAGATTTCATGCAGACTCAAAATGTGCCGGGTGCGCCTAGTGTCAAACGATCCAAGTCGACCGGGCATCGTAAAAGCAAGAGCCGGTCCGCGAATCTTAATGTAATTCTTGCGAATCAAGCCAGTGATGATGCTCATTCGACAGACGCATCTCGACCTTCATACTCTGACGATGGATCCGATACCTCGAGTGACAACGAGCACGATGATGATTCTTCGCCTAAGAAATCGAAATCAAAGAAAAAGCAGAAGAAAGTTCGCTCATGGGCTGGTGCTATTTTGGGCAAAGGGAAGCGGCATGCGAAGCATGAGACAGAACTTGAGCCTTCTGAGAAGGAAAAGGCCAAGGGCAAACAAAAGAGACCGTCTCCCTTGACACCTCCTACGCTTACACGTACTAACTCGGAGGCCGGTTCCGTTTTGGAAGTCGATTTTGATAATGACGATGTTTTGGTCATTCGAACTCCTACCAACCCTGAAGGTCCTGTTCCACAGGCCGAGCGTTCTCCGGATGAGTGCCCCGTGCCTTCCACCTTAGAGACGTCATGGAAGCCGAGAAGCTTCTACGAACAAACATCCCAGGATGAGATCCTCAGCAGCCCAATCATTGATCTTGATGCGGCACTAGGCCCTTTCAATACTCCTGAGATGGGACCGACCCGGGGAAACCTGAGCCAATTTTCATTGGCAACACAGCGCATGTACAGCGGCGGCCGGCGGGGCGAGTTCGTTGGGCCTGAGATGCGATATCATCGTCGCACAGAAAGTGCTCCGGTGATGCAGCCCTTCGATCGCAGTGCGCTCGGTCCAATCCGTCTGGGCGGAAAGGGCGCGGAAACCCCAGATGTTTTCTACGAAGAGGAAGAGGACGCATTCTTAGCGGAGAACCAATCGCCTAGGAACGGACGAGACCGTTCTGCTTGGGCTCCTCTTACCGCATCTGAATCTTCAAAGGATAAGAAGCCTGCGGAGTCTGTGAAGAGTGACAGCAGCGCCGGTACTTTGACTCGGGCACCTGTATCTAGTCCTCAGCCCGAGCCTCAGCCCGAGGGTCTCGGTATACAATCTACTGACGGGGCTATCAGTCCGGAGGCCCTTCCTATTCAGCAAGATGCGCCCGAATCACTTCAGGATGCTGGCAATTCATTTACCGGACAGGCGAAGAATTCTGTTGAGATTATCAAGTCAGAAGAGACGGCTGCAAAAGAACCGCCACCTCCAAGCCCTGACGTGTCTCCTGGCTTCCTCGCGGTTGACAAGCGACCTTCCACGTCTCCTAACCACCTACCCCTCAACATTCCGCCCTTTTCGCTGTCTGCAGGAGTTTCGCCTTCCGAATCATATTTCCCGTCTCCTGATGCGCTACGCTTTCCTGACCGCAACTTTTCGAGCCATTCTTACCACCACCTCCCTTCAGATTATCCGTATCCCTATGGCTCGGTTGAGGATGTTCCATCCTTGACGAGTAGCGCATCCACCACGACCAACACAAGGAGCCGGTTCTCTGCTACATTCTTCCCTCGTGCTCGTCTGTCGACTGATCGCGCTGCATCTTTCTCGGCGGCTGTTCACCGGCGTAGCAGCCAAGCCAATTCAGTGAAGCGATCTAGCATGGCCAGCTTGTCTAAGCTGGTCGGTGGCCCGCATTCGGAACGAAGTAAACTCTACCACCAAGAAAAGCCCCCGGGCGATGCAGCGGATAAAGCAAGGAAGAAGAACCACCGGATCACTCGACTGATGCATTTCTGGAAAGTGAAAGACAAAGAAAAGTCCGCCCCCGAACCGTCTATTCCAGAGAGGCCGGTATAAAAACCGACTCTTTGATCTGGATGCCTTTTATTTTGATTTCATGGCGCAACAAATCTCGGCATAGCGATATCCTCAGTCATCTTTCCCACATCTCTTCTTCTCGCTGATCGGACTGTACATATTTTACTCCGGTTTCATCTCTTCTCTTTCGTGTGGATTCTTTTGCTACCTATTCGGCCGTCATTCTACCTTTTGGTCTGATTTCAGACTTTACGAATTTCTTTACTCCCAGACTGTGCCTTGCGCATGTTTGAGAACGATACTCTCGTTTTTCTTGTCCATCGTTTATGTACCGGTGCGTAACACCCGGATTGATTGACTTTCTCTACGATCGTTGTCCAACGGACCTTCTACTTTATTTGTTATTTTTACTTTATTCTACCCCTGTGGCTCATGGCCCAGAATACTAGTTACCCTTCCATCTTGGATAGGGCCTTTTTTCCTTCAAGTCATTCCGTTATACGTGAAATTTGGCGTGGGCGTGTATATTTATCTTTTGGTTGTGGCAATATGCCCGATAAGCTACGATAAGCTCAAAAAAAAAGTTTACAATTCCCAACTTCCCCGCGCTAGCATATATCTCGAGTAGTTAATCTGATCCAATTACTCCCAATTCAACCAAAAATGCCAGGCCCACGACAAGGAAACCGTCGTGCAGACAGAGACACCTTACAAGCCAAGCCAAAAGCCAAACCAAAAACCAAGCCCCCACAACGCAAACCCAAAGAACCTGAACGCAAAGAAAAAGAAGAAATTCTCAGCGATGAAGACCCCAGCGGAATCAACCTCTCAAAACCAATCCCTCTCTCCCTCCAACAACTCCTATTAGACGTCTTCAAAACCGCTCTCCTCGCATCCGCAGGAACAGACGCCGATTCATCCGAATCCCAATACGAGTCCCTTGACATCAAATCTCTCATCCAGACTATCAAGTCGCACCTTTACCAGCGCGATTTCGATTCCGCGTTCACCGAGGCTGGTGAGGATCATTTGCGCGCTTATGCTTTGCGCTGGAGTGCGTCGAGAGCTTTGGGATACGCGGGATTATTTAAAGGTGTGCTTCGGTGGATGCGCGGGGAGGGTGCGCCCATCAAAGATGCTTCTGCCTCCGATACACGGGTTGTGTGTCTCGGTGGTGGTGCTGGAGCAGAGATTGTCGCATTAGCAGCTGCATGGCGGGATCTTGATGGCGGGGCTAGTTCATTGAGTGCACGGGCGGAGGCGTTATCTCTTGAAGAGAGCGAAGACAAGGACAAGGATGCAGATGCAGAGACCGATTCCAGCTCTAAGCTTTCGCTATCAACAAGGAATCTGTCTATCGCGGCTGTTGATATCGCCGATTGGTCCAGTGTTGTGCGACGGTTGTCTAGTACACTCACTTCCCCTGATGTACCTGCTCCGTCGACGTCGAGATATAAGGCCCCGCTTGTGCCGGTGGGCGATAAGGTGGATGTCGATTTCCATCGCGTTGATCTCCTCGGACTTCCGGAAAAGGAGCTGAAGGATGTTGTGCTGGGTAGTGGGGCCGTGTCACCTTCTTCTCTTCTTGTTACGCTGATGTTCACTTTGAATGAGCTTTTCTCTACATCTATGCCTAAGACTACGGCGTTTATGCTTCGCTTGACGGAAATTCTGAAGCCTGGTGCTGTGCTTTTGGTTGTTGATAGCCCTGGCAGCTATTCGACGCTGAAAATGGGGAAACCTGGTCCCGACGGCGTTCAGCAGGAGAGGAATTATCCTATGAAGTTCCTTTTGGATCACACGCTTATCTCAGTGGCTAAGGGCCAGTGGGAGCAAATTTATACCCAGGATTCTCGGTGGTGGAGGCGAGAGGCGTCGCGGTTGATGTATGATGTTGGTGAGGGTGCGGGATTGGAGGATATGCGATTCCAGGTGCATATTTATCGCCGGATATAAAGAAGTTTGGATTATATACCCGTGGACCATTTGAAGATATTAAACATCATATATAGCTATTCAATCAAGCACATGAGAACATTGAAGCTTAGGAGAGATTCTGATAAGAGTAGAGGTATTGGTATTGCTACATTTCAGAAAAAAAGAACCAGATGGCACGCTTTCGCCAAACCAGTTCGTGCGCCACAACATCAAACACAGCCGAGCAGGCGCATCAATCACGGCGTGCAATTAAATGATACAAAAAATTCAGTGAAAAGAGATCAGGACTCTTATAACCTTAGGGGAGCACCCTAACTCCGCAGACCAAGCAAGAGGCTAGTGCTCTTACCACCATCCTTACCCTCACCACCAGGCAGATATGTGACGTTGGGGTTAGTCGCAAGAGTCTGAGCAATATCACGGCTAGCCTCGATACGACGGATCTCAATCAATCCACTACCAGCCTTCGCAACGGCCTTGGAAATAATATCGGCAGACTCGGCTTCACCCTCAGCACGGATAACGTTAGCCTGACGCTCCTGCTCGGCACGCTCGACGATGAATCGTGCCCGCTCGGCGTCCTGCTGGGCGATCTGCTTCTGCTCGACGGCTTTGGTGAACTCCTTTCCGAAGGTCATGTGGGTGATGGAGACGTCCTCCAGGGCGATGTTGAACTGGGAGGCACGCTTGAGGAGGTCTGTACGGATCCGGTTGGAGACAGCTTCACGCTGGGTGATAAGCTCGGCGGCGTCGAATTGGGCGACAATTGCCTTAAGGACTTCGTTTCCGATGGAGGGGAGAACACGCTCATCGTAATCGGTACCGTAGGACTAATTCAGACACGGGCTGTTAGTTGGGGAGAACAAATGTAGCGTTGCTGTGTTGCTGGTAGCTTCTCACCTGGTAAATCTGAGGCAGTTTCGGCACATCCGGACGGTGCATCACTCGCAGCGTCAAGCTGACCATTTGCAGATCCTTACTTCCGGTGGTGGTGGAGATGTTGCGCGGCTTCGTTCGCACGTCGTAAATAATTGCCTTCTGCAGCCAAGGGACAAGGAAGTGGGTGCCTTCGTTAATGACCGTCTCCTGCACACCAGACATGCGGTCGAAGATGACAGCTCGTGTTCCACCCTTGACATCGTAGATGGACGCGTTGAACAGCAGAACACCGGCAGCGGCGGGGCCTGCCAGCCGGTAGAGATTGTAGAGGGCGTTGGCCATGGTTGTGGGTGGTGAGATGGAATGACCAGATGCAAACGTGAGGTTCGTTCAATTAGTTGATGGATGATGTCGGGGTTTTCCAGCCCGATTGGGTTTAGCGTGGTTCTAGCCAACTTCGTTCCCGAACTTGAACGTCTTTTCCTCCTCGCCCTGTGATCCGACTCCAGTTCCTCCTCTCGTCCTCCAATCCTCTACCGTCTTTCCTTCCTTCACAATGGGTGGCCACGCTGACGCTAAGACTGGCCAGTGAGTACTTCCTTTTGGTGTCCCTGTGGCTGGGGTGGGAGTCCGGTCACACCCGCTCGATCGATTACCCGAGGAGTGCACGATTCGGACTCCCTTCAGCTTCAATTGATCTGATATGAATTGAGACGATGTACTGACTATATTATCACAGCTATATCGGCACCTGGGGTAAATTCGGTACGTGAACGATATACCCTGACCTTCCCAACGCGCAACCCGGACACAAGCCGGACACGATTGCTGGATTCGACAACACTCGACAAGCAGTCATGGACAATCAATGGAATAGCATTCAGAACAGCACTAACCTCATACACCTTATAGGCTGCCCTACCCCCCAGCGCATTGCCACCTACTCCCTCTCGCCTAACCGTCAGCGCCCCTTCGCCGGTGCTTTCAACGCTGCTATCTTCAACACCTTCCGTCGTTTCCGCAACCAGGTCCTCTACGTTGTTCCTCCCTTCGTCGTTGCCTACGCCGCCATGAACTGGGCCGTCGAGCGGTAAGATGAATCACCCCCTGGGGAGATCGATAGAGCCCCATACTGACAAGACGCTTGATATTAGTAACGAGTACCTGAACTCCAAGCCCGGCCGCCTTCTTGAGGGTGGTGGTGATGAAGAGTAAATGGAGTTCCAAGTGGAAATGATGCCAGTTTTTTAATCCTTTTGAGTTTGAGTTATACCGGAGTGCACACGCGAATGTGCTGCGCGGCTGTATCAATTGTACAGTAAACTAGAGAGCAATCCACCGTTTGAGGTTTCCTATGTCTTGACTCTTGAATCTGTAGCTTATGAGTATAATGATTCACGTAACTACATTGTAGGATTGTGTATACTTGTGTAATCGTGATTTGAGTCAACTCCATTGGCTTAGAGCCCACTTAACCGCTAAGGTAACATCTTCCCCTCCTCCAGCTCAGCCCCATCAAAACTTCGCAAACATTAAAACTCAATTGGATAATTTATTTTTACCTGCATATGAGAATGCATATGATCTGTAGAATATTGACTTATAGCGCGTAATTTTCCCTTCGTGCTTTTGTTTGTCAGTAACTTTCGTCCCCACTGAGCCAAGCAAAATCCCCCCAAAAGAGGGTAAACTTCCGCCGATTTCTTTTTATCTTCGCATGCTTCGCTCCCTCCGTCTTCCTTTTCATTCACTCAACCGTTTTAATTTTTCAAGAACCTTTTCTTCCGTCATAATGAGCGAGATCACTCACCCTACCATCAATGGTATGCTATTCCCTCTAATGGTCTACCCCGCCATCCTAGTAGCATCATCCCACTTGCCCCTCAATTGCCCGTTGCGCTCCTCCGCTAACCCCACCAACCTCTAGATGGCTGGTTCTCTGAGAAGTCCGGCATGTGGCCCGGTCAGGCCATGAACATCCAGGTTAAGGAGGTTCTTCACCACGAGAAGTCCAAGTACCAGGATGTCCTGGTCTTCGAGAGCACCGACTACGGCCGCGTCCTCGTCCTGGACAACGTTATCCAGTGCACCGAGCGTGATGAGTTCTCCTACCAGGAGATGATCACTCACCTGGCCATGAACGCCCACCCCAACCCCAAGAAGGTTCTTGTCATCGGTGGTGGTGACGGCGGTGTCCTCCGTGAGGTCGTCAAGCACGAGTCCGTTGAGGAGGCCATCCTGTGTGACATCGATGAGGCTGTCATCCGTGTCTCCAAGCAGTACCTCCCCGGCATGGCCGTTGGCTTCAAGCACCCCAATGCCAAGACTCACGTTGGTGACGGCTTCGAGTTCCTCAAGGCCCGCAAGAACGAGTTCGATGTCATCATTACCGACAGCTCCGACCCCGAGGGTCCCGCCGAGAGCCTCTTCCAGAAGCCCTACTTCGAGCTCCTGAACGATGCCCTCCGTGAGGGAGGTGTCATCACCACCCAAGGTTGTTGTTCCCCTTCCATTGTCTCTGTTTTCTTTTACCTCTTGACCCCCTTCCTATCCCAATTTCTTTCCGCCATATTTTCAAGTGGCACTTTTTTTTTCCAAATGGGACACTGGATCCAACTACAAGTGGATTTCTAAGTGAATAAACCAAACGAGCTTGGGCTGACTTCTTTCGCACTATCTGGCAACCAACCCGCTTTATGGGTCGGTCTCGCTAGACTGTGCATTTCTTTTACAGCCGAGAACCAATGGTTGCACCTTCCTCTGATCGCCGACCTGAAGAAGTCTTGCGGTGAGGTCTTCCCCGTCGCCGAGTACGCCTACACCACCATCCCCACCTACCCCTCCGGCCAGATCGGCTTCATGGTCTGCTGCAAGGACGCCACCCGCAACGTCAAGGAGCCCCTTCGCTCCTGGACCCGCGAGGAGGAGGAGCGTCTCTGCCGTTACTACAACGCGGACATCCACCGTGCCAGCTTCGTGCTGCCTAACTTTGCCCGCAAGGCTCTTGGCCAGTAAATGCATTTCGTTCGGAGAGTGTAATTTCTTGGGCTACGGTATTAGCATAGGATGATAAAAAAATTTGGCGAGGTTCTGGATACCTCCAGACATGATGAATGAAACTATTTCGGGATAATATATATATTTCATAGGTCCTCTGTTGTCACTGCAGTAGAATTTGCTTGTAATTCAGGGCATATCGAAGGGGTTTCTGCAAATTTCAACCTTATGTGGAAAGCTCGGTGCTCAATTTTGAGGCCTAAAACTCCACGTCAACAGATCCCAAGTCCATTCAACGATTGCCAACGAAGTATGTACACATGTGCATGTATACATGGATCAATTACAATAAACATTGGAAGATCTGAAAGCTTCACACGCCATTTGGCTGCTTAGTTTACCTCAATGGCATAATGACTAGTCTCAACATCTAGCAGAGTTCTAATACAGTTGAAAAATCCATTTATTTGATCTGTTTCAGATGGGCAAAAGCCACATTGTTTCATTACAGAGAGCATGGTCTAGATCTAAGGGGGTGTTGGCAGTCAAATTTGCTTGCCTTGTCCACATTGAGAAGTCTTGATGGTTTCAATGGTCCTGATCAAGAGATGTGAAGCTCAAAAACCTGGGAATCAGGTATATTTGGTCTATTTATATAAACATTGGAAATCGTCGAATACTTATCTTCACATTCTCGCATATAACTGAAATTCGACGTAATGATAAGTGGTCAAATACAGTGCCAGTGTCACTTTGGTGAGGGAAGGGGTATCATATTGCATGGTTTCTGGAGGCTGGCCAGTTCTACCAACGCGATAACAGGTCTCCACTACTACAAATTCCCCGGCTATTTCTACTTTATCTACAAATAAGCAACCGGTAGATGAGTCCATCTCCGCCAGATGGGGTTGACCCGGTATTATCATGAATTCCGGACAGCCTGGCCATTCTTTACCCTACTGGCCCGCCCGCAAGGATTGGAAATAAAAGACATGCAAAAGTCCCTGCAAGCAACTATTCATTCAAACTCTCAAGGGATCTAAAGCTTCGGTGTGGATCATGGAAGAGAAGTCCAGCAGCGAACACTACGATGCGGTCAAATCGACAAGCACGCAAACCGAAAAATCCTGCCATATCCTTGGGGCACCAGGTATATGGGAGGCTACCCATGACGACGCCCAAGCTGCAAGTACCCACGAGCACTCCCTCGGTATCCTCACTGCCCTCAGCTCATACAAATGGGCGGTCTTTTGGTCCCTTCTTATATCAATGTCAATCATCATGGAAGGCTACGACACCATTCTGATTGGATCCTTATATGCCTATCCAAGTTACGCCCGTCGCTTCGGAGACCTAGATCCCTCAACAGGTCAATACCAGATTTCCGCAAAATGGCAAAGCGCAATGGGCAGCGGTCCTCAGGTCGGTGCCATTATTGGTGCCCTCGTGAATGGATGGTTGATACAACGCTTTGGCTTTCGCCCGGCATTTATGCTCGGTGTCACACTCATGACAGCGTTCTGTTTTATTTCCTTCTTCGGTACGAGTGTCGAGCTCCAGGCGATTGGACAGATATTCTGCGGGTGAGCACTAAACCCCTCGTGTCTTCCCTCGCGTAGTCGCTGAATTTAACTGGAAAGTATTCCATGGGGTATATTCGCGACCATAGGCCCCGCGTACGCTTCCGAGCTGTGTCCTCTTCCTCTTCGTGCGTATCTCACGGCTTATGTGAACATGTGCTTTGCGGCTGGCCAGATTATCGGTGCTGGTGTTCTACAAAGCTTCATTGATCGGACTGATGATTGGGCATGGCGCATCCCCTTTGCTCTCCAATGGATATGGATTCCTATATTGTTCACTGCATCTATCTTCATGCCCGAGTCCCCTTGGTATCTAGTTCGACAGGGCAGATACGCTGAAGCGGTGAAAACTGCATCCTCTCTAATGTCGAAGCACGAAAAGCTACATGCAAGACAATTGGTAGCATTGATGATTCAGACAGACAACCTTGAACGCAATATCTCAGAAGGAACGCAATACTGGGATTGTTTTAAAGGAATGGACCTCCGTCGTACGGAAATCGCATGCGTTACCTTCATCGGTCAAGTTACTTGTGGAGCTCAATTTGCATTTTCAGCTACATACTTCTTCCAACAGGCTGGTCTCAGTTCTGACGATTCTTACAAGTTGAATCTAGGTGGTACCGGTATTGCCCTTTGCGGTACTCTTATCTCTTGGTTCATGATGAAACGAATCGGTCGGCGCAGCCTTTACCTGACAGGCATGGTGTTCATGAGTATGTGGCTTCTCATAATTGGCGGCTTAGCCGTTGGCGAGAGCAATTCTTCAGTCAAATGGGTCCAATCAGCCCTCTGTCTTGTTTGGCTGCTCACATTTTCCTTGACTGTCGGCCCGGTAGGCTGGATCGTTCCAGCAGAAGTTTCATCCACCCGTTTGAGATCCAAAACGGTGGTGTTAGCTCGCACTTGCTATTATATAGCACAGATCATTGCCAGCCTCATGCAACCTTACATGATGAATCCGACCAGCTGGAACTGGAGAGGTAAGTCCAAATTGTCAAGGGATCACCAAGTATTGTTTCTCATCGTTAGACAGGCAAGACTGGCTTCTTCTGGTTTGGCTTTGCGACCATGACTGCACTGTGGGCGTTTTATCGCCTTCCAGAGACCCAAGGCCGCAGCTATGAAGAGCTTGATGTGATGTTTAATACGAAGGTCCCGACGAGAAAGTTCAAGAATTATCATGTGGATGTCTATGAGTACGATGATGAAAAGGACCTAAAAGAAGTTTAGAGAACAGATTAGAGGAGAAACATGTAAACCAATCCAGTTTTTTTTTTATTCAGGCAATTTGAAGAAAACATAAAGAACTGGAGTTTTTACGCTGAAACTCCAATTATGTACTTCACCTCACAATCGTGCAATGACTGGCTTTGCATGGTCAGCTGCAAGACATGCTTTGATTTTTCTAATGATAAAGCACCAAATCGTTCAGCGGAGGATAGCAGAAATAATCGAAACGTCTAAATATCCATTCTAATGCAATGTAGGTTCTCTAAATGGGTACTATAGCTGTACAAGACATGACCAAATAAGCCACTACCGAATTAAGCCAATACCACAAAGCAATCATTATAAAATGCTCGTTGTATCACCAAATACGGTGGTCTATTCGTCATTTTCCGACTCAACTTGATCGTCTTCGAGATGCTTTTTCCGTTCTTCACTGAGTTCGCGATACGTGCTCCAACTCAAGAGGAAAAATGCGAACATGATTAGTATACCTCCAATGATGGCCGCGAAAGAAAGAGGTTGCCCGGTGCGGAACCAGTCCACGATAGCGACCAGGAAGATTGTCAGGAGCGCAGCAACCGATGAGAGGACGGGAGACGTGAGTGAGATAAGTACCAAGAAAGACCCAGAAAATGCTACAGAGTGTAAGTTTCACGTTGAAGATTAGGTATGGGTAAACTTACTAGCATTGGCACATATGGAGATGAGGAGCATCCGGCCTGCCTCGCCGGAGGGGAACCGGAATGTCTCCCAACCCAGGTAGTGAAGAATTGGCAACGGTATCCACAGGACGGTAAGAGTGAATGCACCAATGAGACTGCCAAAGGTATTGGCGAAAATGGTGCCACGGCCTGGACTAGTGCCCTCTGGAGGACAGGCAAACCGTTTATATAACACCTCGTAGAGACCATAGAGGATACTCCCCACGCCAATAACAATATTGCCTAGTAGTCGGCTTTGTGCTTCGCCGTCTTCGTTGGTTGTCCCGCCCTTGGAGACTTTCTTGTCGGGTCGATCGCCATATGCCACGACAAGCACGCCGATAATGGCAACGCCCACTGCGAAGACCTTGTCTAATCGCAGTTTCTCCTTGAGAAGAGGAATTGAGAAGGCGTAGGCAAAGAAAGCCGAGCAGTTGTAGATTGCGGTCAAGTCACTGGCTGTGGTCATATTGACGGCTACGTACCATGAGCCGCCCGCGACAGTCAGGGCACTGGTGACAAAAGCAGTTGTCTTGAGCATGTATGGGACCGGCGATCGATGAGAGTGGCGAGAGGTCAGATGGACTTCTTGGTGTTCTACCATTTGGGCGGTGCTTCGGAGAAGGGAGACATGGCGGCGCCAGAATGCATCCCATGATAGCTTTCGTTTCTGGATTCGGAGAATAAGTAGCTGGAACGGCCAGAGCAATATCCAGGATCCGTGAGTAATATAGCTGCATAGGAAAGAAAGGGTAAGCCATTACAAGTCTGACAATGATAGTGTACATGCTGAGGGAGATTCATCTTACAGCATGCAATACGGCTTATCCCAGTGCAGCTCATGCTGGATATAAACAGCGGTTTCGGTCTGCACCACAAAGCTAGCCAAGCTTAGTAACAAGAAGCCCAAAGCAATTATGTACTTTTTGCGGGTTGCTTGGGCGGCATCGTGTTCCGGGCTTTTACTCCGAATGGTAGGTCGACGTGTGTGGTGCAACATGGGCCGGCCTTCTGCATCACCTTCGAAGCTAGTAGATCGAGAGAAACGGCGTTCATCATCCTTGAGTAAGGGTTGTTCTGAGCGACCATCCGTTGGTCGGTGCATTGCGGGGCGATTCATATCTGAATCTTGTGAATCACGACCCGGATCTGGGGTTGGGTTCGTCCGAGACTCTCCAAGTTCGATATTATTCGAAGCCACAATTGCGTTGGCCTGTCTTCTGGCTGGTGTAATCTCAATACTGAGTAACTATTGACCAGTCTGGGATCACTGTGTCCACCCACTTGTCGCTGCTGCGCAAAGATAACAGATGATGGTCCGGAGTAAGAGATGGTTAATCCATTCAGAAAGAAGATATTCCCGGGTCGTCCAGTTATGTCCAGTTATTGCACGCTCAAAGGCTAATTTTTGAAATGTACCTATGTATCGGCCACAAGTCGGGACTGAGGCTGCATGCGATCGAGGAAATGTTGGGTCGGATGCAACTGTACGGAGCGCTGTAGTAGCCACGTAAATTGAATGGGCAGGGAGGAGGGTTTGCGACCACGTTGAGGGGTAGCAGGTCGAGACTGTCTCTGTGAAATCTAGTTTAGACTTGCCCGACACCGTTAGAACAGGGAAAATGAACAGTTTTCAAGAATTATAAACTGGGGAAACATCATCGGACGCCCCGTGGAATGGTCGCCTTCGTCATCATCGCCCTAGACCGCCTTGGGAAATAAGTGGGTCATGTGACGCTAGACCTTACCGCCGAAACTAGTCCTAGATAGGCTTAGTGTGGTTTGCGAGTTCTCAGGCGTCTATTGCGAGTGACCAAAGTAGGACCGCCTGACTAGCATATCGAGAGTTGTACATCATTTAGTTCTACTCAGGCCTCATTTCATGGGATCTACTACAATGAAAATCCATATGACTCGACAGATTGCCGCCATATACGTCGTTTCCCGAGCTTATATTTTCTGCCCCGCATCTAGGGAGTCTAGACTAGTCAAGAAAATGAAATTTGGGCAAAAAATCAAAAAGAAATCTCTCCCTCGGGGAATCGAACCCCGGTCTCCCGCGCGTATCAGTGTTAATGACAAGCGGAAATCATGACCCCTAGACCAAGGAAGATGTGTTAGTCGAGTTTCCGCTCGACCACTTGGTGCTGGCTGATGCATTGGGCACCATAAAGTATGTTATCAACAGCATTTCCGAGTAATTTTCCATGATCTTGACTTGGGTACAGTACTCCCGGAAACCTGTGTCACCACTTACACTCTTTGACTCTTTCTCAAAGCCTCTGCCAAGATGCGCTATTTCATATCTTGTTTAAATGAACCATAGCAAAGTTTCCGTACGCTATGGTTATAGGTACGCAGGGAACACGATTACACCGTGCTTGTAAAAGACTGTATGATGAGCTTCGAGGTGGGGTCTATTCCTAGAAAGTTCGATTCAAACGCAAATTATTCCAACAGCGACAGGTACGTCACGATCTGGCACATTGTCTCCTCGTACTACCCGCCCTTGCATTCCTCCCGCAAAACAAATTACACAGACGGGTGATCTTCCGCATGAAATATAGACCATTCACCAGGTTTGAGGACAAGTTAACAAAACACAGGTATGGTACTGGGTAGCATGCAAGATATCAATTTCCTGACTCCGAATTTGGCACGGTGGATACTGGTGGTATCACTGCAGATGCAACTCCATAAGTATATTAGTGGGATGTTCCTTTAAGCTCATTGAGGAGAGATAATATTATTCATGCCATCTCTCCCTATTTAGCTCCACCATCGGCAAGCATCTGCTGTATCGCCGGAGCAACTTCTCTAGCGAGAGCCAGCGGGGTGCGCCCCCGCGCGTCCTGGGCATTGAGGTCTGCACCCCCGCGGATTAGGCAGCGCACGATTTCCTCCGGTGCGGTCTTTTCAACCTTGTCACTCATACACATAGGTGAGACCCGCTGCGGACCAGGTTCTATTTTACGTACCAGACTCGTCCTACCTGGCCGGCAACATAACATGCTCCCGCGACCGATTCTAATTGGCGGGTCTGAGGGTTTACAGCCAAAGATGGCCGTGTGGAGAAGAGTAGTCCCTCTCTTATCTCTCATTATTAGATCCACACCGCTATCAATAAAGAGCTGCAGAATGTCTCCCCGCCCAGCCCTAATCGCAATCGATAGCATCAAGATATGCGGCCCATAACCGTATTCGAGCAACAGATGCGCCGTCTCGACCGTACACCTGTCAACCAATATCTCAAACCATCTCTGAAAGTCTTTTGGTGGATAGGTTTCACGTAAGCAATAGACGCAAAGTATCAATTGGGCCATAACTTGCTTCGTTTAACAGGAGGCCAGGACGACGATTCGCTAAAGTGATATCTGCGCCATTATCCAGCAGGAACTGAACTATCTCTGTTGAGAGATTACGAGATGACACAGCTCTGTTCAAAGGATACCTTCCCTCCCAGGGAATATTGAGATCTGCCTCGAACTCAACTAACAACTTGAGAAGAGAAATTTGCCCCTTCATTATTGCGTAGTTGACCAGGCTGCCTTCCTCCATGTCAGGATCATGGATAGGTGACCCATGCAACAATAAAAGCCGGACCGTGCTCTCATGGCCCGATAATAGGGCATCTACTACCGCCGGCTGGGTTGGGACCCGGTGACGAGAACGGAATCCGAGAACATTCGCCCCATGGTTGAGCAGTAAGGCAACTAATTTGTCGTTTCCTATGTTTGCTGCTATACTCAGGGGCGTCTGCACATTGAACCACGGCTGGAAATGTATTTTTGCATGACTAATTGGACCCATGTCCATGGAGGCGTTCACGTCTGCTCCGTAGTGAAGAAAATTTTTGACAGCTGCTTCATTACCCGTGGCAGTGCACCAGAAGAGCGCTTCTTGAAGCATACTGTCTCGTATATGGCGCTGGTAAAGATTCGGGAGGAGAAGTTTGTAAAGGGAGCGATGAACTTGTAGTAGGTGGGCGAGAGCGCTTTCAGGGAGGAAGAGTGCAATGAGCAGGATTAACTCACTAGGTAGTTCTAATAGGGTCATCTTGTAAATAGATAAATAAACATATACTGGGAGGATATATAGAGATGGTTGGAGCCTTGGAGGTGACAAGAGAAGAGGGGCGACGAGATAAGAGGGCTGAGCACCGCATCTGTGCGCCGACCTTAGTGCCAGCCATTAAATATCTCGGCCTAGGAAGCCTCCGCGGCTGCTGGAGACCAGAGTTAATTGAACTAAGGCCAGGAGTCTTTCGACATTCTTCCTGACTATCGGGCACTGGAGTGCTCCAGGTTGAAATAAAGTATGTACACTGTAAAATTGTCGTCGTGGAACGAGGCAGTATTTAACGACACGGTTCACGGTTTCAAAGCGTGAGTAATTCATGGGCTACTCTCGATACAGCCGAGTGGCTCTTTCATTAGGGCTCGAGAAAGAGTCGAAGAGAGAAATTGTACCACCATTTCTCGGAAGTACTGTACGGAATGTGTCTTCAGCCCTAACTTTAAATTCATCTACCTATCTATGCTATTTATGGAGTACCATTTTAAGCCTTAAGCCTTGGGCTTGAAAAGTGCCTCCTGGGTGTTATAAGTGTACTCCAGGTCCAAATGCCAGTAGGGTGGAGAGTATGGCTTCGCAATGATCCAAGCCTTATCGAGCGCATCCACAACCTCTTGTGGGAGGGGTCCCTTCTGAACATCCGCAAGGTTGGTCTCCAACTGAGAAAAGCTGCTCACACCGATAAGAATACCATCCCGGCCACCGTTGCCGATCTTCAGAGCTGAGTGGTGGTGCACCCAGCGAAGGGCAGTTTCAATCATTGTCAAACCGTGCTTCTCAACAACCGGCTCAATGACACTAAGGGCCTCAAAGTTTGTATCCTTAAAGTAACGTTTGCGGTAGTTGTTGCCCGTGGAGCTGTTTTCTCCGAAGCGTCCTTCCGCGGGAACATCGGCGGTCTTATACTTTCCAGAAAGAAGGCCGCCAGCCAGTGGGTTATAGATGACAATATCGAGGCCGTAGCGACGGCAAGCATGGACCAATTCCACCTCGATGTTGCGAGCTGTAGAAAAAATGTGAGTCTACTATCTTTCTCGACGGTGCGTTCATCACATACTAATTGCATTGTACATAGCCTGGAAGATGGTAGGGCGGACCCAGCCTCGCTCAGCACAGAGAGTAACAATCTCAGCTACCTCAAAGGCTGTGAAGTTGCTCAGACCAAAGTTAACAAACTTGCCCTCCTTGTGCAGCTTGTTGACCTCCTCTAGAGTTTCCGAAAAAGGGACCGACCGATCCGCCGCATGGAGGTAGAAGATGTCCACCTGATTGGTGTTCAATTCCTTCAGGGACTTCTCAAAGTTCTCACGAAGGATGGCAGGCTTGTGAAAGCCGGGGGTGGTAGGGTACCATTTCGTAGCGATAGTCAGACCACGCTCCTTCCAGCCAGCCTGAGCTGTGAAGGCTTCCTGTTCACCACCGACGTAAATCCGAGCAGTGTCGACCTCATTGAATCCTTGTTGCTGGAAGTAGTCCAATGACTTTTTGTATTCATCCAAGGATGTGATACGAGCACCTTTATCCGGGTTAGGACCAAAGGTCATAAGCCCAAGGATCACTCGGGGCAATGGGTTTTGTGCGATGAGAGGCATGGTGGCTTGGCAGTGATTTTGTGTTGTTGGGGAGTTGGAGATTGGATGACTCGGAGCGGGGGAGGGGTTGCAGTTGCGATTGCGGAGTGAGCCGACTCGATAACGCTATTGCCCATTCATCTCGGAAGCGACCGTAGCGTCAAACATTGAAGTTGGAATCTATTTAAAAGATTTTCTTTCTCAGTTCTTCTTTAAGGATTTACAGTCACCATGACTATGAGACACATCCCAACACCCAGCGCCCAGGGCGCTATCCGAATCCTGGTCATCAATCCCAATACCTCAACTGTTATGACCGATGGCCTCAAGCCGATATTGAAGCGACTCAACTATTCCGATGTAGAGTACGAATACTTCACAGCCCCCGACGAACCAGTGACTATAGGCGGCCACACCTTCCAGCCAATTTCCAGCATCAACTCTGGGGAAGAGTCCGCCCAATCAGCCCTTAACTGTTGGTCAGTCTTGGACCGAATTTCGCAATTCGATGCATTCCTGGTGGCGTGCTACTCGGCCCACCCACTAGTGGGCGTATTGCGAAAGAACATCCGAGAATTCGAAAAGACCCATCCGTCAACTCGCAAGAAGTACGTGACCGGTATTTTCGAGGCCAGCGTCACCGCTTCCCTATCATTGATCAGCGCATTCGACTTTGTCACACTTGGTGAGCTGGAAAAGAAACAGGTCGATGAGTCATTTGGAATTGTGACTACTGGCAGTATCTGGAAGGAAGAACTTGGCAAGGCTGTCACCAAGATGCTCGGCACCAGCAATGGCTCGTCCCGTTTCGCTGGTGTTGAGACAACTGGATTAACGGCAGTGGAGCTTCATACAACTCCACCGGAAGAAGTGAAGCGAAGGATCATTGATGCTACTCAGAGGCTGCTTCGGGAGTCGCCAGTTCCTGTGACTGCTATTTGTATGGGATGTGCTGGAATGGCAGGAATGGAGGAGGCTGTCAGAGAGGGATGTATACGTGGTTATGGGGAGATTAAGGGACGAGAAGTGAGAATTGTTGATGGTGTGGTTGCAGGGGTTGGAACATTGGTGACATCGTGCAAGGCAGGATTTTGATCTTTTGTCATACAAAAAGCATAGTGATTTCGAAGGATATCTAGTAATGAACGACTCTCACATCATCAAACGATAAAAATCATTTCAAGTATATCTTCAGGTTGACTCGTTGGGTCACTTGATGCCTGAGGCTGCAGCTTGTGATCCAGGCTAAAATGTTCCCCGCAACAACGCGTTACGCGTGAAACATCTCTCTCCCGACGGCGACATTGGACAACGATGCCTAGGTAATAGCTTAAAAGACCGCCCGAGATTTTTAAAGGGTATGCAAAGCTAACTTGACTGTGTGAAACAGGGAAATCATCACAATCCAAGCTGGCCAGTGCGGCAACAATGGTATGTGCCTCTCCGCAACTATCGACCCATCCCCAGCCCTGCGACCTCTCCACAGCTCAAATAGCACGAAAAAACAATAAAAAAATCTATACCTCTCTGTGCTCACTCTAGCTGACCATATCCACAGTCGGTAGCCAGTTCTGGCAGCAACTGTGCCTGGAGCACGGAATCAACCAAGATGGCAACCTCGAGGAATTTGCGACTGAAGGTGGAGATCGTAAAGATGTGTTTTTCTACCAGGTGTGTTGATAGTGTTTTTGGTTTTGTTTGATCGTTCAGGCTAACCGACTTTCCAGAGTGACGACACCAGATATATTCCCCGCGCGATCCTCCTCGATTTAGAGCCCCGGGTATGATTCCTTGCCACATTTAGCAATTGGATCATGGCTGATACGTCAATAGGTCCTGCACGGCATTCAATCGGGCCCCTACAAAAACATCTACAACCCTGAGAATTTCTTTATGGGAGAAAATGGAGTTGGAGCTGGTAATAATTGGGGTGCTGGTTATGCCGCAGGTGAGGGTGTGCAAGAGGAGATCTTTGATATGATTGATCGAGAGGCAGATGGAAGTGACTCGCTAGAGGTTGGTTAATTAACCCTTCCGTGTGTAAACCTTCAGTACGCTTACTCACATCGCCAGGGCTTCATGCTGCTACACTCAATTGCAGGAGGTACAGGTTCCGGTCTAGGAAGTTTTCTTCTAGAGCGTATGAATGATCGCTTCCCCAAAAAGCTGATTCAGACATACTCTGTCTTTTCGGATTCCAACGATGTGGTTGTCAACCCCTACAACAGTTTGTTGACTCTGCGCCGACTGACCCAAGATGCCGACTCTGTGGTACGAATGCCCGCTGGAATTGATGTGCTCTTTATGACTAAATCATTGGCAGGTTGTCCTGGATAATCTGGCATTGGCGAGCATTGTTGCCGACCGACTGCATGTGCAAAAACCCAACTTCGATCAAACTAACCAGCTTGTAAGTTTGAAACAATATTATCATGAATTGTTGCTAACTTGACAGGTCTCAACGGTCATGTCGGCATCTACCACCCCCTTACGATACCCAGGGTATATGCACAATGACCTCGCAGGAATCATCGCCTCGCTGATCCCGACACCGCGCACCCATTTCCTGATCACGTCATACACACCATTCACCGGTGATAATATCGAACAGGCCAAGACAGTCCGCAAGACCACCGTTCTAGATGTGATGCGTCGTTTGCTCCAGCCAAAGAACCGCATGGTCTCCATCAACCCCAGCAAGACCAGCTGCTACATGAGCATTCTCAACATCATCCAAGGCGAGGCGGATCCTACCGATGTGCACAAGTCACTTCTACGTATCCGTGAACGTCGCCTAGCATCTTTCATTCCCTGGGGTCCTGCTAGTATCCAAGTTGCACTCACTAAGAAATCGCCATACATACAGCACACCAACCGAGTCAGTGGTCTGATGTTAGCGAACCACACATCCGTCGCAACTCTGTTCAAGCGGATTATTCAGCAATATGACCCCCTTCGCAAACGCAATGCATTCATTCAGCAGTATGAGAAGTCCGCGCCCTTCGCCGACGGACTGGGCGAGTTTGACGAAGCTCGCGCAGTAGTCATGGATCTTATCCGTGAGTACGAGGCTGCTGAACGTGAGGACTACCTAGGACCGGATGCGGGCAAAGAAAACCATCCCGGAGCATGAACTGGTAGAAATTTTCATTTTGGTTTTATCTCATGATTCATTGCTTTGGTAGAGGCAGGGGTTTCGGGCGCATACTCGGGCACAGGGTCGGGCGTTTCTCATTCTCATTCTTTTTCTTGTTCTTATTTTTCCTACTTTTCTTTTTTTTTTCACTTTGATTTGTCTTCCATAGACCAATACTTTGATGAAAAGCTACACCTATGCCAGCACATTTGAAATAAGGCGTAGACACGTAGACGGGACAGTGGATTCCGGGTGATCCGTACAGTTACAACGGGCCGGCTGTAGTGGAGAAATGCAAACTGCAAGTTGGTCCCAAAGAGAAAGCGTTATGGCTTTTGAGTTGGTCGAGTTATCAATGAGGTAAATACATTATTTAACTCGGTTAGAGGTAAGGTGTGATGACGGTAGGCAAAGGAAAAAGCAAAGAACCAACAATATCTTCAATGTTAGGGGGGAAATAAATTGATCGACCCGATTTTCTCACATTATACATTTCAAGTCTCCATAGTAAGTACGTGGTCATCTCTGGCTCCCCGCAGATCATCTCATCGTGCCTCACTTCCAACGCATTGACAAAGGAGACTCATCCAATTCCGCCATGTACACTCATGCTAGGCCATAGCTCTTGCATACCTGTAGGCCCACTGTACTTATCCCTCGGGCTCCAAAGCCAAAAAAAAGATCATTAAAGAGTTTTCAGGTTTTCAACGAACTCCATTCTTTTGCCACTGGAGTGGCGCGGTGTGCCACGGGAAAACCTTTGGGCATTTCCTCGGGTAACAAGGCAGAAATTGGAAATTGCATCAAAGATGTAATCCCGAAAGTTCTTCGGTTCGCATTCCTGGTTCTCGGGTCAAATGAATTGTTACAACGACATGATTTCCACGTGATGGGAATCCCAGTCAGGTGAACTTATCCTGAGACCGGACTAGGCTAGGGAGTAGACTAGACCTCCACTATGGAATTACTTAAATGCTAGGCTATATTCAGTTAGTTTGGGTTGACGCACAGTACAGCGTGTATGTTGTGTACGGAGATGGGTCTACTCTACCTGGGATATGCTACATGACGGAGGAGACGGAGTAAGAGTATGGAGTACGGAGTACTGGGACATGTAATAGCCGCTCCGATTCGCACGGGCGCATGATCATTTGGAAGGGCAACTTATTTGGGTCGCGTGCGAAGCAGCAGGTGGAAGCGCAAAAAAGGGGGGTTGGGGGTCGGGGGTTGCCTATAGTATATCTTCCAGAGCCTAAAGTTAGGGGGGGCCCGAGATTCGCCAAAGGGTAAAGTAGCCATAAAACCCATAAATCGATTATCGAACCTTCTGGGACCCGCCTCCAGTGATTCCGTCACTCTCCCACGCCTCAAACTGACTCAGCCATAAGAACTTGACTTTCTCTTCTCCCCCCGTCCCTTCCGAATATATAATACGTGTCCCGCCCAGTTTTCCCTTTCTTCTTCCCCCCTTTCCCCTTGTATCACCTTTCTACGTGGAACCTTTTCCTCTCCCTTCCCCCCTCAACTCTCCAACTCCGTCTCCAACTCCACCAGGGAACCCTTTCTCCCTCCATACTCCATACTCAACACTCAAATCTCAGTACTCAAGATTCAATACCCACACTCGATTTACCATATTCCCTCCGTCACAGCGTTAGCATTGCCTACTAGCTCCACTCGCTGATACCCATCTCCACGGTTTACCCGATCCCGGCGCTTATCTCAAACCTACTCAGCTGCAACCCGCCAGTCCTAATACCATCAACTCTCTCCTGCGCCTCCGTCTCCACCTACGCCCCTCAACAAACCTTATCCTCTCAACCCACAATCATCATGGCCCCCCGCAAGCCCAGGTGCAACTTCAAGGAGTGCAAGGAGGCTGCCCAGCGTATCGTGGGTGACTGTAGTTTCTGCGCTGGTCATTTCTGCTCGAAGCATCGCATGCTTGAGGCACACTCCTGTACTGGACTGGAGGATTGCAAGAAGGAGTCGCATGCACGGAATGCCGATAAGCTGAATAGCGAGCGGACGGTCGTTGTCAAGGGTGTATGAGTGGCCTGTAGGCCTGTAGGCTGCTGTCGCACTTCTCATACACTGTTTCTTACTCCTCAATCATTGCGGATCCTGGCGACTAGGATCTGTATTCTTTTCTGCAGGAGAAAGGGATTCCGGTGATCTGATGATCAATTTAGCCGGTTGAATCTTTAGCGCGGTGTTCATTTGTTTCTCTCCTTCGATGTTTCCCGCTCTATCTTTCTTGTCGGGGTGTTTTGTTTGTAAATGACTTTGTTGTGGCTACGGCCGGACTGATTATGATTCTTTTCTGCGATTCCCTTTTATTTTTTTTCTCTTCTGTCCTGGGTGGTGGGCCTTCATCTACATGGCGTTCTTCTGATCTATCTTTCAATACTGGGATTCCTTGCATTCGCCTGGCATGGTTCTAATCTGCCTTGATTTCGGGCCCGCTACATAGAGATCCCGTGGGACTCGCATGGGCATCATCTTTTAGCCTGGAACTTATATAAATATACCAACATTTTCTTTCAATTTCAATTTCAATTCAGTCTTATGATACATGGGTAGAATCTGTGGTAGCAAACATCCTTGTATGGATCTAGGTCTAGCCCGGTCCAATCTTAGGCCTATTCATAGTTAGCTTTGGTTCCATGCAAGAGAGACCAGGAAGAGAGAAACATACATATCATGATGCTCGCTCAGTCGACTAAGATACTTATTAAGTTCCTCCACTCGCTCCTTGTGTGTCTTGATGCCATCCCGCTGAAGCCGCTCAAGCATCTAGAGTAAGTTAGCCTCTGAAAATGAAAGACAAAGAATACTATACATACCCTTTTCCTTCGCGTTTCCTCATACTTCTTCTCTGTCTCGGTCTTCCCCACTCCCGGCTCAGGTGTAGTATCCGCACTCAAAGCATCCTTATCTTCCTTAGCCTGATCCTGCACTCCAGACTCAGGACTTTCTTTCTCTTTCTCTTTCTCTTCCACATTCTCATTCTCATTTCCATTGCCATTCCCATCCTTCTTCTTGCTCCCCTTCTTCTTCTTTTTCTCAACCCGCCCGCCACTCACTTTGCTCCCTTTCAACTTGAGCTTCCCGCCACCACCAGTGGAGTACTCGTCCGCCATGTGGACCTGAGTAGAGTAGGGTGGTATTGAAATTGAGATGGATTGCGTGCGGAGTAAGATGTGGGTTTTCTTTGGGGCCTAAATCTAACCCGTAGGAACCATAGAAACTCTCCTTTCTCCTGAAAGAGTGTAGAAGTACCTTGGGCGGGATTGCCACCGGGTTCTTATTCTGGTTTGAGTGAGCCACTGAAGCCACCGATGGAAGAGGTGTTAGGGATTGGAGATGTGAAGTTGGGTTTGGGCGGTGGACCAATCAGGGGGTGTTGGGTGGGGATGATTTGTGTTTGCGATAAGGGGATTTTCGGTACTTCGAATTGATTTTGTTGATACTTTCTGCACTTTCTAACTTTTTCTTCAAAGTTTTCACATTCTTATCTTACATCTTCTCTACGAGGGGTTGATCAGGTACGAATAGGTCATTATTTTTTCATTATTTTTAGGCTATACGTTTTCAACCTTGCGGGTTTTGACTAGTCAAAGGGAATTGGGCGCAATCCGGACCCGCCCATCCGCTTTCGCATTTCCGCACCTGCAGCGATCGTGCTAGGGACCTTGATACCACAGCAGTCACCAAAGTAATCTGTATGCACCTGTCCAGGAGGATGGTCATGTCCAGCATGGTCATGGTCATGCTCGTCACCCTCAGAGAGCTCGCCCATACCTTCCACAGCAGGTAGGAGACTTCCAAACATGAAGTGTTGCATGATGGGCAGCTTCCCCAAGACCTCCTTGACAAACATCTTCTTCATTCCACTTTCCACCTTAAACCAGTTCTTCGCACCCGATATATCATCCAGCATGGGACTGTGCCAGCGCAATCCCTTCACCGTCTTGACACTATCCACCCACCGCACTTGGTCCAGATATAGGTACTTGTCCCCTTCTTCATCCAGCAGTGCGGTATTGTGGATCCCCAGGGGTGTGATATACGGGTGATCCACCAGCTGGCTGGCACCGAACAAGAACGGTAGGAAATGGTAGTCATCTAGACCCCAGACACCATGGGATCCAGCCGGTTCCAGGTAGTATGTAGATTGAATATCCCGCATGAGATGCATATACTCGAGGTAGACCTTGAAGACCACAGCTGGGAAATCTGTCTTAGGTAGCAGACCGAGCTGGTAAAGACTCAGTAGCCACATCATGAAATTCAGCTCGTGGCCGGATCCGTAGTCAATGCGGTCCCGAGATCCTAGCGAGTGAATCAGGTATGTGGATGCCTCATCGATCGCGGCGGTATCTGTCAATCCAAGGATGTCGGTGTGCCATGTCGAGCTCTGAGTGGCAACGTCGTCAAAGAGGGTACGGAATGCAGGATTTCCAAATCGCGAACCACCCTGGTCCAAAGCTGGGTGTTTCTCCACAAGGGACCGAAGTTGCCCCACGATACTGAGGATCTTGGAGATGGCATCGGAGTTGGGACTGGTCTGGGGGATTGGGCGGCCTCTGACAGAATCGGAAAGACCAAGAACAAATGCAAGAACTAGGTTGTAGGTAGGGGAGGCAAGAAAGAGCTCATGGTCTTTAGGTGAGAGAATACGGCGAACGGGCCGGGTGTACTGGTGGGCGGAGAGTTCGGGCGGCGAAGGCAAAGGAGGGGTTGTTGGGGTTGAATCGCGAGATGAAGCGGTCCGGGATCGACCATTGCTTGACCGTAAGTCAGAAAGTTTCTTAGAAAGGTCCACCTTTGGAGCTCGGGGTGGCAGTGACAACGACGCCATTTTGGGAGTGTGATGGAGGTTAAAGACCCTGAATGACATGACAAATTAATCTAGCTCGGATCAGTGGCAGAATATCCGTACCGCCTACTGAAAGAATACTAGAAATGACGCCATATCAAGTTAGACTAGTGGAGCATGTGATCTTCCCCGGAAACAGAGATCGTCCGATCTTACTCTCATTTGCAGCTCAGTCACATTGGAAGGAGGCCACATGATGGATGTCTCAATGGGGAACAAGCCATTCTAGTATTCCTCTCCCAAATCGTGTGTGTGAAGCATTCCAGAGCAAACCATCAGACATTCTCGACCTTCTACAGAACCCCGGTTTAGAATCACTCCATCACGGGCCTCCTCGTAAGCCCTCTACGGTGCCTGGTGCCTCTGGCCGCGTACCACCTGATTATATACCATTTTGATTGGACAGAACCCCCAGTCAATGGTCACAAAGCGAGCACGCCATCATGAATACCTTTGAGCCATCGGCGTCGTCCCCGACAGGTGCCCACAGCGAACCCAGAGATATAGATTCTTCCTCATCGCGCTCACCCACCCACGTGGACTCGGGTATTTCATCGTCGGCCAACAGCAGCCGGTCCCGCTCAAGCTTCGCGTCCCGAAACTATGCCGCAGCCCAGCAATCACAGAAGCAGTTCACCGAGAACACCCCCATAAATGGATCTAGCTCATCAGCGCGTGGCTACCAAGCCACCGAGCCACCAAATTCTACCGGCGAAAACTACGAACCCACCAAGAATAGCCAGAGGAATTCCCCTGAACTCAGCAATGCCGCCAGTCCCGCCAACCAAGATCGCCAGATTAATCAGCCCAAGCCAACGGAGGAACTCCAGCGATCCTGGTTCAGCCGATTCGTGGACCGATTCGGCTCTCTAGAACTTGAGAACAAGGGTAGCGTAGCACGAGATCACTTGGCCTTGGGTAAGCATACCTTATCAGAATAGCTTATCTTGAATATCCTCGCTAACCGCGGCTAGAACGAACTTTCCTTGCATGGATGCGCACATCCCTGGCATTCGCCTCTATCGGCATCGCCGTGACCCAACTTTTTCGATTAAACACCGCCACCGCTTCTACAAAAATGCAAGATCTAGGCGCTTACACTAATCACCCTGGGATACAACCCCCTTCCTTCAACAACTTCGAACCGTACTCATCCAGTGACAACAACTCCAGACTCCGCAGTGTAGGAAAACCACTCGGATCGACGTTCATAGGCGTTGCTATTTTAATTTTAATGATTGGGTTCCACCGTTATTTCGAAAGCCAGTACTGGATTATTCGAGGAAAGTTCCCCGCTAGCCGGGGAAGTGTTGCAATCACGGCTTTTGTCGCAGTTGCGCTGATTATTGCGGCTTTGGCGGTCATTTTGGCTGTCGCGCCGAATGCATATGAAGCATGATCTTTTTTGCTTGGTTTTTTTTTTTTAGCATTATGAGGGCTTTCTTCTTGTATCTTCTTTCGCTTTCATTTTCGGGACTTTGCATTATCTGCAAGATTCTTATGTTACTATGACCTGGAAAAAATATCCCAGTGAACAAAAATACACGATGATCACATGTAGTGCAGTTATGATATACTAGCCTCAAGAGTTTGGTTGGTGTAGTTTTGTCCCATTGACTTCATGTGATATCCTGGATTTGATCCTATGCCGAAAAGTGTAAATCGTTGCAGTCAACTACGTTATACAGATGCAAAGAAGTATGAGCCCAGAAGCTTACTAGTGTGTAATAGAATAGTTCTTTCTTTTCGGTCAACAGCCCCAGATCCACCCGCGCCAGACCAGTCTAGGCACAATATAGAGGAGACAATGAGACGCGGAAACAAGATTGATGGGAAGGATATCGACAGACGGATAGCCGGAGGAAAGAAAAGGCGACAAGTCGGCTTGCAGATCATGCGGGAGTGCGAGCAAAAGAAAACGGGAAATAAAGATCAAGGTGAACAACCGCCTAAATACATCGCTTATCGCGGGCCAAGTTTTGCCAGAGCACGCGCTCCCTGTTCCTCCCACTCCTGCTTGGATACCCACATGTCGTCCTTGTCGGCAATCTGAGATTCGATGTTAGTCTGATATAAATTGAGATGAAAATGTAGGTTAGACTCACCAGGTTGGCGAGCACAGCACCACCCAGGAACACCATGTGTCTCCGTCGTGGAGGGTCTTCGATGCGGACCTTGAATTTCTGTAGGACGGTTAGCTTTCAAATGCTAGAAGTTCAATAGTATTTGAACTTACGTTCAGACGCTCGGGGTCTCCGCCCAGAACGCGGGTCAGCCAAAGTTGCTTCAGCTCCTTCTCCAATCGAGAAGGCAAGCCAGGGTACATGCTGCTACCACCACTGAGAACGACGGCCTTGTATAAGCTGGATCGGATATCGACGTCGGTGCCTTGAATTGTGTTGAAGAGCAGCTCGGCCATACCGGGCTGGTCAACGTCGACCAAGTGAGGCTGGAAGAGGCACTCGGCAGCCTCGAATCGCTCGCTACCAACACGGATCACACGGCCATCTGGAAGGGTGTAAGACTCGACCAAAACGGTGGTATCCTCTGAGAGCTTTTTGTCCAGCTCAAGGTCGTAGGAAACGTAGCACAGCTTCTCCTTGATCTGGCGAACGGTCTCGAAATCGGCGGTACGATTCAACGCATAGCCACGGCGCAGGAGAAGGGCAATCAGGTTGCGAGTAACATCGCGACCAGCAACATCCAACCGGCGGATGTGGTGGTTCAGCACGGTTGACTCGTACACGGGGATGATGTGCGTCACACCGTCACCGGAGTCCACGACTACACCGCTGCTCAGACCCTGGGCATACAGTGCCAGCACCGCCTGGATCGCTACATAGACACCTCCAAAATTGTATCCCTCCAGCATGACCTCGGCCATCTGCTCGCGATTCTTAAGCGGGTTCATCGGCGGCTCGGTGAGGAGGATCTTGCGGCCCGTGGGGTCGATCTTCAACTTGTCGTAAAAGGTGTAGTTCCAGAGATGTTGCATGTCATCCCACTTCTTGACGATACCATTCTCCATCTAAAGAGACCAATTAACAAACGCATGTCTTACCTTGCTGCCTTCTGCGGAGAGGGGCGGGGTAAGGAACGGTGATGACGGGAGTCTAATTCAATAGCGACGTACCGGATAGCTGATCTGGAGCATTGATCGTGCGGCGGCAGCTTCCTCTCCGCACATGATATCCTTCACAACAATGTCGCCAGCCTGTTCCTCCGTCCGCAAGATGGGCCGCCCCACTATCGATGGGAACTGGTGCTCTGGGAAATTCTGGCGCAGGAGTTCCAGTTAGTGGGAGTTCCAATTGTTAGAGGCCATGGGAAAACATACCTGGCCGGCATAGCCGACCTTGAGGAAACCCGTTCCTCCATCGAGGACTGCGGACTGTTAGCTTGGAGCTGGGGGGACAACACGGTCGCCTGAGGAAGGGGCGCACATACCAATGGGCACATCCGCCATGATGAAGGGAGAAGAAGATATCAGAGTCCGGGTGAATTTTATGCACGAGGATCCCGGGAGAGGGGAATTGGAGGTGCGGAGGTGGGGAGGGTGAGTGGATGGGGGGAGTCGAGGTACACATTGAAGTTGGCGGCTGCGCCATCATCATCATCGTTATTTACGTGACATTACCATACGTGATTATCCCCGCAAATTACTGCAAATTGCGGGCATCCGGCGCCCCTATTACAACGTAAGCTTCAGCCACTTCGTTTTTCATGAATAAGGAGCTATTTCTAGGGTATAGTAGCAATTAGGAATTTCCTATTATTATGACTCGATTTCGAAGTTTACCATATTTAATAAATGTGTAAAGCCATGAGGTATTATTTTGGAGGTCCCTGATGCCGCATCAAGAATCACATTGTCAGCCTACAGTTGACAGATTCATAAGGAACTGTCACTTCAAAATGCTGTACTTTGATACCTTAATACCTATATGTATAATCAGGATAGATACCCATACATTAGCATATGTGGCTCAACAGTACAGTCAATATTTTATTTTTATTTTTTTGGTTAAATTTTCAATATTTTATTGTTTTTGAGGAAAACATTACCAGTTACTGAAGAAACGAGATTCCAGGTTCCGCCTGTCTCACTTCGTCTAGAATAGCCTATTCCAATGTATATCTCCCCACGAGTATCAACAATTCAAATATTACTGGTAAAATTCGAAGACCTCTCCGTTCTGGGGACAAGATATAGTATCTTGCCTTGTTTGGTGCAGGCGAACTTTGACTTCAGACCATTAACTCCCCTATTTGCAAAAAAAAAACCCCCCTATCTAAAGAACGCTTAATCGTGGGATCTCTCTTCCGAGCCCTTTTCAAAGATATATTCGGCCCGAGACCACCTACAAGTGCTTTTGAGCCTCTTCCATAGTCAAATACATCTCCTATCGGCCGATTCCGATTCCCTCGGGAAACGGACCGAACGCGCTCCACCAGATAGGCCTCTTCAACCAATACCTTATAAACTACTGTCCCCAACACAGCATCACGATCATTTGAGTCTCCATATCACCAAGATCATATACAGCCATATAGCTTTGAGCTTGAATTGTCTCGAATTTACGCGCGCAATAACCAATCATACGGTCGTCACCGCAACGGCACCGCAGATCAGAATGACTCAAATTGGCTGGGTAAGTTGTCAGACAAGTCGATCACCAAGTAAACTCATAGTTGACACATACTAGTATGGACTTGGGTCCATGGGTCTCGCCATGGCGAGCAATTTGCAGAGACATCTCGTCGCTAAGAAGTCCCTAAACCTGCTCTACACCAACCGCACAATGTCGCGCGGTACGCCCTTACAGGCTCTGGGCGCTACTGCCGAACCAAGCTTTGAGAAGCTGGTATCGCGCTCCGGAGTCATTTTCACCATGGTAGGCAGATACGTATTGACAGTTGTGCGGACAAGCTAATGATAATATCTTAGGTCGCAAACGACTCGGTTCTACAGAGTCTCATCTCTTCTGCTACTCAATCTGGAGATTCACTCAAAGATAAGATCTTTGTTGACTGCTCGACTGTTCACCCTGATATGGTGAAATCTGCTGTTGCGCAACTAAAAGGATCTGGCGCCTCGTTCGTTTCCGCGCCGGTTTTCGGAGGGAATCCAATTGCCGTTGATGGGAAGCTGGTATTTGCTATTGGAGGTCCGAAGAGCGCAACTGATGTTGTAAAACCGCTCATTCAGGATGTGATGGGTCGTAAGGTTATTGAGTGTGGTGATGATGCTACTAAGTCTTCGTTGTTGAAGATTGCTGGGTAAGTGGTTAATTCATTGTCATGTTCGTGACTAACTAGGTCTTACATATAGTAATATCGTGACTGTTAATATGATGGAGGCTGTTGGTGAAGCCCAGGTTTTTGCTGAGAAGACTGGACTTGGTACAGGCCCCATGGAGGAGTTGATTGGTGAGGCCTTTGGTCCTGTGGCTGGAGGTTACTCGAAGAGGTATGTCTTTGGTACATGCATGTAAGAAAATAATGCACTGTTCTGACTCTTAGCAGGTTGACTACTGGAGCCTATGCACCACCTCTGGACTCTCGCCCTGGATTTGGAGTGTCCTTGGCTATCAAGGATGCGAACCACGCTATTTCAATGGCGCAGGCACAAGGTGTTCAGCTTCCTGGTCTTGAGCTGGCTCGCACCAACATGGAAGCTGCTAGAAATTATGGTGGTGAATGTCTCGACAGCAGCTCTATGTATGGAGTACTGCGTCAAAAGGCTGGACTTGAATTCTGGAATGAGAAGAGCCGAAAGCAATAGACTAATTTACCATAGAATGATACGTGCTAGTATATTTCCCTTTAAATCTCGTTTCAAAAGATATCTGAGTCATTCATGGAATGAACGCAAGACTGTTCAGCGAAAAGATAAATTTGATCCAATTTTACAACAGACATCATGACGAGATAAATCAACAACGCATCAATTTCTCGGGGTTCACAACCACCACTTTGTCTGGCATCGCAACGCCATCTCCCATCCAGACAGGCATGGTTTTCCAACTGTGATGCGTTCTACGAGGTTGTTGCCGATGACTCGTGCTACAATATTGCCAATGACCACGGAGTCTTATTGTCCAACTTGTATGCTTGGAATACAGCGATAAACACGGATTGTTCCGGATTGCAGGCAAATGAGTACGTCTGCGTTGGCGTGGAATCCACCACCACTGGCGTCACAACGCCATACCCCGTTCAAACAAGCATGATTTCTACATGCCACAAGTCTTACAAATGTTCCAGATGATACATGCTTCGATATCGCATATGAATACGGCATCTCAACGTCTTCTTTCTATGCCTGGAACCCAGCGGTCAAGACCGACTGCTCCGGTATGCAAGCGGACGAGTATGTTTGCGTTGCTGTTCGCTTAACTGCGCATGCGTTGTCTTAACTATTCAAAGATGACACTGCAAACTATTACTTTCTGTACTTGACAGTTGTTTCATATTTTCATAGTGAGTTCACACATAGGTCACTATACGAAGGAAGAAATGGAAGTTATTAGAAAGTAACCGTGTTTCATTAGATCAAGTTTCTAGCATCACTAAGGTTTACAAATTCCCATTTTCTAAAGCTCCCGTATATCGACGTGTGGTCGAGTATATTCTGGTTCGAAAATATCATGCAAACTACCCATTCCCAACTTGGGGAAGTTAATTGAAGATCTTTCTGTTGGATTTTCACCAGAGTCATAGAGAAAGTTCGTTACCTCATCTGTGAGAAGAGCGAACCTCCCACATTGCATCTCTTCCATAATCAAAGCGACTCTCACGGCCGGTCTTATTGATCGATAGCGCTTAGTCCAATCAAGCTCATCCCGCATCCGCTCCAACAGCTCAGACCAGTATCCTTCATCGTTAGGAAACCAAAGACATCCTAGCTCAACAGAGCGCAGTGAAGATGACGCCGAACTGAGCAGATCAATTAAGTCTGACGTATTGACGCTACAATTAGAAAGACCAAAATGATAGAGATTTGGCCAGTGCTGGACAGGGAGAATGTCTTTTAAAGGAACAACAGGATCCCAATTTGAATAGCCTGATGCCACTGTCAAATGGATATGAGTCAGTTCCTTCGCCAAGCTAACAGCCTCAGAGAAGCATCCGCTGGTGAATCCTGCATAGTCATATATCCCGTCATGTCCAACCATTAAGGATAGGTGAAGGTGACGAAAGCCTGGGCGTTTCATGATGGCTGCGAAATAGTTGAACTCTTCACACGGCTGGGCAAAAATCATGAAGTTAATCCCAGTAGCGAGATGTTTTGAATCGAAGCATAGTTCGGAAACAATATGGTCCTCGATCGTTGATAGAACGCGAAGGGAAATTCTGGCCCCTCTCCACAACTCCTTGTACTCTTCTTTTGCCTCTAACCATGGCAAAGGGTTGGCAACCAAACCTTCAACAGTCTCAACCATACCCTGCCACGTTTTCATTTGCCATCCCCGTGGAATGGGTTAGTTAAAGCCATAAGGAAATGCTCGGATTGTAGGTGTTGGATATAGTGGAAAGAAAATGCGGCCATGCGCTGCAGGCGTAACGGTCACTCGTTTCAGCCGTGGGAATCGCTCTATGCCATAGATGAAGGCTTTTTCATCATCCCGAGATTCGATAACCGCTTGTTGGTCCTTGAAAACTTGCGAATAGTACTTCCAGCAGTCCTTTAGAGGCATCTGTGCATCCGCCTGCTGCTGGCGAGCCGTATGGTCGGGCCTGTCTACATCGTAGGATTTTCGCTGCTTCATGCTGCGGATGTTGTCCTTGCATTCATTTAAGAACCACTCAGGACATCCTTCTCCGTCGTTGATTTGCAAAACACTGCGATCGATGTACGGCTCACCTTCCTCCCAGCACATTGGAGCCGAAACAAAACGCGCGTCGTCCCAAATAATTTCGGTGACCTGCTTCCTGAAGTCTGGATGATTCGCCACAGCGCGCAAAACCTTGATATCCAGCGAATTGGCCGAAAGAAACACGCGCGAGAATGATAGTGGCGTCGTCTCGCCTAGTATTTTGCATGCCAAGCGCAAGGATTTGAGATCTCGATTTGGCAAATATGATGCGACCCACAATAAGATCCCATCGGGTAATTGAAGAAGCCCGGGACTTCGTACTGTCAATGCGGGCTGATGTTCAGGGCTCTGTACAGCCATTGTAAGATCGTATATTTGGTGGAGGGAGTGAAAATGATAGATCTGTCGCGTGCTGGCGCAGGTAAATGCTCTCATCAATAGACCTTTTGAGCCTCAGGTACTATGTACTATTACACTTGGCGCTCCATACGAAGACTTGGAAGTATCCACTTGAATAAGACATGGATCCGTATTGAATCAGGGATTCAGGGTCTCTTAAATTACCGAGATTTGTCGGGCCAAAGGATTTCTAAGATTTCCAACCAATTGAACGAGTGAATTGAAGATCTATCTTGGAGATCGCTGTTCAGAGCGTCCCGGCAGTCGGAAAGGCTAGTACTGCGTGTTACAGCGCGGGTAATCGGAGTTGTCCCGCTTTATTATTATTATCATTATTAAGTCCTCGGGTTTTTCTCGACCTTTGGTCCTATGTAGCCCCTTAGCTAAGGTGCGCGGCTCCTTTACATATATACACACACAGGCATAGCCTCTCACATCATCTTCGTTGTAGATCTTGTTTCCCCTCAGTTTTGCTGGACCAATCGTCCCGTCTCCATTGTGTACACCGAAGCAAGAAGTGGGGAACCGTTTCGCGCTCGGCGCTACTTTCCTTCTCGCCGATGCGATGGAGGTATCAAATCAGTCGGGCGTGTCAGTGAAGTCGAAGTGCCCCAGTGGTCATGGCATAGAATGAAAATGAGCAATATTTTTTTTTGGATATGATCAAAGATATTCTATAGAAAACATTGTAAGCGAGCCTCCCTGCTTTAATCTGGATCAAGTATGTAAAGAAAGGGGCAATATAGACAAGAGCAGGAAAATTCTATATATCAAAGCGACAAAGTAGATGTTCACCCATATATGAGTTCGAAGTTGAGTCAAGTACATAAAGAAAGAACTATAACAGAATTCGAGAAAGCCAACTCCCCACCACCCACGCTTAAATAGAAGAGAATCGTAACTGATTGCTAGGACTGTAATAAAGTCCAGCTTGGGCGAGGTCCTGATAGGAGAGTGCCTATATCGAATGAGTAGGAGAGTTGCCCTGTCTCAACTCCGGCCTTATTCGTGTGGTATCTACCAGACCGGGATATGTCTCCGCGAACAATGTGCCAAGAGACCAATTGTTGAGATTGCGCATATGTCGCTCAAAGACGGGGTTGATGAGAAGCTCGTCCGAGTCACCGGCCGATAATAGACAGTCCGTGGCTTCGTATGGCCAATTCACAGACATGCCTCGGGTAAACGGGATGAACCAGTTGTCGAATGGGTAGTCTTGGTGGGATGTAGTGATCCGGTCGCGCATACGCGGCCAGGGAATATAGTCTATCCAGGCGGGGTGTGGTTGAAACAATTGGGTTGGTCGCGGGGTGAGCCATTCAGGGAGTCGGTCGTAGTTCTCCTGTGTAGGGTAGATTTGCCAGCGCATGAGGAGGAACATGGTGTATAGAACGGCTACCTGTTCTGGTAGAGAAGAGATATCGGGGAATGTTCGTAGAATGTCCGTGAAAACCTTTGATACGGGATGCGAATTGGCACTCTTCTCCGGGTTGAGTAGTGAGGAGACGCTTGGATACGGTGGCCCGACAAGTTTCTGTCTGGGGATTCCTTGGGCGGCCTCGCGTTGTCGATTATGAAGGAAGTCCAGCAGGATGCTGTCCAAAGTGCAGGTCGGCGGTGTGTTTTTGATAGGTGCGGAGAATGCGGTGGGCATTTGCTCGGATAAGTAGTTCAATGGCTGCAAGCAGTTTGGTGGAGGGGTGGGATGCGAGGTTCGCAGGGTCTCCGAGCTGCTGCGTTGGAGACGGTCGACTTTGGGGACATTCTGTGAAGGATCCAGAAGGAAGTTGAAGCCGAGTCGCTCTTCCACACCAAAGTCTAGTCCGTGGGCAGTATTCTTGGAGAATGCCGCTCGGTATGAGGCAGGCTGGATGATTCCATTGCTACTATTGCGACGGCTTGCTACAGCTGGCGCAGAATGGGTAGGAGAAGGTGTATCGTGGCTGGCGAGTGATTCGGCGTATGGCTTTTCAGAGATCGTAGCGTATGGAGTTGGAGTTAAATGATCGGACTCGGGGAAGGGAGGTGTGTAGGACAGAGGGGTGGGTCGCGCTTGAGCTAGGCAAGCAGGTAGATCTACAGATGTTAAGCCAAGTCCACGGACAAAAGAAGTAGATTGCGCATACCTGGGACTTCTGGCCTTGCCAGCAAAGGCTGAATGATGTCCATTGCTGCCTGGAGTCCCTGACGAAGCTCCCTGTTCTCCTTCTTAATCCGCTCATTGTGTTGTAAGGCAGCTTGGAGGTCGAGGAACGGCTTTTGCGATGAGAGATCCCGAACCTGCTGCTCCAGTGCCTCGATAGTTATTTTTGTGCGCTCACGGATGGCCCGCTGGGCCTGACGATCATTCGCACGCTTCTTGGCTAATTGATCCGGGGTAAGGTTGGCAACACCCCGTGCGGACGCGCTGTTTAGCTTGCGTTTTCGCCCCGCAGTCAAGGGCGCACTAGGATCATGTTCTTCCATTAACAGGGTGTCCGGGCCTAGCGAAGTCGGACGAGACGGAGCTGGCGAGTCTTCTGACGTTGCAGTAAGGGTGGGATGCGAGCGGCCCTCGATCCCCGTTTCAATTGGTGGCGACAGCGCTGCATAGTCGCTCAACCCAAGCGATGCGCGGCTGGACATGCCTCACACGCGCACTATGTAAAAAATAGAAGCCATTCAAGAGAAGGAAGATTTGGGGTCACAGAACGGGACGGTCGAATGACTCGAGTATGTGGCGAAGAGCATCAGAATTTAGTGGGTCACGTCAAGGTTTAAGAGAATCCCATCGACGGTTTTGGGGTTCGGGAAGAGCGGGAGGCCCGTCAAACATTTCCCGACTATTGAAATGATTGACATCAATGGTTTGACTAGTTCTTTGACCACCAATATTATTCAGATAAGAGTCCATGGCATCATGATCTACGGGTACTATACTCCGTAAGATACGCGGCATATGCTCCACTTCAAAATCAAAACCTGAACTCCATTTGATCCAAAAATAGATATAAGAAGTCATGCAGCATTTTTCTGAAAAGATAGAAGATCTTGGCACAGCCACCATGTTCAGGAGAAACGATCATGTACAGGGTCAAGTCAGTAGGGAATATGCAAGAAGAAAATAACAAAGAATAGGTCATGTCGATCATGTACAAGGGTGTTCCAATGGCGGGAATAAGCCACCCTCTCGTCCAGCGGACAAGGACAAAAAAAAGAGAAGAACGGGGAAATTGGGCCGCAGAATGAAGTCGAATGATTATTGGATCATATGACCCATTTTTGAGATCTATCACCATCGCTTTGTTAGCGCGGAAAAAGCTGCACGGGTAAATGCAAGAACGAACCTTAGTCCTCAAATATCCCTCAATCTCCGAACTCTTGATCCCTCGTTCTCCACCAGTTCGCCAGGCCAGAGGAACCATTGGAACCCTCTCCTTAACCAGCACTTCACGGTTAGGGCCTTCAATGGCCCGCACTTTATCCGGGTTGTTGGTGAGCAAACGAACACCGTCCGGGTTGACATCCGCACCACAGCCCAGATCCATCAACATAGCTGTCGCTAAGCCGTAGCTCCGAGCATCTGCCGGGTGTCGCAAGAGAAGATTGGCCTCGACAGTATCGGACCCGAGATCCTGCAGATTATACGCTTTCAACTTCTCACCGAGGCCAATTCCCCGACCCTCCTGTCGCAGATAGACAATGACACCTCCGGCAGATTGCGACTTCAGCGATTGTGCCTCCGCGGGCGCATCAGACGCCAGGTCTTCCACAGGGAAAGACATGAGTCGGGCAGCTTCGTCCAGCTGTTCACCGCAATCGCACCGAGCCGACCAAGCAGTCTCTCCGGTATAACATTCCGAGTGAATTCGCACGAGTGGGGGCTCAATGGTACGATTCGCAGATGATTGTGAATCAGACTTTTCATCATCAAACCAGCTACTCACTCGTCCCGGGTGCAATTTGCCCACATATGCGCCGCGGATCATTCGGTCCATCTCAGTCTCCCCGGGTCGTACGCGGTCCAGGCTACGGCTGCGAATATTGTTTCCGAACACAATGGCCAGATGTTCTTTATTATCCAAGTCGTTGAGGTAGAGGTGCAGGAACATCTCTGCGCCGGTAGTCGTGGGGATTCGCGCCCGGACGATACATTCTACCTTTGGAAGCTGTTGAAGGAGCTTTGGTGCTTTCGCATGCTCGCCTGGGTGTTGGAGATTCGCAGCTTGGTTGTGATGAAGTATTTTAGTTGGGTTCAGGTCCAGATTTAATGTGCCACCGGGGGTTGCTGGTGGAGTGAATGCGGGTGATAACAACGATTCTGGCAATGCCGGTGTCTCTTCGCCGGTCGCTGTGCTGCTTGCTTGACTGGCATTGTCATCGAAGAGGCCATCTGGTCGGCTGGTAGGGGGGGTCAAATGCGGGGCGATTTTGGGTGAGGCGTGGGCCGGTAGGCTTGCCATTGTGAGAGTTGGTGGGAGGAATTATAGAGGAAAAGTGAAACCGTTTTCCAAATCGCACCGGGTTCAATGGAACACAAGGAAGCAGGTAATTAATGTTGGATTTGCTCTTTTCTCCCTCTTCCTTTCACGGAACAAAAAGCGGCGGATAATGGCGTCAAACATACAGGCCTCGGGGCCCTCGGCATGGGGGGGGGGGGGAGGGGCGGGCTGACTCATCTCTGTCAGTGCTTACTCTAGCAGCTTCCATCGCGTGACTTTTACTCCGCCTAGATCTTATCGCTTAGTTCGGCTATATGATCAATTCTCACTCCGTAAATCCGTTCCATGTTTGATTATCTGAAAAAATTCTTGTCCTCGAGGGATCTCGACCTCCATGGATTGCGGGATGGACCAGCTTCAATTATCCACCGGGATGTTATAGTACTTAGCTGCTCTAGGCGACCCTTAATCACAATTGTATACCGCACTCGATGTTGAAATAAAATTTCCTTTGTCCAATAGGCCGGTGCCAGAGATATACTCCAGAAAGATCTCTTAAGTTGCTTGATGCGCAGAGCAGAGAGCAACCATTCTCGAAAGTCACATCTTAAAAGCTATCTGATGTCCAGGTGAATATATCACGAAGTGCAGTAAGACCTGCTGCAAGCCCTTCTGATTGATTTCCAATGGGTCATTAATCGTAGCAACAGGTAGTGCCAGCGCGGAATTTGCAGATGTAAATGGGACTTATAATTTCAGTATAAAAAGACATTTTGTTGCTTATCCGCGGTGGAAGTCAAGGTAATTATTGCCTGGTGTCCATGGGATCTGCCAAACTCCAAAATAGCGCCTCGCTAAGGGTATCATCGTCATATCATAGAATAATCTCTTGAGTCGACCGAGCTACTTGTTGGGAATGTCCAAAACGTAGCGCCGGTCGACCTCCATCTCCTTATCATCCTCCTCGCCTTCGAACTTCAGACGATATACATCTTTCTTTGCGCCCATTACCTCTGCCCGGTAGAAAGTCGTGGTATCCGGGTATCTTGCAAGGACCTGCTTCCCCGTCGGAAAAGAAGGCAAGGAGCCGCTCATTTGTGGGATGGGGATGAGAGATGCGGCTGTGGTCTTGTAAACGGCCCCCTGCTCGCCATTCTCATTGGGTTCTGGATCTTGGACATCATACCATCTGCAAAGACGTCAGCTTGCATGCGACAAGCGCATGTAAAGAGACGTACCGTTTTTTGTGACCATCACCAGAGATATTTTTGATGATGCATTGTATGCCTTCCCCTTCCACCCCTTGTTGTTTCTTGTTATGTTTGAAGACTACTTGGGCCCCCACGACGAGAAGACCACTACGCTCAGCGACGGTCCCCTTAGTTCCCTCGGACCCTTCCTCAATCTTCACTGCAACACCATCATTGCGACCCTCACGCGCCTGGGTGCTTGACACACTAGCGCTGCGCGGAACAGTCCCCTTTGAGCGACTGGACTTATCAACACCCGAAGCACCAGGAGAATCAGTCGCCGAACTCTCCATATCCGACCTTTTTTTCCTGGATTTAGAGAGCGCAGATGATCGATTTGGGGGTGCTTCAGCTTCGGATGCCTTCCGAAGCGCGGTAAGTAGCTCCAGGTTCTTGATCACATCGCACGGTTCGTCCATCATGATAGAGCGTTCCTCCTCGCTGAGTTTCTGGCTCTGGCGTAGCCAGGTATCAAGTTGGTCGTGCTCGGTCATCGTCGGTTCTTGGTTTTCAAAGTCTTACTTTTAGTTCATATCGCAAATGTGTATATATCCCGCGATCAACACGCGTCATTCAACGCGGGGGTTGACGTGGTGGGTCGTCCGTTGCGGAGGTACGCGCAGCGCGGGAGGGAATTCAGAACTCACTGTTACCGTCGCGGGTGATTTTCTCTACTAGTGTTTTGATCTGCAAGGATAATGAAGCTTGTTGGTCGAACTTGTCTTTGGACTTGCGGATGTCCTGGCAGATCCGAGTCCAAAGCTCCATTTCCTCGTTGTTGCCGAGCCCATTATCTCTAGGCCGAGGTCGATTGCGAGACATGATTATTATGTCTGTGTAATATGTTCCGAGCAACGAGAATGCGTGCCCGGGGTAAAGAGGGGAGAAGCGAAAAGCGGAGGTCAGTGGATGAGAGCTGGGGTTGGGAGGTTCGAGATCCCGGTGATAAGCAAGGCGGTCGGGTTAATCGCGCGCCTATCTTGGCATTTGATAAATCATTGACATACTTAAATGTTCTACTTGAAAGGATAAGATCTATACATGGATGGACTTGATAGAACTGTAAAATAAAGAGAGAAAAAAATTGGTCAGAGAGTCTAGAAAAGTGAACAACGTCTACAGAGTATGGAAAAGCTTCAAACTGACCCATGAAGCTCTAGGGTTGCTTGTATAGTGGATAAACGTTTAGTGCCTATACTTAGCGCGAAAGATAATCATTACGAAAGGAAATACTATTATCTAACAGTCTTATTGTCCATGCATGTCATTCGAGGTATCAATACCTCGAAGCGGAAGTATACTATGAGACAAGTGCATTGTATGACGCTTGCGGACAATATCAGGTACCTGCTAGTAGTAACCTTAGGTAACATTATATTAGACTTGAAACTACCACAAGTAGCAATAATTTCGGATGAATTCCCCGACTGTGTCCACTTGATTATTATTTATTTTAAAAAGACCCCCGGACCCTTGGATAACTTGGTAACTCACCGAGAGTCTTGGCGCGGAGTCGAAATAGAAAATCACTGAGACGCCCCCCATTTACTCGATACCAAACCCATCACGATGCAGATTCCTTTACTTCGGTTACAATGTGGTATGTCTACTTTACCCCTGTTTACCAATATACGCTAACTTATCCTAACAGGCGTCAACAGCTATGACTGGGGTAGGTTTACATCAATAACATCGAATGCCCCGCACTAAACTTCGTCATAGGCAAGGTCGGCGAGACCTCCGCTGCAGCTCGGTATGCGGCCACAACTGCCGCTCAAGATTTCGCGATCGAGGCTGAGAAGCCCTATGCGGAGGTGAGTGAGGCTTTTATTGACCCTACTTTAGATTGTTGAGATTGACACGTTGTTATAGCTGTGGATGGGCACTCACCCCTCCCTGCCCTCGAAAGATGTCGAAACTCAACGGACCCTCCTCGATCTCGTCCAAGACAACCAAGCTTTACTTTCGACAGAGATCAGCGAGCGCTATGGCGGTCGTCTTCCTTTCCTCTTCAAGGTGCTTTCTATTCGCAAGGCACTCAGCATCCAGGCCCACCCCAACAAGAAGCTTGCAGAGCAGCTTCATGCCCGGGATCCCAAGAACTACCCTGGTATGCGCCGACCCAGAAATTTGCGATGTACTGCGGGACTAATCCAGAACGTTGACTTGCAGATGACAACCATAAGCCTGAGATGACCATCGCCATCACACCCTTTGAGGGGCTATGCGGCTTCCGCCCCCTCGCCGAGATAATACACTTCCTGCAAGCAATCGAGCCCCTCCGCACCTTGATCGGCGACCAGGTCGCCAGTGAATTTGAGAAGATTGTGAAGGGGAACGAAGAGTCAGGGGATGGAACTATCGTGCAGCGAAACAAGGACGCCTTACGAGCTATGTTTACCTCGCTGATGGAGTCATCTTCGGAGAAGATCGAAGCTGCCTCAAAGGCCCTGATCGCATTGGCAGAGAGCTCGCCGGCGAGCTTCGGTACCCTTCCTGAGGTTGAGACTAACCCTAGCGACCCGGCTGAGTTGGCTGCCATCATCCAGCGACTCAACGGACAGTTCCCCAACGATATTGGCCTGTTTGTGTTCTTCTTCCTTAACTTCATCAAGCTCGAGCCCGGCGAGGCGATGTTCTTGAAGGCCGATGACATCCACGCCTATGTCTCTGGTGATATCATCGAGTGCATGGCTTCCTCCGACAACGTCGTGCGCGCGGGATTCACCCCCAAGTTCAAGGATGTGGATACCCTAACACAAATGCTGACCTACTCGTACGCTCCTATCGAAGAGCAGAAGCTACGTCCTGTGGACTACCCGTACACGGTTTTCAACGCGACGGCTTACTCGAGTGGCTCGTCATCGCTGCTGTATGATCCCCCGATCGAGGAGTTCAGTGTGGTCAAGACCGACCTGAACCGCAAGGGTGCCAAGGCCACATTTGGCCCGGTCGCCGGCCCCAGCATTCTGATCTGCACTCGTGGCCAGGGCACTATCACTATCGGCCATAAGACCGAGGAGGTTCGAGAGGGCTACGTTTTCTTCGTGGGGGCAGACGCGGATTGCATAATCCAGAACTCTGGTAGCGGAGAAGGCGAGGATGTTTTTACAACCTACAAAGCGTTCTGCGAGCTGGACGGTGAGAACAAGGCCAAACAATGATAGGCTATCAGTCCTAATACTGAATAGGTCCTGCTGGCCGTGCCAACCTGTGAGGAAATTGAAAGTGAAAGTAATGTAATGATCGAACATTAGGTGCAAATTACGCGGAAGCTTACCGAGGCTACAAGTTTGGGGGCGCGGGCCGGTCCAGGTGCGGGGACTTCGTGCTATTAAACGCTTCTGATTTTCCTCCTCCTTAGTAGTATCTATTCCGTATACTCCAAAATGTCCACATTCAAGAGAGTTGATGTCCCTGAGCTAGGATTTTGGGAAAGGGTCAAGATTCCCTTCGGCAACTTCAACATCCTCGCCAGTGTGCTCTATGCCACTTTTACGGCCCCATTCCGCGGTAATAGCTATCCAAAGCGCTTCAAGGCCCATCTTGTGACTTTAATTATTCGCAATGATCCGTACTCCTCTCGCCAGAGACAGTATGTGACTATACCCAAGGAATATCAACACGCGCCACCTCTAACCTGCTTTCCAGGTACATAGACCTGTCGACCCCAGAAGCCTACGAAACAGCCATGAAGAAGAGCGGCCTTGACACAGAGCAAGTCTCTCTTCCTCACAACGCAAACGGCTACTGGATCGGTAGCAAGACCGCCAAAAAAGTACTAATCTACTATCACGGTGAGTTGAACAAATATAGCTCGATAAACAAATGCCACCAAAGGCTTATGTAGACTCTCTCTACCATAGGCGGCGGCTTCGCCATCGCCGCTTGGCCAACCCACGTCCAGTTCTGTATCGACCTAGTCAAAGCCCTAAATGAAAACGGCCACGATATCGCCGTCTTCTTTCTACGCTACACACTGACCCCACATGGCGTCTACCCAACCCAACTTCGCCAAGCAATTGAAGGACTTCGCTACATCATCAATGAAACGGGTCGATCCCCCGCAGATGTAATCCTAGGAGGTGATTCCGCAGGTGGAAACCTAGCCATGGCAACATTGCTACACATCTCTCATCCGCATCCAGAAATCGAGCCGCTAAGTTTATCGGTGCCCCTAGCAGGCGTTTTCGGATTCGCGCCCTGGGTCAACTTTAGTCTGGACTGGCCTTCAATAACTGAGAATGCGTACAAGGATATCTGTACTAAGAAGGGTTTGAAGAGGTGGTCGGATATGTATTTGGTGGGGAGAGAGGGAGATAGTTGGAGTGAACCGAGTAAGGCGCCTGTGGAGTGGTGGGCTGATGTTAAGACGGAGACGATTCTGATTTTGGCTGGTGGTGATGAGATTTTGCTTTCGCCGATTGAGGCTTTTGTGAAGAATGTCAAGGTATGTTGTAACAGCTTGAGGTTCTGGGTTCTAAGTTCTGGCTAACGTGGTTGCTAGTCTGTCTTCCCTCATACCACTTTTGTTGTTGGCGAGGACGAGTCTCATGACGCCCATATCTATGTTGATGCTGGGGTCAAGGAGGGGACGCAGACGGGGAATGAACTGCGTAGATGGGTCGCTTCTCGTGTCTAATTACATAAGAGTATGAGCTCCCGTCTGTTTCGGGAGCTTCAAGGACCGTCTTTTGGTTCATAATAATACTTTTCGGGACAAAGATTGATGGCTACTAGATTAACGTTGTTTGAGATCCGCCGCGCAATGTCAAGACATCGGAAATAGCTAGAGAAGTGGTGTGACGTTATCAATATCTTATCGATTAGTTCAGTCACGAATATAAAGTGAAAACACAAGTTTCCAGGCACTAAGCAGAGGTCGTATCAACTCATAAACAAAGCAGGATATCAATACCCTGCTTCAAAGAACAGGCTCCACAAAATCAAACGGTGTTTTTTGCAAGATTTCAACAAAGCTCTCAAAATCCAATATCACCCAAGTTATTAGGACGACACCTTAGGCGCATACTTCGCTGCAGCAGTGTCGAAGAAGTCGCTCTTCTCCTGAATATCGGCAAGCAGGGCGTGTGATGGCTGGACCTGTTTGAGACGACTAAATGCCAACGTTAGCATATCACCAAAATAGCGAGGCAAGGGTATCACATACGCCTCCAGATCCGTGCTAGGCTTCCCTGACAGAACGTTCAGGACAATGGTGTTGGCAATCAACTCGGCGTCTTCGGGGTGCTTCTCCAGTGCGGCAGTCAGCGCGGCCTCGGCTTCAGGCAGACGACCCAGGTGGAGCTCCGCAACGGCCTGGCCGACGATGGAGAGCGGGGCAGAAGTGCTAGGGGCGGATGCGAGTTCTTCGTAAACATAGAAAGCGGACTGGTACTTGTCACCACCCTATTGATAGTAATTGGCATGTTAGAATTACAAGCATGTGGCTGCCGGGGGTCCTGTGATCACGTACAATTCTCAGGCCGACCCATGACTCGGCCAGGTTGACCAGCAGCGAGTCTTGGGCCCAGCGCTTAGCAGCCTGGACCTCCTTGAGCGCAAGGTCCGCTCGGTTCTGTTGAAGGTGAATCTGAACAATCAAGGCAACACTAGTGATAAGGCGTTAGATTAAAGCCAGTTCCACAGTGAAGCATGGGGTTTCACTCACGCCTCGAGGTTACCCTGGTGCTTAGCCAGTAGGGCCAGGGCTTCCTCACTGAGACCCTGTGCCTGCAGCACGGTAGCAGCGAGAACCTCCACAGTCGCATTATCTGGGTAGTTCTCGGAGAGGTCCTGAGCCAACTGCAAGGCGGCGTCGGTCTTGCCCGAGACTTGCTGGGCCAGGGCCTTGACAGCGGCCAGGTCGGGGGTATCTTCTTCGCTGGTGACGGCGGCGAGCACTTCAGCACTCTGGCCGAGGGCGATCTGGGCGCGGAGCTTAAGGACGCGAGCGGGAAGCTGGTTCTCGGGGGAGAGGGCGGCGGTCTCGAAGTCGATCACCTCTTGGTACTGGCCGGAGTGGAAGGCATTGTGGATGTTGAGGAGCTCTAGGAAGGATGAGTGAGCTGGGATGGGAGCATGGGGGGAATTTTCGAGGTCAATGCTTACCACCCTCTGCTGAGAAGGGATCCATGTTGTAGGAAATTGTAGGGAATTGGGGATTAGCAATGGGGGGTTAATGCGGAGGATGCGGTGTTGATGTTCCTGGGCTGTGATTGCATGCTGGCGTTTATTGCGGGACAGGAAGGTCAGCCGATGCAGGGGCAAGTGGGCCGACCGCCTTCTATACTGGAAGAACTAGAATCATTCTATGAGGCCTGTACTATATATACATACTACTACATTACTGAGCAAAGTTACGTATAGTATTTTGTGATTAATTGTTACGTCAAGCGCTTTGAATCACAAGCCCGAATTGGTATATCAGGTCTTTGAGAGAAATCCGTTCGACTTTGAAAGTACACACACTTCCTGCTGGAAAGTCATATCGAAGGGCATTGATATAAGATCTATATCTAGGAGTTATGAAGGAATTGGTTTTCAAATGGGGTCTCGACTTTGTAGATCATTGGTATCACTTTCATCTCATAGGAACAAGAAAATACAACTGCTTGAGAACAATATTTGAATAACCGTGGCTCATAGGCGCACTTTGATGAATATAAAAACATGATATTACAGTTGTCAATGTCAGACAAACTGAATATAAGACAAGAAAAGTACAGTATGAAAATGCACAGTCCGAACTAATCAAGATAAGTCAGAGATATCCGTTAAATAAGAGACTTGGGACTTCCCCGATGCCTCCTTCGATTGCATCTTTGTGATGATCAGGGAAAGTGAGACGGCACGTCGCTGTCCAGAAAAAAAAATAAGCCCCCTAACCCCTCGCCCTATCCCGAAGTGATCGGTAAGCCTCCTGTCCATGCACAACAGCGTCTCGGAATTTGCTCGCGATCAGCTTTCCAATGTTCACCTCTTCATTGGCGCTTATAGTTGCTGTGCGCGACAGAGACGATACCACAATGGTGGTTGCATCAGAGGACGGCTGGCAAGGCTCGCCGTCAGAAATTTCATGTGATGACCGTTCAACCAGCTCATTGTATCCATCCTGCCTGCAGATCTGCATGTATGCCCCAGAAAGAGTATCATCGCAAACCCTATGTTTAGGAAAGGGAGGAACGTGCTCCAGCTGAACAGGATGCTGTAAACGACTACAGAATTTCCTCAATTCCTCCAAGTCGGAGTAGTCGGAGTCCACGTCCTCAGTTTCAATATCGCCATATCGGTAGCTGGTATCGGGTCGTATCCGTCTGTTTTGACAATGAGTACAACCGACTGTACCCAATTTTGAACGAAAGCCTTATGCTGGCGTCGACCCAGCTTTTCTAGGCGACTACAGGCGAGCATGGAGTTCCAGCGGGCGTAATATCTGGTCCAGGCGGTTTGGTGGACTTCGTCGGTCCGTGGGTCAATGAATGACTTGTTCCTAGAGAATACATCGAGCCAGTTGCATGTGTCCGGGGATGAGAAGTAGAGGAACTCGTGCACAGGCATGGTAGGTATGATATGCGTACTTTTTCAAGTGGCTGGTGGGTAAGATGATATATGAGATGAAAGAAAATATTGGTTGAGTATGGAGCTTTTGTAAGCCAGAATGAGGACTTAATAAGCGAGAAGTGAATATCTTGTAAGAGATATTCTGAGGTTTAAAGAGATAAATGAAGAAGAAAGAAGTGACAGCTACGAGATCCGCCTTTATGTAACCAATATTCAGAGTATACTAAGCCTATTAAAAGACTGTACTATCGATATAGGGTTTACATCCAGATATAACAATCACAAATTCACCTTGTACTAAGCCAATTCTAGACCTCGAAGGTAGCTTGCTGTATGCCCGGTCCGTTGCCTAGTTAAGATATGGAATTTACTGTATATGTACATAGATCAAAAGAAAAGTGAAAGTAAGATGAGATTAGGGAGACGAGATACGAGAAAACGGGGAAGCCACGAGCATGCGTCTCAGATGTAGCTAGTATTGTAACGAGAGTTCAAATTTTCATAGAGTTTATGCATTATTTGTTTGTACAAGTCTACAGGAGGTCATAAAAATTATGAACAATGGCAGCAGTCCTAGCTATATTTGCATGCGTGTTTATTGTGGATATAGCAGAAACAAGAAATTTTAGTCTAATAGTACCAGAATCACCGAGGCACGCCCATCTAGCAAGAGCTCTAAATATCTTATTCTCCAACCTCTCGGTCTTCGCCCCAGCGAACTCCTTTCATGACTCTTAAGCCCAAGCTCCATACTCGGATTTGTCTACCCCAAAAGAATAGTGGAATCCACAAAATTAAAATAGCCGCGCAGATACCAGCCAATGCCCCAAATGCATTCACATATCCAGCTGAATCAATCCAGGGATTTGTATAAAACGAGAGTAGGAAACCGAATGCCGCTAGAAACGATTAGGTCCGTCTTGTATGCCCGAATATTTAGAGTTCATACCTTTGAAGCTGAGTTGCGATACAACAACTTCACCTGCAATCGGCCTATGGGCATCAACAGCGTAAACAATGACAATATTGCTCACTTGTGTAATGACGAAACCAACTATGATCGTCAGTGACAAAATCCTCGAGCACGATAACGTTACTCACGCAACCCTAGTCCCAGGACTGGAACTATCCAGTGCAAGGAATTCTGTATTCCGGCTCCATAAAGTATCAACGAAACCGGACACAGAATGAGAGATATAGTTATAGTTGGTAGACGCATCTCTGGCTCCCGGATACCACCTTGCCGCTGTGTCAACCAATCTGCAATCTTATCCGAGAACCAACCTCCACCATAAACTCCAACAAATGCTCCAATGAGAGCGGCGACATAGGTCATTCCACATTGCCAGGTCGACCATCCGTATGTGGTGGTAAATGCAGTCGCAAAGTTGGAGCAGAGGGCTACGAATGTCCCGATACAGACGGACATGCATAGTGTACCCCATAGAACAGATGGAAGGAGGAGGACTGGGAAGGGACGCCAGAAGAGGGTAAGGAGAGATTCGTTGGTAAAGGATGGGTTGAAAAGGCGCATTTGTTGGGCATATGTCTTTTTCTGGGGGATGTCGGATTCCGTATGAGATACTTGGACTTTTGTTGGATCTGTATCGGGTTCTTCTGTGTCGGCATAGGTTCGCTGGTATGCTGTTTCGGGCATGGTAAACGCAATGAGAAGGACCAAGGTCCAGATCATTCCGGCTGCGACATAGTATATTACCCGCCAGCTTTGGTGGATTGTGATTAAGCCCGAAAGAATTATACCTCCGGATACACCACAAGAGAGTGCTGCCGAGTAGTAACTGTAATATTTTAGTCAAAGCTTCAAGGTGGCAACATAGTGATGAACATACCTCATGATCTGGCCACGTTCATGGAGAAAGAATATATCGGCAATAGTGAGAGGCGCAAGACATTCAGCAGAGCCACCCGCAAACCCCATGATGATTCGAGCCGCCAGCTCCTCATTATAATCCTTGGCCAAGCCGGCCCAGAGGGCACATGCACCATACACCAGGAATGAAATGATATAAACCGGTCGACGTCCGTATTTGATTATCAGCGGCATATAAAAAAGGTTGGACATGCCCTGCGCAAACGATGTGCCACTAAACGCGTATGACAATTTGGACAATGCAGACGAGTATCCTGGATCTGTTGCTGAAATATCGAATAAATCTTGTATGATTCCAATCATGTCCACACTGGGTCCAGCCGCTAGGAATTGAGCCATGAAAATGGCGCCGCAGGAAATTACCGCGATATATATTCGGTAGCCTCTTGACCTACCAACTGTTAGAGTTGAATGAGAGAAAAGATTTGGAGGTAAGGTTCATGATATACCAATTTAAAGGATCATTTGGATCCTTCGAAGGAGTCGGCACCAGTATAATGTCATTTGTGATGGGATTTCTCAGCTGAACGCTTCCGAGAGTGTTAACATGCTTTACTTTCAAGTCGATAGAGTCTGCGCAACTCTCATTGTCAGAAGCACTGGCATGACGCTGAATTTCAATGTCACTCATAGGGGGCAGATCTCGCTTCGTTGAAAGACTATTCAGTAACCATTCCTCGTATGGAAAGTCTACAGATATAAGGGATATCATTACTGGGTATCTCTCGCTATGGACCACATGTCCCGAAACTGCAAATGCGGGGAAGTTTATGATCCAGTTACAGCGATCAGTAGGGATCGTCATACACACGCAAGCTTCATCGAATATGAGTTACTGTACGAGTCGCCAACGATAGCAAATCCAACATTGAAACGGCGAATCACAACCAGTCAATATAGATCAGCTATCGAACCAAATCTCATCAAATCTTATGATCTAAAATCTATAAATGAACAATGTGCTTTCATCGGAAAAGGTGGACATCTTGGCTGTAAAGTCGGGTCTCTCCACATCCCGATGCAAGGGACGAAGTCACTTGAAGACGATATTTCTGATCGGCAAACATGATTATGACATCAGAACTAAGGTAGCAGTTGGATTTAGTAATTCCTATACTTTAATTGCGCCACCCGTCATTACGTTAACCTCTCTTAGATGGAAGAAGTTTATTCAAATTAGTATCAACCCGCATCACATGGGATATCAATTCAGATCAAGCAGATAATCAAAAGTGAAGGTACTTCTTTGACTCTGCTTCCAATCTTCTCGAACACTCCAGGCTTCCTAATGTCTTTGGATCTCTTGACCCGTTATTCCCATAGAGCCTGCAAACTCACCAAGGATTCCGCGTAATCTCTGTTTCTCCTGTTCTCCACCAAATACCATATCAAACGACTTCTCACACATTCTTATCAGCTCAGCACGATCGAGACCGAAGTGCTGGGCAGCAAGCAGATACTCATTTGACACGGAGCTACAAAAGAAGCCCACATCGTCCGTCTAGAAGAGAACCCAAAATCAGCACTGATACTACCAGCCAAAAAAGAAAAGAACAAATAAGGAAAAGAAGAGAACGACAAGCCCAAACTCACACACAAAGCAATTGGGCAATCCTCAGCCCTCCAAGATCCAAAATGATGATCCACAAAGCCCCCCTCAATCATCTTCGCATGCACATTACAAGACATGCATAACTCCAACCCAAGCCCCCTCTTCACAATCTCTGCCTTAACCTCATCAGGCACATGAATAACATGACCTAGCCGATCAGGCCGAAACGCAAGCAACACCGCCAACTCATCCCGCAAGCCCACGGCCGCTGTCTCGGCAAAGTGCAGCGTAAGGCCCAAGCCATGCGCCTTTGCTCGCGCAAACGCGTCACGGTAGATACTGACATCACCCTGCGTCGGGTTCCCGCAGAGGTCGACACCGACAACCCCGCGCGACTTATTGGATATGGCTAGGTCGATGATTTCCTCTGCTTCAGCGGCGGATGTGTTCCCGCGGTCGAGAGCCAGGATGAGGAAGATAGACATATCGGTGTGGGATTTGAAAGCTGCTATTGTGTTGAGGACTGTGGTTAGATATTCCTCTCTGGTGACTTTTGGGGATGGGCGGGGAATTGTGCGGAGTTCTAGGTAACGGACTCCGTCGTTGTGAAAGTCTTGGAGAACGGAGGTGGTGGCATAGGCCAGACTTTCGAGGTCATTACATAGTTGGTAGATGAGTTTGGAGAATACTTGGAAGAAGCTTCAGGGTGTTAGTGGGATTGAGAGTTGAGAGGTGATTTCTCATCGTATTCACCACCTACGTCTGCAGGGTGTAGTCGACTTTGCCTGGGGGCATCAGCACGAGTGGATCCTCGACTTGAAAGTTTGGATCTTTGATTTTCTTGTTCTTCCATATCTCATGCAGACATTGACGGCTGATACTTCCGCTGAGATGGGCATGGAGCTTGGATGAAGAAACTGTCAGCTTGACAATCCTAGAAACAGGGCAAAAACAAGTTTGAGCGACACACTCACCTCAACCTTCGGTAATAACTTAGTGAAGCTATCGTCAACCGGCTTAGCTGAATTCATGGTGGATAAGAGTCTTGCCTTTCTGGCGACTGGAAGGTACAGAGGAGGGGCAAGAGTAAAAGATATTGTCCGCCTTATTGCCTTATCAGCGACAATCACTCATCAACTTCCAGTCTCAATAAGTCTCTTAATTTTTTGTCTATTCAACCTTGAGAGCCCCAAATGGTATGCATATTTTAGTATGTAACCCGTGCTATACACATTCCCCCATTGCTTCGATCTGCCAACTCCACCCAGTTGAACACCTCGCAACCACGGTTCCGCCCTTCGGGGAATCAATCCGCAAAACGCAATTCCCACACGAACTTTTTGGTAGCGAATACGTCAAGTCTCAGATCTAATTGACTTATCCCCAGAGTTTCAATCAATGGTTGGGATGACGCAGGGGCCCATGTAATTATGAGAATAACTGGAACGAAGGGCTTAGTGTGTATTTTTCCCATGACTCCATGACTTTTCATTTGAACTGTTTCGTATCCGAGGCCCAACCAAATATCCAATCCCCCTTCACTGTAATTTTTGTTTCGCAGTTTCGCATTAATTGAGCCTCGGGTCCTAACGAGTGGAGCGGGGGGCAGGCAGATTATTCTATTTCTTTTACGTCAACCGAATATTCGATTCAATCCAATTGTATAATACAAACCCAAGAATGAACTAAAGCGCATTAATCTAACCATGTCAAGAATCAGAAAACAGGTTAATGCGGTATATATGAGTTGTCAAATCTCCGAATTAGTGTTCATACTGACGACGCGAGCCCCTGGATTGGCATGTTTCAGGATATGCGAACAGGACGAAATGCATGCAATACAGTATGGGGAAACCCGAGATCCTAATAATAGCGATCGGGTTTGAATTGCCGTCCACCTTGCCAAGAATGGGAGAGAATCCTCATTCTAATTTCTTACCGTAAGCCTCTCTTCTCTTCGCACGGAGATCCACGGCTAGGATTTAGTCGCCAAGCCTGCGCTCGAGCACTTAACTAGCAAAACGGTCTGAGGCCGTCCCGTGCCGTCTAGCACTGTTTCAGAGAGTTCGCCTTACGAATACAAATGATAGGTGAGGAATAGGGTATACATCAGGACCAATAGGAGCGATCATCTATCTGTCTGATAGTTCCTGCAAGTAATCATGTCAAAATAAGGCGAAGTCTCGAACTAGATTCCATGCGATTTCTGGAAGCCACGTTGACCACAGCGGATTTCCTAGTGGAGGTTAGATTCAGATATAGTGGGGCCTGTTTTCCGTTCAGGCCCATATTCTGTCCAAGTCTTACGTGGTACGCCTTAAGAGTGATGTGTTCTTTCTCACCCCTAGACTTTTGTTGACGAGCTGTTTGAAATAGACAATGCAAATCCCCCACGGCTCTAAGTGGTTACGAATCCTGTTTCCAAGGTTTGAACATACTACCGTATCAGGGATGAGGCTTCCGCGTTATGCCGCCCAGGTCGAATGTGAAACGTACCAACCCCGAACTTCTAATCGTGCGTAGATGAGCTCGTAATCAGAAATCACGCGACATGAAATAGGACAGTCTCTTACTCGACTAGATCTTCTGAGGTCGTTGAAACGCAATCTCGGAAACGGCACAATATAATTACGGGCCACTCGTTTAGACCAGTAACGGGGCTTGCTATAGTCCAACCCTGAATCCCCACCGATACCAGCAAGTGATGTGACAAGAGCGGAAGTTAAAAGTGGACTGATATGGGCCACTCTGATGCGAATCACTTGTTCCATGATATGATTGGGTTTGGTTCAATCTCAGCTCAGATATCAGCGCCACAAATACCCCCAATGCATTCCAGTATCAAGGATGAAATCAGGCGACCTTCCTAGATGGGAGATTATTCAATTCTCTGATAGATTCATTGCTCATCAAGGTCAAGCAGTCTGAATTTTGATGACATCCAGCGGGCTAACGGGCCTTGTACCCGCTCACAATCTCCGAGAGTCTACATTGCAGCAAAGCAACATGTTTCGAGGTCGCATGACCCCAAACAAAGTTCCGTGATGGAAAAGTATCCGATAGACTTTCCCCGCGAAGAAGCGGTCGGTCCCTGATCAGCAAGGCGCCGGAATCTCTCGGAGAGGAGAGGGGGTTAAGAGACTCGTGCAGATCGACCACGTTCGAGCGGTGAGGTAACCGTAGGCATCGAGAATTTATCATTGGCGCCGGCCGGTGGTAGCCTTTTCCGTTGGAGGTCGTTATTTCAAACATAACTGGGAAGCATCGTTAATCCTGGACGGTGACACGCCATTTGTCGGCGCGAACCATCGCTTCTCCTGCCGTTGCAATGTTGCACCAACAGCTCCCAGCCTGGGACAGGGGAATATAGCAGGGTCAGATCTAGTGCGTCACATGAACAGCCAGTTACGATGGTTGAAATAAACTCCCATTTTGGGAAAATTGGGATATGGACTGCGCTGGACAGCCACGCGACGCGATTCGATCAGTGACTGAATACTCTCCAGCATAGAAACGGGTCACTGCATTCGTGGAGGGCCCGAGGATGACAGAATGACCCTCTTGCAGGAGGGCTGATAAGTGGGGGCTGGGTATTAGAATAACAGGGGTTTATCAAGCATCGAAGACGCATCGAAGGATCGAATGGGGCTGTGTCGGGGTGGCTGCAGGATGAGACGTCGCGATTGATGTGTCGTATAGAGGAGAGATGCGCTGTACACCGTATATTCAATTTGATTCTTCCAGATTATATTTTTTAGTCATATGAAACGTGCAGCAACACGATAGTCAACACGTTAGTTCAGGTAAAGTGGCAATGAGAGATACCCACCTTACACGGTATAATTCATAATTCACCGATACTTGAATAGAGTTGTTCAGGATGACACCTTAACAGAAACAGTAGATTTGTCAGACAAAGTATTTGACTGATTTACCTATAACCCAGATATTAGATAGGTCCAATTGAGGCGCAACGGTTCCATCCCGCCGGGTCTTCCTATAGGGCCCCCCAGTACCGAAGGATCCGCCGTATGGAGATCGGGGTAAGGGAGATGAGTCAATCCCAGGAATGAGACCCCCTTCTCTCCTGAAGATCCGTGATACTAATGACACATTTTTATCGATATTTTAAAAATTGTCCCAAGAATGATGTGCCCCTGAAGCTTCAACGGTGAGTGGCGGACCTTAGATTCCCCTGGCTTCGATTAGCTTAATAGCTGTGTACCATTAACGAGATACCACTTGGTAAACGTATATACCGGTAAAAAAAACCGTAATGTTGTTTTAAACCCGAGCGGTGTCTGTAATATTACATCTTTCACATACTGTAATTATGGGGGCTCTTGACGCGCTTCATGATGTCATGAAAGTTCATCATACCGTCACCAAGGCATGGGGGAGATAAGATGGATAGTAATCTTACTTAGTAGTAATCCTTTGGACGTAATCCAACTTCTTGGAACCTAGTACTAGTACTGTTACTGTGGTATTGGACCAAAGTCTCCCAGAAATACTAGTCCCCACAGAATCATAAGAACAAAGGGAGAAACAAATGTTATTTCAATTCTTTCTAATTCCTTTTTGTTCGACGGGTACGGTAGAGCGGGAACGGTAAAGCGGGGATGTATCTAGGGCTGTTGATCGTAGTCAAGGAGCGGCTGCGAGATTGACTGGTATTACTTACCTGCAGTGCAACTCCCTTGGTAACTAGATTACTAGTAGGATTTTCTAGTCTAGGTGGAGACCAATTCTTTCTCTCGAGTTCATTTGCCACCTTGAACCCCTGAATGAAAATAAATTTCAATCGAAAATTGAGCATTGAGGGAAGAATTGAAAATGGAAAAGTTCTCCTCTAAATCGTAGCCTAGAGAAAGTTGAGCATAACCACATGCATGACAGCCTTTACTAGACTACTTTGGGGGTATGAATACGTAGACAACTTTACATTTTCTGGGGACTCTTCATACAGCCACTGTATGATGACGAGGATATAATACCAATGACCCTGTCAAGCAGTGGGTCCCGTTCTACCTTTCAAGCCAAATGGAAGAAACCAAGAATCTTGGAAGGAATCATTCTCAGACATGCCCCAATTAAACCCTAATTAGGTTAGTTTAGAAACGCCCTACAGAATAGTTTTCTTTTCTTTTTTGTCTCGGTTCTCTTTAGAGCGACTATTTTAGGATCATGATTGGATCCTCATTTTAAAATGCAGTCACGAGGACAATATCGACTCCAAGGCAATATTAAGGCAACGAGATACATGTAGGAAAAGAGTGAGGCGTACTCCTTATACGGAGAACCTACGGCAATCTGAGGAAGATTCCGCCACGGCGCCGACTAAACCCCCCTCTTTTCCCGCGATCACCAAGATTGTCGGTCGCGACTCCGTTTTTCTTGACTTGGGCCCGCTAACTGGCTATTGACACGAGGAAACTGACGATAGGTGGAGCGGTCTGGTGAAGCTCTGACCTCACGAGCACGCGAGATAGATATCAACGCCCAAGTAACACTACATACAGGTCAAGTCTCTTTCTGACTGGTCGACAAATTTGGAACCTGAGATGACGAGATGGGATGATGCTTCACTGATAACGTGGCGTCGACTGCATACTAAATTTATTATCTTCTGATCTTATCGACGAGCCGAGGTGGTCAAAGCCGCCACAACCGCCCGTCCACGATAGCGCACGGATCTGTAAGAAATCCAGGATCAGATACAAAGTGAGTCATCAGCACGTGAACTCGCGCTGAGGACATCACGACACGTTTGTTTACCTTAATTGGATACATGATCCCGGGCGGTTCCCGGGTGTCATATTGGCAAGGTGTGCCGGGGTGAGGAAAATCTATTGGCAGAGATTGGTTTTGCCCTGCAACGGGGCATGCATGCATGCGAGGGTCAGATCAATGAGGGGTCAGGATATGGCAATGACCTTCTCACCCGGGTGTAGCGGGATGCGAATCAGGCCGAACAAAGACAAAACAAAAAGAAAAAGAAAAGAATCAAGGAAAGCCCAGCTTTTTGGCCAACGCATCAAGTAACCGCGGGGTTGGCCCCCGCAGTGTACTTGAAAGTTGACACTATCCGGAGGATAGCGCGGCTTGTCGCATTCTAATACCCCTCAATTGATTATCAGGGACCGGAGAGACTTGGTCTACATTTTGGTTATGCGATTGAACCAATACAGAGTACTCCGTACAGACCGCTCATTTGTAGATGCGGTCAAGGAAAGTCATTTCAAAGGACTAAAAGGGAAATAAAAACATATTCGTTCGTCGAACTTTATGACGATCTTGAAGAGAAGTAGTAATGCGGGGATCCACTAAACTCCTGCGCCCAAAACGTTTCACTGCCACTCTCCAGCCTCAGGGTTCGCAAGCAACAACCCTGCTCTTCTTTTTCGGGCCCGAGTAAATGACGGTGTGTCCATTATTCTTATCACCTTCTATCCTTTATTATCGGAAACTGGTTGGACCACTCATGCCCCACTTATTACTTAATCTTGATCGAATAGGGGAGAATGATGATGCGCATCGTGATCGCCCTGTGGCACACACCGCGAAACTGTTCTTTTGGCTACTCGTCGTGGCACCCTGTTGGGCAGAGATAGGGGCCTAACTGTTAAACAGAAACATAACCTATCGTCACGATAGATGGAAAGGGATGACAAGGTTCAATCAAGTTATGAAGACCTACGCGATCAAAACGCAAAAAAAATGTAGGAATCCGAGGGCCCCGCATCTTCCCCCGGGGACCAACGTGTCGGTATTAGTCTGTTAGATGAAAACACATGACATAAAGGTACTGATATGACGATGTGGGGTATACAAAAGTTGTCCTGTAAATGGTAAATTAGCTAACTAGTACATAGCACAAAGTCCGCGACTCAAAAACATGAGTGTGGGGGATCTGGAGCCCGGCACGGCTAGTATGGAGTCAGTGTTCAGACTATGGAAGTTTGAATGGAATAGAATGCCCCAGTCTGTGGGGTTCCTAGAAATCCTCCGACGTCTAGTTAAATATCCCCTTTTCTCTTCTCCTACTAGTATTTACCCCCTTGTCTCTAGAAATCGTCATAGTATTTGGTATTTGGTATTTGGTATTTGGTATTTGGTATTTCTTTCTTATTTAATATTTCTTTCACTTTATTCGCATCTGAAACACTGATCGCCCTCCCGTTTGGCCGATAGCATTCCCCAGTCTAAATAGGGATCAGCCAATGATGCCCCAACCTTGAGATCTACCGGGGTGATGGTTATGGTTGGCGCCGGTCATTCCACATCGTCATCCTATCTCCTACCCAGATTAGCTTGCCACGATGATAGGATATTTCAGGGATGTTATGGTTAAGAGTCACACCGTTTGTACCTGAATACCTAACTAAAAAAATTGCATTTTATCCAACCTTGGACCGTTGCTATGCGTTGTCCTTTCTAGTAAATTATTTAATTGAGGACGTGCCCTGACTTTCTTTTCTTTTTCTGTTCGCCCCCATTGGAACCCTGCTTCTAAGGTTCTATAATTTCGTGTTTCTTTTTTTAAACATCCTTTAGCCTCATCCTGGCTATACATAGAACGGAAACATACTGGTTCTCTACGGAATACGCAAGTCTTTTCGTCTTAAGAATCATACCATATATCAAAACACTATACGGAGTACAGCAAATCATTTGGAACCGGAAACGTCCAAAAACATCCCAAAGTCAAAATTACGGGGTGTTTCCACTTGGTAATACCAGACCCACTTGGGACAAATTGATACCAAGTCAATACCAATACAGGTACTGAGTAAGTTAGAAGCAAGAAGTGACCAGTACCCACTCCAGCTTCAAGTCCAGCGGAATCTCTGGGATTGGATTTCATTTGAACATTTATTTTTCCTGCTTTTTCCCCTTTCCTTAAAATCCTCAACTTCAAATCTTCAAATCTTCATCTTCTCATTCCTTTCCAGGTTCAGTGAAAATAAGGACAACGCCGGTTTTGTTCTACTCGGCTTCTTTGTCAATTACCTGCAGTTCCCGCATACCTAGTGGCTACCACGTAACCGTGCAGCAACTGGATCAGCTCACCAAAAAAAACCCCAAATTATTCAAAGGATATTAAAATCGACCGACACTAAAAAAAACCCCAATTTTCACTCTAAAAATCAACATCGGAAACTTCTCTAGGCTCTTCGCCGATTACTCGTTTCCTTTTTGGACGGCCTGCATCCACTGCGTTGGCAGTGTCGCAATTCCCGTTTTTCCTTCATCGCATTCGCCGCCCTCAACCTATTTGCGCCGCAAACTTCCCTGCGCCAAAGCACGGGTACTCCCATTGCCCATTGCATCCTTAGTCTCCAAATCGTCAGCCAATCGAAGAGTCGCAAGGCGAACTAAGGTCATAATCCCTGGTCATTTTTTTTTCTCGACACAGCTTTCCTGGCGCCGCCTTCCGAACACGCGACTGCAACCTTTTCTGGGGCTCTTCCTGATCGCCGGGATTGAATCCGCATATGCGCGCATCGTCCGGCCTCTAACTTGCGTTGTCAATCCTCCTGTCTCCACCGAAGCACAAGCAAAAGCACAAGCACACGGCGCATTGCCTCTCCCTGGTTCGCCCAGTCGTTACTCGATCAATTGGTCCATTCTGCAACCGTTCAGAACCCCTCTCGCGTGCAGCTTTCCCCACGCAATCGGCAGATCGACAGAAAGAGAGGGGTCACTGTGTGGTTATCAAGGGACTTCAGCTGGGTTCCCGAAAGAAGAAGCCTACATATCTGCGGACCGGAACCTTGGCTTTGGAGATCATTCCTATCCGGTCTGATCCCCTCTTGCCCAGGGTGACGTCTACTGTGGTTAGCATCGGGCTACCTTTTTCCTGATAGATCAGCCATTGCAACGGGGCCAGTGCCCTTTGCAATTGTTATCTGGGACTTCTCCCCGATTCTGATTATCTTATCCAAAGTCTCTTGCTTTTTCTCGGCTTTTCTCCGTGAGGTGCTCTCCGGCAGGGCTCTCCGCATTAAATTCTAGTCAGGCCAAAATGCAGATTTCAAGAACGAGTCATCTCTGCTGAGGAACGTGGCTGAACTATCATCTCTGCTTTTCTGACTGTGTCAGGATCCGTTTTCTTCCCTAGTCTCGGATCTCTTTCCAATCCTAGCTTCTATCAATTTTGAGCGGCCGGCTGGTTCCCTGCCCTTTATAAGAGTCCAGGTGACTCGGGCATTGGCTCGCTTTACGACCTCCCAAAATATTTTTTCCTTTATCGACAGCTGAGCTGTCCTGATAACACATTCAACATGGCCTACACGGCGACTTCACCACCGGCTCTGGATGCCGACTCCCACCCCAGCTTAACACTTGCTACCTCACTCACCCGATCTACTTCTCTCCACCATGTTATTACCTCACTACCGGGGCAGAATGGTTCTGCCACGCCATCTTTTACCTCATCTCCCACATCTACTCCCGCCTCCGCATACTTCGCACCTAACACACCAAATGGCTTCACACCCGCCGGCACTCCGCTACAACCACCCAGCGAGGGACCACGAGGCCGCAACTTTGAATACCCTCTACAGATACCTGCTCCGCTTGAGCTTGGCGAATCCATGATGGCGATTCCTGGCAACCCGAGCTCCCTAAACTCTAATGACTGGATTGCCCCGAGCTCAAAGGGACCTGGCTTGATGCGGAGGATATCTCGGGGTGCGGCCAACAAGCTCACTCGAAGGAGACAATCTGCTTCTCAGAACGAAAAACGAGATCGAAGCTCCGGTCCCGTGATCATGCGCCGACGCAGTGATAGCAAGACAGGCCCTCAGCCTGGTCGAGACAACGCATTGGACTCTAGCAATGAGGATGAAGCTAGTGAAGCGTTGGACGGCCTGGGTGCGTGGGCTGGCTCTGAGCCCTCTAGCCTCCGCAGCGAAAGCCGAATGGCGTCTGCTCGCGAGGTTGGTGCTGCTGCTGCCGCCGTGGCTGCCGCCGCTGTCGTTGCACCTAAGGTGGATTCCGCGCTGCAGCGTGGAACTATCCTGACCAAGCTCACGAAGAAACGGCGCAAGCAAGTGCGCTTCTTTTTGGACTTGGATGCTGGCAAGGTCTTTTGGGATCTTTCAAACCCCGCAAAGCGTTTTTACATTGACGATATCAAAGAAATTCGTGTGGGTGCGGACGCCCGCAACTACCGTGAAGAACATCAAATTCCTGAGGATGCGGAGCGGAGGTGGTTTACCATTGTAATCGCGGATTCGGGGAGCTTCAAGGGCCGAACAGTGAAGACCCTCCACCTCATTGCCCCTTCTGACCACGTGTTTGAGCTGTGGACTACCACATTAGAGCACATTGCCCGGTACCGGATCGGTCTGATGGCTGGTATGGCCGGCTCTGGCCAAAGTGAGACTGTCATTCAAGCTCATTGGCAACGTGAAATGTCACGACTATTCCCGCAGGGACCTCTTCCTGGCGAGGAACAAGGTCTTGACTTCTCCGCCGTCGAAACTGTTTGCCGGACTCTGCACATTAACTGCTCGAAGAACATGCTTCGGGCACAATTTAGTAAAGCGGACGCTTCTCGAAACAACAAGTTGGACTACCCTGCATTCAAAGATTTCCTCTCACGCCTGAAGGAGCGCAAGGACGTTAAGGAGGTCTACAAGAGCCGTTCCAAGGACCCAAAGATTGGCATGACCCAGGACGAGTTCTTGGGATTTCTTCATGACGTGCAGAAAGAGGATGTCGATTCCGATCGCACTTACTGGGTTGCGCTGTTCGACAAATTCGTTCGCCGATCCAAGCGTGGCTCTGAGGTCTCTGAGGTCTCTGAACTAACACCTACTCCGACTCGCATGGATCTTGATACATTCTCCTCTTATCTGGCTTCTTCGAGCAACGGCATCTACGCATCCCGTGCCCCCCAGTCCAGATTTGACCGCCCGTTGAACGAGTATTTCATTTCGAGCTCTCACAATACCTATCTGCTTGGCCGTCAAGTTGCCGGAGCTTCGAGCACTGAGGCATACATTAGCGCACTTCAGCAAGGTTGCCGTTGTGTTGAGATCGACTGTTGGGATGGTGCCGATGGCCGTCCAATTGTGTCTCATGGACGAACCATGACCACTAGTGTCTTGTTTGCTGACTGCATTACGGTGATTAACCGATATGCCTTCATCTCATCCGCCTTCCCGCTCATCCTTTCCCTGGAGGTGCACTGTAACCCAGAGCAGCAGTTGGCCATGGTCAAGATTATGAAAGAAACCTTTAAGGAACAACTGATCCTTGAGCCAATCATGACCAACTACTTCATTCTGCCATCTCCAGAAGAGCTCAAGGGACGTATTTTGGTGAAGGTCAAGACTTGCGACGAGACGCAGAGCGATCCCCGCATCGACACTACCAGCACTGTCGGCACCCATGGCCGGAAGCGCAGCTCTAGTTCGCCGTTCATTCGCCCGACTCCCTCACCTGAGTCTCTCAATGGACCAATCCAATCACTTTCGAGCCCTCCTACGATGATTGGAGGTGCCGTTGATGGCATTGGCCCTCTTATCTCGCAAGACAGACGCTCTCTCACGGCAAACAGTATGAGTAGCGCCACAGAGGACAGCGACGGAGCATTGATCTCTGCCCACAGCGAGAAGAAGAAGCGACGACGCCAAAAGAGCAAGATCACCAAGCCTCTCTCAGACCTTGGTGTCTACACTCGCGGCTACAAGTGGCACAGCTTTTCTTCGCCGGAGAGCAGAAAATACAACCACATCTACTCCTTTGCCGAGAGATCCTTCGAAAGCATTTGTCAGACCCACGACAACAAGGTTGCACTGGAATCTCATAATCGGAAATTCCTCACGCGCGTTTACCCTTCAGGTTTCCGACTTCGCTCATCCAACTTTGATCCTAACAAATTCTGGCGCCGCGGTGTGCAGATGGCGGCATTGAACTGGCAGACTTACGACATTGGAATGCAGATGAACCAAGCCATGTTCGCGGCTGGAACTGATCGCACTGGTTATATTCTTAAGCCCGAGAGCCTCCGCTTGCCAGTCCGGGATAACGACAACCAGAAGCGCAAGACGGAACGACGATTGGTTCGATTCTCCGTTGATGTGATCTCGGCGCAGCAGCTTCCTCGACCTCGGACTATTGGTCCGGAAGACAACATCAACCCCTATGTCGAGATTGAGATTTTCAGCGCTGATGACCGAGGCCAGAGCTTGGCGTTCGGTGAAGGTGGCATGGATGCCTCTGCGCGGAGCGGAAGGTCAGGCATTGGATACCCGCATCGTCGTCGCACCAAGATTGAGCAGAGCAACGGCTATAGCCCTGTCTTCAACGATCAGTTCAAGTTGTCTCTCGAGACCAAATACCCTGACCTGGTGTTCGTGCGTTGGACTGTCTGGAGCTCTTTGGATGGTCGTAGCGCTGGCAACAATAACAGCGTGCAGCTGGCTACCTTCACTGCTAAGCTCACTAGTCTGTCTCAGGGATATCGCTACCTACCTTTATACGATGGAAAGGGTGACCAATATTTGTTCTCGACTTTGTTTTGTCGGATCTCTAAACATGACCCTGTACCTGTTCAACGACTGGACTTGGAAGAACTCCGCGCCGAACGCATGGGCATCTTGCGACAAATTGGCCAGACAGTGTTCAAACGTTCTTCATCCACCGACCGTGAGAAGGATCAATGTCAAGATCGGAGTGATTCAGTGAGCCCTGAAGAAAAGGATAGCTCTCCAAGCCTCACTCCGACCATCTCCACTACATCTACCTCATCACTCGTGCCTTGAGCACACTCCCTCTACCCCTCTACAAATCTGCACCTACACTTGAACCATGAGTTCAAGCCAACCTCTCTCTCTCTCTCTCTCTCTCTCTCTCTCTCTCTCTCTCCTCCCTCCCATCTCCCCCTCTCGGCTCAAAGCCCAAACACTCTTTTGCATCTGATGAAATTCGTTCCATCTCTGCCTGTCAACATTATCACGGAATTTTTGTTTCCTACTGCCATACCCTGTCGCATCGATACCCCTTGTTTTATCCGTTGTGTATCATTCGTCATTTTCTCTGTACTATCTCCTGGAAGGCCATTTTGTACTGGCAGGGTATTTTGTTCTACTTTGCTTATCTCGTTATTTGCGTCTCATTTTACGGGCATGGGAATCATATCTGGAATTCAATTCTCAATTCGGTTTCTGCGGAACAGTCACCAACCATCCACCATCCATCACATCTGCGGGAGTCACATCAGGGAAAGGCATCGTGGCTGGTTCACCGGCGCAACATCATCACATTTTAATCGGGCATCTTGCGGCATTCATGTTTAAGGAAGGGACATCGGGGTCCCCATTCGCATTTTATTTCGGTTTCGGTTCGGTCATGGATCCAGGCGCTGATATTTACAGCCTTTACTTTTTGGTTCTGGCTTTGGTCTTTTTTCTTGCTATTCGTGGCTGAGTCATTATTTGGGATTTAGGATCGGATCAGATACTAAAGTTGAAGGTGGGCGAGAGAACTATAGCGCCTATTTACTGCTTTTGGTCTTATCCGCTTTCTTATCTTGATTGTTTTAATACATGACGCGCTGGATCGCATGGATACTTTTCATACTTTTTCCGGTCTCTCCACATTTCCATTAAAGGACTGTTTCAGTGATAGATCAATCTCAACATCATACCATAAACTTGCCATTATTTTCCCGTAGTTTTCCCCGGCAATTTCACTACTGAAAGCTTCTACCCCTGACCTTGAACAGTCCCGCATGCTCCTGTGGTCTTACAGGAACCACTGTCTATCGGATAATAAAAATCATCGATTCCCATGAGAACTAAGACCACCGGCCAATTTTCCAATGCTTGCTGTTGCATCTGATAAATATGGGGCCTTGGCTAGACGACAGCTTTTGCAAATGAACCGACTATCTTCAAATGACTTCCATCTTGAAGTCGAGCGGAGAGCCTCTGCATTTTGTACATTCTTATGTATATGGAAAGGGTTATGCAGAGGGCCGATGGATTCAAATGTTGGTTATGCAATTATGGTGCTGGCAATTTTGACCTACATTAATATTGGAGTGTACTTGAGATGCAATTCATGGTGCAACTTAATTTATCCCATTATTTAGGATCTCTCTAAAAGATTTCAAGTTGAACAGAGACAGTATCCAGCAATCTATGACCAGGTGTAGAGTTAATCTTCCGTGGCAGTTGAAGCAGTTGAATGTGCTCTTTTTACATCTAGAATATGGGGACCTGTGAAATCGACGCCGAAAATGACAGCTTTCGACGCCAGAAACGGCCTTCTTTCCACCCGTAACATTTGCAGGGGAGCCAGCGCTTCACCGCCCCTGTCCAGCACCATCACTATTTTGCACCCACCTAGCGTCTTTAGTCATCATCAACCGGCTCTGATGTTTGGAACTTGTTCGACATTCATTCCCTTAGATTCCACTTGCGACCGAAACGACGCCGAAAATGGCTTCCCTCTTTAGTCCCATCCAGGGTCCCTACCTCCTCGCCCTGCCTGGCTGGGCGCCTATAAGATGCTCGTTCCCCCCCCCTCTATCAATGTCCTCACAGCTCCCCAATTCTCTTCTCATCTGTTACTCCCGACTCCCAAATCGACTTCGCGAACCTTGCTGCTCGTGTTTCCAGATTCCACTCCTGGTCATTCATCTTTGCTTTCCCCAATGACAGGTTCACTCGTTCGGTCGGCTCAGAGTGAGGAGCACCAATACTGGACTGATCCCATCCTTTGCGAGGAAACTCGAGCCAGACTGGAACATTTCCGTCGTTCTGGATGGCTTCCTCCAAACTTCAAACCAAGGACCTTACAAGGTATTGCTGTTGTCGAACGCTACTGGCGAAAGTGAGTGTGGATATCTCCAGGATCAGGCACCGTGGATAGGTTTAACTCACGAGAATAGATTTTCCATTCAGTCGGAGGCGGACTATGTGGACCATCTTCTGCGGGAGGATCAAGCGATCTACATGAACTTTTTCGACTGGATGTCCAGAACATCACGAGAGAAAACTCTACAGTCTTACGATGAGTATTGGCGCCGCCTTTGCCAGTATTTTGAGCTGTTTGCTCGTCGCCGTGTCAATGAAGACGTCCGTAAGCAGATGCGACGAGTACGAGCATTTCTTCCCTGCTGCAGAGACGACGCTGATGGTGGCATAGTTTCTAGATGGTCCCTTCCCGGCCGAGCGCAAGATTCCCCGACGAACGAAGAACAAGAATACCCTGGATGTAGATGTCTTCTGTGCGATCTATCGTCATCACTGGGTCCATTCAAGGTTTTTTCGTCATGGAAACATGATTGTTCAGTTTGCTACAGTGCAGCTATGGTCTGCCATTACCGGGACTCGCCCCGGTGTCTTGCTTCCACAAAACACTTCTTTACCCGGCAACCCCTCCCTTGGCAAACGCAAACGAGCCCACGCGTTTGAGAGTGATCTTCCGAAGTATATTTCATCGAAGGACCTTCCGGACTCTGTCTGCTATCGTGATATTGAGCTTTTCTATTTAAAAGATCCTCAAAGCAAACGTGACGTTCTCTGTGCCATTATAGAGTTTCGCAATCTCAAAGGTCGGCCAGAAGGCGCCGATGGGTAAGGGTGCCACTATACCTCAAATTCATATTTAATTGATCTGACGCCTATGTTTCTTTTCAGGACCAAGTTTTTCATGCACGGTGACTATCAATTGGCATATTGCCCGATCGCTCAGATAGTCTCCTTCGCTTTCCGTGATGGGGCTTTTGTCAATACGGAACTCACACCAGAGCTAATTTGGAGGCTGCGAGTTCCTAAGCACACTTCGTCCCTTCCTCTTCGGTGGAAACCAGAAGTCCTGAACACTCCCATTCTTCGACGCTTTGAGCGCACTCCCTACGGCTACGAACTCCATGAGTCTTTATCGATGACCTATGAATCAAGTCGGGAAGCCCTCAAAGAGTTGGGCCGAGACGCCAAATTTGAAGACGATATTGGGCATTACAACTTTCGCCGTTGGACGGCAAATGAAGTAAATCGTAAGTTATTGTTGCGCCAAAATGAACATGCTATCATCATGAAGGCCAAGAAAGCTTTGTGTTACCGATCGATGTTGACGAGCAGCTTCTAGGGAATTTCACGAGCCAGGAGCGGCAAAGGGTGCTTGGTCAGTCTGGCGACGCCGTCTTTGAAAAACATTATCAATCACAATTCATTGGACGCGATCTCCAGCATGTCGTTCTTCTTCGACCATCTCAGGAAGGCCTCATACGTTTCGCCGGAAGTATGCTCAGGAAAAGGGATGTTCAAGCTCCGTATGAGCTTTCGAATACGCACAAGCGTGCAATTTGCCAAAACCCGGATCTTCTGCAGTTAAGACGAGAGAAGAGAGAGCTCGGGGCGGAGATGCGATCTCTGGCTGGCTCAATCAAAAAAGCTCGAGTTCCCTTTCCACACCTCCACCAAAAGCACGAAAATGTCAATAAAGAAATAGCGAAACTTCGAAAGAGGCTAGCAACTGACACGCGAGAGGCAGCTAGGAAACACCATTTCCAGAATGCGCCTGTACTTGAAATCGACAGACAGATAAAGCAACTCCTCGGTAAAACTGATGAAGCTTCTAGTGAAGCTCCGGAAAATGAAGACTCTGGTGATGTAACCTGGGAATTGCCTACTCCAGACTATGTCTTTGCCGAGCGGGCACGCCTGGTAGAAAACTTTTACGGACCCGACGCAGAGAACTTCGACGAGGACAAGCTACTCGCTCGACGCACCCAGGTTACTAAGGATATGGTTGCGCTATTGCGGCTTTCCGAACCGAGTAGGCGGGGTAATCGAGTCAATTGGAACATTGGCGATGAAGATGATGATTTGCTTGATCCGCCAGAGGAATCGCCTCCACTCGAGGAAGACTCTATGAATTGTCCAACCAATATATGTATCGTCTGCTGTGGTCTATCTCGCCAATCATCATTGAACCCTCCTCCGCATAAATTTCCTCCCGATCGACAGGATTCTCTTCGCCGCCACTTGATTGATACGCACCTGCAACATGCGCGCAACGGAATTAGCTGCAATTGGAAAACCTGTCGCGATGTCCCGCTGTTCAGCGACATCACCAAATTCCTGGCTCATGCTTCCACTGAACATTCGTATGATATCAAAATCAAATTGTGTCATCTCCCGCAGGCATCACAAACTAGCTGCAGCGACGTTTCATCCAGAGAAGCGTCTCCAGTGTCGGAGAATCGACAAAGGACTGAGACTCCCGCCTCCTCCGTCGACCTCGAGATGAAAAATATTGACCCACGCTTGTTGGAGGCACATCCTGTCCCCGTTGCGATGGCTTTGCAGACTCAGCCAGTTACTGAAGTTTTATCTACCTCTGGTGGATCATCTCATCCCAACTCAGCCGAAACTCCGATAAGACGAGCGACGAGAAGCACGGCAAAGGTGACAGAATTCGCTCCGACGCCAGAGACGGAATACCAACCTCAATATGTGAGGCGCTCATCTCGGAAAAAACGTCACGCAGAGCAGCAAGTATGTGGAGTAAAGGAGAAGAAGCGACTAAGCCACATGAAAGTTCCCAAAGGGCCTCCGCTGCGTCGATCAAAACGACTGCGGTCTTAGGCAGTTCATTCATCTGTTGTTAATTTTTCGAATGATTTCGGGTTCATGAGCTCACTTGTTAACTCTGTTTCTTGAATATTGGTTATATCGCAAATTTTTTCAAGCAGCAATGCTTCCACACTTGTAGCTAATACGCAATCTTGCACAGTAACGAACTGCAATACTGCGCATCTTGGGCTTTCGATCGCTTCAAGGACAACTTGCGAAGTTTTAACATCGTTCCAAGATTTTATTTAATACACGTTCGGAGCATCAATTCGGAATAGACTGAAGGAAGAGTAACTGCAGGACGCCAATTCGGGGATCTTTGGGGCTATCGAAGTCATGGATCGTCCATTCATTACCCTGGAGGATATGGGCACAGGTCAAGCATGACTTTGTCTGGAGGCCGCTGGAGATTGTGGCCCGATTCCTCATTCGTATTATCAACAGTTGGCTAAGGATAGTATTCAAGAAACGATATTCAATCACTAGTAAGTCAAACGAGGCTGATTATCTGGGCTTAGCGACCTTGATATCAGAGGCAAGAGACAGACATCCGTCAGAGTTGTACGATAGGGAGGGAGAACAATGTGCGTCCAAGACTTCTCGAAGGTGAGAGGAATCGACAAGATACCATTGCTCATCTGCGCTCTGAAGCTTCAAATCTTCTCACGAGTGGTGTGCAGAAAATTGGATCCCCAAGATCTGCACTATGGTGGCACAGTCGAGACTCTTCATGTCTCACATCCCTTCGCAAGATAAGCGCTTTAAAGCACAGCGAGATCTTGATCCGTCACTAGTATCGGCCTTGGATAACGCGAAGCCTGAGGAAGTCAGTTATATCTCTCAAATCAAAGAACGCTTATGGCCAACTCACCAGTTCAGAACGAAGAAAAGCCCAAAATCCGGAAGCGTCCGCTGAGAAAATGAACACTTGGCCCGTTTCACGTAAACGTATACCCAGACAGACATCTGCGTCACACATTTTGCTATATTCGCATGCTTTCTTCATCAGACTTGATTTACGGCGACATTGTTTCTGGCGTTTTGCTTTCCTACTCGAACCAGATCGACTTGGTCGGGTGTTTGAAGTGGTAGTCATTGTGGAGTTGCCTTTGACGGCGAGTAGAGTAATTTCTTGAATGTGTTTTTTGGGAAGAAAGAGAAGTGAAAGGAGCCAGCCAGTTTCAAATTAAATAGTCTTAATTTCTCTTTCCATTTTCTTTGGGTTGTTCTTCTTTCAACGGTCCTGAGTTACTAGTATCTTTCTAAGTGTCGCGTTGAAAGATTAAGATCGTCAACTGTTACCTGTTCCACTCTTCAAGCCTTCTGCTTCCTCTGTCCTTTACATTGAAGCAAAGGCCTATGGGCCAACGGCCATATACGCCTGCAGCTCGAGACATAAAAGGTGAAAGAAGGAAGGTAAACACATAGTGACTACTCGATTTTATATTGAAAATATAACCTACTGTGACAACTGAAATTTGATAATGACCACTTCGTCAGAATTGGAGTGAACAGTTTATCGCTGGTGGAAACGCACGAGCATTCAAGTTAGTGAAGAAAGAATGACCGACAAGATCTTCGCAATGCCGTTTTTTATTTCACCAGCGTTTGACGATATATTCATCCAACGTAGGTTGGGTATATGCCATGGCTAACGCGAGTCTTGAGCGAGCCCGCTCACCCGAGTCTTCCCTTAATAACGACCTCGTCTTTTCATCACTGATACTGGCATGTACACAGGCTCGCAAATCCTTGGACATGCCCGCAACTCAATAATTCAAGCTTTTGTACTAAGCTGCATCGACCTGTATGATTCTGGTCTTCGCACAGCCAATCATCGGTCAAAAAGAACAATCTCTAGCAAGCTCGGTCCTACATCTCGGATCTATCAGGGACATTGTATTCACAAAGAAACAGGATGATCGCATACATGATCTACGTAGGACTCACATGATGCGTATGGGATTTTATAACGCGAGGAGGCCATAAGTATATCGTATAGCCACTCGAAACTGATTTCCATGGGCGTGGCTCTGTTCCTCCTTACCAGCCTCATATATCAATAATCAACTGCCTCGCGACAAGATATTCTCAAATGCCATTCCAAGTCAAAGTGCTAAAAAGAGCAAGAATGATCTCATCTGAGGACATCAACTAAAGCTATTCCTATCGCATTCATTCCAGATATCGTTAATAGTGTTTGAACGCTATACACTTGAATACCCCACTATATGTAATCAAAAGTATGCAATGCATATAATCATAAAATACTCGCCATGTTCCTGCCAATTCTTGTCTGTACAAAAGGCGTCGTGCACTGCCGTAGACCGGCTTGGGCCCTGAGGCAACAATACCTGCTAATTTATGCAGATGGCAGAATGGCAGAATTATCCAACCTATAGTTCCGGCAGAATTCTACCCTTTGATATTCTGCCAGTAGTTCAAATCCCATGTTCCGGGATTGACACGGCAGAAAATTACTCAGCATTTTTTTGCCCGGTCTATCTACATCTCTCTTACTGCCGGCAGAAATGGTACTGTATTGAAGATGTATTAATCTGTCATCAATTACGATACTGAGTATAATACTGTAAAATACCAAAAGCCACCCAAAGCCATCATCCCACCTTACGAATCACGACTATCATTTGACGATTAGATCCAAGTTCTCATTGAAAACTCGAATAAATCTACCATTAGAGCCACTCTCTAGCTTATGCTAAAAGACTCTGCCAGCTCCGGGGTGGAACGAACGACCCTTGGCTGTTTCCGGGACGTAGGGCCAGCGATGAAATGAAAACGCAATATGGTTCAGTTCTTGGACCATTAGTCCTTCATTAAAAAATACAATCATCTTTCGACCGGTAAGTTGCAGTCGCGTTACCAAAAAGCCATGGTTGAGAATGAGAATCGAGATGTACGATCCTGGTAATGCTGGCAGCCCTTTTCCGATTACTAGAATACATACCAAAAGGTATCGTCCTTCCAGGCAAGGTGGAAGCAATATGTGCATTTTGATCATGAAGTTATGCAAAATGCATTTGCTTGATCTGTTTATTTCATTTGGCCTTTCCCGGGGGCTTCTCTCACCACCAGAGTTACCTTTTTTTTTCCTGTATCATCATTGAATTCGGAAACACAATCCTTTTCTTCAGTAGCTAAGTGGTACATCTCAGCTATTCAGATGATCATGAAGACTGGTACAAAGTGCATGCAAATATAATATACGTGTGCACAGGCCTATATGTAAGTGACACGCATCACACGCTCAATGACATGAACACCGAAGCATCGTTTATCCTGGTCAAGGCGTTGAATATGGTGAAGGTGACCATGACAAGGCCATTAAAGACATTCTTCACTTCACATTCGACGACTTGAACCTCAGCCTGTTGATAAATTGAAATACTATCTGATAAAGATGCTATAATATGATATCTTTACTCAAAAATCCCATGTCCACAATTGAACTCTCTTGAAACATATTCTGTTCAGACATCGGGCTGAATAAACTTTTGCAACGATCCATCAGTTCTATTTATTCTCTCAGCATTGACAGCTCAGCAATTTCCTTTCACTATTTTATCAGCCATCATGACCAGCCCTGAAAATGTTCTTTTGAATTGGGAGTCAGAGGGTACGGACACCTGTACTCCTTCCGAGAAATCCTCTACGGTACCCTCGGAGACAAGTACCGACCGTGATTTCATCGCTTCTGATTCAGAAAGCTTGTCTCATGCTTCGCATAATTCATCGGATGCTTTGTATCTTTTTCAAGGGCATTCGTCTGAGGAAGAGTATGGTGTTCAGGTAAGTGCATTGTGATATATTCTCAATCATGTCGCTAATCTAGTGAACATCTCATGATAGGACGGAAAAGTTCCAATCAAAACAATCGCGCGACAATCAGTCATGCTGAATGGCCAACCTATCACCAAGTATCTTGTTCTGTGGTACTCGTGGGAAGATGATGAGATGTGAGAGGCTCATGATATGTTGGGACCAGCAAACAATCGCTATCAAGGCTCATAAGTGAGTATAACCGACATGCAGAATTGACCCTGCGAGCATTGATTTCTCTATCCAAATGTGTTACGTTAATTTACTTCCGTCTGATGTCTCCGTTAAAAACCAAATTGTAAAAGATTGCAAAGTCGCGATTCCGAAGTGAATCTCAATTTTGCGATTTGTTTCTGATCAAATCCGGCCTTCTATCACATTAAGTCCTTCGATGTATGACGCATTCCTGTTTCTCTTATATCAAGGGTGTACCTGCCTTACAGTACTGTATGTTTTCTCACATTTTCCCATCCATTGATAGAATAACATGCCTGACTGATTATCAATTGATGGAAAGCCTTACTTTTCTAAGGACCCTGCATTTCTTCAAAGCATTATCGACACCGGGCTTGTCACTTTGTAGTTTTCTCACATTATCTGTGTTCGCCGCTATATGATTCGGACTCCTCACTATAGCATGCTCGGTGTTTCCAAACTTCCACATGGTTCATACTAGAACGCAAGCTATCACATGACCCTAGAGAAAGACATGTTTGATGAGAAGTAAAATCCAGAAGAGTCTCCAGAGTCGTAAGGCATTCAAAAGTGCTTTTCCAGCCGATCCCTCCATTGTTGCACTAGGTGCGGTATTCGTCGCTGTCCGTGCACCTTGTCCAACGGCATGGGATGTAGTAGTGACAGCAGGTACACTCAGAGTTGGCAGGTTGAACGTGGGAATGATCAATGACAAAGGCACATCGGCAGTATTCCAGTGTAGTTCTGCAGTTGTGTCAAGTTCCTTAGGCGCAGCAATGTTGTTTTCGGTACATGCGATGGAAGCTCCATTGATCATGTCGTTGCCGCATGGAAACATTCTGATGATAGATAAGTAAGACGTTGACTTGATCAAGAAATTAGGGTAGGGGGCCAACTTGGACTCGACTACAGACTTCATGAACATTTAATGGCTCTGAGATAATGCTGTACCAAAAATGTACATTTTTGTGTGTCCGGATTCAGTAAATCGAAAATGGTTGAATGTGTCTGTTCAATCTTTGGTGCAGGACTCGTTTTTTAAGTTGAATTTTGGACTGAAAAACAACAGTTTGGAATGATCATCAGTTGACAAGTGCTAGAATATTCGTGTGAAAATATAATACTGCGCATTTTTATAGCTATAGTATGCAGTTCCCTATGATCAACTTCTTCCAGCGCCATATTTCAACTGTTGTAGAAGCTATAATTTGTTAGAGATTGTTTGTGGCAAGAAACTGAGAATGAAGAATTGAGACTCATTTTTCGAAATTTTCGAGTCGTCACCGTTGGGCTAGCCAGCATTGTCGTGAGAGATCTTGAATTATTCTATCCTTTCCTACCTTTCACTGTTTGCTTTCGGAAGGGCTGCGTAGGCCTAACTTATGTTATTCACAGTTCCACCAGCACTATACCTATGCTCTCTGGGCGGCAAGGCTCATAATAAGAAAGTAACACCTTTCATTGCTTATTCTACACTTTCAACAATCAGACTTGACATTGAGGTGAAGTACGAAACAAGGTGTTTATAGCAAATAGCATAGCAAGAACATAATGTTGCATCTACTACTCAATCTTCAGCATTCACGCAGTCCACTGTATCCCCACCATGATTTGTATCTCCGATATTCAAATGACAATGACAATACGAAAAAAAAGTTCAGAGAACATCCTTACTATTCCTTTCAATCTTCTTCACACACCATTCTCAGATTGATACCAGCCCCTTGACTTACTATTCTGGCCTCGACGAAGGCAAAACAAAAGTGAAGACCGCGTCATCTCGTTTGATCTTTTCCAGAAGGTGAAATTTATAGAAACACAACAGTGCCAGAGAGATAATAAGAGTCGCCCCAGTGGCGACAGTAGTGACGATAGCCATCACAGACCAATCTCCCCGCTGAGAAGCGCAGACGTTGATAATTGTAGTCAATAGCCCAGCAGCGGCGTTCAGCGAAATCGGCCTATTGATTAATCAGTTTCAAATACCCTGGTGGTGGTGCGAGTGGAGCAGTAACTTACGTGAAAAGCCTATTGATCAACCATATGTAATTGCTTCTGAGCTTCGCAAAATGCAAAAGCCATGCGAAAGCCGCAAGACCTCCGAGAAGGAGACAACAGGAAATGGAGAGCAATGGAGGATTCTGGATCGTGTGCAACACTGTTCGACCGGCTTTGTTGGCTTGTAAAACATGTTCTACCTGATCAGAGCTTTGAAGAGAGGTGAACGTGCCTGGAACGACCAGGTAGCCAGCGAGCAAAGCCCAGTTAGCCGCACTGACAGTGACGTTGAAGATAAAATCCATTTCCTCCTCTTCTCTAAGCATTTTCGCATAGGGAGTCTCATTGATACAGCGAGTGGGCAAATGATTGTTTGCCTTGGGCGACACACATTCCTCATTCGGGAGGCTGCGTACATGTGCAGGCTTCGCCCATGGGACATAGACGCTTGGTTTCGCAGAGTTATGCATGGCAGACTTCATTTCAAGACGTCTATGTTGCCGATGAATTTCCAATCGAGGGTAAAGGCACAAGTCAGCGTGGATTTCCCAGATTTATAGTACTTTCACATTCATATGGTGCGGAAACCCCGTACTGATCTTATCAACAAAGGGACTTCAAGTTCCTAAGTCGCTTTAGGTCAGCACGTTTCAATAGTCACTCGGAGTCATTTTCCAGAGTCGATTCAGTCTGTCTCTCAATCCAGCGGCCCAGTCTCACAAACAGAAAAACTGAGGAGGGTCTCTTATGATAGGGCCAACATAAATACAACCAAGTAAAATATTAGTATCCATGCCGCTTTGAAATTTTAAAGAAGTGTCTCAGTATCTCCGAGATTATCTGAAATGCGATACCCTTTTGTATCCATAACTCCGCGAGTCGGTATCATGTCCATGGAAGCTTTGAAATTTTCACCCCAGCAGTCTCAGGAACATAAATCAAAGCGAACGTTGTTGAACAGTAGAATTTTTCTGGCCAATCGTGATCGCGATAGGTCAAAGACTGAAGGTGATTAGCCTTTGTTTTACCATCTTACATTCCGTAGACCTGCAATCCTGTGTCGCCACCGCTCCTGCGTGATCTCAACCCGTAGTTCATCGACGTAAAAACAAAGAATCATATTCTTGGTGCTTCATATCTTCGATTCTATTTTCACCTTCATTCTAACGATCTCGAAGCTCAATTAGTCCTGACCTTGCCTATCCGTACTTTTGCTACCCCATTACGGCAAATTTCAACGATCGAAAACTGCTAGCAATAGTAGCAGATTGTCAAATGCCCCAAATCCCTGACTGCTGGTGACTAGGAGAACAACTGTGAAGGTCATTCTCCTACTGTAACTCTGCCTTTTCAAAAGCCCCACGCGCCTCCTTCTCATAGCAACGATGGGTCATAAGAAGAAATTACTGGTATGGTTTAAGCACAGTCCAATAGATATGGCAGATTTGGAAGTTGGATATTTTCCGTGTCCTTCAGACTTTCCGCTTTCCAAGAACTGTAAAAGATACTTCCTGGGAGGCCGACCCCTGTGGTAGAGCATTTCAAATTAACTATGAGATCCGCGGTACCCTTACAAATTGACTTCGGCGCAGCTTCGCCAACCCACCCAAATTGATAGTAATCAGTACTCAGGCTGGGCGACGAGGGGTGTGCCATGGTCGAGCGTGTAGCAGACCTAAATTCCTCCGGGGTTGCCAAGATTTCACATGCTGACAAGTTTAAAGAAAGTGGACTGCAATTTCTCTTTTTTCTTTTTCAGACAACCTGATCTTTGACAGCCATCATATTCACCTCCACCGAAATTTCTGTGTTCACAATGGTGCAGTACGACAAAAATATTTCTGATGATCGTTTCAATGAAATTTTAAACGACTACAAAAAGTCGCTCGATAGTTCAGAGAGCGAAATCTGCCCCTCAAAACCAGCAAGCTCCTCGACGCCTTTGAATCCTCGCCAGAAGCTGGGCCTCACCAGAGCGGAGCATGATCATGCACGGTCTCTAGTTACAAAGCCGGAAGGCAGACTTAAACGGAAGGTTCGATTCGCTTCTACCGAAAGACCAAAGTCAACAGGATCGTCTCATTCCAGGCAGAATGAACAAACTCGATCCGCAAGCCCCAAGTGAGTACTTTTTCGCTATTCATATTGCAACCCCACATCATCCACGAGTCTATCATCTCTGACATATATAGTCGGGCAATTGAACAGGTACAGAAGCGAGACTGTTGGTCAACCAGACGAAAAAGGTCAGTTCGCGAAGCCCTCGTCATTATCATGAGGTCTTTAGGCCACTCAATGACTATGACTGACGCAAGATACAGATCGATGTCGAGGAAGCGCAAGGAAAGTCGCGGGCACACTGGCAATAGATAGTCACACCATCGCCAGCCCAACCCAAGCCTGGTTGTTTTCAAGAGCACTACAAGGGAAAAGGAGCATCTTCGGCAAGAATGGCCTCATTTTAGCCCTCCTGGGGAAGATGCAAACTAAGTGCAACATGGATCCACAACTTTTGTACTCTCTCTCTATCAGAACTTTTCAAACTGGCGCTCGCATGTCTTTAATCACCACCAATCTAGTTCTGGTCTGTTTCAGCTATCGGGTGTCTAATCTGATGAAGAACTCAAAGAATATGTCAGAATACGTATAAGTCACTGAACTGGCCCCTAGTATCAATATACACACCCAGAGACGAAGTTCAAGAGCCAACTCGTAGGTTCGGTCAAGGCTCTTCATCTGCCCCAGCCTAGAACGGATCGTTTACTAAAAGGGAGTTACCATGGTTCGTGGTCCAGGGTTGTTACATCCGCGGTGGGTCTTGCGCCACATGGAAAGTGATCGACACGTTCCAGAGCCACATACTGGCATCTGATTGGCCAGGCAAGGCGGGACCCGGCTCCTGGTACTTCGAGTCATAATGGCATTCACGGCTTCTCCGCATCAGGCAAGATCCCTTGATTCCTCGGCAGGTGTCGAACCAATCAAGATTGCTCGAGACAGGTGCCTAAACGTGTCCAGGACCGCTAAGTTTGATTAAGAGGACCAAGGCCCGCAGCCTGGTGGGTCAGAATTGACTTGATTGGCCGAGCCAGCCCTATCAGCCAAAGTCTTGCAAGGGTACTCGCAGACCCTCGGTTTTGCCCTGCCACGAGCGTCGATTGCAAAGGCAAAAGAATCTAGAAGATATTCTTGCTGTGGTCAATTGGCCGTTGCCCTCCTGACCAGGAGCTGTAGCGATGTCTAAGACAAGGCAATCGACCCGAGTAAGATCAGTATCTACGATGAGAATTGGAAACGGGACGATCGGATCGGCCGGCACCTTAAAACCTTAATTTAGGCACGTTGGTTGCGTCGGTCGGAACCAGCCGGTCAAGGAACGGGTCCGTTCTACACCGGAGACCGATTCGGTATCTTATTTCCTTGGCCATGATGTCGTAGATTCGTAGAAGCCTGCATATTGTCAGTGACAGAGCGCAGTGCTGAGATACGTGAGAGGAATTGAGTAGAGACGTGAAATGCATTACAATAGTCTGATCACGATGGGAAGTATCTCGAGGCGCTCATCGGTCCTTCTCCCTCCGCCGTAGCCATTTGTGTTCTTATTATCATCTCCACAATGACTGGTCATAGCAGTCCCTCCAGGTCGCCACGAATTTTCATTCCACGAACTTGTTTGGTTAGAATCCAGCATAATTCTAGATGGTGTCCGCAGCGTAGGCGACTCGAGGACACGCCTTCGTTCGATCGTCTAGTTTGGTAGAATTAGCATGCAGGCCAAACATCTCTCTCAGTCAAGACTCTTGACATTCACTCTGCGGTGGATTGCGAAAGGACCATGTTGCAGTTCTCAATGCATCACTTTTTCGGCGTGGCACTGCTTCTCTTCAAATCTTGGCCCCGAGGTCAGTCGTGCGCATCCTTGACACTGCCCATTGGGCCGCCTCATCTGGGAGCATGCAGCAGTCTGTCTCATAAGAATTTTCGTCCTCTGTGGTGTTTTCTGTCGGAATAGAGACTTTGGGGATCGTCAAATCGGATGATAGGAACAGCGTATATCGCATCAGGGCTTAATTGTCGTTCGGTGGAGAAAGCAATAGTCGTTCGGCGGAGAAAGCGATCGGATGCTTTCAGCTTGCGTGGTCACTGAGGTGGACTGTAGATAATCGGCCTTGGTGCAGCGTGGCGCAAAAGATAGGTGGGAGCAGCAGGTCTGCCGTCGGCGTGTGCAAAACCTCTCCTCTGCCCGCCTCATTCTCGCTCAAGATAGAATTTTTCTACACGGTTGATAAACTATTATCGGCCTCATAACAGGGCCAAATTGAAAAAAAGTTGCTTTGCTCAAGACGAGGCATTGTCTTTACACCGTAGTGTTTAGTGCACCTTCCTCAACATGCACATCGCATGCTCTGGTTTAACCACTGTAGGCGCGGTGAGTTTGCATGTTCATGGCCCATGCGTTGAGCGCTCTTTCAACGCTTTGCAGTAGCCCATCTGGCTCAACTTGATACATTGCGCGATTTAATTCCCGTGGCGTTTAAATCCATGGGTTCAATATTTGTTCACCAGTTGTGGTCCAGTTGCCAATGTAACCCACCGCAGAAATGAAGAGTCTAGGTGGTCGTCTTTCATGGAACCAAGAGGCAGTCCCTCTTGGCAAAATGAGGCCGGCCGCGGGTCGTTCAGATGTGCGTCTTTTGGCCAGAAATTCCTGAAAGACTTTTCCAACGCCTGTTTAAACACTTCAACACCCCTCAAAAACCAGTGGCCGTCCCTATTAATCTGCGTAGACGGTCTCTACGAAGAGACGTAGCCGAAGTGAGATAAAAGGCGCCAGATTTCCAGCCCAAAAACATCAGGACTTGCCTTCTTCACACTCCCATGTGTCATGGCCCCTCCTCACACTCCCATGTGCCATGGTGTCACTCTCTTGCCTGCAGACTTCGGTTGCAGGCTTCAAAGTCTCCATGGCTACCTGAATATGGTGGTTGCTTCTTTGAGCACTGTGATGCCAGCCTTGCGCTTGCCCGCAGCAGGAGCTCTGCGTTATCAACTATGCTCCGCAGGGGACAGCTGCGAAACCAAGGGACTCCGCAGTACGATGCTCTGCGAAATCAAGTGCTCCGCAGGGGACAGCTGCGACACCAAGGGACTCCGCAGTACGATGCTCTGCGAAACCAAGTGCTCCGCAGGGGACAGCTGCGAGACCAAGGGACTCCGCAGTACGATGCTCTGCGAAACCAAGTGCTCCGCAGGGGACAGCTGCGACACCAAGGAACTCTAGCAAAGTGCAGGCACCTCTACGTGGTGCTAGGGACCAGTATTCAATTCTCGCTTCGACAATTGAAGAAGCCAAGACCTGCACCCACATCGATAGATACGTTATGTATGCCCGGGCCACGGGCGAAGAAACTGATAGTAGTGCCGTGAGAGATCATTTTGGGCCCTGTTTTCAGCTCCAAGGTATCATAGTGTAGAAATGAAT